ATATACTATTACCTTGATTACTAGCCAAACCTGCATTTCGTGATGAATGGGTCGTATATTATCGTTGTTGTACTTTCTTCAGAATATTAACAATGGTTTTGTTAAAACATATACATGATCAGATATATTCAAACACATTGATTGTTCCAAGCTATTCCTTTGTTTTTCGATCAACAGATCTAACACATCTAGTGCCATTCTGGTAGTGTAACTCGAGAATAATAAGGTGAATAATTGAGACGTTAAGGGGCATTTCTGTAAACACTTTGAATAAACAATATGATCGTGATGGTACACCAATTATATGTTAATATGAGGGACATTTTTGGTTCTTAATTGTATTTATGCCTATTCCAATCCTGATAATAATCTCAAAATTTGAATAATTGCAATAGATTGCCAGGCCGACACTTGTCAGGAAGAAAATACACCGGAAAAAATAATGCACTATCGATTGATAAGACATGTTCGAATGTTGTTATTATGACTTTTTATTTTGATAGAAGCAGAATAATGGCATTCTGTTTACGTCTTAGCAAGGAGTGTTACGTACACTGCAGATCATTTATTGAAGGCTTTTCAGGTTCAAAAAATATTAATTTATCAGCGCCTAATCATTCGCGGTGTTTCAAAATCACTTGGTTGAACAATATCATATCACATTATATAAGGCTTATCATTCATTTCTTCTATATCTCTAGTTCTCGCCCCACGTTGGAATTACAGTGATTCCAAAATTTTCACTGTTGGTTCGCACTAACAGACAGTTGATATGGCACAATTGGTGATTTTATGCTCTAATAAACATTGCTTGTATCAGTGATGAAAGTTTCAAGATAGTACGCCTGTCCCCGTCGAGAGTGTTATAGTATTGAAAACTAGACACGCAGCGATTTGGGCTTCAGAACATATATATTTGCCATATTGTTAAGATGCAGAACTTCGGATTGAGTCATGGAGGAACGCTGCAGAAATTTTAGGCATCCCGGTACATCCTTCTCGATATGACTCAAGTAGAGCGCAAATTTTTTTTTCATATGATCTTCTGTATGCGAGGGAAACAACTCATGAATGGCATTTCCTGCTAGACCGCCAAACTTTTATATTGTCTTTACCTTAACCTGGATTCCAAAGAGAGCTCATAAACTTAACTTGTCCCTCTAGGATTTTCTTTGATTTTAGTGCTATAATTCTGTCATTTATTGACTAATATTTATTGAGGCTTCCTTAGTCGATATTTAAACGGTAATCAAGTGCTTATCATCATAATAAGTAGATAATTTTGAGTCATTGTAATTTAGGAATAGTTCGAACGAGAAAGCTGTACTAAAAGTTAACTAGTTAATCAGTAAAAGATCACTTTTAATTTGAATATCTATGAAGTATCTTTGATAAAATGGTATCTCCTCACTACCAAAAACAGATGTCTTCTCTTTCATCACTTTGTGGATGTTTAGACAGTTAATGCTAAACCTTGCGCAAATAACAGTTTCATTTCATAAGTGCTGGGACTTTTTTTGAGAAACCTTTAATCGGTGACAACAAGTTGTAAAAATTATCATTAAGTATTTCAAGACGTTCACAATACCGACGTAAGTTTGGAGTAAGGTGATAGTTGTTTTTCCATAAGCATATCAATTGGTAGTATCTAGATATAGGACAAGCATTTAGGTTACTATCCGTGAATTATTACTTGTCTCTCGTGTAGCGGACAATAGCCATGCTTCTAATATCGAGATACCCTATCAATACTCAATAATTGAACTACTGTGAATATCGGCTCTTATTCTATCAGCTATTTTTGGAATGTATATTATTTCCAACACATCAAGAAGAGTGACTGATAAAAAATAGTGGAACGTCCTAATTGTTAGTTATATGTCATGAAACAATAAAGTTGAAATTACTAAACGAAAAAGGTATCAGTCTTAAATGCAATGGAAAGTTTAAAGATACTCTCACTTACATCTTCTGTGAAACAAACAATAAAACTAATTCGAGTTCAGTAGTCTAAGCCACATTTGATATTGAAATAGTTTTAGCACTGGCAATACAGATTGGCAAAATATCAGCTATTTTAAGCGATAACATTGTGTGATAATTCATAGTTGACAAAAGATAAGAGCATTTCAGTAGCCACAATGAAATCAAATATACTGTTTGAAATTTAAAGCAGTAAAACTAGCATTAGTATTGGTACACATTTCATTGCTGACAATTAAGCCGGTATACATTACCGTTTCTATCTTATCAAGTTGATCGAACTGAATAATTTGGTCTCTTTGTTTCTAATAAATTAGCTTATCTTGTTAAAAGAGCAATATGATGTTCAATAATATTCCTCAGGATGCACGATCCAGATGATTTTGGAATAAAAGTCTATCATTTGCATTAATAATGTCTTTAATAAACCTAGTTTGGTGGCATCCTAACTTTTCTTCATCTATCAAACCTTCTTAGTGGGTTGTGGAGAGTAAATTTTAAATGAATGAGTAGAATATCAATACAAAGAGCTCGAAAATACAGCTCTATGTATTGAGTTGGCTAATAATTGAATGGGCCTAGCATCTGGAATAGCTTTTACTGTGCTTATTTAGAATCGGGATGGATCAAACTTGTTATTTGTCTTGTAAATTTAAGCTAGTAGATAGCAGTAGCGGCCCAAAAATCCATCCGAACTGTGATGTGCTAGAAATGAAAGAACGATTAATTAAACATTAGGATGAAAATCTTTCACCGGTGGTCCTATGATACATCTAGTGGCAACGTAATTATAATTTTTACATCTGTGATTCAAACCTCATACTTTGAGCATCTTTGTAATCAGGTTATTTTTCTAAGGCAAAAGAAACAACACAACACATATAGAATAGTTATCTTATTTTATTTCTCTAGCCAGTAACATGTTTTTAACCCTTACCCCAAATATTGAAACTGGAATTTGGAAGACAGGCCAGCTTTTTGGTCTTTGATATGTAATGAAAGAAGAATAGTAGCAATTTCTGATAATAATAATTGAAGCGGGAAAATGGGTAGCAGTATTATATGTTACATTTCTACATTTCATAATATTCTTCCAACACTTTCTAATCTTCGAACTAAGCTCCACTAGAGGTATCGTGCATGCTGGTAATATTCCTACTTAGGTTAACGCTGTCTGGCAAATCATTCACATAAAGTAATTGGTGGTGATCTTGAATGCGATTGTCACCTTCTCAAAGCACTATCATAGCAGTTACGCAACGACCTTCCCCCTATCCAGCTCAATATATCCTTGAGCTTGCAAAAAAAATAAAAAAAAAATTGAAATATAACATCCGTTTTTGAATAAGTGCCCTTTCAAATAACAAAATGAAAATGATCCCAAACAAGGAACTCACATGCGACAATAAGTAGATAACGGAAGCGAGTGCTGAGTCCAACCCAAGGTCAGTACTAGTTTGGGGAGGAGTGAGATATAGAAAGGGCACCAAAAAAGTGTTTAACTGCCAAAACAAGAAACAGTACCAGTTAGTAATCCAAAAAAGCAAGACAGTCTGGAAGGAAAACTGATGGAAGTTTGAAGAAAACAAGACCACTGATAAAAAGTTCAAAAAAAACAAACAAACGAAAAACAAGAACGAAAACAAAATAAAAAAAACGAGGGGCACAGAACAAAAAGCAGAACGCACAGAAATATCAGGAGGCAATAGTGGGTCATGGAAAAGGGGTCAAATATGGTGGGGTCACATAAAAAAATAGCCCAAAAAAGAAATTTTTAAGAAGAAAAAAGACAATCTTTGCGTCATTTTCATAGGTACGGAATATTCTGTTGAAAGTAGGGAGGGAAGATGGGAACAAAGGAGAAATGTTGGCGGGGGGAGTCGGCGAGTTGGCACAACGAAGAGTCCCACCGATTGTTCTCGAGGGAGCAATTGAAAAACAACACGCAATTACGATTGAGTAGAAGAAGCGAAGGAGTGCTAAATTGCAGGGTATATTTTGAGAAATACTAGTAATATAGAGTGTCAACTTGGGACCTTATTCTCTTTAAAATCAGAAGTGAAAAAAATATACGTGGGGGGGAAGGGGTCAAATGTAGGACAAAAGCAGCACACATATTTACAAACCGGGGGGGTGGGGCAAGGGGGAATATTTACCTGTGTATCTGAACTTTATTCATACCCCCTCCTTCAATCCTTGTGATTACATTACCATAGTAGAGGACAGTTTCCTTTCAGCTTACAGACACGAACAGTTAAATCTAAACCAAAACAACAACAGCAACAGATACAACAACAGGGGGGATAATGAGCCGGGTATATCCAACAAATTGTAAACTTATCATGGTGTTCTTATTTGCACAAAAATCCCTCTTGCAGTTATTCCAGTTTTTCCAGTTTTTCCAGTTGCTCTAGTTGTCTGGTTTTTTCTTACTCTGTACAGATTAGTTGTAGCAGTTGTAAAGAATAATCGCAAGAATAAAAAAAGAAAATGTCAGGATTGTACGACTAATACTTATTCTCTATGGAATCCTCGAAAGAAAACAAGGGATGATGAACAAGCAGAGGCGAGGGGTGGAATCCACTTTTCCCATTTTATGTTAAAAATAATCCTGGGGGAGGGACGACTAAGTACACCCTTTCTACAATGGTTATTTAGTAATACGCAAAATGGGATAGATTGAGATGTCAATTGAGAGTGTGTAAGAAAGAGGGGCACTTTGTTCTCACTGATCCTAGCAAAAGAACGTATGGCAAAAAGAAATTAATTGAACTCTTTACAAGATATTCTCTAACTCTTGTCAGAAATAAAAATGTATATAAGGAGGATAAATTTTCCAGTTTTATTTTTTTTTTCATTGTTACTCTCTTACCGTTTCCTAATTTCTCATAATTTTTAAATTTCAGAACATCAAACATAGCAAAGACAAACAAAAGTCATAGATACTATTCCATTTCTATTCTTTTGTTCTAATTTCTATTAACTGACAAAAAAACTCTATTTAATAAATTATCATAATGGTTCATCTAGGTCCAAAGAAGCCACCAACGAGAAAGGGTTCCATGGTGGACATGCCACAACAACTTCTAGATCAAATCAAGGTCTTTGAAGAAATGTACACTGTTGATGGTGAAACTTTGAGAAAGGTTACAAAGCACTTCATTACAGAACTTGACAAGGGTTTGTCTAAAAAGGGTGGTAACATTCCTATGATTCCAGGTTGGGTTATGGAATACCCATCTGGTAAGGAAAAGGGTGACTACTTGGCCATTGACTTGGGTGGAACCAACTTGAGAGTTGTTTTGGTTAAGTTGGGTGGTGACCGTACTTTTGACACTACTCAGTCTAAGTACAAGCTACCAGAAGCTATGAGAACAACTAAGAATCATGAAGAACTATGGAGTTTCATTGCTGATTCTCTACAAGCATTCTTGGAAGATCAATTCCCAGAAGGTGTCAAGGGTAAGCTACCTTTGGGTTTCACCTTCTCTTACCCAGCTTCTCAAGATAGAATTAACCAAGGTGTTCTACAAAGATGGACTAAGGGTTTCGATATTCCAAACGTCGAAGGTCATGACGTCGTTCCAATGCTACAAAAGCAAATCGAAAAGAGAAACTTGCCAATCGACATCGTTGCCTTGATTAACGATACTACTGGTACCTTAGTTGCATCATTGTACACTGATGGTGAAACTAAAATGGGTGTTATCTTCGGTACTGGTGTCAATGGTGCTTACTACGATGTTGTTTCTGATATTCCAAAGTTGGAAGGTAAGTTGGCTGATGATATTCCAAATGATTCACCAATGGCTATCAACTGTGAATATGGTTCTTTCGATAACGAACACGTTGTTTTGCCAAGAAACAAGTATGACTTGATCATTGATGAAGAATCTCCAAGACCAGGCCAACAAGCCTTTGAAAAGATGTCTTCAGGTTATTACTTGGGTGAAATGTTGCGTCTAGCTCTGTTGGACCTATACGATCAAGGTTTGATTTTGAAGGGTCAAGACATTTCTAAGTTGAAGAAGCCATACGTAATGGATACTTCTTACCCATCCAAGATTGAAGACGATCCATTTGAAAACTTGGAAGACACTGACGAACTTCTACAAAAGAACCTGGGTATTCAAACCACAGTCCAAGAACGTAAGTTGATTAGACGTCTGTGTGAATTGATTGGTACTAGATCTGCTAGATTGTCTGTCTGTGGTATTGCTGCCATCTGTCAAAAGAGAGGTTACGAAACCGCTCACATTGCTGCCGATGGTTCCGTTTTCAAGATGTACCCAGGCTTCAAGGAGAAGGCTGCTCAAGGTTTGGCTGATATTTACGGTTGGGAACATAAAGATCCAAAGGATTGTCCAATTGTCATTGTTGATGCTGAAGATGGTTCTGGTGCTGGTGCCGCCATCATTGCTGCTTTGGCTGAAAAGAGAATTGCTGAGGGTAAGTCCTTGGGTGTCTTGGGTGCTTAAGTGAAGCGAAAATAACGTTGTAATGATAATGATTAAAAGTGTCTTCGGCACTATGTTATTTTTGATGACATTATATCATGTTTTATATATCTAAATGATACTATTAGTAGATAAATGAACTATACATATAAATATGAGACTTTTTAAATTCCAAATTTTAGACTTGTAGTCATAACTTTATTTGAGTAAAAAATAAACTAAACTTAGTTATTGATTACATAATGGCAGCTGTGTTTCTGAATATTTGTTCAGCGAGTGATTCGCTCAATGTAATGATGTGGATCCCTATTTTTGAACTCTTAGTGTGGTAGGAGTGTGCTATTTAAATACGTGTAGTGCTATACAATACTTTCAATATTTATAGCATAGTCCAAGGCTTTGTCAACTATATCAAGTTTTTCTTCATCTAATTCATTGGCATTTTCTTCATGGAAATAGATAGTGCCTCGACTGATTTTCCAACCTCTTTCTTTGGCAAACAGTTCTGTTTCCTTCTCATTATTTATAAACAGCAGTGCCTTTATGCTTGTTAAAGGAAGATTTTTGTAGGCCAATTCAGTGTTTCTCGCAATTTCGTCTCTGATAGCATTCATTAGTGTTTTTGTGAAAACGTCAAACTCAGGAACCTTGGACCCCGCTTCTAATAAACCCCAAGCTTTTTGGTATGAACCTTCCATTAACCATCTGTCGACCTTGATTGGGTAAGAAAGCAATTGGTCTTCTTCAATGTTTTGAATGTGTTTATCGAAATACTCTAATTCACTGTGGAATTTGGTTACGTCACCTTCTGAAAGCAATGTCAGGAGATAAAGGCTAATAATCTTTGATTTATCTTCCGATTGGGATAGTTTTTCATTCTTCGAGAAATAGAAGGTTCTCAATTGGGCAAAGTAACTATAGAATTGCTCAAAATCCAACGTGTAAATGCTCACCAAGGCTCCAATTTCGAAAATCTTCCTTGTGAATAGGATATCTTGCAAGTATTGTTCATTTGTATTATTGACATCAGGAATGAGTATATTGTTTTTAATCAATTCAATTTTAACGGCAGGAAGCAGTTTCTTACAAGTACTGAAGTCCTTTGAGTTATATGATTGATTAATTTTTGCAACCAGATCTGTGAGTGTAGGTGCCATCCTTCAAAGTTGTTATCTCAATTATATTTGTACTTCTTTGTCGTAATATTCAATGGTATTTGTTTGATTCTATTATCTCTTGATTCCTATATGCGCAATTATGCAAAAAAGAGACAATATTTAGTAGTCTTGTAAAACCTTTTAGTGTTCCAACGATAATAATACTATACAAAGCTAGCCAGTTGTTATAAGTTAATAGATGGAGGTCAACTTGCTGTTTTTATTATGGTATACACAGTACTTATTTGGTGGCAAACGGGTTAATGGGTGAGCTAATTTTCCCTTGGACCTTCAGTCTTCGCCCTGAAATTATGGATTCGTGGTGTGTTATATTCTATACCTGGCATATAGGCCTCTCCAGCAAAGTTCTAAACAAATAAAAAATTACTTTGGTATATTTGCTAACAGTTATTCCACAATGCACTTACTTTCCACTGTTAAGCTAAATCTAGTTTATATTATGTTGTGCAATTGATCAAGTTCTTGAGAATATTCATTACTTTAGTAAAATCTACGTCCGCTTAATTCTTAACAGTTAGAAACAGGATTGGTGCTTTAATTATAAGAAACAAATCATTACACAGCTAAATTGTTATTATTTATTACTCTATAGCTTAATTATCTGAGAATTGTACAGATATCCGTACTTTTTCTGGACTTCCTCTTGATAGTTTTCGTATCTTCTTCTGTAAAGTTATAATTCTTGAGCGTACAGAGGCACTCGTCTTCAAATCATCTTTACTTATCCTAACCACTACTTCAAATTCCCTATTGGCATTACCCCCAGATTGAATTGACAATGATTCCATCTGATTCTCTAAAGTCTCATCGATCGTCCTGCTGTTGGATCTCTTCAAGTGTGATGATGATTGTTCTGTAGTTTGCCCTTGTTGAGGCCTCTTCTTGAGCACAGCAAAATTGAAAACATTGTCACGGATGTTACCACCTGGGTGTACACCACAGATGACATACATAATTGTGCCAACATATTTCGTCCACCACACAGCTCTTCTAGCCTCTATTTTGTTATGGTCGTTCAATACCACATCCTCTAAGGCCTTCATATACTTTTCTTCAGGTTCCGGTATATTACCTCCCCATCTGTTACATAGTGCTATCCCTATAAGTGCTCGTATTCTGTGTGATAGGCCATGGCAACCTGCAATTATACCTCTAGTTGCTACATGTAAGGCAGCAGTTGGTTGAAGTTCTTTAGGGTAGGATGCATGTATAAATGCTAGGTTACAAAGCGCCGGCGCCACTCTTTGATAAACAATCTCAGGTATCTGATGTTCTGGTAGAGCGGTCTGTAACAACTGAAGGTATTTATCTGCCAAAAGAGGAGCGTAAGGTCTCGTAGAAATCAAAAGAGGATCCTGTGCCCTAATTTCTCTTGGCAAAATAGAATATAATGTACCTTCTCTAACACCACCTTCACTGAAATATATAGTTGTTATTCTAGGCAATACATCAAATACAGCGCTCATTAATAGTGCAACGGCAGGTAACTGTGATCGACGTTTCTCAGAGACTTTGAATATTTTGTTGTTGCTTGGTAATCTCTTCTTTAGAAATAGATAATCTGTCAGGGCATCGAATTCGTCATATGAGCAAGAATAACCATTGATAATTGTTTGAACTGGGTAGTCAGGGTTCTGAGAAATTAGTAAATGGCCCATGCCCCTTAGGCCACCACCTCTGGCCATTAGTGTAAAACCGCCAGTTCTTTTAGCTTCTTGTATCATATCGTTTGGAATTTGGATTTCGTCAACTGCTTTTCTAAAAGCTTCTTTGATTTCCAGAAACAATGCTCTTCTATCTTCAGTATTGCTCCTCCTGGTTAAGGCACTGGCCCCATATGGCAATGCTACAGACGTTGAGGAGCGTTTGATTTCGCCGTCAACCGTTTGCAACCACGATAAATTGACAGTTCCACCACCAAGGTCCAGGTAAAGCCCATTAACAAAATAAAAGGATGACACCACACCATATACATCGATTTTTTCCTCTTCTTCTCTTGACAGCAACTCGACATCCCAGCCTGTACTCGATTCTATAGCGTCTATGAATTGGTCACAGTTCAAAGCCAACCTAGTGGCCTCAGTGGCGATCACACGTACACCAGATTGGGGGACACCGAAGTCCTCGCATATAAGTTTGAATCTTTTCATGGCAGATACGATTTCATCTATGATATCGTCCGGGATGGGTATCTGTTTACCTGTGTCTGATTCATACTGTATTTCATATAGTGAAATTCCCAGTCTGTCCTTGAAGACGCATGGCATTATTCTGGCATGGTGTTGAGCCTTCGAAGAGATACTGAATCTGATACCATTGGACCCAATATCCACTACACCACATAGGTTTCTCGAAACCACTTCAGCTTCAGTATCGCTATCAGATAATACCGACATTGTTAGCTTATAGTGTTTGTTTTTTTAATTTTCAGAAGTGGGTATTATACTTAATGTTATAATAGTGGTAGTAAAGCGATTGAGAGTCAAAAGAAGAGCTGTTCAAAAACAATTGATTGCTAGCTTAATATGTTATACTATTCTATGAATGGTTACCCAAGTTTGTTCTTTTTCCAATGGGCCATCCCCGTCCCCATCACGCATCCGTTACATAATAGTAAAGAATTACTGAAGAAGTTGACCGAATAGTGATTTCTGCGAAGGTAAAGTTCCCACGGAAACTAATCATCCAGAGTTTGTCAAACAAGCTTGACAAAAAAAAAAGAACTACTGAAAAGAATGAATTGGGAGCTTGCAATGTGAGAAAGGGTCCTATGGGACGAGTGTCCTCTGCTGAAAGTTCAGAGACACAAGTGTTAGACCACCATTTCTGTAAAATGACCAAGTATGTCATTATATTACAAACTGGCAAGTTACACAACATACAGCAAACGAGATACTTACTTTTTTACTATACACTGCAACGCTTGTTCACTGTAATCACATCCTCTAACAAGGGAACAACAACAACAACAACAAGAACAACAACCTGCTTCACTTTAATAAGTCCACCTCTATTGTAGATTAGTCCTTCGACTTCGAATTTTTATTTAGTAGCTTACAGTTAGACATGTGACATCTCACACCACACGCCACATGGGATTCCAGATGACCGGGGGTCATGTGACCTCCACCGAGGATTTTCACGAAACTTCACTCGGAAATGCTTGCTCTCTTCACTTTCTAGCCTTGTATAGTGGAGGGAGTGAAGGGAAGAAAAAAAAAAGCAAAAGAGAGGACACAGGACACAGGACACAGGACACAGGACACTCTGGTTAGGAAACTTTGGTAGCATTGTTGGCAGAGTTTTTAATTGTGCTTTGATACTTTCTGATTCATAAAGGGAGTAGACAAACTTTTGGAAATTGCTGAGCTCAGTGTTAACCAGGTCTTTTGGATATATCTGTGAAGAAAGTGAATACCAAAGGAAGCTTTTTTTAATTTTTTTTTGGTTGGATTTGTGATACCGGCTCAGTTATCATTCCTGATCAAATTCGTGTCATTAGCAATTCAATTGAGTTATATCTTGAATTTGCTGTTTTATTGATATATCTGTCTTTGATAAAAGGTGTTTGCTGCTACAATAAGTACAACGAAAATAGGGTAAGTTTCACCATTGGACACAACAAATAAGAAACGGATCAAGCATAGTTTTACAAAGCGGAACTTAGGTAGTTTTTATTTTATTGCGAGAGATTACTGCAGATAACAAAAGAAGAAGAGTAATGGTTGTATTAGCTGCATCAATTACCACTAGAAATGGTAAGCCTTTATTGTCGCGTCAATTCAGGGAATTGACCAAGGAGAGAACCATGGAATTGTTATCCAACTTCCAAGGTCTGGTTTCCAATATTTCCTCAGATCACACTTTTTTGGAGGATGAACACGTCAGGTACGTTTATAGACCCTTCGATAACTACTACATCATCTTGATTACGAATCGTCAGTCTAACATCATTCAGGATTTATCTACGTTGAACTTGTTCTCTTCCACTGTGAACTCATACTTGGCTAGTTATGATGAACTAGAGATATTTGATAATAGTTTCGAAATTTTGAGCTCTTTTGATGAGATCGTCACCATGGGTTACAAAGAGAACTTGAGCATATCTCAAGTTGAAACATACTTGGCCATGGAATCGCACGAGGAAAGAATCCAGGAGATTATTGAACGTAATAAAGAAATTGAAGCAACTGAGGAAAGAAAGCGTCGTGCAAAGGAAATTGCAAGAAAAGAGCAAGAGAGGAAGTTGGGAATCTATGGTGGAGAGTTTGAAACAGCTAACTTGGTTGCAAACAGCCAAAACAGGTTCATGGCTAGTAATGATCCAAATGTTGCTAATGCTTTGAATAGTTATTACAGCCACGCCTCTCCAGCTGCTCAACAGTCATACTCAAAGCAACAGCATCCACAATCTTTCCAAAACTTGGACAATGACGTTGCCTCTACTACTCGTGGTATGAAAGGTATGAAACTTGGAGGTGGTGCTCAGCCAGCTATGTCTAGGAAAATATCAACTCCATCAAGACCATCTCGTGGTCAAACAGCTGAGCCAGAAGAAGATAAACCACAGAACAACGGTATTCTGATAACCATCAAAGAAACGATCAATGCCGAGATCACTAGAGATGGTGTTATTTCATCTTCTGAGTTAAAGGGTGTTATGGAATTGCGCATTAACGATCCAGAACTAGCGCAGGCAAAAATCAAACTGGCTGATTCTATGGACGTCAAGGATCATTCCTACCAATTTAAAACACATCCAAACATTGACAAGAATGTGTTTACTAGCTCTAAAACCATTGGTCTCAGAGACAGCAGCAAGTCCTTCCCATCCAATGATAACAGTTTAGGTGTATTGAGGTGGCGTAAGGTCGGCCTTCCAGATGATAAGGCGTTGATACCGCTAGATGTATCAACTTGGGTATCTCCATCGAGTGACAACGATGGTCTGTTTGAAGTCACTATTGAATACGAATCTAGAAAGGACTTGGAAAACATCCTGTTTAAAGTTCCGGTGTATACAGAAAATGTTAAAATTAATGAGGACAGCGATGACAGTAATGCTGAGATTATTGCTATAGATGATGAAGAAGGTATCACTATTAAGGTAGACAGTTGTCCAAACGGAAGTTCAGGTGTTGTAAGTTTGTTGGTTGAAGCCGAATTTGAAGATGCTCTGTTCCCATTATCTATCGGATTCACTGGAAAGGCTCAAGGATCAGCTAGTATGGTAGGTGTCGATATTTCCGCTGTAGTTGGTAGTGAAACTGCCGAAGAATTGCCATTTGACAAGATAACTGTTATAAAACCAGAACAGTATGTTGTTGTTTAATAAAATTTTGATGGATTGGATTTCGATAAAATATCCGACAACCTTATATGTCAGTTACCAAGTAGGCATAATTTTTCGTCCATTTCAAAAGTCCACGAAGATATATATATTATTGCCAAGAAGAGTGTATATCTACATCTATAAATAAAAAAAACATGTGAAATTAGAGTCTGCTGATTATTGGCGGAAAGATAGAGTATACAATAACAATACAGAAAGAAAAAATCAGATAACAAGAAATTGATAAACCAAATTGGAATATAGTGTGTATTTTTTTAGTATTAAATACACAGTACCTTCGAATATATGGGAACGGTAACATGAACTAGCGTATCAGTATCATATTGGTTGGCAGTACTACACCTGCTAATATTATATGCGTACATAATGATAATATTTAACTTTCCCTTCACTCCCTTCTTTTGCAATTGCTGAATTTTGGATTTTGCCACTTTCTATGGCAAGCGGATGGGGTGACGCAGTTTGAGTGAGCATACTAGCAACTTATAACTTCAGATGGATTCAAGCAACTAATACAGTTCTAGTAAGCTTGGTAATTGGGTGGTAGTTTACTTTAAAGAGAAGTAATAAAGTTGTGTTAGATTGTAACTTGAAGAGACATACCTCGGTGAATTCAATTGAACTAGAAAACCGAAAGCCAACTGCAAGTACCGCTAATAAAGGGAATTTGCACTACAAGTAGAACACCACCAAGCGCAATTTTTTTTTCAGGTTATCTGTTTTAACATTACTGATAAATAATAAAGAAAACAACCTAGTTTGCAGAAATGAATCACGATCCCTTTAGCTGGGGTAGACCCTCTGAGCAGACATATGGTCAATACGATCATTCCATTGCACAAGCCAGTATTCCAAAGATGAACACACAGGATCCAATTGTCACAGGTACATCCGTTATATCGATGAAATACAACAACGGAGTTGTTATTGCTGCTGATAACCTGGCTGCTTACGGCTCGTTGCTGAGATTTAATGGTGTTGAGAGATTGATTCCTGTTGGTGAGAACACTATTGTTGGTGTTTCTGGGGATGTATCAGATATGCAACATATTGAATACTTGCTTGATGAGATGAAGATTGAAAATAATTACGATAACTCTTCTCCAGACGACGAAGAAGCACTACAACCAAGCTACGTATTTGAGTATTTGGCAGCTGTCATGTACCAACGTAGATCAAAGATGGATCCACTGTGGAATGCAGTGATAGTTGCAGGTATAGAAAAAGATGGCTCTCCCTTCTTGAGATATGTTAACTTGTTAGGTGTCACATACTCATCGCCAACGCTAGCAACAGGATTTGGTGCTCATTTAGCTATACCATTATTGAGGCGAGTAATAGATAAAGAAACAGACATAGAAAAGACTGATCTTGCACTAGCTGAACAAACAATAAGAGAATCTATGAAAGTTTTGTTCTACAGAGATGCCCGTTCTTCAAAGAAATACTCTCTAGCGATAATAGATAAAGATAAGGGTTTAATGTTTAAGCAAAATCAAGAGGTTGAGAATATGTCTTGGAAATTTGCGAAAGACATTAAAGGGTATGGTACTCAGAAGATTTAAATTACAACATTATAGTCAAGGGCATCTTATTGATCATGATATGAGTCTATTTTTAGACTTTAAAGGAATATAAATATATATTTACGTATTTGTGAATGAATATTTTTTAAAATAGTGATTGGTTGGGACTAATTGCTGTGAATCAATGTTGGAAACTGGAATTAAGATCATCCAAATTTAACGCAACTATTTGTTGCATAAAAAAGGGACCAAAATGCGGCAATAGTAATTCAATCATGTTACACCTTATCTCGAATAGATTCAGAAATTGCCATAGAGAATATTACTCAAAATAAATTTCATAAGCGTAGAGATTCCATAAAGCACGGGTAGATTAGTTATAGTGCAAACATTGATGGGTGGTATAGGTTATGATGGCTAAAATTTCTCCAATAGTCTTACAATCTTTTTTTAATAAGCACCTCCTCCATTAATAACTTCTAGTTCCGCTTCATCGATTGGTTTGTAATGGAATCTCAATGGTAAGTCGTTAATTGAAGACACCTCATCCGCCTTCAATGCTCTGTCTGTGAATTGGTATTTTGAAGAGCCAGCAGTGGAGCTATTCGCCTTACTGTTCTTGTATGGCACCACTTGAAATGGAGTATAATTCTTCATAAAATCAGCGACCTGGACGGTCTCTGCACCACCAGGGATTAATCCATTAACGGTGCATGGATGTGGTAATATTTTGTCGGTGTTATGTTTCAAAATAGGGTGTTTTGTACCCACAAATTTGATCATTGGCTCATAAGCCTTTGCTAACTTGGCTGCAGTTGGGTTCATCTTATTTACAGTTTCCGTTGTGTTGGTTTGGGATAACTTCTTGAAGATATTAGTCACAGACTGTTTGATTCCTTGTAATGAAGACACTGTGGGCTATTTTTTTTTGGTATTATATATGTGTTTAATTTTACCTTTTTTGTGATAACCTTTGTAATTTTCAATATATAAGAGTGTGGAATTAAGTTATTACAAAACTAGAACTGTTTCAACTATAATTCCAAGCGTAAAAAGCTGGAACTGTATAAAGCAAATGCTACAGTAAGCTTACAGATTCTCGGTGTTTGCCTATGAGAATTAAGAGTAATCATCAATGCAGTGTACGAATCCAATACTTCCCTGGAGGTTACCTCTTTGAGTAGATTGTATTTTTGCACAGATTTTGATCAGGAGTTGCTCCCCTCACCACCAGGATTCTTGATATTTTGTAAAACTGCAGGTATGTGCCAGCCATGGTGCTACATGATTGGAGGAAAATCCGTGTGAGATAGCCCATAGCTAGTTTCGCTTCAGCAATCCACGAAAGTAAAGGAGTTCGTAGAAGGAGGGAAGCAAAGCTCAATTTATCTTCCGTCTATTCGGAGATTCGACTTGACTTCGCACTTTTTGTATGGAAATATCACTATTGTCAAGTATTTACAGACATTACATATAACAAATGGAAGAAATTAGGTTAAAGCCATCTTTACAAGATAGGTTGATTGGAGAATACACGCTGATGAACATATTATAGGAAATAGTAAATAAATATTAATATTTAGTACAGAATTTCGTTTTCATTTGTTATTGTTGTTCATCGCCAAGTCTACAACTCCACTGAACAATATCGTTTATACTATTTATTTATTAAATGTGAGACACAAGAAAATTTCATGTTTTGGTGATGAAAGTTGCGAAAGGACCAATTGTGTGAATGCTTCCATGAAATCATTTCCTGACACATGCAAGCATGATATTAAAGGAAATATTGCAACAATATTTTAAAACTGTGTTCCATCAAGGGTATTCTTGTATGTATGAATTGATAATACAAATATTTCACATAATCATAGTATTTGTGTTGTAAATTGCATTTGAACCAATATACACTTCTTATTTGCACTTCCTAGTATCTTGAGATGACCCCCCCACATGATACTCACCATATTAGTGACACGAAGGGGAAGTGTGCCATTGTTTATCACCTTTAGGGGTGTCTGGCATCTTCACTTGGTTAAGCTATACCCTCTTGAAACCCCACTCTTGCTTTGTTTCAACAGTATGTTTTGACTGTCAAACTTGTTGGAAAGTATATAACAGACTCTTTCATTTTAGGATATCGTAAGTCTGGAAATTCCACGAACCATCGATATTTGTTTGTTATTACAGAAGTTACATAACAAATAAATAAAATACCAAGAAATTCAATACCACTAAAATGAAGTCATCATTCAAAAGTGAGTACCCATTTGAGAAGAGGAAAGCGGAATCTGAGAGGATAAGTGAGAAGTTCCAAAATAGGATTCCTGTTATTTGTGAGAAAGCTGAGAAGTCTGATATACCGGAAGTAGACAAGCGGAAATATTTAGTGCCAGCCGATCTTACAGTTGGCCAGTTTGTATATGTTATCAGGAAGAGAATAATGCTTCCACCGGAAAAGGCCATCTTCATTTTTGTTAATGACACTTTGCCACCAACTGCATCGCTTATGTCACAAGTGTATCAAGAACACAAGGACAAAGATGGTTTTCTATATGTGACATATTCAGGTGAGAACACTTTCGGATATCAGTAAACTATCACATACAATAATAACTAATCTCAAGGAATACTACTCCTCCCCAAAGTGATATGCTGGCATAGATACTTGTTTTTGTTCTGCTGATTATCCCTTTAACTCTTAACTGGGATGAAAACCCTGCTAGATTTGTTGCTTCTATCAACTGGTTTGATTGAATGAATAAAAACACCTCCTGTATTGTCTTTTGGCAGTATTGTGAGTACTGTACGGAAGATTAATAACTTTATGATAGGATGTTGGCGGGTAAAAGACAAATAATCTAACTTTATAGGTGCGATAATCCGGGCTTTCCTTGAGTTTATTGCAAACCAAAGGCGGAAATAATGTGTTGTCCAAATCTAATCATAATAATCTTCAAATTCATTAAAATGATAATATCTAATTCTTGAAAAGGGACTAAGACATCACTAATGTCTTTTCTATTACAAGATAAGAGGATCCTACATATTATAGCTTTTCTTCAGTTGATGAGGTTCCTCTAAATGGAGGGATAATGTGAAAAACCTATAACTTTTACACCTGCACCTAGGCAGCACTTATCATAAGCCGTTTCTAATATTGGTTTCTAGTGATACTATCTGTAGTAAAAAATTCATCAAGAGTCATAAATATTATATAATAGCTTCGATAAATTAAATTTTCTACTTTATCTTTCATTCTAAGACATAGATTATAGTAATATTGCTACTCCACCATCTCCTCTATTCCGATTTTAAATATTTAACTATATGACGATGTTACATGAACACTAATCGAACTTTAGTCACACGGATTTAAAAATTGAAAAGTAACAGTGATGACTTTAATGGTCTAGACACCAACCTATATATCAGTTATACACGGTATTGAAACGAATTTTAGCAACAAATATACACAAAGTCAATTACATTAAGTGGTTGACTATAATATAATTTATAAGCACTATAATTCATGGATGTATAAAAATTCAATCAGAACACGACCATTAAAGAGGTTCATCTCGAACCATGCGAAGGGGAAATTTGCACTCGATCCAGCGTACAAATTGAAATGTGGTTTGGAGATACACACACAACTGAATACTAGATATAAGTTATTTTCATATACTTCAAATGAAGCAGAAAATTTGACTATATCCCCGAATACTTCAACCAGTCATTACGACATTTCTTTGCCAGGTACCCAGCCCAGACTTAATTATGAAGCCGTTCTTTATGCAACAAAGTTAGCATTATCTCTAGACTCTGATATTAACCTAATATCGCAATTTGACCGTAAACATTACTTTTATGGGGATCAACCTCAAGGATACCAAGTTACACAGCATTATAAGCCATTTGCGAAGAATGGTAAGTTGACCCTCTATGGGGCTTATGAGGATATTAATGAGAACGAGAAGACCATAAGAATAGAACAATTACAGATAGAACAAGATACAGGAAAGTCTTTATATGCTTCAGGTGCTGACATGACGACTATGATTGATCTCAATAGATCGAATGTACCCTTGATTGAGCTTGTTACAAAGCCTGATTTTGAAGACCTAAAACAAGTGAGAGCATTCATAAAGAAATATCAAGACCTTGTGAGGAGATTAAATATCTGTACTGGTAATTTAGAGACTGGATCGATGAGAATAGATGTGAATTTATCAGTAAACGATTTTGCGAGAGTAGAGCTAAAGAATCTTCCCAACACATCTTCCATAATGAATGCAATAAAGTTCGAGTATGAACGACAACTACATATAATTAAAAATGGTGAAGGCGAAAGACTGTTACGAGACACAGAAACCAGAGGCTGGACTGGCTCAGAAACGGTGAAATTAAGAAGCAAAGAAACTTCCATAGATTACAGATATATGCCTGATCCTGAAATTCCTTTTATTACTATTGCAGATGATGTAGTTCATAAGGTCAAGTCAACACTACCAGTTTCAGCTGATGCATTGTTAAGAGAGTTTATGAATAAGCCATACAATTTGCCAATAAAACATGCCAAAATTCTTTGCATAAGTGGTAACCAAAATGAGATGTATGACCATGAACAATTGAGAAAGTATTACAAAGATGTTTGTGTGCATTATCAAAAGGAGTACCCAGATGATAATCTCAAAATACCATCCAATTGGATATTAAACGAATTTATTGGTAATTTGAATAAACTAGAAACAAAGTTGAATGAAATCTATGAAATACTAACGCCTAGCACCTTTTTTGAGTTAATTAGACTCATGAAACAAGGTGTAATAACAGGAAACAGTAGCAAATTGCTACTATTTCACATTGTTAATAATGTAAAGACTGGAGTGTTTACTAAATCATCACAAATTAACTTAAAGCAGCTAATAAATGAATATGAGCTCCAGGCTGCAGACCAAATCAATGAACATGAACTTGAAGAAATTTGTAGATCAATTATAGATGACATAAAAGATGAAAAGCTATTGCAAAATCTAATATCAGGAAAAAAGAAAACATCTCTTAAGTTCTTAGTTGGCCAAGGTATGAGACTAAGTCAAGGTAGGTTGAATCCAAATGAGTTGGAGAAGATGTTTCGCCAAGTATTGGATATTAAGTGGTAAATCTTTAAATTTCATCAGGTAGAGCAAATAAAAATGAAATGCATAAATAATAGTTATGTATATATAACATACTAATTAACATGTAAATATTAAACAACTGAACGTCTAGCAATAAAAGATAAAATAAGAATACAAATGCAGAACAACTAACCGATTTTGCTGCTAGCCTCAAATAAAGTTAAACCAAAAAGGCTAATTACATTGCCACCATATTTTAAAAACCAGGAATAAACGAGATAAAATTAAAAAAAAGACCATGAAACTGTGATACAGCCAATCCCAACAAATAAAATCGCTCCAATGATAAACAAAAAATAAAAAGATTAATACCAAAATTCTAGAACAGTGTTAGCTCCAAACACTCATATCATTATTCCAAATACCTAAGTGATTTGACGATGTGGATGAGGAAGGAATATTATTATTATCCCAATTTAATGATGATGCTCCTGACATCAATAAAGACCCATTATCAGTTAGTGGTCCCTTGAAAGATTCGATACCAAAAAGAGAAGACTGTTGTCCTTCATTAGATGCTGGGATACTTTTGTCTTCCAGGTCAAAGGCTAGTGAAGATGATAATGGTAGTTGATTCGATGTGAACGGAAAAGGCGGTAAGCTAGTGTTGCCATGTTCGATATTCAAGTTTTTCATTCCTTTTGTAATGTCCATGTCCAAATCTGTTTTTCCAAATGGGTAAGGACTTTTATTGGAATTAGAAAGCAAGTCATCAAGAAAGTTTGGCATCAACGCCTCATTTCTAGAGTAATTAGTGTTTAGCGATCCATTGCTTCTAGAAAGTGTCTCAAAACCATTATCCAATGTTGGACTAGAGGTAGGGTTACTAAACATTGCACTACCACCAGTCACTCTCGCATCACTAGAAGAAAAAAGAGAATCTATTGGGGCCTTGTCAGAAAATTCAGCATTACCCTGGAAACTACCGCTCTGGAAAAACGTATCTTGATTATTTGGCAAAAAGGCTCTACCAGAAGCAACGTTTGCTTCATTTCCTCCTTTATTGGCTACATTATAATACAATTGAGAGTATGCTTGCTTCAACTGAGTAGTTGCCATCAATAAGTTCGATTGCTGACCTGGATCGTTGACCTTGTATTGGTTGTATTTCATACTATTTCCATTCAACCTTATTTTGTTACCCATCTCATTATTTGTGCTACTGCTGACTGGGGCATTGAAATTTCTGTTATTAAAGTAACTCAAGCTATCAACCATTGAATTTCCTGGACCATTCTTGGCATAGTGAAATCTGTGGAAGTTATTATAGCCATTATGACGGGATCTGGAATTATTGGCCGCATTGCTAGCATTGCTATTTTCATTGGTTTTTCTATTTTCATTGTATTTTACCAGGTATCTATCCATGTCCTCATTTTGGGCCAAGAAAGGGATACTGATAATCTTTCCAGGCATAATCAACAACACAAGTAATAGACTCTCACACCTGAAACAGCCTTACTTCTTGGTTCTTTCTATCTTATAACCTGACCTTTGCACAGTAAGATCAACTCTTGGGGTATTCTTATTAAACAGTCCTCCTTCAACAATTTGATCCCAACGAGGAACAGAAGGTACTATACGTCTGGGTCTCAAAATTAGAATCGTCTTCCAACACTGATATATTTGAACGTCAATTGCCCTTACTAGTGAAACAGGCCCACAGACAATATCATCATTCGATGTCCATCGATTCTTCATTCGATGTCCATCGATTCTTCATTCTCATCGGTCTTGTCAGTGTGTTATTTTTTTTTTTTTTCAAAAATTTGTTCAGTGTCTTCTTGCTACGTAGCTTTCTTAGTCGAAATCGGTATGCGAGAAACGAAAATTTTTTGGGAAAACAGAGATATCTTCTGCTACACAAATCGATAATCCATCTGAATAAAACCGAAAAAGCTGAGTCATGTGAAGTTTGCGTGTTTTATGATATTATATTAGCTGTTATGCCGATAAGTTATATTATAACGCAGTTTTAGTTATACGAATACCATTCTTCCAATCTTAACTTGTCAGTCCAAGTGCATACTAATATGCATATCGTCCTGAATTTGACTAATACAGTGTCTCTTCTAGCTTATTGATAGTCTTTTCATTGTTGCTTTCTCTTGATGTTTACTATAACTGGTCTCATACAATTGATTGCCAGAAGACACAGCAGAGATGCATTTAGTGTGAATAGGAGGATGCTTGCTTTTTCGTTTGGAGGATACGAGTTCCAACAGTACTCATGACAGATGTACCATATGAACCCTAAAGGCATAGGCAACTTTGACCAGTAGATCAAGCACGGTAGAGTCCAATGATACCAGGACAAAAACTGGTAATGTAGGGATCTCGAAAACAACACCCCAATGAAATTAGAAGTCATTAGTAAAAAAGGTACAATGAACCGCAGATCTGCAATCACAACTTGCGTGAAAGGCGCTTTCAGAGATTTCCAAGCATCTAAAGGTAAGCGTGGATAAAGACAGAGCGTCATCGCAACAACTGCTACAAATTGGGAGCCCAATAATGTGGTATGGAAAACTCGATCTTGAAAGGCATCTTCATCTAGAAATTGCCAATTAACACTCCATTTAAACATAAATTGTCTGCTAAAATCGAAAGCACCTGCCAAGTATTCAACTGGATATGAACGTAAGAACCTCAAAGAAACGATAACTTGCCAGAATAGGATCACCGATGCCGAAATCAAACAGTTTATTAGTTTGCCTTCATTTATCAGATACGTTGAAACCAAATACCCAGGTAAATATAATAACGCATTCATTTTAACTGAGATAGCCATACTGTAAACCAAAGATCCAAAAGTTGATATAACCATCGACATTTTAGTACTATTGTTGCTTCTAAGAGTGTAGAGCAGAACAAACAATACCATAAAGAAAGTAGTAAAACAATCATTGAACAGCCTTAAAACGTAAATAGAATGTAACCTTTTCGATAAAGAGGCAAGTACGACACACCATGGAGGTAAACGTAATTGATAGTAACAAGTATACTGCATTAATAGGGTGATCAAGTACAGATACCTAAAAATCTTTTGTCCTACCTCTATATGATTCATTCCTTCAGTAAAGTAATTTAACACTCGGAAAATCAAAACATGGCCTGCAGGATAAACCAGAGGTCCTGTCCCACCAGTAATTTCTAGGTAGTTATAATTACCTTCCTCATAGATCATTTCCACTTGTTCCATGTATGCCTTATAATCAATTTCAGTGTATGGTATAGCAGCAATAACATACTTCAACAATACTGATTCTAGTAAAAACATTAGTGGCATGACTATTTTATTACCTAGTGGATTATACACAACATGGTTAATACCGTCTTTCAAGTCCTGTAGTAAGTCAATTGGTGGCCTCTTGAACTCTTCCTTTTTAGGAGGGTTATCTTCCGATCTCACTGTCTGCATCGAATGTCCAGTAATGCTTGTATTATATTTTGTTATATTTTTAGAACAATTATTTAAAAACTCATGAATGGAATTCACAATACTTACAATTGTCGTTCATTGCTTATTTTAAGGTTTTAAGTTATACTAGATTCGACCGCATTACACAAAAAAGTAACCGGGTAAATGCATCACAGAGATATATTTGTACTAACATGTAGTTTAAGTCCTGACATCCACATAATTTGGTTTCGAAAATAATTGTAATGTAAAGCTACTTTCAGTTTTAACTAAGAAACTAATTATATTATTAACATGTTCTTGCCACCCGAGTGGCTCGCCCTCTACCGAATAAAGTCCTAATGTCTTGCAGAGTCTAATTATATAAAAATTTATCTTAATTTTCTAGAAAAATATGCAAATTGTTCTATCCATTATATCGATCCCTTAAAGGATATGAGATTATACTTTTTAAGCCTTTGTCGTTAATTCTCGTTCAATCTCATCCAGTTTAGCATTTATATCAGTTACATTTAAACCAATTAATCTCTTATACTTGTTGATCTTAGTAGAAGATGTGGATTTACATCTTTGCTCACGTATCTTGTGCATTATCAATCTTCTTTTGAACTGCAATACAGATAGTTCAACTGCATAATCCAAAGATTCTTGAATGCTTACTCCATTATTTCTTTCTGTTTCAACTTTTGATTCTTCTCGCTGAATTAACATGGCTAGTCTCAAAGCTTGTGAATTTTCCATTCCTTGAGTAAACATTTCGTTCGTTTGATTAACTACCTCCCTTAGTTGTTCAGTACTATGATGTAGTTCAGACTCAGATTGCAAACCTTCGGTCTCTTTCATGCTATGCAATAATGCTTGCCTCTGATGTGAAATGGATTCTAAATGAGAAGCTATCTCAGAAAGAGCGCTCTCAGAAACTTCCACATCAGTTTGTAAACTTTGAAACTGAGATTTCAAACCTTCAAATAGTGTTGACGACGCAGAACCAAACTTTTCTATGTTCTCTAGGATATGCCCGTCTTTCTCAGAAGCACCGTCTTCATTCATTAACGTTCCTGATGGTGAAGCCATTATGTCCATCAGTGGAACAGGGTTTTTCAAATTAGAAGAGATGTAAGAGCCACCCACTGGATGCATTTGATGCTTCTTAGGTGAAATAGGAGAACCACCTAGAACCTTCGATGGTGTCATTTTGGTATCTTTTATTACTGAGGACGTCACCAAAGATTCCATATGAGATAGATCATCCATAATAGTATGAAGTCCAGTGGTATCTTGAGTATCTAATAAGTTCGAGTCATGTATGTGATTGATTTTTGGGGTAGAAAACTCTTCATTTTTGTCGTTAACGTTTCTGATAATTGAGTTGGGTGTACCAGCATCCATGGTTGTAAACTTTGTGTCTTCTGACTGAGAATTCTGTTGCTTTCTAGTATTAACCTTTTTTGTTTTGGAGGAGTTTTTCATCATATTTGATTTTGGAACACTCACAGGATTTCCAAGCGAGTTGTTGACGCCATATACTTGCTCTTGCATGCTCTCCCCTCTGTAATAGCGATTTTTATCATTGGAAGAACTACTTGTTGGTGCTGTTGGTAAGGACATTGAAGGATTAGTGGGAGGAACTAAATTAAATCTTGTCAATATTAATGCAGGTGTTTCATTGTTGAAGTTACTGACAGTCATAGAAGCCCCCAGTTGACAGAGTTTATTACACAATTGCAAATTTAAATTTAAAGCCGCCAAATGGAGTGGTGTATTACCTACGTTATCCTGATAATTCAAGCACATCCTTAATAAGCTCTCATCACCCTGTCCCAGATTCTTTACAATGTCATCTAAATAGGTCATTATAACATTTGGATCCTTTGTCTTATTAACACTGAGTTCGACAAGGTAGTGCAAGGGCAGTCTACCATTTTTATCTGGTGTTATTAAACATATTTTGAGTAATGATATAAGCTCAGGGAAAGCACCATTTTTATGACAATTGTTATAAAATACAGCCTTTGTAATACAATTAAAACCTTGTGAATTACAGTGCAATGCATTTGCATTTAAACCTATCAGAAGCTTGACGAGAGGTATATTTGCCATTGCAGCTGTCCAGTGAAGAGGCGTATGTCCTTGGTCATCGATCTGAAAATTGATATTGAGATTTGCAGGTGGGTGATAAAGTTCTGCTGGTAATGCATAATCTGGTCTTGTGGTATCTTCTTCAGATGATAAAACTTTTAATAATGTTTCTTTGTAGCTTTCAATTTTTATAGCCTCATCCCCATCATTCTGTATAGTCATATTGTATTGCAAGGCATTACCATCATTAAAGTTATAAGGGTCAGCCACAGCACCATTGGGGTAACTGAAAGCATCTGTATGTAAATTATAATTCTTGGCTTGATCTTGCTCATATTGGTCTTTATTTTTGTACATTCCGTATGCATCTTGTTCTTTCACCTTCCTTTTTCTATACTGTCTTTTTACAGGCTCAGACTGATAGTTTCCATTTCCATACTGCTGATCCCTACCTTCCTCTGGAATATTTTCCATATATTCAACCTCATTAGACTCTTTAAACTTGGATTTCTTTATTCTTTTCTTTACATTTTTCTGCGATTTTGACATATCATCAACCGTTATAGCAGGAATATCAGACTTATTATTAACATGTGAATTATCTTGACCTTCTGGTACAAATGGAACAAAAGAGGTAAACCCTCTCCTGGATTTCTCTTGCTGTTGGCCAACGTTTGTAGGAACTGGATAAAATTGAAGAGGCTTCTGTGTGGCTAGATAGCCCTGTGACAGAGGTGTCTCATTCGTCTTGCTGTGTGACATGGCCGAGTAAGCTGCATTTATTGTAGCATCTGTATCCCCATGCTGGTTCATGTTTAGCTCGCTAGTTGGTATCGAGGCTAGATGCGACTGCTGGGGTGTACGGAATACCATATTTTGTAATGGACTAGGATTGGGCTGCGTTGAGTTCTTTTTACGTTTTGTGTAAGAAGTTGACAGTTTACTCGCGGAGTTCGCGTTGGGTTTCTTTGGCGTCTTCTTATAGCTTGATGGGGATGTTATCTTAGTGCCCGGAGAAGTCTTTCTCAGCACACTGTTCTTATGTCTCTTAGGTGGAGGGTTGTTCGGATTCAATATGAACGATAATATCGTATTCACCACCGGATTATCAATGTTATATTTCGTTGTCATGAACTTTGCCGCTTCCAATGGCACCCAAGTACCTTGAAAACGACCGTAACCACCCTGCACCTTTTCGTGTTTCATATTGGTGGACTCCTTCTCCAGTATCTTGGTTCTCTGAGTCTTTGAGAACTGTGCAATTTTGAACACCTGCGTGACGTTGACCCAGTCATCCATTGTCCTACGCATGACGATATTAGACTCCTGTCCTCTGATATAACATTCGTAGACATCCGTGTCTGCATATGTAGCTATCTCAATTATGGGAGCCATGCCAGATGACGTATCCACTGCAGCAGCCAGAGAGGACGGCACGTTAGACATGGGATGCGTCCCGATCATAAGGTAGTTCGGGTCAGCGGTATCTCTATTCATTACTTTTTCCTTCTGATTAACCACCTCTTATATGACAGCTGTTTTACCCACACGCTAGTCGAAGATCTATTATACCGTTATCAACAATTAGCGTACTTTCAACCCAAAACAAATATAGTAAATCAAGCCAATTGCACACTCAACCTTTTTAAAGAGATGCTTCTATCCCGCTGTTTAGCCTGGCAATTCCGTCAGTTTATCCACAAGTGTGTAGCGCCTTAAAAGAAGATACTTGCCAGCTCCCTAGTTTCAACTTGTGTAGGATCAAATAAGCTACTGTAACCGTTTAGTGAAGTCACTGCTTTGTAACAGTTCCTCGCTTGGATGTCCTACCTTCCCCCACCAAGTCCCACCAAGTCCCACCAAGGGGACACTAAGAAAGCAGCATCTTTAGCGGAAAATCCCAGCCTGGGCTGCGACACGAAAAAAAATTATTTTTTTCTGCTCGCTGCCAATCGCCAAAGAGTGGGGGGACGGGGAGACGGGAAAGCCCTAGACAGGCCTGTGGGGCGGGTCTTTCGGTATGGCCCAATTAGATTTCCTGGTTAGGCAATACTGATTTGTGTCACATGTCTGAGTACCGTATTGTGCTATGTGTATACACTAACTACCTTGATACATATGCGAGTCTGTATATAAATTAGGGATATTGTACATGTGTATGCTTCGATGGCCACTTAGATGTGTCTGTGGTGTACCTGTGAGACCACTGTGGGTGTGTCCTCTTCATCTGAGGTGGCATTCATCTCGATCTCTGAGTCTGAGCCGAGCATCGGGTCTGGGACTGGGCCTGTGCCTGGGTCGGAGTCGCAGTCGTAGTCGTTGTGGCCAGCAGTGGCAGGTATGAGTTCTGGGAACCGGGTTTGCATGCTGTTGTATGTGTTGGGCAACTGGCTGTGGTGTGCTTTCAGCAACTTAGTCCAGCACTCGCGGTTGATCAGTGTGTCGAAGTATTCCTCAGGTATATTGTTGATCTGTACCGAGACCACTTCGTCTAGTCTCTTGTACTGTTCAAACCTGTTGCTGTCGCACAGCAATTGTAATAAGTTGTGCCATTGCATGCTGGAACCGTAGCTTGCGAAGAACATAGCGTTAATGAAGCTCATCTGTAATTCACCCATGTACGCAGACATGGAGTCTCGGAACTGTTGCGGTAATACAACATCGAATAAATAATGGCTTTTATCGTAGAAATCCTCCATCTTATGTGTGTCTCGTATGGCCTCACGGGATTTGAAATTGATATATGCATACCTAAGAGCCTTGTTGTCATGACCAGAGTGGCCAACTGTTTGTTGCAAACGATCTTGCAGTATCTTGGCCTCTTCAATGGTGGTCATCGAAGAGTCCATATACGCTATCTTATCATCTGTGGTCAACGAGAAGAGCTTGCTCACATTATACCACCTTATTTCACTTGTTAATGAATACCAAGTGTCGTTCTCGTCAAGTCGAGGGTATTGCACCAACATAGACTGGGACTCATACCTCCTCAGTTTCTCTTCATAACCAGCGCCGTTGCTATCAATATGAATCTCATACAGTTCTGCGTCTGAGTTGTACACACAATAGTACTTCAAACCCGGTGTAATCCAGTACCCGTAACGCAAACTCCCCTCGCTGATGAAATGAATTAGATCAACTTCCCGAGACCCACTCACAATGCCCTTGATCCCACCAAAGGGTTGGCCCTTCTGCAGATGGAACGAGAAATGATTTATACCAACGTCAACGTCACGCTCAATTGAACTGAACAAAACATTGTACATGCCTCATCCATGTATAAACACTTGTAAAAATGACCAATACTTTCAACCTTATAAAACCCAGAATAGCTACACTATCACAGGCGATGAGCCCTAATTTATGGATACCAACAAGCTCATCGCTCACATTGCGGCAGCTTTGAGAAAGTTAGGAATTTAGTACAACATGATACACAGACAGACATCTGCACTTGAAAAATTTGCTGAGAAGTCTGAAGGAAAAAAAAAAGTATATAAAGGCTCGATGCCCCTCGAGTACAGGATAGTATCGATCTTTGTCTACTGTAGTTGCTATTTTATGGTTATGGACAAACTAACTAGCCAAGCAAATACATTGTGTGTAGTTTGGTTACGCTCTGGGCTTATTGACTTTTGAGGCTGTGCCATTGTGAGGACACATGGCCAGGTTAAAAGGTTCTCTCTACACCTATGCTTGGTGTTGGGATAATTAGATGGGATACGTAGTTTATTTTTTATGATGAGAAGAAATATTTACACAGACCTGTACTGATTCCTGTTTTGAACCAGGACTATGCAGATAACCGTATTATTGCCTTTTTTTTCTGATATTTTTAAACTATTTATTCTAGAAGTCTTAGTCTTGTGTCGTAATACCTCCTGTAAATTACTGTATCTTTGTTAAATCATTTTTACCAAGCCCTAGTAATGTAATGTAATATGGCAATGGTGACTGCTCTAAGGAAAATGCAGCACTCGTATAAGCAGTTGTCATCTTCTGTGTTTTTAAAGAAACCGTATTCTTATAAGTTGTTATACATAGGTATATGCGGATTATCTATTTTTTAATAGTAATTTTTTATTTGGTTATTAATATATAGGTGGAGAAAATGAAAAGATATAACGTGCGTAATAAAACAGTCTAAGAAACAAAAAAAAACGATTTAGCCATGCAGTGAAGCGTGTTAAGTCGCTTATTTCTTAGCAGTCAATCTTCTCAAGTAGAAGGCCAATTCTTCACCTTCCAAGATGTAACCATCACATCTACCGGATTGACCTGGTCTGGAAGAGATACAAGCGTACAATCTACCAGCGCTGAATTGAGAGTCGACAGCTGATTCAACCTTAGCGGAAGCAGCTCTGGCGGCCCACTTTCTTTCAGCACTCTTGGATGGCTTAGCGACTTCTTCTTCAGTCTTGGCGTTCTTCTTCTTACCTAGGGTTTGACCGTAGTGAGCTTCGTACCATTGTCTGAATGGAGTAGCATCGATTTGAACAATAGCAGCCTTGGTCAAAGTGTTGGTTCTAACCAATTCGTTGTTGGATGGGTGGTAGACGACACCAACAATTCTGGTCTTCTTAGCAACACCTTCGGAAGCCCAGGAGAAGTTACCAGTTTCAATTCTCAAAGCTCTGAACTTCTGGTTACCACCTCTGGTTCTGACGGCATGGATTCTCTTACCACCAATCTTAGTGTTGGCTGGTTGACGACCCAATTCGAACTTTCTCTTCTTTCTGAATTGAGCACGCTTAGCACCGGTAGCGGCTCTCTTATGACGAGAATCACGAGAAATACCCATTTTGATGACTGTAAATAACATAGTTATTATTCTTCTGTCGATACGCACCAAGAATACAACATCAAACTCCAAACTGGTAACCCCTTCAACAATATAACTCATATAACAAGAGCATTCTAGACTCCATCGCAGAAAGTGGAAATGGTTTTAATACTTCTTTTGATCTTAAAATTGAAAGGCACTCATAATACATACGTATCATATATCTGTTCAAACTTCGACCAATGCCATCTATCAGTAACCACCTCCCATTCATTTGTAGTCCAGTAAATTCATAGCTAAACAAGTTTGTCAAAAGGGTGTATGCTTGGGTATCAATGTTGAATTTGATGAATAAAAACAATAATCGAAAAATAATAAAAATAAACTGTTAGTATAACTGCAATTTATTCCCAGTTACTCGAGAGAATGGGTCCTATCCCTATAACAAAAACCGTCTCTTCATGTTGGATATCATGGCAAGCTGACCTTTCACTACATCGCATCATGACATATCTCCTAATATTTTACCTCAGCCATGCCTTTAACATCTTCAATATTGGTTGGCAATACTCTGTGGCGATGCAATCTGAAATTTCAAGTGGTACTAGCCATTTTCGTTTGTGGTCTGGCGTTTCTATTATTCATGTATAGGATCCATAGTCGCTCTCCATATTATAGTTCATATAGCATATTATTAAACATACATTATTATCCTGGTGTTTTCTTGATGGTTTCGGTCTATTATGTGTAACAAAAAATGTATAACACCAACCAGATATAACTGATATATAGTTTGTACTACTTAATTCAATGTATACAATATTAGTTGCTGGATGTGAACTGAAGTTTCACTAAGTTTTGCAAAAAAAAAAGAGTGCGAGAGGCAGAGAAAGAGATTGAGACTGTGTGGTGGCAGTGGCAGAAGCCCGGGCCAGAGACTCTGGGCTAAGGCTCCTTGGGCTGAGAACCTCCGTCCGTAAAGGTGAAGCCCGTACCGTTCCTCGCTCCCAGACTGGTGGTGAACTTACTCCCAGTCGTGCAGTATAGTAGGGAGACTGCAAGGTGAGGCTGGTGGCCGGGAGGGCAAGGTAGAGGGAGGTTAGAGAGATGGTACAACGCCGACCCATCTGTCTGCAGTAACTGGCTGACGGTAGGATGGGGTCCTGGAAGGAAGTTTCAATTCCGGTCGGCAAGCCACTCTCCCCCCCCTAGCAAGAATTTCTTGGTAATGCAAGTTCCGGAAAGGGAACGCTACGGAGGGAGATTCTAGAGGGAAGACAAGCTCCATTAGTGGCCCCCCACCACCCGACATGGAACAGAGAAGACGGTCCCCACAAAACCTGAACAACGTCCAAAGGGAACACCGGATCTTTTTTCAAAATGTGATCATGCCGAAACGGGAAAAAGAAATTTTCAAAACATTTTTACAAATATAATCCTAAATGGTGTACGGATGTTGAAGAAGATGGCCAAACGCAAAAAAACAGTCACAAATACATATCCAAATTCCGTTCAATGGCACATTATAACTTTGAGACACCCTCTCCACCACTATCACACATTGGTAACGACCTTTTTGCTAATTGTAGTAACGTACTGTGCAAGCAAGTGAGAGCTCTATTAGGATGAACAAGTCAGGATAACCGGAACTAAGACCAGACACCCATCGCAAAAATAGTCGAGCTATACAATGATATTCCTGTACTGGGGGGAAAGGATTCCCTCAGAATAGAGTGCAGGGATCTCGGGATCCTATACTAATTCTTGCGATGAGCTTGACCAAAAAAAATAGAAAAATAATCTTTGAATACTGAAATTAATCAGCCTAAAAACTGTCAAAATACGATGATTATTAATAAGGTTTCTCAAAGTTTTGTATATAAGATCTAGTTACTAACTACAAGGTATTTTTAATTCTGAAATCAAACATAGAAGTAAAGACTTCAACAATAATAATGTCCACTTATGACCAGATAGAGATTGAAGATATGACTTTCCATCCGGATAGTCAGATGTTTACATATCCATGTCCATGTGGTGATAGGTTCCAAATATTGCTGGATGATATGTTTGATGGTGAGGCTATTGCTGTGTGTCCTAGCTGCTCTCTTATGATAGATGTCATATTCGAGAAGGAAGACCTCGATGAGTACTACGAAGAAGCAGGTATAGCTCCCCCACAACCTATTGCTGCTGCTGCTTAAACCGCTCTCTCCATGAAATTAATGGATGTATCGATTTTACGCTCCTTCAAACATGAAATATATGCTTTGTGAATCATACGATAATTGTGATTTATTAAACTCTTGTCCTATTGTGGAGAAAAGAGCTGAAAATAATATAACGATAATGGAAATAAGCTTACGAAATGAGAAGTATCCGAGAATTCTGATCAGTAACTAAGGCTTTATACCAAGGGCAGAAAACAAAACAATAATCTATGTACTAAACTCAACCTAAATGGAAGCAACTAGGTAAATCATTCAAACAAGCTCACACGAACAGGTCAAGTATTAGGCTCGCCCACTAATACCAATCAACTGGCAGCTCCTTTTTTGCTGTTCTTGGATGAGATTTGATAGTACCAAAAAACTGGCTCAAAAACAACGCTGGCGTCTCCAGACAACCTTCCCCGTAATTAATATTTATAGTAAAATAATAAGAATAATAGCAACGATTAAATGTTATCATCTCTCGATAAAGTTTGCAATATCTATACTAAGAACGAATTATGATGTATCTCAAATTGCCATGAAATGGCAACATTTATTGAAGGCTCCTACTAAAGCTAGTGCTTGGCCCCCCTTTACATATTATACATAAAAAAAAAGATCATTAACTTTGAGGAATGTCATTATTCAATAAATAAATTAATTTAATATAGTAACTAACCTTTCATAAAACCGAATAGTTTTGATTTACGTCTTGAAGATTTGTTCTTTTTTTCCTTATCATTCTCTTTATCGATAATGACATCAGTTTTATTTTTCTTTGTATCTTCATTTGTAACCGATCTTCCTGTTTCAATAACTTCCCCTGAGCTTGGTGTATCTTCTTCTTCTTCTTCCTTTATTATGGTTGGTGGTCTTGTTCTTAGCCAGTCATCATATTCAATTAACTTATTGATATTTGTATCGTGATCAACACTTATTCCTTCTTTTTGCGACTCCTGATAAAATAGTACATAAGCGGTAGTCATAGTATCCTTATCTCCCGTATATTGCAATACTGCTTGTTCACTAATGGCTTCTACAGTTTCGTCATCAAATAGCAGCCAACCAAACTTTTCATTTTTACACAGAGAGATATAATGACCATGTTGAGGGCCACCTCCCATATGCACAACAATTCCTGATAATTCATAGTTTTTAGAGATTGATGGATTGAAGGTAGATGACACTTTTAAATCCAAGGGATAACTCACTTTGTCAAACAGTTTAATATTAGAGTTTTGCTGTTCGGAATACTTAAACCGCTTTAAATGCAGTGCCAAGGTCTTAGGCAGTTGTTTCAAACCCACAACTCGTTCAGCTTCTTGTAAACCGCAGCATTCATCACAATAAAATTTATTAGGACCATGAAGCATTTCCTTCTGGTGGAAGCTTTCAAGGATTTCCTGAATATCAATGTCAACATTTTCTTGAACTTCTATAGGGAAATCTAAGAATGGCTCATCTCTAGCTGTGGTATTATCACATGTCAAACATTTTATTCTATTAGTCAACGTTCCCTGAAATATATCAGAAACAAAATTCTTGACTGTACCACTATTTCTTCTCCCTTGAGAACTATCGTATATTTTTGAATTCAGAGCATTTTTATTTTGTTTATCTAGAAAGTCGCTGATTTCGTTGAGTAAAAATATTAGAAATTCGTGGGCATCTTGATGCATCATTGAGCTGAATAAAACATTTTCCCTCTTTAGCATTTCTATGAATGCCGATGGCGTCACCACACCAGTAAGATATGAATGCTCCGTAATGCATTCAAAAATGTCCTTCAAACCATTATAAAGGTTTGATTCCGCGGAACTGTCAATTTGATGATCAACATTCACAATTGGACCGTTAATAAGTGCTGACTTTTTCCTTTGTTCATTTGTTAGATGTTCTGACTTTAAATGAATATTGTTTTGCAATATTTGATCACTGTTTTCTGCTGAGTATAACTTAGGATAATTCCGGCCGACAATCACCCTCTTACTATGATGCTTATCGATATTTGGTTGTCCTTCAACTGTCAAATCAGGATGATCTGTTGAATGTTTTCTAGGAACCCAGCTTTCACGCCTATGGCTATCTCCATTATCATTAATTTCAGTGTTAGGAATGTCGTTACTAATACTTGCATTAGTTGTACCTACGTTAATTTCAGAATTAGATCTCATTTTTACTGCATCATGATTCAAACTATTGGTGGAACTTTTTGTCGACAAATTAATTGGTAGCGGTCTTTCTGTTTGTTGGGAAGCTTTGTCTTCTAAGAGGTTACTTTGTGAAGATGTCACAGCTGAGAAAGTAGACTTTATAAATGAAGAACTCTTTTTCGGTACTTCCTGGGTTGGTCGTGGTTCAAAATGTTCAGGTAAAAACATTCTGGGCTTTAATCCAGGCATTTCTAATTTCCTGGATTTGCCGCTTTTTGGTTGTCCCAATGGGTATCGTAACATATCATTTCGGAATTCGGGTAGATTATATAAACATTGCAAAACTGAATTGCAGTAGCAAGTATTGCCAAAGTTCTCATATCCGAATATCTTATTTGAACCATCTCCATAGGGCGTTAATTCTGTCCGTTCTGTATTTAAAATTGGATTGTGTAGATGTTCGCTAGGAAGACTCTCATTCGAGGAATTAGTGGTATTGAAGCCCCCATTCAATTTTTGCAACTGTGTGCCAACATCTTGCGGCTCAACGATATTTAATTTCAGATTAGGTCCTTGTGCATTACCGAAGGAATCCTTTCTAGCGTCATTGTTGTTATTTACACGAAGCCTGTCATTATTGGATTCCGGCAAGCTGGGACTGCTTCTCATAGCATTATTTGGGGCTGATCGTGTGATTGTCGGCGTGCTGCCTTTCTTGTTACCTACATTCAAGTGGTTGTTACCTTTCAAAGGCGTAACTGGAGCTGAGGATCCACCAGCGGAGCCCTTCGAGCTTTGTTTCTTCTTGGAAGACGGTAGCCACTTTTTCAACATGCTTTGTCAATGTAGGGGGGTTGTGGTATAATCAATATCAAAATAAGCGGTTTGTGTAGCAGAAAATTTTGTTACGCTAGATAATTCTGTGATAAACCCTGTATCTTTGTGGTGTCCCGGTGCGAGTTTTGTAAAATATAGTAATGTATTCTTGAAATAGTTGAGTAAAAACACCAGAATGTGATAAAAAAAAGGGGAAGTAGTATTTCTCCAGATAATCCCAAAAGACCCCGGACAATAAAAGAGTTGCTAGCAATAGCACTTCTTAATGTTTCTGTAATACCAGATCAATGTATTAAGCTTGAACTTATATCTCCCTTTTACTTGCAGAAGCTCTCCTCCTGGATAAAGAGAAGGGAACCTCAAGACCAAAGAAAATAGAATGAAATCACGGACTGAACAGTAAGTCTATATCGGCTAACTTAGTGGATAGCATGGACAAACACAGGCACAGTAACGCCCATTGTTCCTTTAGAAAGTAAATGATTATAGAATGCCATTATGAGAATAGTAATGGGGGCGGAGGCTTGAGAGAGCTCATTTACGCATGAGATCATCTGAACGAAGGAACAGGGCCAGAAAAAGGTCCTTACAGGGGTCCCACGGAACGTTCAGCATTAACGGTCGTTTCTCTTGCACAGATGAATCCACAGACAAATGCAATATGGAAGAAGGGTCCTGCTGTGCGGGTGTTTGTCAGCCCCACTTCCAACAAGATTCCTTCAATGTTATTCCATACATGGTGGGTCCAGTGAAATGACGTAGGGAGCAATTCTGTGATTTACGTATTTTTGATGTCCTCTGCATTGGTGGGGGGGATGGAGGGAGAGGTTTTTTGTTGCACAGATAGGGCTGCAGGACTCGGGGGGAGGGAGATTGTATAAAGCTTCTTTAGCATTCTGAGTTCTCAGTGAAGCATATAGTCAGCATTGCGTAGATAACAAAAGAATATAAGTTAGTGTTTAGATTATAAGTAAATACATATTTTGTGGTTGGATTAATATAGATATGTTGTACTCGATGTTGCCAATAAATAATGTTTTTCGGTGTTTCTTAAGAGCCTTCTTTTACAATTTTTTTTAGAGGGCAAACTTTAGCCATTCATAGAAACAAAAATGGAGACCATAAAAAATAAAAATATTGTAGAATAAAATTAAAATATAACAACTGGGAGTAAAATGGAGTGCCTCCCATGGGTTCTTGCCTTGGCTAAGATAATAAATAAGTAGTCCTTTTTACTTGTTCATTAGAACTTAGGTTCCATGTTCATGTCCAGCCAACCGAAGAAATCGTCGTTACCGAGATTACCTTCAATCCAGCCAGCGCTTTGCTGTTGAAAGAAATCGGAAAGTTGGTTCAGTTGTAGACGACTGTTGGCTGATGGAATGTCATTCTTGTTGTTCTTGTTTGGACCGCTTGTAGGATTGCTAGCGAAATTGCCCCATTGCGCAATATTCGCAAAATCCTTGAAGCTCTTACCATTCTTCGGTATCTCGGGCAGAGATGCCAAACTGGAACCAGTAGTTCTTGGATTTTGGGTAGGTGGGAAACTGGCTTGTCTCTCCATCATGAAATCATTCGGTGGGTTAACCCCTTGCTGAGTAGAAGAGTTTACGTCACCTTTGTTGCCGAAATCTTGCCTGTCTGATGGTGCGATTGTTGCCATAGCACTGTTTGGTCTATCTGGTATATCCTCAGGTCTGATTATTGAGTCAATCATGCGAGGATAAATAGCACCATCTCCATTCACTGGGGCAATATTCTGCAATGAGAACAAATTGTCCATATCTAGGCTACCATTTTCATCCAGCATAGCCAGTGGTATGCCATTAATAGCAACAGCACCCCCATCATTATTGCTGTTGCTTTCAGCTTGTCTTAGGGCACTTCTGGTTGGTACAAGAGTGGTTACAGTTGTACCATTAGGTGTTGTTTTAGTAACCGTTTTGAAATCCTCTTTAGAAATCTGGTTGTATAACGGTAGTGGATATAATTTGCTAGCGGGAATATGATATGATTGTTTGCTGCCATCTTTTTCATGACTCTTCTTTACGTCCTCTAGAACTTGACGGTTGTATTCAGGGTCCACTTCTCTTCTTCTAGCTTCATGCACACACCAAACAAGATCGTAAAACAACGAACCAGTCATATGTGATCTCATTCTGGATATAATACCAGCTTCCTCTACTAATACTTCTGGATGTGTTATCAGTACAAAGTTCAACTTCTCCAGCATACTTGCAGTTCTGGAGATGTCGTTCTCTACAACAGTTGCCCAAGCTGATAGCTGATTCCTGTAACATCTATGAATGGTAACTATCGACTGTCTCGCAGATTCGAAACATTTATCAGACAGAGCTGGACTTAGCTGCAGCTTGAATAATATCAGAGAGGCGTATGATGCACTTTGTCTTATATAAATTGGTAATTCTATCAATTGTTGGTCCTTTAATAATTGTGTTAACAGTGTAACAATCTTAGTTGCAGCTGTATATGCCGGGTTCACATATACAAGCTGATCTTGTGCAGGTGTTCCAGGAAGAAAAGCAAAACAGTAAATCATCAAACGGATATACAAGTAATAAATATTAACAACATCATCTGTGTCAAATTTATATGTTGTATTAAGCTCTTCCAGCTCCTTATCAAGTACGGACAAAGCATCTGACCTATAGGAAGGTTCCATCAAACCGTCTGGACTTGTAACACTTGTTCCCATAATATTACATAACTTTCCTTGAAAGTCTGCAAGGATCAGCATTTGTTTAAATCTCTTTGGTAAAGTCATCTTGTTATCGGATATTTCATTAGCATGGCCATTTGTTTCCTTTGCTTTTCCCTTGTTTGATTCTTTGCTGGTAATTTCACTTGTCTTATCCACATTGTCCTCATATATTTCTGCCTTTTTGGCTTTCTCAGTTAGATAGTCAGGTTTAGAGTTTGGTGGTAAACCCAAAATACTCGACCAGCAGTTTTCAGAAAAGAAAATACCCAGCCATGTTCTTGTACGCCATTTTTCAGCATCGGGCATAGATGTTTGCGTTCTGGTAAATTCATATATGAATTCACCTCTGTGAAGACCTAGCTGATACGAAAGTGATTTGGCCAACCCAACAAACCTATATGAACAATCATCGAGAACCTTTTGATTTGGTAATGGCCAATTGCACAAGATTAATAATGCCTGTGAAATGTGGGTTGATCTTGGAGTTCTAATCCAACAAGTTTCGATTGCCAACTGCTTTATAAGGGTTGATAGTTTCATGTATAAAGTTGGTTCAGGTTCTGACATAGAGGCAGTTAACATGACAGTCCAAAACAATAATTGAGACTGACCGAATAACTCAGTTGCGGAGTTCGAGGACATTATAGGAAAATATGGGAGGTATTTTGTTAAGAATGTAGAATGTAATTCATCTGCTTTGTTTATCGATAAGCGAATGTCTCCCAAAACAAACTCATCAATGTTGGCTTGTGGTGATGGCAAAGGATCCATTGTTGTGGTCGTCGCAATTATAGGAGACTTTTTAGCCCCTACTTGCCCTGCTTGTTGCAATCCAATATCGTTGTTAATCATTCCATGAGAGGTTGCCCCATTTGGAACCAAGGGCGAAAGAGGTCGGCTAGTAGATGGGCTCCCTGTCGTTGAAGAATTTCTATGAAAAGCCATTTGGAGTAGCCCAGAGTTGATTTGAGCTTTGGAGGAATTGTTAGTTGGTGTAGAATCATTTAAAATTGGAGGTAAAATTGGTTTATTTACAGATGTTGTATATTTCGTTCCAATGATGTCGTTACGGTTCATGTTCATCGCTTGTGTTGGCACAGCGTTCCCGCTTGCAGTTGGTGATTTCGTATCTTGACTTACTAGTGGGTGATCACCAGCCAAATAAGTTTGAACACTTATCTTGGTATTCGGTGATGAGTTACTATTCGTTTCGTGATTTGGCGTTAAGGCATGATTAACTGATGGAGAGTTGGTGTTTATCTCAGACTTTCCTTCCTGGTAATAGCCAGGAGGGTTAGTGTTTAGTACTCTCAATATATCTTGGCCTTCTTTATGGTTTGCTAATGCCTTGGCAATAAGCCCATCATTTCTGATTAAGTAACTTACTTTATATTTTAGCTCGTCAACTTCATGCGCTAGCATTTGCATCATGGATCCTTTCTTCGGCCTAAATTGTGGATTGATTTCACAGTGAAATCCATTCTTAGCACACCTAGTACAAGGGGCAGGAAAATTCTGGCTAGCGTCACATTTAATCTTATGTTGTCTGCAATGTGTGCATGAAGTCACAGGACGGTGTGTAGTTCCTAGATTTGCTCCATTAGAAGACATAGATCCATTCATATGTTGTGATAGCACAGTAGAGGTCGACGTCACGCTATGGTTGTCATCCGGCGAACTGATTTTGCTTGTAGACTCCTTTTTAACTTTCTTCTTTTGGCCAGATTCTTCACTTTTTGAAGCTCTCTTAGTAGCTTTCTTGGTGGTGGACTGCTTACCACCACCATCTGGATGATCATTACTGGCTGCTGTACTCATGTCCCCCAAGCGGTTGTGTAAGTTATAAATAACAATATAGGATTTGGGTATCGGCTTTAATTTTTTTTTTTTATTTCTCAGTTGAAATATCTTTTTAAGCAAATATTGATCTATGGACTAATCTTTCATCAAGCCCCGATTTCCCTGTTATTTTATTAGATTATGAGCCAGTACTTAACTGCTTTATGCTTCTTCTATTTAGCAAACTCTATTGTCTTGTTAGATGTAGGGAAAAATGCAACCGTCTCTTGAAAGGAAGTTCCTGAGATGAGATTGCCCTCTTCAAAGTGATTCCAAAGAAACAGAAATCCCTTGTGCCCCTCGTTGTCATCGATCCCATCCAAATGAAGTTCAAGGAGGACTCTCTCAGTCTCCCTTCCCCTCGTCCCCCGGATTTCCCTTTGGTGATAAATTTTTCACTCAATTTTCCTTTTTTTTTGACAGCGATAGATGCGATTATGTCAATTTAATTAATAGTCATCGGTGTTATAGCCAATAGCTGGACAGTAAGTTTTGGGTAATTCTGAATATTTGAATATATATTATGTATTCTGTATGGTGCATGGCGAAGCTTGCGTGTACTTATACTTTTAAAAAAGAAGTGTAAGATGGGATGGCTCTTATTTCAACTTTGTGTAACGTAGGTAGGACTTGACTGTCTTGAAGTCACCGAACTTCTCAGAGGCTTCTGCGTCAGAGACCTTTGGTGGGATGATCACATCGTCGTTTGGAGACCAGTTGCCTGGTGTAACCACGCCGTGCTTGTCTGCGGTTTGCAAGGCATCGATTACTCTTAGCACTTCAGCAGTGTTTCTGCCGACTTGCGATGGGTAAGTGAAGATGACTCTGATCTTCTTAGCTGGATCAATGACATAGACGGATCTCACGGTGGTCAGGGAACCATCATTGATATTGCCGAACCCTTCTTCATCGCACATGTCATACAAGAAGGCAACGTGTCTCTTGGTGTCGGCGATGATAGGGAAACCGAACTTATCAATGCCATTTATCTCTTCAATGTCCTTAATCCACTTGCGGTGAGATTCAGCATCTTCGACAGATAGTCCAAGCAACTTGACGCCTCTCTTGTCGAATTGTGGTTTCATCTTGGCGAAAGCTCCCATCTCAGTGGTACAGACAGGCGTGAAGTCAGCTGGGTGGGAAAATAGAATACCCCAGGAGTCTCCCAAGTAGTCATACAAGTTGATCTTACCATGAGATGTGTCAGCATCAAAGTTTGGTGCGCTGGAGTTGATTCTCAATCTTGGCTGGTCTGCTTGCTTGTAGTTGGTCTTCTCGGAGTAGAATCTATAGTTGGCACAGGCAAATCTCTGTGCGTTCAATCTGGTAGAGACTGGAACTCTTGCCATGTTTCTGGCATACTGGCGCATGAATGTAGACATGTTTTATCGTTCTTGGAGAAGTTTCAGTAGTTATACGTAGCTAAGTCACTAAGGCTGTATCGTTTAATAAATAAAGATAAGGCCAAGGCTCACAAATATACGTTAACTACCTATCCTACCAAAAGATACAAAATTGAGTAAGTCCAATGGCAATGGACGCTTTACGGTATGCTACTACGATAAGCACATAGATAGTGAAGAGTATAGTTGGTTGCCCCCCCCCCTCATCCTTAGCTATGCAGCTGTGACTTGGCATCCCCTCGATATCACTCATCTCATTTGTCGGACTTAGCTGGTGATGAGATACAGGAGGGCTCATCACGAAGAGAATCATGTGATGATACCTTGGTGTACCTGTGCTTTGCGCTACATGCTATAAACTATAAATATATCTATGGTATCTAATAATTTGTTTTCCACAGACAGCACTATTGGAACTTCTTGCAATCGTCATTATCGGAAATCTCATTGATATACAATTATAAATATATATGTAGCCGTTGAAACAGGATAACGGATGTCTATACTATATGAAAGTTATCCATGCCTGTGATGACGAGGGGGCGGGAATCATGGTGTATTAGGGTAGCAAGGAGGATCACATAATTATGCAATCTTTCTTATTCTTTTTTTTCTTCTTCTCCTTGCTGTTCTGTTCCTGGGAATGTGAGGGAAGTTCCTTGTTTAAATGATCCTCCTCTGATTTAAACTGTGTGTTTTGAATTACGCGTATATCATTTTGTGGAGTGGATCTGTGTAGTCGGCCTGTGTTGTTGGAAGCTTTGCCATTTGCACTTTGCTTACTGATGGCGGGCGATTGTTCTGCACTGTTTGGAGCGGAGAAATAATTTATCTGAGGAGTAGGTAAACTTCCATAATTGTCATTTGATTTGGATAAGTTATGTCGTCCTCCATCTAAATCGTCTCGACTATTAGTGTTGAACTCATTGTTAAATGTTGATTCTTGTGGTTTATACTCGGGTTCATCATCCATCTTTGCAAACAAATTTAGGGTATTTACACTTCTTGACTTCTGATGGCCTTTCTTAAATGTTGAGGTAACGTCATCTTTTGATTTCGAATTCATTTTATTTATCGCACGTTTGTCATTATTGGCTGCAGCTCTTGCATACCATTTCCAGGCAATCTCAGCGTTCTTTTCACATCCTTTACCATGCTCGTAAAAATAGCCCAATGTATATTGAGCTTTTGGGTATTTAAGGTTGGCAGCTCTAAGAGCCCACTCGAATGCCTCATTTTCGTCTTTATCAAATGCAGGCTCAGCACCTACTAAATACCATGCGCACAGACCCAGCATTGCAACTGGATCACCTTTTAATGCAGCTTGTGTATAATAATGCACAGATAAACTAGTATCTTGGGGTAAGAATTCGTCACCTGTTTCGTACCTTTGTCCCAATAACGTACAAGAAGGAACATGGCCTAATGTTGCAGCCTGCACGTAAAGTTCAAGCGCGTATTTATTATCAGGAATAAGAATATCTAAAAAGCCAACCTCGTAGATCTTCGCAAGTTCATATGGTGCGGCACATGTCAGCTCATTTGCTCTAGCTGCTGCTCTCGATAGCCACTTAATACCATTCTGTTTTGTGTTAACATCAGATGGTAGCCCCATCCGACCATAAAATGAGTAAACACCAAGTTTATACATAGCTGAAGGATGGTTTCTGCTAGCAGCAAATTTTAAAAAGTTCAAGGCTTTTCTTGCGTCTCTGGTAGTACCTAGTCCTTCTTCTAGACAATGTGCAGTTCTGTAGGCACTTTCCACATGGCCATGTTTGGCAGCAGCCTGAAATAGAGTATATGCCTCTTTGTTATCTTTCTTACCAAATGCTCCGGATGCTAATGCATCACCTAGTAAATATTGAGCATCTACATACCCTTTTGTACTGAGTTTCTTTAAGTAATGGTGTGCATCCTTTAGGAACTTTTTCTTCAATTCTGCAGCGTCTTCATCCTTTCCAGTAGAGTTCATACATTCGGGATCCATTGTGAGGGCAGTTTGTAACATATACTGAGCGTACTGGAATAAAACGTTAGGGTCTTTTGATTTCTTGACATTTTCTCTGTACATTTCGATAGTTTTCAATCTAGGGACTAATGGGTTGGTGTCTGGGTCATTGTTTCCACTACTCAGGTATTGACTCACTACTTTGTGTGACAGGTCAGCCACGGATTCGTTGGTGAACGTTAGTTGTGTGTCATGACTACCATTCAGCAGGTACATATGTGACAAATCCACAGACTTTGATCGTATTTTTCTTACGTTGTTACCACTCAAGCTAGTTGAACTCATATTCCTTGCTCCGCTTGATATTGTGGAGTTGAATGACTGATCGAAGTTATTGTCTTCAGCTGCGACGTTGTTAGAGCTGCTATATTCTTCATCGTCATCAAACAGTTCTGGTCTCCTCGGTAGAGAAGATGATGTCGATATTATATCGTCTTTTATCTTACTTATGTCGATGCCAAGCGACTGTCCGCTGTTATCAAAGCTGGTTCTCGAACCATACTCCCCAAGTTGTTGACGGTATGGGTGGCTCATTTTTCCTGCTTCCTGCTATTAACGTCCTGGGTAAATGACTTTCTATGAGTACCAAGTCTTTTTGCTGTAACGCTACTGATGTGATGAGCTATACTTTTCTCCCAGTTTCGGTGGGCTTATTACTTTTTCTTTCGAAGTCCTGTTAACACTCTCTCAAAGACACAAAGTTCAATAATATCTTTTTATGGTCTGTTGGTAGATAAGTTATAGAGGCAATAGATATACTGAATATAACTCGAAGTATAATCTTATTAGTATACGGCAAGAGAATAGAGCGATGAGCTTGTGTTGTGTGTCAGCAGAGTGAGATTGTGGGTGAAATCACAGGCTCGCGAGCAAAACCTAAGGGCCCTTACGGGATTACCCCCAGGTGGGCTAATACTGGGAGGACACCAGAGACTATGCTCTTGGTATTGTACTGGCAGGCAATATGGATAATTTTTACATTCTATGCTATATATAAACTTCCAGACGCGTAAAAGCTATTAATATATTTATCTACTTTTTTTTCTTGCACAGAAGGCCACGTAGCACTAACTTCTTATCTTCTCACCCATCCCACAGACAAGGCCGCAGTCCACCAGCACAAATGAAGGTTCTTCCCATCTTGAACTTTCGCGTTTCTTTGTGTAAAGTGATACATCACATGACGTATACATATGGTTTGCAGCGGTGGGTATGAATCTGGTAATAGCGTTTTGATATTGTGCTATCTGTATATTTCTTTTGTTAGTGTTTCAATCTGTTGTTATCGGTTTGTTCTGTTGGCTTGGTATTGATTTTGAATTGTCTGTTGCTAGTGCTTTACGTCCGAAGTTGTATCATAGGTTTTATTTTAGTATTTTTATTATGAATTGGTAATACATATAATTTGTGAAATTCATTGGAATGTTATTATTTACAGGTAGAGCGTTTGATTCCATCAGTTATGGCTACTGTTTTTTTTCACATTTATTTACCTTCTCTTTTCTTTAACTCTCTGTCCAGGATCATCTTCAGGATAGCGTCCTCACCGTATTCTTCTTCCTCGATCTTCCTCCATTTGGATTCGAGCTTGTCTCTTTTCAACTTGTTCTCCTGGATAGCCTTCTTTTTGGTCTCGGCACTGGCCTGCTTCAAACACTGTGTTAGGGCATCCTTCTCATTATTACATAGTCCAAGCATACGCTTGTAGTACTCCTTCTGATGACATTTGTCAAGAGCTTCAATATAGTCTAGGCATGCTGTTTTAGATGAAATGATCAGCTCCCTTGATAAATACCACATGGAACGTATGAGTTACACCATTGGCAGTATCCAAAAGAAAAGCTTATTTATCTGTGTTGTTAGTAAAATCTGCACTGGAACTTCCGAATCTGAAATAAATAGGCAACTCCTGTACATACAATGAAACCTCTGAGCCTCTAGTTGTGGATGCATGTTAGGTCAATACTTGAGTACACTGTGTCTGCGTGTCAAACTTTAGGGTCCCCAGCTATATTGTGCTCTATAGTTTCTCGATGACTGTCCTTCCTTTAAATCCCTGAGATGAGCTCCTCGGTGATGAAAAAAGTGCGAATGTTGACGATTATAAGTGACATAGTGAAGTAGAGTCACGCTATGGCCGATAACTACATCAGCTCATAGCGATATATACACTATTACAGTGACCAAAGAGATAAGTGACAATATCTGTTCCTGAACTTTGTAACAACAATGGTTGAACAGCAGGTACCGCTGCGGTATCAAGACAGAAGGAAAACGGAAATGCTCCGTTTCTTCGGGGCCACAATGGTGACGCTTGTGAGCTGTCGGTTGTTGATGGGTAAAGTAGCCCCCAAGAAAGTTGATAGCTCTTTGTTAAGACGGACTAATTTTATGAGCAATCATAAACCTTTCACTGGGACCACAAGCGAGAAAACAGGGAAAGACATATCGATGGGACTGCTCTACACCACAGGTATGATAACAGGGCTGATCTCCATGGGTATAACTGGTTCCTGTTGGAATAACGATATAACCACGGTTGATGAGTTTAGAGAACGGTTTAGACTCGATAAGGAATACCTTAATGATTAAAAAGGACGAAAAAAAACCCACTGCGGTAGGTAAATCATTCCATAGCATGTATATAATAACTCTCAAGAATACTGTACTATAAATATATATCAATAGCCATCAGCATAACAGTAACCATCTCATTGTAAGGGACTAGTTGATTATAAGTTGCTCATTGCCTATACCCTCACGTGACACTCATCGGCTTTTACTTGCACCGGGGACTCTTCGTGCAATTGGGCTGGGGATAAAGAAGTTGCCTCCCTAACTATAACTTTGTGAGCCGGTAGCATTGATGGATCAGTCGCTATTATTGCTGAGTATAACCAGATCAATTGCTATATCAGTGGCATTGCATCAAAAAAAAAGAATACCAAAGAACTCCCAGTCAAGGCGACACAGGAAATTAGCCTGTAGAAGAAACCATGTCCGATTCTGATAAAGTCATTCAGCAGTTCATGACATTGACCGATAGGTCTATTGATGTCGCCAGAGAGTATCTGGAGCAGTACGACAACGATTTGGGTGGTGCATTGAATGCTTACTATGCTTCGCAGATGGAATCTGAGGAGGAGCAAAGGGAGAACGATGAGAGATGGGGTCCTACACGTGAATCGCCAAGACCAAGCTCAGCGGAAGGGACCAGCAGTAGAGCACTTTCTCAATCTTCCGAGCCAGTTAAATATGATAGTAAGAAGAACAGTAAATTCATGAGTTTCTCCCAAATGGTAAAGAGCAACGGTGGGAGTGGTGACGACGATGACGATGATGATAAGAGAAATACCTTCGCCGGTGGTGAAGTATCTGGACTGGAGGTAACTGATCCTAACGACTCAAACAACATTATCAAGGACCTGTTGGAGAAAGCCAAGAGAGGTGGTGAGAGTCTTTCGCAAGAAGAATCAGAGAACAAGAGAAGCGCACAGCATTTCATAGGTAAAGGATACAGATTGGGGTCTTCCGTAGGCGAAACGAACCAAGTTGTTGAAGATAACACTGAAAGTGGCAGAAGGACACCTGAGCGTGTAACCAGAGATATAACATTCTGGAAGGAAGGTTTTCAAGTTGGCGAAGGTGAATTGTACAGGTATGACGACCCTGCCAACAGTTTTTACTTGAATGAATTGAACCAAGGTAGGGCACCTTTGAAATTATTGAATGTAGAGTTTGGACAAGAGGTCGATGTTAATGTTCATAAGAAACTTGATGAATCATATAAGCCTCCAAAGAGGAAGATAGAGGGATTCCATGGTAGAGGACAGAGATTAGGATCTCCTGTGCCTGGTGATGCTCCAGAACCCGCTGTGGCAACTGCAACACAGGCTGTTCCAAAGACAGAGACTAAAGCAGAAAAAACAGAGGAAGTACCAAAAGGTGACTCTTCTATTCAAATAAGGTATGCTAGTGGGAAAAGGGAAATTTTCCGTTGTAATGCAACCGACAGTGTGAGATCTCTATATGAATATGTTTCAAGCAACACTACCGACAAATCAAGACAATTCACATTAAACCATGCTTTCCCAGTCAAGCCGATTGAGAATTCTGATATCTCTGTCGAGGAGGCTGGCCTGGTGAATGCTGTCGTTGTCCAAAGATGGAAATAATGCATGATAGGCACTTTACCTTTTTTATAGTCCAAAAAAATGGTATAATTGTAAACTCGATTTGCACAAATAGTAAATATTGTTATTTCTTTACTTTTAAAAGATATATTAATTACAGAAGAACAAATCACAAGCTTCTATTTTATAAAATGAGACTAGGTACTTTAGTACAGTTTCAACTCACCAGTGATCTGATCCAAGACTGCTTTAGGAGCAGGGCCAAGACCTAGTACGGTGGCGCTTCCTGCTGCAATTTGAGTTCTACCAGCATCGTGGATGACAGCAGCATTAACACCCAAGGAAATGGCCATTGCGTATAGTTCATCCATTTTCTCCTTGTCAGGGCATTTCAATGTAATCTTGGCTTGACCGTGTCTTAGCCACCTCTTTGTTAGTTCTGGGTTGTATGACATTTTGTTTGGATCAGTAGCTATCAAACGGAAGCATGATAGCGCTGCGTGGGCACATTGAGCGGCAACTTTACCCTTTTGCATACCAAGATCTTGACGGATTACAAGAGCCATTCTTACTTCACCTGGTATATCGTTTAGGGAAAGAGACTCGATTTCCTCGTCACTTAGCTCGCCTTCGTCGTAATCCTCATCGTCAGTCTCTTCCTCGTCTTCGCTTTCAGCATTTGCAGTTGCCTCAGCAGTTTCTTTACATTTCTTCAATATCTCATCCTTAGTTGGTTTTCTGTTCTCTTTCTTCTTGCGACTTAGTAAGTCGCCATTGCTCAAGGTGCCTAAATAGTAACCAGTCGCCAAAGAAGCTACAGCAATGCCGAAAAATGATGGTATTATATTGCTCCCCATGATTCGCACCAATTATTCACTCTGGTGTTGCCCTTAAGAAAAGCACAGGGACTATAGTACGCAGATCAAACATAAAAAGTGTCTGTTAACTGTACTCGTTTGTATTATTTTTGGCAATTATTTTGGCAAAGCTCATCGCATCGCTTCTCTGCCTTGCAAAAAAAGATTGTGAAGAAGAGTCATGGGAGCAACACTAGTACTGTGTTAAAGAGTATACATTTCTACTTTATAAATGGTGTATGTGGGTTCACAGTGGTGTGGGGCTCATATTCCTGATCTCGATCTTGATGTTGTTCTACTTGACATCGATCTTATCTGTAACCATAACTATTACATCATTCTTGGTAACAAAAACAGCAGTAGAGTCAAGATAGGTGTGCAACAAAACCTACCATATATGTTAGTTGTTAGGTGCCCAACATCCTAGTGATATACACAGTTGGTGATAGTACAGGAAGAGGTCCAGCCCATTAACCTTGGGATCGCCTCTATTATAAATCCTGTAGAGCCTCTGTAAGGTGTACTACACACACACGTATGGATAACGAACGCATAGCAGAGTGCTCCAACATAAACTGATGGGCAGAAAGGTTTTACACAAAGAAAAGAGATGCCAATTACATTTCTTCGGGGGAGGAGGGAGTAGGGAGAGTGTGCAATTGCCTGAGGGGTTGGGCAGAGATGGTTCCCATGTGAAGTCCAGATGGGGTGTGGGTCTGCCTTGTGTGCTTATCTTGCACTAGAGAAGCTTTCTGTAAATCACTTCTCTCGAGGCAACCTTCTAGAGTCACAGCAGACGTTGTCCTTATTTATAACCTCTACTAATTTGTTGATTTAATTGCTCTGAAATTTCAAAGGGCATTTCATCAACTACTGAGCATTGCTATTAGATAACTGCGGAATAGATTGAGATTAGGATCTACAGACGCCTATTTGTATATTATCTGGCAACCCTAGCTAGTCCTTTTGATTTTTTGCTTCGAATAGTATTAGGCCTCGCATAGACTCTAGCTGGAAAAGGTGCTAAACCCCGAAACAAGTTGTTGTCACCCCCATAAAGAACTCCCAACTATTCTTCGCCCAATTGGATTAATTATAAAGACTCGGTGTGTTATTTCAAGTCTATTATAAGGTTACGCTATATTATCTGATAGACCAAATTCATTGCAAAGAAACTATTTACAGTAAGTCATGGGGCAAATTCTTTCGAACCCAGTCATTGATAAAGAGACAGAGTCTGGTAGCGACAAATGGACAGCATATGCTGTCTGTGCTATGCAAGGATGGCGTATGTCGATGGAGGATACGCATATCGCCCAATTAAACTTGAACGCCGATGAATCATCTGGCCATGTGGCTCTATACAGTGTGTTTGACGGCCATGGGGGTTCCTACGTGGCTAACTTCTGCGGTGAACGTATGGAGAAGATAGTCAAGTCTCAGAAGAGCTATGAAACTGGTGATCTTGCTCAGGTTTTAACGGATGCCTACTTGGCTGCTGATGAACAGCTGGCAACGCAGTCTTCCATTAGTGATGACCATAGTGGCTGTACCGCCACCTCTGTTCTAATCTCAAAGGAAAAGGGTGTAATTATCTGCGGTAATGCTGGTGACAGTAGAACAGTGTTATCGTCTGGTGGTCTTGCAAAAGCATTATCATTTGATCACAAACCTACTCTTCCGGGTGAAACTGCAAGAATTACAGCAGCTAATGGTTTCGTTCAAATGAGTAGAGTAAACGGTAACTTGGCATTATCGCGTGCCATTGGTGACTTTGAATACAAGTCCAATCCAAAGCTTTTACCTCATGAGCAAATGGTCACATGTGTCCCAGATGTAATTGAACACAAGCTAGACTTTGAGAATGATGAGTTCGTTATTTTGGCTTGTGATGGTATCTGGGATTGTCTGTCCTCTCAAGAGTGTGTCGATATGGTACACTATGGTATTCAAAAAACGGAGTTATCCTTGCTAGAGATTACATCGCGAATCGTCGACATTTGTTGTGCGCCAAGCACAGAAGGCTCTGGTATTGGTTGTGACAATATGAGTATTATTGTTGTAGCTTTATTGAAAGACTCTGAAACATTGGAGCAATGGTTTGAGCGCATGCGGGCAAAGAATTACTCTTATTCGACTACTTTTGAACAAAAGAGAAAGGAGGTTTTCTCATTCTATAATTTCGCAAAGAATCAAGAAACAGGTGATGAAGATGTTTTTGCTATTACGGCTCCTAGATCAGCACCTGGTTCAAAATTGAATGGAAACCAAGAGAGAGGGGTAACAGCTAAGGGACCAGTGGATACGTCAAAAAATGGCAAGTCACCTGGAGTCATAGACTTTACCTCGCTGGAATCGTTACTCGAGGCAGGTATCAAAATCAGCCAAAGTCCAAATAATGTTCAGCATTTTCAAGGCTCTGCACTTGCGGATATGTTAGCATCGTTGAGCGAAGCTGCTGCTGGAGAAACCAGTCCAAGTGAAAAGAACGATGATATTGAGTTTACGGAAAGCACACATGCCAACCCTGAAGAATCAATTGGCCACTAATCTTACCGATCTATGTGTCAATAATAAAAATCAATGCATTATTCCATCCTGTAATATTGATGTTTCCTTTCTGGAAAGGAAACTACATAGTCTGATCGATTTTGAAAATCGTTACCATTGCCTTTCAAATCCTGTAATATAATTAATATTATTTTATTGAGGACGGCAAGCCTTGTGTAAATATAAGCGAGCTGTCTTTAATGATATTACAATCCATAAGCACAATCTATATATGAATTTTAAGAAAATACTTCTAGTTTAAGCATGGATCCTATGTTCAAACAATTTCAAATCAGATTTACAATCCTTGTATATATTTTACAGTCTATATGTCTATCTTTACAGTCCATATATATTATTACAATCCATATATGTCACAAGAGTTTTCCCATGCTCGTTCAGCTACTTCTTCCACAGGGAGCTCCTTTATATTAGCTATCACTACAGCTACTTGTTCCATGTTGCAAGGTTCGTTTCTCGATTTTACGAGCACGTTAGTTTCGTCCTTCCTCAAGCATTCGTCTAGTTTCTCCTTCTTGACATGCTTGTACCGTGAGCCATCATAGCCTTGGAGGTAAGCGCTTGATGCGTGAGAAGGTCTGATTTCACACCATGGTGCGTCAGTCTCCAGCAACAGTCTCTCGAGAGGCAGTTGTCTCACGGACTCAATGTTTGTTTGGTCTCTCAAGGAGCAGCCGTTGATGCCTATGTAGCAATTTGGGGAGAGGGCCAGGAGTTCTTTCATGTCTTCGAGGGAGTCAGTGAACGAGTGCACTACGAATTTCACCGTCGGGTCCAGTTTGTAGTAAGTGCTGCCGTGCTTTATGTTTCTATGTGGGGCGATTTGGATCCAGTTGAAAGTGTCCTCGGTGTCGGTGAACCCGTTGATGAATTTCCTTAGGATGCTGATGAAGTCAGCGGCGCAGTTGCGCATGTGCAGGAAGAGTGGTTTAGATGGGGCGGCCATGCATGCGATCTTCAGTTGTTCCTCGAAGAAGAGCATCTGCATCTCCTTTGAGCTGTAGTTGAGTCTGTCGTAGTCGAGCCCTATTTCGCCGACTGCTCGAAAGTGCGGGTCGTGCATGGCCTTCTCTTGCAAGAGGTGCAGCTCTCTGAGTTTCGGCACCGCCAGTTGCGGGTTCTCTATAACCTGTCTGTACAGGCGGTCGTTGTGGTCTGAGTCGTTTGAGGCCTCGTGTATGTTGAATGCACCGTCCATGGTATGCGCCATGAACTCATTGACCGTGCATGGGTGCACGCCTACGGTGTAGAACAGTTTCATCTGTATGTGGTCCTTGTGTGAGAGCCGTTTCACCAGGCTGATGGCGTCGATTGAGCCCTCGATGGAGGACCCCGTAACCATAGAGGCGTGCACTCCAGCGTCGTAAGCCCTGTGCAAGAGCTCGTACGTATCTGGTTCGTGCTTCTGCTTGCCTCTGTAGACCCCAAAGAACATGGGGTCAGTGAGGTTCAGCGCGATGTCATAGAACCGCATCCTCCTGGCAATTGACATCGTGTGGGTAGGGGAGTTGCAGACCAAGGGTTAGTGCTTTGTGTATGAGCAGAGAAACCTTTATCTATGGGCAGAGGAACCTTTATCCAGCAGATGAATAACGGCGGAGGTGCCCTCCGCAGCAGCACCGCACAGAGAAAGAAGAGAGAGAGAGAGAGGTACATCCTGGGGAGTATAGATATGATCACGTGATGTATACATCACGTGATCCATATCACACATTACAAATACAACCACCTGACCCCCACACGTACAAGACGTACAAACACCTGACCCCCACACGTACAAGACGTACAAACACCTGACCTCCACACGTACAAAACGCACATACCCCGCGGAGCTCCGAAAGCGAGAAGACGTGGCTCCCCCCCCCCCCCACCGGCCCTCCTAAGTGACAAGTTGGAGGGGGGGCAGAGGGACAGAGATAGAGGCGCAGGGGCTTTGACAGGGGTGTCCCGATTAGGAAAGGTGTGTCGAGAAGCACAGAGAGTGCAGTGCAGAGCTGTGTGCCAGTGCTGTCTGGCAGGCTAAGAGGGCTAAAGGCTAGGAGGACCAGGCTCTTGGGAGGGTTACTGCGGACGTAAGTCCTTATCTTGCGTCCTCTAGAAGTGAAAAAATATTTTGCGATGAGGTTGACAAGCGAAAAGTGAAAAAAAAAAAAAATGATGCTCATCGCATCGCTATGGGAAAGGAAAAAAATAGTATAAGAGAGCGGGATTGCTGTTTTGCTTGGGAGCTGGGGTGACTACGGAACAGTGGCATGACTAAATGATTTCGGCGCTGATGATGGATGTCGGCGAGAAGCACGGGGAGAGCGAGAGCGAGAGCGATGGGGTTGCTGCGATCAGAGACAAGAGTGCTGCTGCGGCGTCGATATCGACGCCGCTTAGCAGCAACAACAACTCTGATGTTGGATCGCCCGAGCTGGATAAAGTAGGTTCCGATGGCGTGCCTGAGCCGAACTCAGTGTCAAACTCGGTGTCAAACTCGGTGTCAAACTCGGTGTCAGATTCTGTGTCAAACTCGGTGTCAAATTCTGTGTCAAACTCATCGAACTCGGCGTCCGCGTCGCAGGATAATGCGAATGCCAAGAACCCGTCGTCGTGGGACCCCGAGGACGATATACTGCTGAGACACTTGAAAGAGATTAAGAACCTGGGCTGGAAGGAGATCGCGCTGTACTTCGAGAACAGGACGCCCAACGCGTGCCAGTTCCGCTGGAGGCGGCTGAAGTCAGGAAACCTGAAGTCTAACAAGACTGCGACGGTGGACATCTCGGAGTACAACGTGGTGGTGAAGAGACTCTCCGAGATCGAGAACGCTCAGCTCAGCAGAAGCGCCTCAGAGCAGCCATTTAGACCCCCAGTGGATAATAACGATAAGCTGGCCAATAACATTCCTGTAAGTTATCCCGGGTCTGCTAACGGAAACGGAACTCCCTTGGGTTCCGAGATGGATACGAAGCTGAACAAAGTAGTATCGGGCGCCAGCCCTGCTCCTGTTGCTGCTACTGCTATGTTGACTTCTTCTAGCCACGGGTCGGTGACCCCAAACGGCACTAACGGCACTCAAAAGGGGAAAAGGGCAAGCTTGCACTTCCCCATTATTCCTCTCTCGAGAAGAACATCAGTGGCTACCATTCCTAGTAACGCCATATCGGGTTCCACGCAGTCTATTACAGGCTCTGTGACGCCCGGTTCCACTCAGAGAAGTCATACATCGTTAGCGAAAAATAAGTTCCCAAAGGCAAGGTCTTACTCTCATACGTTGGGACCATCACCACAGTTACATTCATTGAAAGGTATCAAATTTAAAGAGACGAAGACCAGAGAATCACATGGTAGCGCAATTAATGATGATATTGAGAACGAAAACTTCGGTTTCATTCCAAAGATAATAGTAAAATCTAGAAGGAACTCGTTTACACACCCACCTATGCCTGTAGGGAATAGCACAAATAGCTCAGCAAATACAAAATACAACCCTGGTCCTTCAGGCTTATCAATTTCTCCACCATCAACTTTTAACGGTGGCTCTGGTGGGCAGTACCTTCAAAATGCATCCTTTTCTTCGAACTTAGCCAATGCTTTGAATACAACATTGATTACTTCGAAGTCCAGGAAAAATTCATTTTCAGTAAACTCTAGAAGGTCGTCATTCAACATTTCTAGTACTTCAAACTCTAGAAGGCCTTCTATAATATCGGCACCGAACTCTATAACGAATAATTTTGTTATAAATCATAGTAACTCCGCCAGTAATTTACATGCAGCCCCAAAGATGCAACGGAAAAACTCAAACGTGAAAAGAGAAGCCACAAGTTCACAGTCTCTTAACACAATTAGCTCACCTAATGGTAAGACTTCTACAGAGAATGGGACATATGAGAACTCATATAACACTTTCAAGGTTCAATACATGGATAATCCAGTTGGTCATAGTTCTGCCTTTCAAAAGAAAGCTATGGACTATGCTTCTCATTCTTTAGATGGGATGGAACCTAAGGACGAAGGTGTTACTAGTTGTAGTAATAATAGTGGTAATAATTCCAGATTCATGCCTTGGTCTTTGGAAGAAGACCAATTATTGACAGAAAACAAACTCAGGAATCTATCACTCATGGAATTATCTATTCTACTACCGAATAGATCAGAAAATGAAATCAAATGGCGTTTAGATACATTCTCGCGTAATTACCTGTGACAACACGGTTTGAGGATTTAACAAGAGAAAATAACAAAGTCTGGCTGGCTAGATAGCTTACATTATTGCATATATCGTATATCATGGTTATTATTAATCAATCATTAAATGTTTCATGTCATGAGTTTATAGTTTTTTATAGTTTCTGTGCAAAAGTTAATTGCATGATGCACAAATGTACTTTTTATGAATAATTAGATGGAATAAAAACTTTTATATACTATTAACAGTTTTGATGTTCATATCACATCCTCCTCAGTTGTCTTTTCTGTCTTGAGGTAGTAAGATCTATCAATTCGTCTCTATCGTCATCCAATGCATCATCTAACCCAGAAGCATGCCTTCGCGGAAATCTTCTGACTGGTATTGTCTCATCTGTATTTTCCTCCTCAGAAGACACCACTAAAGATGATGAATCAGAAGATATGACTTTCTCGTTAATATCCTCCTCATCGTAATCATTGTCGTCAGGGTCGCTTTCTTCAGTTTCTAATACTACTGAAGTATCATCCATTTCTTGGTTTTCATAAGGGAGTACATCTTCGGTCTCAGCAGACATCAAGGATTCCTTTCGAGTAGTTTTTGAAGAAAGAAGAGAGGGAGCTTTACGTGCAGTAGTATCCTTTTTATCAACAGGCCTTGGATCTTGATATGCAATCTCCCAACTCTGTTGCAACATGTTGTTTTTGCCAACAGATAGTTTTCTCTTCTTAATATTGTCTATTGTCAGAATTTCTAAGTCCCTTGGATCTTCGATATCATCAGTCATAAACTTCTTCACCATGGTTATATGGCTACCAAAGAAGTCAACTGGATTGTTCTGGAAATTCGGCTCACTGGATATACTTGTTTTACGATCTTCTGGCAAACTGGGGGGTTCTACCATTCCTAACGCATTTACACCACCTGATGGGCCATATATTAGTGGCTTCCAAATTAAGTTTTCTGGTTTTAATGACTGATAGCCCTTTCTTAGCCAGTTTTCACGAATGGCCTTGATTCTATTCCAAGAATCGATTTTAATACAGTACGATGTGGTATTTTGATTAGGATCCGGACACCTGTAAAATACGCCTAACTCTTCAAGGCCAAGTATAACATCAGTTGGAAGCATTCCGGTTAGATTTGCTAGATCCTCTATAGAGACCAGAGGAAATTTATCATCACTCTCACTATCTTCCAAATTAAGTTCATTCTTCAAATAAAGAAGTGTTTCAGCACATTTTAACTTCCAGAAATTTCTATAAGTAATAAGGCCTAGATCAGATAACGGTTTCTCAGGAGTGCCCTGTGAAAATTCTCTTTTAGAGAGTAAATATGAAAAATCCATCAAGAAATGGCCATATCCACGTCTCTGATAGAGAGGTAAAGTAATAATACAACTTAAATTGTACCCAGATGAGTTTAGTTTTTCTTTGCTAAAATAGCCAACGAAGTGATTTTTCACTGTTCTTCCATCCTCAGATACTTCTCGTTCAGTCAACACATAAAACACAAATGGCTCTACATCATAGTAAAGAGTCTTGGAATTAAGGAACAATTTAGCTAGTAGACATAAATTTTGGCAGTAGACAACGTTTTCTCTGCCATCTATTTCCCAGACGGAGACATTCTCATCTCTGTAAATTTCATTACCTGGGGGTCTATGGTCCTTGCATTTCAGTGTGTGTCTATAATATACAAAACGTGAATTCATGTACTTCAGGCAATATTCACAGACGTAAAGTATTTTATTTTTATTGAATTCCTCGGGATATGGGGCTGTGTACCATGTCTTGACTTCTGAATCTCTTATGTATACATATTCTATTGTCTTTGGATTTTCTTTTACAGCTTTCACGTTCTTTAATTTCTTATTCGGTGGTTGACTGGTATCGTTATCATTTATATCATGATTCCCTAAAAGAACATTACCATTGTAAAATGCAGCTGTAGATGATTCTAGGAATAATCTCCTGAAGAACTCACGATCAGTTGATGAAGGGATTGTTCGATGAGTGCTGTAATTCTTTTTGCCTACAACAACTCCTCTGTATGGGATATCGTCGTCTACCTCCGGTATTTGGAGTGCATCACTATCACCGTTCGGATCAAACTCTCGGATAGATGCCTCAGAGTCTTTGATAGCATTTTCTGATCTAACCTCCAATAATCTCTTAAAATTCAAAAGTTTTTTCGAATCATATCTAATTTTTAAGGGACCTAGTTTTCTCGCATTGTTCTCGAAAACTTCTTCATGAATTTCAACATTCGGATTTGTCGATAGATTGGTTGTTATGGATGCAACATTGGTTCCACCATTTGTCATATGGGTTGCACCCAGATCATTAATGGTATTGTAATCATATCGTTGCGGTTGTGACGGGAGTTGATCTGGTTTTCGACTTCGTGTGGCTCGATTCATTTATAGAAGTTATAGGCAACTTCGTATCGCTTATAACTGTTAGATTTCCTGTTGTTTTGCTGGTAAAGTATCGTAATTGCTTCCTATAGTGGACTCCGATTATCGTTTTGATAGGTCATTAAAATCTTTACTGTCTAGCTTTGTGGTGTTAATATCTTTTATTAAACTTTAAGTTTAATTATCTGTTGGTTCTCTTTTGCAATTCCTTCCTATGGAACTGTAGCGCTATAATTTGATATAGCTTATGATTGTAGTGCAGATTCGGTGGCACGGTGTATGCATACGCTAACTATTATGTCCTCTACCCAATATACATCATAGTTAAGGTGTAATCCACTTGTTTACCTTGTGATCAATTCAGGCTCAATGAAGAAATGCAGCGTATTCAGTGATGTGACTGAACTGCAACAATAAGCTCTGACTTAATCGTATCATGCCTCTTGCATGCTGTACCAACTATGAGTAGTGTGATATGAATTTAGTTAGAATAATACATAAGAAAGTACATATTAGTTGTTTTTTTTAAAATACATTTTGAAATGGAGGGTATTGCGAGAATCAAGAAGCCAATGTTTCGCTGAAAAAGTTGAAACCATGTATAGAATGCTTATGATTCCGCAGAATAATATCATTAACGTCGAGTTGGTAGGCAAAATAGTTGTTGCAATAGGGAGTAGGTAGCTAACTCATTTTTCATAGCTATGTTATGAGATTGTTGAGATTGTCCCCCCTGTGCGTGACGTAAAAAAGTCAAGGTGTTGCAAAAATTGATTGGTTTAAATGGTAAGGAATAAATTTTGCAAGTGAGGCATATATCACATTGAGATTTGAGTTTGGACAATATTCTGAACGCGTGTTTAAGCATGCAATTGAGATGAAGAAAAGATAGAAGGTGACAATTTTCTTGTATGGGGACAACCACGACGTGAATTTACCAAATATTATCTATAAAGTAGTGGGTTGTTAAAAGCCTGTTCATTAATTTTAGAAAAAAGAGAATTAGATGTAAAAAAAAAAAATCGTGAAAATCATCAGGATTCTGTACGTAAGTCATTTCATTAGCATGAGTTCGTTTTCGTTACTGGTATATTTCTTTTCATAATTAAGGCCAGCCTGCATTCTTATCGTTTGAAGAATTTTCCTGGTCCTTACCAGTCAGGTCCAATGCGCTCAAGGATCTGTTAAGGCCTTGTTCAAGACCGTCCTCATATCTAGATTGGCTCAATGTTCTGTAGATCATATCGGAGGCGTTAGCAGTATTTGTAGCAGAGATACTGTTGCCTAAAACAGAGGTATTGGACTGCTGATTCATTAAGTCATCATGTAGGGACTGCAAAGAATAGTTAGAGTGAGCCGATTCATTAGTGTGCTGCGGTATTAAAGGATTTGAGTTTTGACCGTATGTTTGTTGTTGCTGTTGTTGCTGTTGTTGTAACTGAGATGCAGATGCTGGGAAACCTTGTGGGATTCTCTGGTTGTTATGGATTGAGGTCATATTTAAAGCTGTTTGGCCAGCTGGTGGGGAAATACCGTTATTTCTTAGCAATGGGTTCACATTATTGTACATTTGATTGGAAGAGTACCCGGAAGGAATTCTGGAAGATGCTGTTAAGCCACTTGTTTGTCTTAGAAGTGATTGTTGTTGTTCTCCACTGAATAGAGGATTGGATTGAACACTAATAACTGGTGAAGAGGTAGAAGCTACATGACCTTGTGCGCTTGCATTCTGCTGTTGGCTTTGTTGATTGGCAACCATTTGTTGAGCTAGCTGTGTAATCTTGGGAGTACCAGTGGAGGAGGCGGCTGTAACGCCCAATCCATAGCTGGCAGTTGTTGTTCCAACGGCAGCGGCAGCGGCATGCGTTTGTAGAAGATTTGTGTAAGAGTGAGATCTGTTCATCGATCCTCCAGTAGAGCTAGCTTGCAATGGGTGCATCATTGCATTATTCTCGGTCGTCCCAACTTGAGGAGACTGTTGATTTTGTAAGATGTGAGATTGCAAGTCATTTTGGTTCAAGACTTTCCTTCTTATAATGATGAACCTAGGATCGTACACCTCAACTAGGTTTAAGTAAGAGCATAGCACATTTATAATACGTTTGTGGTTGGCAGAAACGCCGACAGGGTAAGCCAGCTCGTAGTACGTCTTCTCTCTATCCTTGAACAATAATAGTTGGGAGTAAATTTCCAAAGTATCAGGATCGTTTAGGTCCAACTGCTGTGGAGGCAATGGCAACGAGTAAGCTGCTGGTAATGGGGCATAGTATCTTTCAGTCACGGCAGACTGTTGCTGGACCATGTTCGCGCTTGTGTTAGGATCGTTCTGGTATGCGCTGTTACGGGCGCTGTACATCGATCCCGAAGTGCTCTGGTTGGCCATTGGTTGTACAATGTTGCTGTTTTGCATAGTGGATAAAGATCCCAAGTTTGGAGAGAAGAGCTGCTGAGACAGCAAGTTGGTGGTATTTGCCGCTGGGGTTACATTGCTGTTGTTTGTATTGTTGCTGTTTCTGTTCATAGATGACAGAGACAAGTTTGACATGGATCTGTGTTGTTCTTCCAGCTGGCCTCTCTTTTCTCTTTTCTCTCTTTCGATGCGCTCTCTTTCCGCCTGTGGCAGCATCTTTTTGTACTCCACCTTCAGCTTCCGCCCGTTGATCTCCTTGCCATTCAAGTCGGAGATCACCCTGCTTGTGTCCTCTGGAGTGGAGAAGTTCGCAAACGCCAGCCCTCTGAAGATACCGTTATCGAAGTGGTAGTTGAACGCGTACGGCAAGGGCAGCCCCATCTCCTGGATGATGTCCAGCAGCTGCTCCTTCTTGATCGCAAACGGGATGTTCTTGATAACTATCGCGTTAGGTATAACGTCCTCATCGTTGGCCTCGTAATCATTATTTGTTGTTGCTGTTGTTGTTGTTGTTGTTGGAGGTGTGGCTGTGTCGTTTGTGAGACTTGCAGCGTTGGCGGCACCGTTAGCGGCCCCGTTATTGACCCCCGCCTCAGGATTACTGTCGGTGTCCATGTGTCCTGGCTGTGGTATTGCGTTGGTGTCCTGGAAGCGAGAAGAGATGCCCTACCAGCAGGATGCTCTTTATATGTGTTGAAAGACAAATTTTTCAGCGATGAGGATCCCGCAAGCGGAATTTTTCAGAAATTTTTTTCATTTCCACAGAACTCACGTGATGTGTGGGGTAAGCAGCAATGGGCTCAATGTATATGTATACATGTAGATGTAGATGTATATGTAGATATATACATGTAGATATATATACATGTACATGTAGATATGTCTATGTGTGGGCTGGGAAAGTGTTTGGGTTTTTGAAATAGGTGGATCCTACGGCCACTTCTAAGGGCTTTTGGTGTGTGGAGAGGCGGAAAGAAGCAAAAGACAACCTTATCTACTTATACGTATCCATCACGTGTTTTATATCTCACTATACGTGGACATCATGTGACTTGTATACAGTGATCTATATCTCATTCGGTACGTGTATCATGTGATGTATACGTATATTGATATATGAATCACGTTTTTTCTTCGTGGTATCGTCTCTCACGTAATTAAGTGCTCTTTTCAACCCGCAGAAGAGTATTTTCTTGGTGGGGGATCTTTAGACTTTTGGACTTTTTGGATTCTCAAGTTGGGAAACTGGATGAAAAGAGGGACTCTCTCTTCCTCTCTTGCTAGCGGTGTTGCTGGTTATAAGAAGCAGAAGCAATAGCTATTGAACACCAATTACAAAAAATGTCTACTCCACCACCACCGGGAGGTCACCGTACGTTGCAGAGAAGGAGACAGGCGCAGGCCGTGAAGGAGAAGCAGCAGACGCAGACGCCTACCTCTGCGCGTGCTGCTGGGTTCGGGGGCTCCAGCAGCAGCATCCTGAAGATTTTCACCGACGAGGCCGACGGACTGCGTGTGGACCCGCTCGTAGTGCTGTTCCTGGCCGCCGGTTTCATCTTCACCGTGATGTCCATGCACTTCGTCGCCAAGATGACCGGCCAAGTGTTCTGAAAACAATGCACAAACGAGAATGCCACGACCCCCCCTACCACCTACCACCTACCACCCACCTACCATAATATAAATGTACCATACAGGAGTGTATAGCTTACTCACATACATATATATGACTAAGAATTAATCGATACAACTGAGACCACTAACTGCCCTTCAGATGATATAGTGATCATGTGATTTCTGTTGTCGGTGATGACATGGACGAAGTGGGAACGTCCCAATCGGGTTAAATAGTAAACAAAAGGCAAGGAGTTGCGTGTAGCCACAGAGATCGCCGCACGGATTGGCCCAAAAAATAATGGGAAACTTGTAAACAATGAAAGCTCATCGCATCGAATCAACAATAGCCAGTCTCTCCCTGGGGATCCATTCAAGTGGTCCATTCAAGTGGTCCATTCAAGTGGTCCAATTGGATTTGGGAGCTGCCTGTGTGTGGGGGATCGGTTGGGAACAGAGTTCAGGTTTTCTATATATTACGCTTGACCACAAAAAAGAGAACAAGCGAATCCATGGAATAGTTCCTCGATTGCTAAGAGAGCCAAGACAACGACGACAACGACAACGACAACGACAACGACAACGACAAAGGACACAGGCTAAAAACACTCAAACATAAGTGGACGTCGGATATGAACTCGCCACATTTCAACGAGCTGTCGCCCAGCATGTCTCCCATAGCGTTTGGGTTTGACGACAAGACGCTGCTCTCGCCGACGAAGCTGAAGCTAGACCAGCACGCACCGATGAACTCGCTGTTGTACCCGACATCACTGTCCAAGCTGAGCGAGCTCTCGAGGACCGGGAGGTCCCAGCAGCGGTCCAGGAGGGACTCGGACACGCTGAGGTCCCTCTCGCCGCTGCGGCTGCAGTTCCAGAACACAGGCGGTGCCAACCCGGGTCCTAACTTCAGCATGGGTGCTCCAAAGATGCTGAAGCCCGAGTTCTTGCAGAAAAGCTCTACTTCAACATCAACTCTGCCTTTGCTATCCGCGCTTCTGATGAAGACTGGCAATGGTAAGGCGGGCTCTCAGCAGCAGGGCTCTGCTTCTAATGAAAACAACAGCCAGACCACCAGTATGTCGGGCTTTGAGCAAGTGTCAATGATCAAGGAGTCTCTGGATCAGCTACGGCAAGAAGTCATAGTTCCTAAGAGGAACAAGAACCGTGACTCTACTAGCACAAGACGCGACAGAGCCACTACAACAAAGGATGAAACTTTAGCTGTGTCGGATGACAAAGATGCAAGGAAGGTGTCGGATGCCAACAGTGAAAAGACTCTGTATGAAGAACAACACCTGAGGAAGCAGGTTCCAGCTTCTCACTCAAAAGAAGTGGGTTCTTCTAGGATTTTCTCTACTGAAACAGCAACCTCTGCTAAGGACGTCGACTCCCAACAATTGAGAGACGGTTTGGATGTCGAAGCGTTGCCAACTGACAGAAACGGATTTGTACAAATTGATCATAAGAATATCAACACCAACAGATATAGTTTCATCTCCGCAACTTCCACAGACTACGATATGGAATGGTACGAGAGCCAAAATAATATAGCCAAACACGCAAACAGTCACCGCCATGGGCATTTATCTTCTAATAGGATGATGTCTGTGATTCAGGACGATCTTAGGAACCAAGTTAATCTAGAGAGTCAGTCAAGCCAGAGTTCGACGTCATATGAGGCCCAAAAACTTGACTTGAAGATTAAACAGCTTGAACTTGAGATCAGTGAGCTTAAATTGCAAAATGAGAAATTGATCCACTCCATCACAACCAATAGAATAGTGGAGGATAGACTTCTCATGGATTTCATTGGTAACAACGAAAATGCCCCAATTGCAAAACCGACGCAGCAAAGGGACATGGAGAAGAAAGTCAAGCAACTTGAAAAGAGGTTTGACAGTTACCAGAAAGTGTTGAAACAGTTAAAAGTTATAAGCAACTCTCCGCCACCAAAGAAATCTAATTCAAAACATGGCCATCGTCATTCTCATGGCCACAGAAAATCATGTGATAATATTCAATTAACCGACAACAGAGGGCGGATTCTACGTATTTCAAGTACAGAGCTGAGAAAACTAGATGAACAACAGGACTCTTCATCATCTTCGCCATCCTCTTTTTCAGACTCTCCCTCAAGTACATCTGTTATTGCAGAGGATGAAATTGAGCAAATTGATTTGGAAGATCCAACCGAGGAAAAGATTATTGTTAAGAAGAGACAGAATGCTGCATCGTCAGTTGCAAGTGCCACAAGCTCTAAGAAAGGTTTTCAATTAAACTTTCAAGTTCAATTAGATGACATGGAAAAAATTCCAAAGACTCCATCTCCAGAGTTATAATTAATAGCTGAGATAGTACAATTCAGCTTTTTATGATAACCTTTAAAGTTTTAATGCATATGGAAACTGCACTCGACGTATAACTCATTTCCTCTTCCATTTAGATCTGCAGACTTCCGTTCTCTTCATTCTATTTTTTTCATTGTTCAACAACTAAAGTTGCTTTTATGTTTGTTTCATTACTTCTTATTTTATTTTTTCTTCTTTTTACTACCAGGATACACTACATTGCCAGACAAGGCGGATATGATAAACTACATTAATTTTTATTTCTTTGCAATCCTCTTTTTTATACTATCTCAGATAATTCAATGTTTGAGCTATTGTACAATACTTTATAAATTTATTAATAATAAATCTTTATGCCGATAAGATTTTTAGAGCTGTGAGATGTACGATTATCAAAAAATAATGTTAATAATATTAAAGGAGGTAAAGCTACGCAATGTGATACTTCCCAATGACACTATAATTCTTGATGTTTTTATACTAATTATTTATTATTTAGTGCATAGTTAACGGTCTTGCTATGTTATCCCGGAACGTCAAAATAAACTCCGGAGAAGAGCAGAAGATGCCCAAATCATGACTAGCAAAGGGATCATCTCAGCAATAGACATCATTTGATCAAAATATTATCTTAAAAGCAAGATTCCTTGGAACACTATAAAGGTAAGACACGTTCTCAACAGTAGCTCAACACCCATTTTGCTAAACAACTCAGGTATTACTAGCGTGATGACCTATACAGAGACGAGGCCGAAGCCTTGGGAGACTAATGGAGGCACAACCGCAGCGGTAGACCGGGCGTTCGATATAGAGAATGAGGCTAATAACTCCCTAATGTCTACCAGAGACACTACAACACAGGAATCTCATGAGCAGGGTACTAGGGAGGGTTCAGAACCACCGGAAGTGGTGCCCCGACCACCGGGATTGACTAACACTATGAATGGTGGTGTTGGAACTGGTATGTACAACAGTGGAGGATATGGTTATGACAGCGGTATTTACGGTGGTGGAATGTATGGCAACAATGGCGGAATGTTTGGATCCATGTATAGCGGTGCTATGAATAGATATGGAGGCATGTATGGAGGTGGTTACGGGAACTACGGATCATTTTACAATAATGGTTATAACTACGGAGGAGCGTATGGTGACATGGGAGGAAATGGTTTAGAACAGATTGGAGAATCTACTAGAGCAACGTTCCAACTTATAGAGAGCCTTATTGGAGCAGTTACCGGGTTTGCACAGATGTTGGAATCCACTTACATGGCAACTCATAACTCTTTCTTTACTATGATTTCTGTTGCAGAACAATTTAACTATTTAAAGGAAGTATTAGGATCAGCATTCGGCATATTTGCCATAATGAAGTTTTTGAAAAGGTTACTGTATTTTGTCACAAATGGGAGGCTAGGCAGCGCACCAAAACGTATACAAGGAGGTGGTAATTCTGGTAATTCACGCCTATTAGAGGAATTTAGCCGTTTTGGACTTAACAATGATAAAGCACCTGCGAGGAAGATAACATTGAAGCCTTTGCTATTCTTTTTATCTGCAGTTTTTGGTTTCCCGTATTTGCTCAATAAGTTTATCCAGAAACTACAGGAAGTTCAACAGAGAAATAGCATTGCAATGGGAAAAGATGGAGATGGTACTATAGATCCTTCTAAACTTGAATTTGCCAGGGCGTTATATGATTTCACGCCTGAAAATCCTCAAATTGAAATTACATTAAAGAAGGGAGATTTAGTGGCTATTATAAGCAAAGCAGATCCTCTAGGCCGCAGTTCAGACTGGTGGAAAGTACGAAACAGAGCTGGACAGAATGGATACGCGCCATATAATTATCTTGAGATAATCAAAAGAGTCAAAAAACAAGAAAGTAAAACCCCTCCTGCATAGCGTGATCAAATAACAGCGTATTGAAAATCGCCAGATAGATTGTCCCCTATTATTGTAAATAATATTTGCATAGTTTTTAGTCTTTAAGCAGCACTAACATTAAACTACTATCGTAATTCTGTGATATTTACCATCTTGCATGATTTATCTATGTTTCATTTATCATTCAAAAATTAAACTCATAAGTTTGAATAAAAAATTCTATACCACTACACTAATGTAGTTATTACTACCTTATTTAATATCAACTTTACATAAAATCGTCAGCACCGAAGTCATCATAGTTGATGTCATCCACGTCGAAATCTTGATCTTTCTTGAAAGCACCACCCAAATTGGTCTTGGCCTTAGCCTTCTTCTTACCAGCACCACCAGTAGCGGTACCACCCTTGACACGAGCCAAACGAGCCTGTCTTTCAGCCTTCTCCTTGTCCTTGATTAGGATATTTAGGGTGGCGACAGTCTGTCTAATATTTTCGATGGACATTGGCTTCGATACGTCTCTGATCAAATCAATGGCCAAGGAGGATGAGTAGTTTAGAGAAGATTTTTCATGCATAGTGACAATGGCAGTAGCCAATGCCTTTCTTAGGTCCTGGTATTCCTTCTTGGTCTCTGCCTTGAATAATGGGTGGTCTTCAATTGGTGTGTCTTTAGTCATCGCAGGTCTCAAAAGTGCGGCTTGTGCTGCCAATTCTTGCTCCTTCTGCATAGCACGAGCTCTTGGGTGCTCCTCGGCCATCTCCAAGTCTCCAAGAAGATCAGCAGCGTTGTTCAAGTCGGACTCTAGCTCGGCCTTCTTCATCAGCTCCTTCCGCGTCTGAGGATCTAGCTCATCAATGGCCAGCACTTGCTCTTTCTTCTCCTCACCCTTGGCATTCTTCTTACCACCAGCCTTTGGCTTAGGCTTAGGCTTGGCAGCCTCCTTCTTGGCCTTTGGCTCCTCATCCCATGAGTCCAGAATAGGCTCATCGCCGGCAAAATCAACCTCGGCATCCCAGGAGTCCATCAGGACAGCATCGTCGTTTCCAGCATCATCCCAAGACATCTTCGCAATCTGTATATAGTTTCTAGCGTCTGATGCTGATTCTAAGACCAAATGAAATAAATTTACAATAGCTTATCCATCTAATATGTCAGCTCATCGACTATTTTCTTCATTTTTTTTCAAAGAAGTGAGAATTCCAGGTGTATCGTGGCATGAGACCATAATAGCGTGTCTGCCATGAGGAGGTGAGCAAGTATAGTCCGTTGTGCTTGGCTGTCAGGCTAGAAACGTAATAGTCTTTGGCTATCTATAGGGTCAATACGAATAAATAAGTTTATATAGTGTAGTGGAGGTGTCATCTATGTACAAAAAAAACAACAAGAAAGATAAAAGCTGTAGAGAAGGGAAAGTAAAAAAAACCGGGCGATCACGATCGAATAAATAATTCCCTGGAAGATAACAAAATAATAAAGAGCAGTTTTTATAGTCACTCCAAGAGAGATATTGCCTTTGCATCGCTGAGTAGCGACGCAAACTCTCTTGTATGGCAAAGAAAATAAAAGTCGTTAATCGGAAAATTGATTTCCCACACATAAATATCCTTGGGTTCAAGGCTCGATGTTCTGGATTTGCTGCAGCAAGGACCTCTTGTTCCTCTTCTCTTCGATCTTCTTCATCACAAACAGCATACCTTGCCTGCTGTACTTGACGTTCTCGTCGAATATGGACCTCGACCAGTTCTCCAGACGCTCACGCAGCCCCGTGGTGAACCCACTGGAAAACTTCACTCGGCTCACCACGCTGGTCTTCCGCGTCTCGAAGTTGTAGTCGTATGTGCTGTACTCCTCCACCTGCATGATCCTGGTGTGGTCCAGGTTCTTGGTGAACGTCTCCATCCTCCCGCGCTGCGGGTCCACCACAGACACCTCTATCACCCAGGACTCAGATATCCTCCCGAGGAAAGGACGAGCCCACACAGGCATGTTCCCGGTCTTCCGCAGCAACCGCGTCGTGTGCAGCTTGCCGTCCAGCACCTGCTGGTTCAACGTGTCTATCGACTTCACTGTCCGCGAGTATGGGTTCGGGTACCGGTTGAAGAACGCACAGGACACAGACGCAAAGTCATTCTCAAACACATGCACACTCCTATGAACCAAAACCATCCAATATAACTATCTTTGCTCCCTTGGCGCACTGCCCATCGCCCATCGAAGCAAGGACTCACTAACCAATAGCCTTTGGCTTTATAACCAGCGAGTCTTCACCTCACAGGGGGGGGGGGATGTCGTGTGGGGTATGGTCATGTGATGTAGTGGTATACACTTCATGAATCACATTGAGGCTAATATCTGGTAGTCATGGTGCATTAACGCTTGAGTATCTTTGCAATGCTGTTGAGTGCAGCTTCTGGTTTTATTCTAATGCTTGAAACTTTTATTTTATGGCGCCTATGTGAGCTATCTAGTGTACAGAAATTCTATAAAACGGGTTTGGAAACTATAATAGTAGTGCGATGGCTAGGGAACCTGCTGCTAGCACGAGAGGGTACTTGTCGACTACGCCTGCGTTTTCGAAATGGACTGCTCTCTTGGCTACTTCGCTGACACTCTGTGAGGTACTGTGGGAGGCACTGTGGGAGACGCTGGTGTGCACGGTCTCCACGGTGGACTTGGACTTGCCCTTGCCCTTGTGCTTGGATGTGTGTTCCTTTGATGACGAGGCAGTAGTGGTCTCCACTGTAGTGCTGGAGTGGGACTTCTGGTGCTTGCTCTTCTTGTCCTTCTTGCCATGCACTGAGCTCACTGCCTTGTTCTCTTTGCTCTCTATCGATGAGGATACCGACACCGAGGCGGTGTTGCTCGATGTGACTCCTGTAGGGGTCCACCACACCTTCGAGGTCACAGTGTGGCCCTCGGAGTCCAAGTATGTTAGTACAGTGATGGGCTCATCTGGTCTTCTCGAGTGGGAGGACACAGAGGAGCTGGCGTCGGAGTCCTTGCCCTTCTTGCCCTTCGAAGCAGAACTGGAAGCAGAACTGGAAGCAGAACTGGAAACAGAGCTGGAAACAACACTGGAGAAATCAGAGTTTTGCAGCAAGGCAGAGTCAGAGACAATGGATTTGTGAGATGAGCTAACGACACTGGCACTGGAAACAGCGCTAGGAGAGACAGTGCTAGAGACAACGGCACTGGACGAGCTGGATTCAGAGTCTTCTACTGAAGTAGGGGCAGACTTAGCGGAAACAGATGGAGTAGCTTCTGGGATCCACCACAGATATTTTGTGGTTGGGTTACCGTTGGCATCTGTGGTAGTAATGGTGGTGCTTGGTTCAACGGCAAAACCGTCTTTGCCCTTGGCACTGGAGACAACGTTGGAGTTTTGCACAACACTTTGAGTAGGCACTTGGGAGACAGCCTTGGAGCTTGGAAGCTGAGCTGCAGCGTTGGCACTTGGCACTTGTGCTTCAACTTGCGAGCTTGGCGAATCAGAGTCAGCGGCCTGAGAGCCAGATGGGCTCTCCTTGGAACTGTCGGCCTTACCACCAAAGTTGTCATCAAGACCACCAGTGGAAGCGTTAACAGATGCAATTGAGCAGATTAGAGCGACTTGTGTGAGTTTCATTTTTGTATTTGGAATTGTAGTATTTTCTTTACTTGTTGACTTAGGTTTTATGAGAGAGTAATGGCAATCTATCAGTGCTATGCCACCACTTTATATACCTCAGATCAGAACATCAAATTCAGTTGAAAACTAGCCATGCTAGAGATCTGCAAGCCACGCCAAGATCTACAAGCCTTGCACCATACAGGTTCTACCAAAAATAGGTATCACATCAGAAGCCATGGCTCACAAAGAAATGGCGTTTTAAAATGGCTGAGCACCCAGGGTCCATTCAAAGGACCCCACTACCGATAGATCATTACAAATGAGAATGACATAATAGATCTTATGCTCGATACTAGTTCTACATTCCAGATTTCCAGTCCCCATTATACCACTCCACCATTGTCTTCAAAGCCATGGCGAGTCTCTTATCACTTTGATGCGTTTTCTTTCTTGCTGCGGGATTTTCTGTGGGGAAAAGCCCAGCCATCTCTTTGTCATAAGCCATAGCGATGCATAGCGAGATGTGAATGGGATATTCTCTTACATAAATACTGGGTACATATGTTCTATACACAGGGCAATGGTGGCTTTTACAGCATGACAACGCCGACGTTACTGCGGTGCTCGGTGTCGAAGTGCTGGTCCTCAGTCAGGCCACCGGTGATTGGGAATGTTCTGTAGTTGAACAGGTAGAAGTTCAAGAACCCGTCACCTGGACCAAACTTCAGGTCTTCCAGGAACAGTGTGTTATCCTGGGAGGACAAAGCGTTGAAGACGTCCATCTTGTTCTGTGCCGCGATGATACATGCGTCCTGCACCAACGTGGAGAGTCTTTGCTTTAGGAGTGATGTACCTTCTTTGTCGAACCTGTCCTCGAACTTGAAGTCGGCATCCGAGGCGTAGTAGTATAAGTAACCGATACCCAGGTCCTTGTAGCGGGAGTTGTTCAAGATTGTGAATGGCAGTGAGTAGAAAGAGAAGAAGTCTGTTACCTTGCCCTCGCTCTCAACAACATAGGAGAATACAACCCTCTTGTCCTGTTCCACAACGTTCTTGTCGTTAATAAACCAATGTATGAACTCTTCCTTGGTGAACTCCTGGACGATATCAAACCGGGACTGGTACCTGTTGAACAGTGCCAGGGCCTGGTCTACATCCTCGAGTCTCAACTCTCTCAGACCGGCGGTCTTCGTTGCCTTTGGAAGCGTGTACTTGGCCACCATCTCCGCCTTCGTGGCGTTCGGAGGCAGGTCAGTGAACTGGACCTCATATAGCTTGTCCCAGTTCAACGGTCTGTGTGCGTACCTGCAGGTGCTCACCGGAGCAGGCAACACCACACCGGCTGTGTACAGTGCGTGCCATATGTTGCGCTTGTTGACACGTCTGGTGATCTCTTTGATCAGCACGGGAGTCAACCTCTTTGATCTCAGTTGCTTGTGCACACATAGGAAGTTGATCTCGACGCTGTCGATAACCTTGGCTCTCACTCTGAGCCTCACTGGGATGGCGGAGATGAACGCAATCAGCTTCTTGGAGGCCTTCACACGCACACCGATGTGCCAGTCGGGGGTCCAGCCGGGGCTCTTGAGCGCCCAGTTGAAGAACTCGCGGGTGTAATTGAACCTGAACGACGCATCGCGGTCCTCCACGTAGTTCTCATTCAGCAGCACAAACACGTCCTCCAACTGCTTCTCGTCGTCGACATCAATGGCACACCACTCGAAGTCTGGCAACAGGGGCAGCGGCTCGTCAGGTATATCCGCAGGCGTCTTCTCCTCGTGGATGGGCCCTTCCTCCTTCACTTCCTCGTCAAACTTCGTCACAGGCTGCGTCTTCCAGAACTTGTACTCCTTCATCTCCTTCCGCTGGTTCGCTGTCAACTTCGACATGTCCCCATTGTTCATGCTCAGAAGCTTCAAAAGCTCCTCGATCTTCTTCTCACTCATCTCTCAAAGGCCAGCACTTCCAGGGATAGACGGCAACTTCAGCAAGCAACTCTCAGAACTACTTGACAGGGCTACTTGACAGGGCTACTTGACAGGGCTACTTGACAGGACTAACTGACAGAAGTACTTGTCAGAACTAGCACCGGGGCACTATCTTATCCCAAACTAAACTCGTTCTGTGTGAGTTTCTGTGCGGGAAACTAAAAATTTTTCAAAGCGATGAGCTTCAGCTGCGAGCTCATCGCAAGTATGAAAAGGAAGCTCATCGCATAAGTGAGTAGTGTGTGTGCGTTGGAGCAGGAGAGGCCAGTATAGACGATGATTTCAGCTACCGCGTGGGTGCCAAGGGGGTTTCCGTCGCAGTTCCCCGAGAAGTATGTGTTGGATGATGAGGAGATGGAGCGGATCAACCAGATGGCTCAATTGAACCTGGAAGATGCCAAGGAGGATCTTGCCGATGCGCAGGATGCGCAGGCTGGTGCTGAGAGCGAAGAGGCGGGTGAAGAGGCAGGTGATGTTGCCCAGCCCAACACTGACAGGTTGAAGGACCAGGCGGAGGTTGACGACGACTTGAAGGAGTTCGACATGGAGCACTACGATGACGAGGACGGTGCTGAAGGTGCTGAGATGTCGATGTTCCCTGGGCTGTCCGATGAGGTGAAGTTCCATGCGGGTGAGGGCGACGAGGACGCATACATCTCAATGCCGCACGAGAAGGAGACCGAGGAGGACAAGGAGGAGTTGCAAGTCTACCCAACGGACAACATGATCCTGGCCACCAGAACCGAGGACGATATCTCTTACTTAGACGTCTATGTCTACGATGATGGTGCTGGTTTCCACAGTGACGAGATACCTGTTGAAGAAGGCGACGAGTACGACCCGGATGTGGCCCGTGGTATGGTCCGTGACTCCGCATTGTATGTGCACCACGACCTCATGCTGCCTGCTTTCCCATTGTGCGTGGAGTGGATCGACTACAAAGTCGGCTCCAGCTCCGAGGAGCCAGGCAACTTCGCGGCCATCGGTACTTTCGACCCTCAAATCGAGATCTGGAACCTGGACTCAGTGGACAAGGCTTTCCCAGACCTGATTCTCGATGAGCCTGAAGAGAACTCGGCCGCCAGTCTGGGCAAGAGCAAGAAGAAGAAAGGTAAGAAGAAGGGCCATGTCACAACACACCACACTGACGCCGTTTTGTCGCTGGCCCACAACAGACAATTCCGTACCGTGCTTGCCTCTACATCTGCTGATCACACCGTTAAGCTATGGGACTTGAACAACGCTACTGCTGCACGTTCCATGGCCAACATCCACAGCAACAAGAACGTCTCCTCGTCTCAGTGGCACATGCAGAACGCTTCAATCTTGCTGACTGCAGGTTACGATTCCCGTGCTGCGTTGACCGATGTTAGAATATCAGACGAGGCTCAGATGTCCAAGTATTGGTCCGTACTACCTGGCGAAGAGATCGAAACCGCCACTTTTGCCAGCGAGAACATAATACTGTGTGGTACCGATGCCGGTAACGTTTACTCCTTCGATATTAGAAACAACGAGGGCTCCAAACCGGTATGGACTTTGAAGGCACACGATGCCGGTATATCGTCGTTGAGTTGTAACAGATTCATCTCCGGTATGATGGCCACTGGTGCCATGGGTGAGAAGCAGGTCAAGCTGTGGAAGTTTCCTACTGAAGCCACCGCGGGCTCCAGCGGTCCCGGCATGGTGCTGTCCCGAGACTTCGATGTTGGCAACGTGCTGACCTCCAGCTTTGCACCAGACATCGAAGTTGCCGGTAACATAGTCATCGGTGGTGTCAGCAAGGGCCTCAAGCTGTGGGATGTGTTCTCCAACCGTTCCGTACGTAGAGTGTTCCAGGACGAGCTGCAGCAGGTGCAAGAAGCCGCCAAGGCCGAGGCCAAGTCATTGGGCAGAAGCTCCAGGATTGCCAGGAAATACATCAAGAACGACAACCCGGACACCGTGCTTACAATCGAGGACAAGAACGAGGACGAGGACGAGGACGATGAAGGCGAAGAAGACTGGGAAGACGAGGACGAAGAGTAAGCGGCAGTGCCTCCCACCACCCTCCCCTTTCCCAATTGTTTGCATTTCCCCCTCAGATATATAAATCAACTACTGTACAATATATACACGCACTCTCATATCAACATCATTTTTTAATCCAATATAGAGACTCGAAACCCGTTTCGACAAGAACAGCTCCAGCAATATGAACCCTTATCAGCGTCATAGTCCAAACCATTGGAAGCAGTCTCGAGGCTGGATACCCACCCGGCTACAAATATCTATAAAATATCTACTCACTATGCTCCTCTATGCTCTTCCCTATGCTCCACCCCCCATGAACCATGTGACACACGTACAGTTGCATCTGAAAAATTTTTTTTTCACAAAAAATTTGCGATGCGATGCGATGAGCATCTACTTTATAAAGATATTATGGCTGGCACATAGCTATTATCTGGTTTGGGGGGGAGGTAGGACAGCAAGGATAACTGTCAGGATAAACATGGCTATTGAGTATCTGTTGTTTGAGGAGCCTACTGGGTATGCGGTGTTCAAGGTGAAGTTGAACCAGGACAACATTGGTTCTAAGCTGAAGGAAGTGCAAGAGCAGATCAATGACTTCGGTGGGTTCACCAAGCTGGTTGAGCTTGTGTCGTTTGCTCCTTTCAAGGGTGCCGCTGAGGCCTTGGAGAACGCTAACGACATCTCTGAGGGTCTTGTCTCCGAGAGTCTAAAGAACGTTTTGGAGTTGAACTTGCCAAAGGGTTCCGCCAAGTCCACTGTGACATTGGCCATCTCTGACAAGAACTTGGGTCCATCCATCAAGGAAGCTTTCCCATACGTCGACTGTATTGCCAACGAGTTGGCCCAGGACTTGATCCGTGGTGTTAGATTGCATGGTGAAAAGTTGCTGAAAGGTTTGCAATCCGGTGACTTGGAGAGAGCTCAATTGGGTTTGGGTCACGCTTACTCCAGAGCCAAGGTGAAGTTCTCTGTTCAAAAGAACGACAACCACATCATACAAGCTATCGCTCTTTTGGACCAATTGGACAAGGACATCAACACATTCGCCATGAGAGTTAAGGAATGGTACGGTTGGCACTTCCCGGAACTGGCCAAGCTGGTTCCAGACAACTACACCTTCGCTAAGTTGGTCTTGTTCATCAAGGATAAGGCCTCTCTGAATGAGGAATCCCTACACGACTTGGCCGCTGTTGTCAACGAAGATGCTGGTATTGCCGAGAGAATCATTGACAACGCCAGAATCTCCATGGGTCAAGACCTTTCCGAGACCGATATGGAAAACGTTTGTGTCTTTGCCCAGAGAGTTGTTTCTTTGGTCGATTACAGAAAGCAACTATACGACTACTTATGCGAGAAGATGCACACTGTGGCTCCAAACTTGTCTGGATTGATTGGTGAAGTCATCGGTGCTAGACTGATCTCCCACGCTGGTTCTTTGACCAGTCTTTCCAAGCAAGCCGCTTCCACTGTGCAAATCTTGGGTGCTGAGAAGGCTTTATTCAGAGCTTTGAAGACCAAGGGTAACACTCCAAAGTACGGTTTGATCTACCACAGTGGTTTCATTGCCAAGGCCTCTGCTAAGAACAAGGGTAGAATCTCCAGATACCTAGCGAACAAGTGTTCTATGGCTTCTAGAATAGATAACTACTCCGATGAGCCAACAAACGTCTTCGGTTCCGTCTTGAAGAAGCAAGTTGAACAAAGACTTGAATTCTATGCTACCGGTAAGCCAACTTTGAAGAACGAATTAGCCATCCACGAGGCTATGGAATTGTTCAACAAGGACAAGCCAGTATCAGAAGAACCAAAGGCTGACTCTAAGAAGAGAAAACTAGAAGAATCTGAATCTGAATCTGAAGAAGAGGAAGAGAAGAAGGAAAAGAAGGAAAAGAAGGCCAAGAAGGAGAAGAAGGAGAAGAAAGAAAAGAAGGAAAAGAAGGAAAAGAAAGAGAAGAAGGAAAAGAAAGATAAGAAGGAGAAGAAGGAGAAGAAGTCCAAGAAATAAACAATACACTTAAACTACAAATAACCTATTACACAACCAGATCAAAAATCAAACGGATTGAAGGCAAATTTTATTTCCATCATCATTTTTATTTTATTATTTTCATCACATCATTCATAATAGAGCCATTATGTACTGTATATTTAGAAAGAGCTTTAAAAAATATTAGTGTTAATTAAACTGGTATGTAAAACTCCCATTGTTTCCATTGGTGAGTCATTGGATGTCTTAAAAATGCACTTGTTATAACTATTATTATAACTATTTATAAGTAAAGTCCGGACTGCGCACCATTGGAACTAGCATTGCGCTTCCATCTCTTGTAGCATTCCTCTGTATATCTGCTCTTGTCCGTACTAACCAATTGAGAGCAGAAATCAATTATACTATCAACAGTTGTAGACGATAACTTTTCGAATCCCTGCGGACCTTCACTTGGAAATATGGCGGCAGTGAACAATTGGTCATTTGTCTTTGTTAAATCACTCATTAAACTTCCTAGAAATCCAGTTACAAATTCAGGAGGTACCAATGAACAGTTATTATTTGTACAGATCTTAGTATCCTCTATGCGGTCTGAACATCCTAATATTACAATTTCGTGACCGCGATTTAACTTCTTCGATATTACATCACTAATTTGGGCTGTAAATATAGGAGATACGGTCAGAAAATTCTCATCGATTGATACATACAGTGTTTGATCTTCAAGCAAATAAATTGGGAAACGCAAGCTAAATGTCCTTTGTTCCTCGTCTTGTAATGGTTCAACCTCATTTGGAAAGTTCTCACCAAAATCCCAAGTATGTGTAGCTTCATGGGTTTGTAAGTTCTTTGGTATTTCCAGACTACAGGTAATATCAGCCAACTTTTTGACCTTCATAGTTTTGTCTAACAGAAAGAAAGTATCCATGGTCTTTGTAGTCAAAATAACCCTTTTCACATTGCCACCTTCAAATAGCTCATCGGGGATATGCACGTCGGGCAGCGGCAACAACTGCAATGATTCAGTATTATTGACTAAGTTTGGTGCATCCAAATGGTTACGTGGCTCTGAAAGTTCATTCCATTGTTTAAACTGTGTTGTTGCAGTCGAAATCCCACTAGTAATCACAACCAATAAGGGAAATCATATCGAATAGCAATGGTTTGTTAGTAAAATAACTTCTGGAAAAGATTAAAAGATGGGCTCAAAAGGGAAATCAAATATGTTATTAACGTACTAGCATTGTTGAATTGTTTTAGATCGTCAGTATCGCTGAACTATGGTATTACTGGTCCCTTCAATAATATCCCGATGGATCAATTGCCTTTTTAACTTTAAATTTCTTAAAGTGAAAAAATATTGAAAGTTGTACAAGAGAAGAGATGAGCTGGGATAGTTGATAGTATTGAAAGAATTGAATGGAGTGCTAGTCATAACACACTATATAAATCAACAATCAGGTAATATATACAATGTCTGCTGAATTAGGAGCCAAGTATCAGAGCTTACAGAATGAGTTAGAAGAGTTGGTAACGGCGAGACAGAAGCTGGAAACGCAATTGCAAGAGAACAAGATTGTCAATGAGGAGTTTGCCACGTTGAAAGAAGATACAGTGGTGTATAAGCTTACAGGTAACGTACTTCTTCCGGTTGAGCACGATGATGCCAAGAACAACGTCGATAAGAGGTTGGAGTTCATCGGTGAGGAGATCAAACGCTGTGAAGATAACATAAGATCAAAGCAGCAAGAACTAGAGACGATTAGAGGCCAGTTGATTAGTCAACAGAAATAGACTATACTTTTAAATACATAATAGATTCAATAAAAATAATAATAGAAGTAAAAAAATAAGATCAGAAATTTCGAAAAGTTGTAATTGGGCGAGTGGTAAATATATACATTACAACTATAACAACTTTAGTGTTAATGGCCAGTGGGTTTTCATAGAGTTCATAAATATAGTTGTCATATTCGTATTTGAAGGTCGTTAGTGTATTTCTTATGTTACTATAATTTGGAAAGTGACAGAAGTATTTTGAAGCAGAGTGTTTATAATCTAGACTCTTGCCATTTGAGACTTAGTCAAGTTTACTGCAGACATCAATGTGAACCAGCCAAACTCTTCAACATTGTTGTAGTAGTCACCCAAAGTCATGACTTTATGCAATTTATCTTGGGCAAATTCCATAGTTTCCATGAAATTGTGAGACTTGTCCTGAGCCATGAAAGCTTTACTGGCCAAATATGTAGTGGCCAAAGCAGCTCTCTTGGTGTACCAGGCAAAATCGTGGTGATCCTTCTCGTTAGAGTAATAAATCATGTCGTCTGCTAATCTCTCTAGTTCTGGAAGTGAGACATTAGTCATAAAAGAGCTTGGAACCATCAATTGTGCGGTCATCTGAGTCAAATGAGAAGCAATTGGTACATCCATTTTCAATCTCTTTAGTAGCAGGCTTTCCAGACTTGGCAATTTAGATGCTTCAGCGATCTCAGTTATTCCCTCAACCATACGATGTCTTTTTTCCACCAGTTGGAACTTTATCAATTCCATAACTGCTGGTGAAGAGTGCAGGAAAGTGGCAGAATTGGAAGCACCGATAGTAGTTAGCATACCACTTGGCATCTTCATCGCATTTAGAGAGTTAACGATGGCCTTTTCAGTGAAACCATGTTGTGGAACGGAATTCTCCATGGTATGCGATAGCAGCTTGAACTCGGGAGACTCGGGTGTGTAAGTCAATGGCTCCCAGACCTTTGGGTTGACATACTCATTAGAAGTTGGATGGTAACGTCTTACTGCGGAAAGCAGTCCGGACACTTGCTTCTGTCTGGTGACTAGTCTTAGATTGTTGTATAAGCTCATTATTTGTACGGTTACCTTTCTCTATCTGTCTAGTTCGCCCTTGAATGCTCTGGTTGTACTGGAAATGTCCCAAGTTAGTGAAACTGTGGGTTACAAGTGCAATTGATGCTATCCAAGGAGCTCTATGCTAATATAGATGGCTTTCTCACTATGCGGGATGATTGATAGATTACGCTGGGTGTCATTATTTGGCAAAATTGCTTGGATGATTACGTAGGAAAAGCGGTGCTTATGGGGACGATGTCCTTGGGTGACAGCCAAACGAGCGGAGAGAATGTCTATCGTGATCTTTAAGTTTCAGTTTATATTTCATATTTATGTCAACATAAAGTATTGATACTATTTACAGTTGTGTTGGCTCTTCTGGTGCTATCTTTTTGCAATGCTTTTTCAACCCAGATATGTAATGAATGCGTGCTTTGACGCTAAACATCCGGTCTAGAAAACTATTAGGCTGGCTCTTGAAGAGTTTGGAGTAATGAAAAAATGTAATAATAGAATAATAAAATCGTTATACTTCCCATTGCGTCCTTTTTTTTGCGTGGGAAGTACTTAGGGAAAGGCAGGCTAAAGGTTGGTGGAAGAAAATTCCATGAACATTGATGGGTGTGAAATAAATATTGAAAGTTAACCTCTGCAATATAAGAGTTCGTTTTGATATCTAAACCAATTATCTATCACTTGTCATAATTTAAGTAAAAATATTAGATTGTTATGGGTTTTCTGTCTATACTTTGATTGGATGGTATCTCTTACCTCTGAAACCTGCTATGTACATGTTGAACTGGTACACTGAGTGAGGGTCGCTGTCGTCGAGTTCCCATTTGGTTGATCCGAAGACGTTTTTTACTGGGTTCATCAGCATGTCCATTTCCTTGCCGTACGTGTCCTGGAGGATCTGGATGTCGTCGGCCATATCCTTCTTGTTGAACCCTGTTGTGAATATGGCACATTTTGTGTCCAGCAGGCCCTTGACGGTGTCCTTCATCCAGGTGTCCTTGGACTCAGGGGAGGCCAGGCCAGGGTGGAACATGAAGAACACGTCCTGGTATGGGTCGTATGGGAAGAAGTCCTGGGCGGTGTGCAAGGTGTGGAAGTAGTCTGTGTGGTAGAAGAACTTCATGGTTTCGTCGATACGTTTAGTGACCGGGATGGAGGAAGTGGTGCCGTCGGCGGCGGTCTCTCCGTTCGCGGTGGCAGATCTGATGTATTCGTTGCGCTCTCTGTCGTACAGGGACTCTGGTCCGATGAAGTGGATTTCGAAGTTCTGTTGTGGGAACAGGAACTGCAGTTGTTTCCAGACGTGGCCGGGCAGCTGGGCCTCGGCACGGGCTCCGAGTATGAAGATACGCATGGGCTTGTTCTTTGCGGTTGTAGTGACTGCTCTGTTCTGGAGCGGGTACAAGGTGTAGCGGAGTGCGGCCAGGGACTTCAGGCCCTCCAAAGTGATGGGCCCCTTCGGGTTCAAAGAGTAAGGGGAGAACTGGTGGAGCACAGACCCGATGGTGATCGGGTAGCTCAGCATCTTGGTCACTGCGGCGAGCTGGAACTCTGTGTCCATGGAGTAGAAGGACCTGGTGTACAGGAACAGGTCCCAATTGGTCAAGTTGACGGTCCTGTCGGGGCCTTGGTCTCTTGGGAAGTCGAACTCTGGGAACGGTCTGCCGCTTCTCAGGTCGTGCTCATAGATGTTGACTTTCTTCAGGATCTCGTACTTCTTCGATGCGTGGTACTCCTTGTCCTGCTCCCAGGCCTCGCGGGAGTGGTGTGTCGGGATACCAGAGATGGGGCATGTGTACTGGATGGGTTTGTGTGTCACGGGGCACTTGGCCAGCGTCTTTATCCTTGCGGCGCGCTCTCTCAGGTCTACCGCTGGGGACTGGTCCCACGGGTGGAATCTGTTCTGTTCAGTGGGCTCGTCTGGCGACGGAGGCGGGTCCAACCCTAGCGCGTTGCGCACAAACCCCATGAGCTGTCTCTTCGAGACGCACGCGTAGAACTTTCCGGTATTCTGCACCGCCCTAGTCCTAGTCCTTATCATTTGTATCAGCTGCTAGTTGTTCTCCTTGTGCTTCTTCCTACTGCTCCCTTCCCAAAGGTAAGGTCCCTTCTTAAGTATAACTTGCCCAGATACGGCGGGAATTGTTATTAGAAGGCAGGAAGCTTTCCAGGGAATTGAGTGAGGGGGGGGTGGTTTACCCGGACCTGTAACGTGCGTGGTGATGTTATATAGCCGGGTAAGTACAAGTCCGGGTAACATATATATATAGCCGGGTAACACATATATATATAGCCGGGTAAATACAAGTCCGGGTAAATTCAAGTCCGAATTGTCGTTTATTATGACATTAAATAATATTATAACTCATGACGGAACGGTGATCACGTCTGCTGTCGTATACTATCAGAGCGGTAACCCCCAGGGATACGGCTGCATCGACGGTTTTGCCATTCAACTCGGGAACTCTGCATTGAGGTGATTCTACATTGAGGTGTATGTTATACACCGGGGTAGCTCTGTATTGAGGTATGTAACTCTACACTGAGATAACTCTACACTGGTATTTCGAAAGGTGGTACCAGCTCACTAGACTCACACCCTATCTTGCGTGTCCCATAGCTATAGACTGCACCAGTATCCACCCCATCAGGGAGTATAGCAGTGAATCGGAATACACCATATTGTGTTGTGTGTGTTGTGTGTTGTGTGTGTGGTGTGTGTGGTGTAGTCTAGTCTAGTGTAGTATAGTATGGTATGGTATGGTAAACCATACCATACTATACTATATTATGCTCTACTATACTACACCATAACGTGCTGTCTTGCACCCATCTCCAACTGCATTGTGTGGATGATCTACGGGGGTGGAGTTACCGGGTGCACGAAGGTGCATATTAGGTCCCGGTATGTCCGGAGGTGCAATAAGCATACATATAGCCAAAACCAAATATGAACTGTATATATAAAGTGAGTGGTGAGTAGTGTGTGAGTTGTAGACCGTAAGCTGTAGACCGTAAGCTACAAAACTGCAATAGAAATACAAATACAAATACAAATACCAATGTCTGTACCCGCCCCCGCCGATATCGGTGCCCTAGCCAACAGGATCAACTTCAACACCAGAGATGCCCACAACAAGATCGATGCGTTCATGTCCGTGCGGTTCGCAGTGGCGCTGAGACACGGCAAGCTGTACCGCCAGGGGATCCTCGCCTTCTACTACGTCTTCCAGGCCATCGAGCAAGAGATAGACGCACTGCTAAGCATAGACACTGCCACTGGTGCCACTGGTGCCACTGATGTATCCGACCAGAAGCTGCTCGCCAGCAAGATCGTCAAGCAGTTCTGGATGCCGGAGTTCAGGCGCACAGAGCAGCTATACAAGGACCTGCTGCTGCTATACTCGCCGGAGTACCCGACGTCCACGGAGCTCGACGCCATGCTCGTGGACCACCAGCTGCCACCGCAGCTGCAAGGGTTCGTGGACATGGTGCACGCGACTGTGCGCCAGAACCCCGTCACAGTGCTGGCCTACTGCCACGTCATGTACCTCGCTTTATTCGCAGGCGGTAAAGTCATGAGGTCCACTCTCTACAGGAACACTGGCTTGTTCCCAAAGTTCGAGCACTTGTCCTCGAAGGAGCTCGCCCGCAAGGGCACCAACTTCTTCACCTTCAGCGACGCAGGCGTAGACGTCGAGAACCAGCTGAAGTGGCAGTACAAGAAGAACTACGAGCTGGCCACCCGCGAGGCACTGGCGGAGAACGACAAGCTCGAGATCATCGACGTCGCCAAGCGCATCTTCGAGAGGAACATGGACATCATCCAGGAGATCGGCCAGCTGAACAAAGAGGCCCTCACCAACAACAAGCTCGACCTGCTGCAGTATGTCTTCGAGGAGCTCAAGTTCTACAACAAGGACAGGAGCCACCAGCAGCTCGTCTACGCAGTGCTCGTGCTCCTCGCATTGCTCGTGCTCTACCGCATTGTATACAGATAGCTAACTCGCTCGTTGTAATTGTTTTTGTATTTGACTTATATACTTGCATAGAGAATTGATATGTACATGTTTTGTTTTGGAATGAACCCATGCCTGGAACTGTGGGAATATTGACGTACCGCTGCCCTGGAGGGCAAGTGGGTTTGCTTGATCTGAAACTGTCGGGGGGGCACTGCTCTTCCGGGGGGACTAGCGGCCTTGGGACAGCTTCCTCCGCTCTGCCTTCTCCTTCCGCCTGCGCTTCCTCAGCTTGTGCTTCTTCATCTTCTTCCTCCGCTTCCGCATCACAGAGTCGACATACACCTCTTTGTCCAGCGCCTGCGGCGTCACAGGTAGTGGTTGCACGGTTGGTTGCATGGTTTGCACTGTTGCTTGCACTGTTGCTTGTACTGTTGTTTGTATAGATGCTCGTAACGGCAGTGGCATCTTCCCAAATGGCATAGGCATTGACACTCGCACGCCGGCGACTGGTACACTGGAGACACGACGCACGCCCGGCACCACAGCCATGAACGGCCTCACCATCCGCAACAAAGACATCCTTGCGCTTGTAGTTGTAGCTATGCTTGAGCAGTTCAGCATCAACTTGAGCTTCAACTTCTGCATTTCGAGGGCCTTTTATACTTTCGGTCGTTGGAAATGAAAATTTGCTAAAGGGGGGGAGTATAAAAGAGCATGATCATACTTCAAGACCTTGGACTAATACCAAGAGCAAGACCAAGACCAAGACCAAGACCAAGACTAAGATTAAGATTAAGATAAAGATGCCAAGTCAGTTGGTTCGTTCTGCGAAGAACATGGTGAAGGGTTACTCCAGCACGCAGGTGATGGTGCGGGATGCTACGGCGAATGATTCTACGTCTCCGAGCGTCGGGGTGTTGGAGGACCTTGCGGACAAGACGTATGACACTGTTGAGTTCTTTGAGATCATGGACATGCTGGACAAGCGGTTGAACGACAAGGGTAAGTACTGGAGGCACGTTGCGAAGTCGCTGACGGTGCTGGACTACCTGGTGCGGTTTGGGTCGGAGAACTGTGTGCTGTGGTGCAAGGAGAACCTGTACATCATCAAGACGCTGAGGGAGTTCAGACATGAGGACGAAGTGAGCGGTTCCGACGAGGGCCAGATCATCAGAGTGAAGGCCAAGGAGCTGACCTCCTTGCTGACCGATGACGAGAGACTCAGGGAGGAGCGGGCTTTGAATAGGGCCAACAGACGTAACGGCGATGCCAAGCGGAGAAGACGCAGATCACGCTCTAGATCCACCTCTTACCGTAACGCCTACGACGATGACTTGCAGAAGGCTCTGGAGGAGTCTCGGATGACCGCGGAGGAAGAAGAGGCCCGCAGAAGAGAGCAAGCCCAGTACGAGAACCAGGACCCCGATCTCTTGGCAGCTTTGCAACTGAGCAAAGAGGAAGAGGAATTGAAAAAATTGCAGGACATGCAGAGAATGCAAGAGTTGCAGGCACAGCAGCAACAGCAAAATGTGTATTACGACATCTTTGGCAACCCTATATCTCCAGAAGAGTATTATCAATACCAGGAACAACAGGCTGCATTATTGGCCCAACAACAACAAGCTGTGCTACTGGCCCAACAACAGCAACAAGCAGCATTATTGCAACAGCAGCAACAACAGCTTTACTACGATCAAATGCAACAGTTACAATTGCAACAACCAACTTTGGCTACTGGGTCTAACAATCCATTTTCCAGAGATAACATAAGCAACAATAATAACACCAGTGCAAATAACGCACTGTTGCCAGATTTACAACCAAAGCCTGCTCCTTCACCACAACCACAACAGCAGCAACCTCAGCAGCAACCATTACAGAAAACTAGGACAGGCAACCAATCCATCTCAGATAAGTATAGCGAATTGAACAACTTACTAGCATCCGGTACAGGTATAGATACTTTTGGTAACACAGGTGAGGCTCGTATTCCAGCGCAACACACTAAAACAGGCACTTTCATCAATTCTCAAGGTACTGGTTATAAGCAAGTTACCAATGAACCTAAGAATAATCCATTCTTATCTAGTCAATACACTGGTCTACCCAGCACCAATATTGTACCATCACATACTGGTTATGGATTCGGTAATCAGCAACAGCAGCAACAACAGCAGCAACAACAACAACAGCAGCAGCAGCAGCAGCCACAACAGAATTACAATTATAATCAACAACAAAACTACCAGTATCAGCAGCAACCACAACAATATCAACAGCAACAACAGCAACAATTTGCTACACCAGATCAAGGTGTCAGTTTGATAGACTTGTAGATGTTCTCTACTGATCATTCTAGTGGAGCTTCTGTAAATGAGTTTTTTTGAAATCCAACTGTTATCTGCAGGCATTGTATCATATACCAACTACTTTATTGACTTATCAGACATATACGAACAATAATTTTTGTAACAAGAAGTCTCTTCTAAAAATTAATATGACATCTACTGTATTTGAAATTTAACTTAAATAGTTCCGGAAATATTATCATTTTTCGAGCAGCTTTCATACTATTTAACTTTATCTCCAAAAGATCATACAGAGATATAACTATATTTCAAAATCGAGATCCAGAACTTTGATATTGTATGCTTTGATGATATTCCTGATATAGCGGGTTGCATGATAATGATGAATATACAGTCTACATGATTTTCTCAATATGAAATTACACTCTAGTATTCATTTATAGTTTGAACTGCTGGTAAGAAAGTGCTCATTGCATATAACAATGTATATAATATGTACACACAATCGATTGCTATTTGCTACGTAATCGAACGTATGCTGGTATATCATCTGACATATTCTAAATAACATGATGTCACAATGTTGTAACTTTTTCAACAAATCACCAATCCGCGATAGTTTAATGGTCAGAATGGGCGCTTGTCGCGTGCCAGATCGGGGTTCAATTCCCCGTCGCGGAGATTTATTTTTTTTTTTGTATTTGCCTACATCTCATAATGATTCATGGAGTATCATACTAAGGAATAATAGGCTCCTTTGTCAAACTTTTTGATTTTTAATTGATGGAAATGCATGATGTCTTTATTAATTATTTAGTTATGTATCGGTTTTTATAATCTACGGCCAGGAACGCAGCAAAATATTACAGTGAATATTGCCGTAAAGATAACTACCAATGTTAGACACCAGAGACCTCTTTTATAGAGGATTTTTTTGATAAATGGATGTTCTATATGTATCAGTCTAGATTTACCACCAAGTAAGGTGAATATGAGAGGAACATCGTCATTATATGTTGCTCCATAGACTTGTCTTCCTTCTTCTATATTGCCTTTTTTATGACTGTACATTAATCTTTGGGTCAGCCCAAACCAGGAATATATGATATCAACTTGATAAATGCCACAGACTATATAGTAACAGCCCAGTCCAAATGGTACTACAGTGGTGACTCTAATTGCTCTGCTGTAGTGTAGAAATATGAGCACATAACCAATCCAAAATCCTATGCCCATCCACATGCATCCAAATAGAACTCTACTTAACGAAGTGTATGTTGAAAATGGTGACCAAGATATGTGATTTTGCATCAATTGTTTGTGACCGTTGAGATTTTCTTTACTACCAGAAGGTGAAGATGTTCTGTGTGGGTTTTTATTCGAGGGATGGAATCTCCAATCAGAAAGCTCATCATGGATATTATGCAATGCTACCTCTTTTAGAAACTTGGGGAAACAATCTGTCTCCAAAAATTGGTATGTCACTTCCTTAAGCTCTCTAAACACCTCTGGGTCATGTCGCCTATTAGCCTTAAAGTTGTGGATAACCTGGTTTTTAAGATCGTCGGGGATGTTAGCTAAGTATCTTGGACTATGTTGCTGAGACATTAGGTAGGTGTTACATATTTGCTGGGCATTGTTGTATAGTTGCTTTGTAGTAATATTTCCCTTTTCTCCTAGCTGAGATTGTCTTTTCAAAAATTCATCAACAATAGCTGATACACTTTGCATACTTTCTTTTCTTGAAATGTCTATACCAGCTTGAGTTGACTGTAGGTGACTTGTCGCTGCAACAGAGTTTCTTTCATTATGTAATTTCCAATCTTGTATCATCCGAGTTACCATCGGGGATGTGTGAGTATTCCCTTGCAAAAACTGAGAAACCTTTTCAGGGTTCTCAAAATCTAAATATCCCTCTGATAATAACGTATTCATTAGGATTGAGGTTGTCACTGATGCATCTTCATCGTTGTTCATATGTCTGTTAACATTACTTCTTTCATCTAAGTTCCGGAATTCTTCCAAAGCAGACCCCTGAACTACTGATTGCCTTACTGTAGAGACATAATCTTTACAGAGTCTGATGTGTGCCATAAGATCAATCCAAAAGTCTAAGTAGTTAATTGCATATGGGAATTGAGAGAGGTATGTGTAAAAAGACCACAAATCCACAGGGGGCTCTGTCTTCAGTATAAATACCTCATATAATGTAGGTAGACGTTGATGTTGTATTTGGTCAAAATCAATTGCAGTTGAGGGCATGATTGCTTGCCTGTGCGCGATTCGGTTTCTCGAGTACTTCAATCTGACCGTCAGCTATCAATATTAGTAAAGATATGTTATGTGAGAAAGGTCGATTTAAATATTTTTAACAGGTTAAAATATTTCTAATGTGTAATTTACTCTAAAACTTTGTTCTTTAAAGAGGACGTGTGTATTTCAATTATAGCTACATTCTTCTTGGTTAACTGTCTCATCTTATTCATATTTTTGCGTTTGTTTACAATTTTTCCGGTTTCAGGTCTTCGGTCATCGCGAAATGAAAATTTCACCATGAAAACCAAGAAGGTCATGGTACTTGAATCATATATGATTTACCTTACATATGACTGAATCAAGTGCTATGATAAGGCTAAATTTTTGGACCACGTTAATTTTTTATCAGTAAAGTGTTTTTGTTAATTTACCGTTATTTTTTCTATGACTTTTGAAATTTCGAGATCCTTCTGCTTCCAAATGTCTTCTAACCATTTTTCGAGATGTCGATCTTTCAAACATAGTATAGCATCTGTGTCAAACCTTTTGATATTCACGTAGGTGATAATAGGATCTCTATCAACTTTAGAGTCTGGTCTAAGAAATTCTAGTAATGATGGAGCTATTTCGTCAAGCTGGTAGCCGCTTCGAGGTACTATGCTTCCATCTATATGATCATGAACATTGGTCACATACTTAACTCTTAAATACACAATGGTGATATCATAGATGTGTGAATTTATCCTTACTCGATGTTGTTTCTTGGTTTTGTGGGGTTTTGATTCTTGATTAGACTTCACATCTGAATGCGCAATTATATGCGTAACAACAGCGTTTTGTTGAACATCACCATTTGAATTTGTTATAATATCATCCAATTTTTTATTGATGAACTTTTTTGTTTCAGTAACGATAGGTATATGTGGTAACCTGGGAATCTCAGTACATTTTGCAAAGCAATCAATCACATTAACGAATGTTTTGAATCTTGGATTCAATAAGTTGTTATATTTTACAGCAAATGTTTTGCTCGAATTTATACTTCTCTGTACTAAAAAAAGTTCCGTCGTTAGTATGTTGGTTTCGGGGAAGTGGACCATACACTGATTAGTAGATTTCAAGAACGTCTCTAAGTCATCACTGGGTACAAAGCAATTCTCATCTGAGTTTATGACATTGAAGCCAAACAAAAGGGTCGGGAACTTAACTATTTGACCCCAACTAAGAAATTGTACTTGCATTCCCTTAAGAATCCGTTGTTTAAAGTAATTATAAATGACATCTTTCTTTCTAAGTGTAGTGTGCTGTTTAGCACCTTTCATCAACAAATGTTGAATCAAAAGATAATCGACTAATGATCTGTGATTACTCAGTACAAGTGTTGTCATAAGTTGATTCTCCTCGTCAAAGAGATCCACCTCAGCGCAATCTTCTCCATAAACAATCCTTACTGATTCCTTCTCGTGTCCAAACATCAGTTCAGTGACATGTATTTGGAATATAATCTCAATTATTTCGCAAATCAGACTCAATGTCGGATTAATCACTCTGGGTATGCTAGTAAGACAATAGGAGCCAGCCTCAAGCAGTATCGGTCCAAAAAAGGGAACATGCCACCAAAACCGCCGGTATATTGAATAACACCTCAGGAATAGTGGTGTAAGTATTATGGTCTGAAGCACCAACCTGGTCATGGTCAATAGAGTATGTATTCCTAAGTACGCACCAATAATAGCAGCCTTCCAGCCAACAACTATCCAATCAGTATACCACCATGTGCTGATGTCCTGAGAAGACCCAACGACGTAACTCTCCACAAAGGTAACGAAACCCATGGTCTAAAAATCCCCTATTCGCAGCTCTACTTTGCCCAGCTCTAATTTGCCCAGCTCTACTTTGCTCAGCAATACTATTACCCTAATAATATAATTTTTATTCTATATTCTAGCTATGAACGCAATGACATATCTTCTTCAAACAAGAACAGAATTTAACCGCCGATCTGGCAACAGTCAAAACACGAGTGATTCTCTTATACGGTTATATCATGTGATTATGTTATTTGTATATAGTGATATGCGCAATGATCAGATGAAGTACCGATGAGAAGAATCAATTAGTGGTAGTGTGAGTCAGGAGTATATTGTAGGTATAGAATGGGAGGCGACGATACAATTGTCAAGTGGCAGGTATCCTCAACAAGCTATCTTAACTGTCTGTTACACGATCGTCTAGGAGATCGTGACTTTTATTCTGGAAGAAATATAATACACAACAAGAGAGAAAGAACTATGATGAGATTAGGTTTGATGGGGCCACGCAATGCCAACGTTTACCTACGGCGTTGTATTTCGCATGTGAGGTTTAATTCTGTTGTTTCGTCTGCCAAAGATGCGCCTCGCACTACAGAGACCCATGATAAGGAATTGAGCGCAGAGATGAAAGGTCCACAAATGTATAAGTGTGAACAACCCACACAACCTGAAGACTCGTTCCAAAATGATTATCATAAATACATCAACTACACTTTGCTACCGCTTACTGTGGGAACATTTGGATCTGTGATTTACACTGGTGAAGTGCACCCAATGCTAGACTTTACTATTAGTTCACTATTCCTATTCTCCACTCACTACCATTTCACAAGCCTAATCCTTGATTATATACCGAAGGAAAAGTTCAAGAGACTTCACAAATTGGCCATATATTTGTTGTATAGTGCCACTGGGTTCGGTCTATTTGGTATATATGAATTAGAGACCAGCAATAACGGTGTGGTAGATCTAGTCAGAAAGCTATGGTCTGAGGACGATTCACAGATTTTTTTCAGAAAATAGATAAAGTAAATCAATACTAGCATCATTTCAACCATGTAGATAATATAAACTGCTTTATGTAGCTTATTTCAAAATTGCATTTTTTTATTATTTGATTTATATCACTTCTCTAGAGTCAATCTGAAGTGCTTGGTCTAATAATTCCAACAACTAACTTTACTTTGCTAAAATTGTAAAGAATAGACTGATATAATCAGCCCAATGGCTTGAATCTCTTAAAGTAATGAACAAGAGAATATGGACAAGATCTCAATTATCCTTAACAAGTTCATTTAATATGCCATTTTAGTATAGTGGTTAGTACACATCGTTGTGGCCGATGAAACCCTGGTTCGATTCTAGGAAATGGCAATTTTTTTTTCCTTTTTTTTTTTACTTTATTTATGTTTAGGTCACGATCTGATCAAGCAAAGAACTAATAGTTGTTCATTTTTGTTGCAATCATTAGGATCAGGCATACAAGGTAAATTATAGCAATATTGATATTTTCGTAAAGGTAGGAGTTATATCTTTTTTATTATCTAACACATGAATCACTAATTAGAATGACTAGACATTGGGGATATTATACATAAGTACAAATATAAAGGGCAATTAGATATTTTCAGTGTATTCGAATATTATCATTAATCATGACACGACATAGTGCTATAAAAACAGCTTTAAATAGAATATTTAAAAACAGGGAAGTAATAGAAGTATAATTTCCAATTTTTTTTGGGATAATTCCCAGGAGGAAGTATGCATACAAGGTTAAGAACAGCAGTTTCACTCACTTCACATCAAGGCTTACTTAGTCAACTTTGACAATATCTCAGCGTTATTAGCACCACCCAACCTAGCAAATTCATCGCCTCTAGTTAGCATGTTTGCCAATAACTCGTGATAAGGTGGGATACCAGCTCCATCTTTCTCCACTGGGTTATTCTTAACGACTTCATTGAAATAGTTATGATAGATATCACCATCGTAATAACCAATTGGAGCGTTCAACATTCCGTCTGGCCATTTGAATGAGTCAGTTAAAGAGATACACTCCTTTCTGATCTCTGGTAGTAATTTCAATAGTCTTGGCTGAACAACTTGAGATATTTGATCTGGAGACAAAATCTTGAATTGTTGGAATTCACCGGCATGCTTGTCGATGAAATATAGAGAGAACAACTTGTAAACATTCCATAATTGCTCCTTCGTCTTTGGACAAGTAACATATGAGTCAGTTGGAGAGTTCAACTTTTCATAGTAGGTATTTAACATGACATATAAAGCATGGAACTTAGAGACCAAAACTAACAGCTTGGAAGCGCCGTCCAGATCCTTGGTTGAGTCAACTTGCTTAGCAATGTGTCTCAAAAGCTTCAATAGAGCGACTGCCCAAATGTTGGTGTAGTCGTACAAGTCATCCAACTTGTTCTCGGAAGAAGAGGTGAACACTTTCCGGATGAATTGTGGGTCCAAGTATCTGAAGGATCTCTTGTCCAATTCCTTGTTGTACTTACCCTTAGTAGCGGAATCAACAAACTTCTTCAAGATAGACTTTGCAGAGGTCAAGGACAAGATGTTGTTGTCACCTTCCCAAGTACATTGGACTACCCAGTCGTTGTAACCTTTACCGAAGGCATTGTAACCGGAGTAGCCGTGACCACCACAAGTTTGTCTTAATTCATCGATCAACTGGGCCACTAACCAAGTGTTAGTAGCTTTCAAGCTTGCACTGTCGATGAACAAGTTCTTTAGCTTTTGGCTAACCACGACCAATGCCCTCTTGTCATTCTTTGAAGAAGCTGCGTACAATTCATCCAGAGTGGAGTAGTAGAAGTTCAACAAGGAGAAGGCCGCTGGAGAAATAATGTAAGGGATCACGATCTGAGGTAAGACACGGTATTGGTGCAATGGGTAGTCGATCAATTGTTTTTCTGGTTGGCCTGGTTTGTCAGCGAACTGTTGTCTGCCTACAGCGTAACGTGTTGCGATGGTAGCGAACTTTGAGCCGAATCTGAAGGAGTCCATGACCATGTTAACTCTACCACTTAGCAAAGCTGAATAACCTGAGATTTGGTCAAGCTGAGGGTCTACCTCCACAGTTGGAGTTGCGCCTGGGTTTCTGTGCACTTTAGTGAATCTGCTTAGCATGAACTCCCTTGGGATGACGACGTTTCTAAACTGGATCCAGCCGTTGTCGATACCGTCACGGCCCATTTTGGCGCCTATGTCGCCGATGGCGATGCCTGGCATTAGTTGCAATGAGGAAGGGTCACGCAGGGGCACGACGAACGTCTTGACACCGTAGTCCTTCCCGTTGACCAGTAGTCTAGCGTAGCACGCGGTGTGGGTTGCGGAGTGAGCGGCACCGCCGATCCACCACTTGGTAGCTGCCAAGTCTGGGGTGTTGATGATGAAGGTGTCGGACTCCTGGTCGTACGTAGCGGTGGTCTGCAGCTGGGCGACGTTTGAGCCGTGGCCGAGCTCGGTCATGGCGAAGCACCCGTAGATTCCTTTGATCAAGATAGCGCCCCTGGTCTGCAGCCAGTACTTGATCTGCTCGTCGGTACCGTTACCCTTGATACAGTTTCCGAACAGCCCCAGGTGCACACCTATTCTGGTGGACAGCTGCGGGTCCATGTTTGCGACCAAGGAGAGTCTCTTGTCGAAGATGGCGAGGTCCTTGTTGGTCAGCGGTGGGGTGGTGGTGTCCCCGAAGTCCTGCAGGGACTTCAACAGGTCTGTGTCTCTGAAGTGCTTGCGCACCGTCTTGATGTCCTGTTCCATGTACAGCGCCATACGGGCGATCTTCTTGACCGTGACCTCCCTCTGTGTGAGCTTTGTCTGGTCATAAGTGGCGCTATCGGCCTTGATGATCGGGTCGTTGACCAGCTGGTCAACGATCAAGTGCGTCAGGTCCCTAGACCTGGGGTCCGACTCCAAGAAAGTGTTCACTTGGTCGATGTCAATGGAGCAGTTCTCCCGCTCCCGCTGGATAAACCTCTGCGGGTTTAGCACAGAAGCATTAGGGTCAACTGTAGATAGCTTAGTCATTTATGGTTTTTGGTTTTGTTTTGGGTTGAGATTATTCTCTTACTGGTAAAGCACTACCCCGGTTACAATTGCCATCCGTATTTATATGTCAAGAAGTTGTAATGCGATGCGATGAGCTTTGGACTTGAGAGAGATCGGTGATTATTTCATCCACCCGGGTTATTCCAATCTTCTTAACTCCGATCTAAGGGGATGGGGGAGCGACGGCTGTAATACGCTGTAATACGCTGTAATACGCTGGATGTGACACCTCAGGGCTGGAGTTTTGGGGTTTCCCTTGTCTCCCCTTCTGGGTGTCCGGATGAAGGGGGGAGGGGAGAGGATGTGTTGGGATTTCGTACGGTGTTGTCTAAGTACACAACTACTTGCTTGTGCTTGTGCTTGTGCTTGTGCAGACCATTCACTGGGTACGACCAAATAAAACACGTAAATCACACTAACGTATGTGCTGTGTGGGGAAAGAGGGGGGGGGGCACTTCCAAGTGAATGACTCTCTTTCTCTCGGGGTATACGTGCAAACGTATACCATGTGGTTATGCCGTACTGTAATATATCAATATATCTAGTTATACGTATATCATATGATATACGTATATAAGAATAAATAACATCACACATCACTAAGACACATGATACACGTACAACCAGACCTTTTCTTCGAAACGGACGAGGGGGGAGGAGGGGGGACGAGCCAAAAAGTTTCGAGGAATCGAATCGAGTCGACCTTTAAAGTGGTGGGCTGCAAATTGATAAAACTGCAAGGAGGGAACTCTTAGCCGCTGAAAGATTACACTACTCCCTGACTTGTCTATTCCCCCCCTACAATCCATTCTATTCCACAACAAAGTCCATATACATAAGCAAAGAGCTTTTTAGAAAGAAATCAGAAAAAAATACCCCTTTTGTTTGGCCTTGAGAGATTTATATGCAAAGGGTAGAACAGGAAGAAGGAGCATTGAACACTTGTTATTGAGAAACCAACTGGATATGAGTGATTTGCCAATTGAGTTCACCGAGCTCACGGATCTGACCGCGCTGGGTATCTCCCCGCAGTCGCTGGACTTCAGATCAACTACATTCGAAAGTGACCACTACGTGACCGTTAGGGAGACTGTCGATGGCGCGAACTCCGTGGCCATCGTCGACTTGGCGAACGGGAACCAGGTCACCAGGAAGAACATGGGCGGTGACTCCGCGATCATGCACCCTTCCCAGAACGTGATCTCTGTGCGTGCCAACGGCACCATCGTCCAGATCTTCAACTTGGAGACCAAATCCAAGCTGAAGTCCTTCACCTTGGACGAGCCAGTGATCTTCTGGAAGTGGCTCACCGAGAACACCTTGGGTTTCGTCACCGCGCGCTCCATACTCACCTGTAACGTCTTCGACGGCAACGTCTCTGCAAAGCCACAGGTGTTGACCCAGAGACACCAGTCATTGAACAACACCCAGATCATCAACTTCATCTCAAACGAGAAGGAGGACTGGTTCGCAGTCATCGGTATCTTGCAGGAAAACGGAAGAATCGCCGGTAAGATCCAACTTTACTCGAAACAACGTAACATCTCCCAGGCAGTAGACGGCCACGTCGCCATCTTCACCAAGATACTGCTAGAAGGTAACGGCTCCGCACCAGTACAAGTCTTCGTCACCGGTAACAGAAACGTACAAACGGGTAACGGTGAATTGAGAATCATTGAGATAGATCACGATGCCTCCTTGGCTGTACAATACCAAAAGAAAACCACAGATATCTTCTTCCCACCAGACGCTACAAATGACTTCCCATTGTCCGTCCAGGTCTCCGAGAAATACGGTATCATCTACATCCTAACGAAATACGGGTTCATTCACTTATATGAACTGGAGACAGGCACAAACTTGTTCGTCAACAGAATTACCGCCGAGTCCGTCTTCACTTCCACTTCTTACAACCAAAAGAACGGTATCGCCTGTATAAACAAGAAAGGCCAAGTGCTAGCAGTAGAGATCGACACCACTCAGATAGTGCCATACATCCTAAACAAATTGGCTAACGTCTCCCTAGCGCTAACAGTTGCCACTAGAGGTGGCCTTCCAGGTGCAGACGACCTGTTCTCTAAGCAATTCGAGTCCCTCTTGAACCAAGGCGATTACCAAAACGCTGCAAAGGTCGCAGCATCCTCAACTTCTCTGAGAAACCAAAATACCATCAATAGATTGAAGAACTTACAAGCAGCACCAGGTGCCATCTCACCTATATTGCTTTACTTCTCCACTCTTCTAGACAAGGGTAAGTTGAACAAAGAAGAAACCATCGAGTTGGCCAGACCAGTGCTACAACAGGACAGAAAGCAACTATTTGAAAAATGGTTGAAAGAGGACAAATTGGAGTGCTCAGAAGAACTTGGTGACATTGTCAAACCATTTGATACCACCTTGGCTTTGGCTTGTTACTTGAGAGCCAATGCTCATGCAAAGGTCATCTCTTGCTTAGCTGAGCTACAACAATTTGAAAAGATCATTCCATATTGTCAAAAGGTAAGCTACCAACCAAACTTTTTGGTATTGCTTTCTCAACTAATTAGAACTTCCCCAGACAGAGCTTCTGAATTTGCAATCTCCCTATTGCAAAACCCAGAAACTGCCAGCCAAGTTGACATCGAAAAGTTGGCTGACCTATTCTTCTCTCAAAACCACATCCAGCAAGGTACTTCCCTATTGTTAGATGCTTTGAAAGGTGATACTCCAGACCAAGGTCACTTGCAAACTCGTGTCCTGGAAGTTAACTTGATGAATGCCCCTCAAGTTGCTGACGCAATCTTGGGCAATAACATCTTCTCTCACTATGACAAGCCAACGATTGCTTCTTTAGCAGAAAAAGCTGGTCTGTACCAGAGAGCTCTGGAAAACTACACCGATCTTAAGGATACCAAGAGATGTATTGTCCACACAAGCAGCCTACCAGTTGACTGGTTGATCAGTTACTTTGGTAAGTTGAACGTCGAACAATCTTTGGCTTGTTTGAGAGCCCTAATGGACGACAACTTACAAGGCAACATTCAAATCGTCATTCAAGTTGCAACAAAGTACTCCGATCTAATCGGATCCAGTACTCTAATTAAGCTATTCGAGGAGTACAGAGCTACTGAAGGTCTGTATTACTACTTGGCTTCCTTAGTTAACTTAACTGAAGACAAGGACGTTGTTTACAAATACATCGAGGCTGCTGCTAAGATGAAACAATACAAGGAGATTGAAAGAATTGTCAGAGACAACAATGTTTATGATGCTGAAAGAGTTAAGAATTTCTTGAAAGAAGCTAACTTGGAAGATCAACTACCTCTGATTATCGTGTGTGATCGTCACAATTTTGTTCATGAGTTGATCTTGTATCTATACAAGGCACAAAACATGAACTACATTGAAACTTACGTTACTCAAGTCAACCCAAGCAAAACCCCACAAGTTGTTGGTGCTTTGCTTGACATGGATTGCGACGAAAAGTTCATTCAAAACTTGTTGCAATCTGTTATTGGCCAAGTTCCAATCAACGATTTGACTGAAGAAGTCGAAAAGAGAAACAGATTGAAGCTTCTGTTGCCATACTTGGAACAAACTTTATCTCAAGGTACCCAGGAACAGGCTGTTTACAATGCCTTGGCTAAGATCTACATTGACTCCAACAACGCTCCAGAGAAGTTCTTGAAGGAGAATGATCAATACGATACTTTGGATGTCGGTCGTTACTGTGAGAAGAGAGATCCATACTTAGCTTACATTGCTTACGACAAGGGTTCCAACGATGACGATTTGATTAGAATCACTAACGAGAACACTATGTACAAGTACCAGGCTAGATACCTACTAAAGCGTTCTGATCCTGAATTGTGGAACAAGGTGTTAGATTCTGAAAACATTCATAGACGTCAACTAATTGACTCTGTCATTTCTGTTGGTATCCCAGAACTAAAGGACCCAGAACCAGTGTCTTTGACCGTCCAAGCTTTTATGACCAACGGATTGAAATTGGAATTGATCGAGTTGCTTGAAAAAATTATATTGGAACCATCTCCATTTAATGAAAATACTGCTTTGCAAGGTCTGTTGATGCTATCAGCCATCAAGTACGAGCCAACCAAAGTTTCTGGATATATCGAAAAGCTAGAAAATTATGACGCTGATGAGATCGCACAGTTATGTGTTGAACATGGTTTGAATGAAGAAGCCTTCGAAATCTATGACAAGCATGAGATGAACTCTAAAGCACTAAAGGTTTTGATTGAAGATATCATGTCTTTGGACAGAGGCTACACATATGCTGACAAGATTAACTCTTCAGAACTATGGTCTCAATTGGGTACTGCGCAATTGGATGGTCTTCGTATTCCTGATGCTATTGATTCCTACATCAAAGCAAATGACCCATCTAACTATGAGAATGTTATCGATTTAGCAGAACAAGCTGAAAAGTTCGAAGAATTGATTCCATACTTGTTGATGGCAAGAGATACTTTGAAGGCTTCAAAGATTGATAATGCTTTGGTTCTGTCTTATGCTCAATTGAATAAGCTTCATGAAATTGAGAACTTGCTGGCTGGTTCAAACTCCGCCAACTTGGAAGAAGTCGGTGATAAATTGCTTGACAGCAAGAACTACAAGGCAGCTAAATTGTGTTACTCTAGTGTTTCTAACTACTCCAAATTGGCCTCAACTTTGGTTTACTTGGGTGACTACCAAACTGCTGTAGACACTGCTAGAAAGGCATCCAACATCAAGGTCTGGAAATTAGTGAACAACGCATGTATTGACAAGAAGGAATTCAGACTTGCCCAAATTTGTGGTCTAAACTTAATAATTCACGCTGAAGAGCTTGACGAGCTTGTCGAAAAGTATGAGTCGAATGGTTACTTTGAAGAATTAATTTCTTTATTCGAAGCAGGTCTAGGTTTGGAAAGAGCCCATATGGGTATGTTCACAGAGCTAGCTATTTTGTATGCCAAGTACGATACTTCAAAGACCTATGATCACATTAAATTATTCTGGTCAAGAATTAACATTCCAAAGGTTATCAAGGCTGCTGAAGACGCTCACCTATGGAGAGAATTGGTTTTCTTGTATGCTCATTATGATGAATGGGACAATGCTGCTTTGACTATGATCGAAAAATCTGCTGATAACTTTGATCATCCTTACTTCAAGGAAGTTATTGTTAAGGTTGCAAATCTTGAAATTTACTACAAAGCAATTAACTTTTACGTCAACGAGCACCCATCTCTATTAGTCGATCTATTGTCCGTTTTAACTCCAAGGCTTGATATTCCAAGGACTGTTAAGATTTTCTCACAATCAGATAACTTACCTTTAATCAAGCCATTCTTGATCAATGTTCTACAAAAGAACAACTCTGTGGTTAATAAGGCTTATCATGATTTGATGATCGAAGAAGAAGATCATCAAGCCTTGCAAAATGCTGTCGACTCCTATGACAAGTTCGATCAATTAGAACTTGCTGGCAGATTGGAAAAACACGACTTGATATACTTCAAGAAGATTGCTGCGCTATTGTACCGTAGAAATAAGAAGTGGTCAAAGGCATTAGATATCCTAAAGGAACAAAGACTATGGAAGGAGGCCATTGAGACTGCTGCTATTTCCCAGGATACTAAGGTCGTCCATGATTTATTGTCCTACTTTGTCGATACAGGTAATCGTGAAGCATTTGTTGCATTGTTGTACACTGCCTACAATTTGATAAAGTATGATTTTGTTTTGGAAGTTTCCTGGTTGAATTCTCTAGAAGATTTCATTAAGCCATACGAGATCTCTGTGAAGAAAGAACAAAATGCAGCTGTTGAAAAGCTTTCGGAGGAATTTGCTAAGAAGAACAACACATCGGATGATAGGGAAGGTCAGCCACTAATGTTGATGAACTCTTCAATGCACCCTCAAGCAACTGGCTTCTAAACAGCATTCGATGCTGTCATGAACGTTTGTCAATCTTTTTGGTTGTGCAATTATGTAAAATATTCACCTTAACAATAAATTTGTATGTATAAATAAATATATAAACAAGAAAAAACTAAACATTATAAATATCTGGAAGCATTTGAGGCTGTTCGACATATTGGTAAGATTAGCGCTATTTTGCAGATTTTGTATACCCGCAGGGTAAAAAAAGATCTATTCATGAAAAAACATTAAAATTATTGAATCTATAAAAGAGGTTCTAATGTAATGATAATACACATATCTCAAGCGATCTATAATGTTCACCTCATTTCTAATTGTAAAACAGTGTCTTAATGGCATAAGTGTCTCGAAGTTGTCATCCACTCTTACTGTAGAGGCGCATACAGTATTTGTGTAACATATTTTCTTTTATACCTAACAATCGAAGCAACACAAAGAGTGTTGTGCTTAATACTACTGGTGGCTAAATGATTTAATATCACATGATTTGGTATAGGCAAAGCACCTGAGTTATTTTCGTTAGATTCACCTTGCGCATTAGAGTAGCTATTCAGAATAACATTCTCGAGATGTGGGGGTAACTGTGGTGGAGTTAGCCAGGCCATGTTTTGGTGGTTGTTCTTTTGTTGATCTAGAGTCAGGTAGTACTGCTCCATGACATTAGGATCCGTGAAGACAGCAGGAATATCCTGAGTATATTCATACTTTGTCTCCAGTGGCGAGGTATCATGGAAACGACTATACCCATTACCTAAATCATCTGGTTCTCTTTCTATTTCAAGCGCAATCCTTGATCTAGCACTCATAGGCTCTTTCCTTTCATCACCTGACTTACCTGACACTTGTGGGGTTAATGGAGGTGGTTTTTCATCAGTACCTGCAACGGGCGCAATCTCCAGATAGTTGACAAAGTTACCCATTTGGTCTGTAGCCGTTGGAAGGAAATCACTAAACCTCAACTCATTATCGACAATAAACCTAAATCTGTGCGTACCTGGAGGTAACTGTAATTTGACGTGCAGTACATTTGGTTGATCAGGCATTGGTACTAAACCTATCATTTTCCTCCAACCTGTGAAAGAACCAGTGACATATACTTTGTTACCACCTTGCTGCCAGGTTATATCGACTGGGACCATATTAGAAGCTCTTGGATCCCTAGAGCCACTAGAATCGGAATCGAATTGACCTGATTGGTTCATTGCAGACTGTGATTGTTGAGAGGCTGTACCTGATTGTGAACTTGCTGTGTTATCTGTGTTATCCGTACTAGTGGCGTTGTTAAAGACAGTATTAGACTCTGAAGTATTCTCTGCGCTATCTATGCTACTTGCTACACTACTATTCTCGCCTTCGAAATCAGACAAAGTACCAGAGTAGTGCTCCTGGTGCTTTGAGTATGGAGGTATTTCATCATCATCATCAAATATCAACGTAGACCTCGATCTACTCCTTGTGTTTAGCTGTGGTTCCAACTCGTTGGGACTGTCCACGTTCATTTGCGAAAAGCTGTAACTTAGCGAATCAGATTTGTTATTCAAATCCTGATGACTTGCATCAGACACATCAAGCATGGACGCATCCCTATTACTACCACTTCTATTTTCAGCCATTGCGACCTATTCCAGATATCTTCCTTTCGCTTACGGATGGTGTGATAGCAGCCCTATCCAAAAAAGTAAAGCGGTGCAAGGACTTATCTTGTGCACTTTAAGAATATACCCTTTACAATAGGTAAGCTTAATTTTCTAGATTCACTGAAGGATCAGAAATAGCGTCCCAAACCAAAAATTATTAGATCCTGGGGGGTAGAAATTATTCAATTTTATCACTCAGTTCTTATCCTTTCAACAACCAAATGAAGTTTCTCCACGTATCTCTCGTCTTCAAGGAAATCCCTGTCGGTCCGTAGTGCGTACTTCAGCGGCTAATGACTCAGATGGGCGGCTGCTACCCACACAATGACTATTAACTAGACGTGTCTCGTTCTTATTATGCTTGATTCCCCAGAGCGTTGGCCAATTTGCCAGTTTTCGCTGCCAAATTTCCTGCTTGTTCGCACGCATATGCTGGAGGTGGATTCCCCTTAGTCGTATTGTATTACATTGACGACTATAGTAGTTACATCAAGTTAAATGATCACGTGTATCTCTTTTGTTATATATATATACTATATACTTTCAGTTGGCTATAAATCATGATGGATATGGCCAATGCTTCTGGTGAAAGTCTGATGCTACCTGTGTACAGTGCTGGGGTTGAATGTTATATGACAATCGCGAAGTTGTTGCGTCCAGGCCCTGGGTTTATCTCTTTCTTCTGGAACTTGCGCTTGGACTCTCGATGCGATAGTCTCAACAGGCAGTAGAAGAGCTTGTGTGATGTATGTGAACGTATCAATTCATAGCCTAGGGAGTCCATAATCATAGTGAAGTGGTCGATTGTCATATACCGTGAGTTATTCACGCATGGGAGGGGCAACACCACAAATACATACGAAGGTACATCGCTAGTGGGAGGGAACAGGAATTCGGAGAACCGTTGGCACATTTGTCCACGTTCCGCAGGTGTATTCACAAAGTTTAGCACTAAGGAACATGATATCAGATGGAACTTCTCCTCACCCGTCCTCGGTAGCGGCCTCTTCATGAAGTCTTGTCTTTTTATTCCCTTAGGATCATTACTATTGAGGTCTATCCTTTCAACTTCCTCAAATATCTTACAACGGGATATGTGATTCGATACACTCAGGGAGCCGATCTCCAATGCACGTAGCTCGGTGTGCTGATCATAATTCAACTCTTTGAGCCATTTCACCAGCAGCTTCGAAGAATCACCGCCGCGATCCTTATCTTGCCCGATTTTGCTAGCCATCTGATAGTTCTTCAACCCACCATCCCGTATCTCCCGCTGGATATACCCCAAACAGCGCAACAGCTCCTCCTTCGCAGGCTTATCAGAGTGTGACCTTATCTGCAACAGTCGGGACTCCATCATTCCGTCCTGAGCTGCAACGGCCTGCCCTTCTTCATACCGCTTCCGCAGCAACTTGCCGCCCAAATAGGCATCTATCACACGCGAGTTATACTCCTCATCATTGTCTCGCAGCCGCTCTAGCTCCAACAACTCACATATAAGGGCCCGCTTACTAGTCAGGAAATGGAACCTCCTGATGATTCTCCTCGCTTTGCTGGGCTTGATCCGCACCTCCTTCAACGGTTTCTTACCACTAATGCTTACCCTCTTCCTAGACAACATCTTACCAGCAAGAGTTATTTCCTCTGGAGTTGTGCCACATAGCTTATGAGTTAGAGAGATAGCACAATGGCAATATACTGAGCTGAATATGCTAGCTCATCGCAACTTGGGCTATTTGGGCAAAATGTTCTGGAGATTTGATGAAATTTCCTCAGAAACTGTCGTACGGAGAAGGAGAAACTGAAAAATTTCTGAAAAATTTCAAAAAATTTGCGATGAGCTTGCGATGAGCTTGTATATAGCGGTGTGATTACTTTAGGATAGGTCTTTTTGGGGTCGAGAGGATCAGAACAGCAAGCTGATTTACGATGGGTAAGCGGGTAGTTGCTACGGATAAGGAGCTGAAGTGGAAGAAAGTTGATATTCCAGACACTCTGGATGACTTTGGTGGGTTCTACGGGCTGGAAGAGATCGATGGTGTTGACGTCAAGGTGGTCAATGGGCAAGTGCAGTTCATTGCTTCTGAAGCACAGGTGAAGGAGGAGGAGGAGAGCTCAGAGAGCGACTTTCCAGACTTTGATGCCATGGAACAAGAAGACGATGGCGATGTAGAGGAAGCAGAAGAAGAGGAAGAAGAAGAAGAAGATGTTGCAGAGGCAGATGAACCGGAAGTGAAACAAAAACAAGAACAAGCTAGAGTGGAACAAATAGATAAAGGAGTGGACAGTGAAAAACATGAAGATGAGAAGGAGACTCCAGAAGATGACTTGGCTACTAATGTATTTGATATCGATGTCGATCTTTCAGATGTTGGGTCTGGGGAATTACCAGGGTGGACTGATACTGTTGATCTGTCAATGACTACCATAAACGGTTTATCCAACCTAGGCTTTACAGAGATGACTCCAATTCAAAAGCTCAGTATACCAGCTGCCTTAGAAGGTAAGGATATCATGGGTAAAGCCTCGACGGGTTCCGGTAAAACTCTTGCGTACGGTATACCCATCATCGAGAAGATGATCAAATCAAAGGACAATTTAAGAACTAATGGTATTATCTTTACTCCTACTAGAGAACTGGCTCAACAAGTGACTAAGCACTTACAAAACGTTTGCAGCATGCTACTAAAGAAGAATCCATACATGATATTATCGCTAACCGGTGGTTTATCCATACAGAAGCAGGAAAGATTACTGAAATACGATGGCAGTGCCAGGATCGTGGTGGCTACGCCTGGTCGATTCTTAGAACTGATTGAGAAGAATGAGGAGCTCATGAAAAGGTTTGCGAAGATTGACGTTCTTGTACTTGATGAAGCTGATAGGTTGTTACAGGATGGTCACTTTGATGAATTTGAGAAAATCTTAAAGCATTTGGGAAGAATACGTAAGTCCTTGAAAAATATGGAGTATTGGCAAACTCTGATATACTCCGCCACATTCTCAACTGATCTATTCGATAAATTGGCGAACAGTTCATGGAAGAAGAAAAATAACAGCAAGGATGAATCAGAGATGGAGTCAGTCTTGAAACATCTAATGACGAAGATTAACTTCAAGTCTAAGCCAATGATGATAGATGCTAACCCAGAAGATAAGATAAGTGCACAGATCAAGGAGTCCTTGATCGAGTGTGCACCACTAGAGCGAGACTTATACTGTTACTATTTTGTTACACTGTATCCTGGTACAACACTTATATTCTGTAACTCTATTGAATCTGTCAAGAAATTAAATGCATACCTGATTAACCTAGGAATCAACTCTTTCCAAATACATTCTTCTATGACTCAGAAGAATCGTTTAAAGAACTTAGAGAAATTTGAAGCAATGGCTTCGAAAAACAACCATTTAGGCAAACCCACTGTGCTTATTGCCAGTGATGTTGCTGCCAGAGGTTTAGATATTAAGGGTATTAAGCATGTCGTTCACTACCACTTGCCACATTCTGCAGACACGTACATCCATAGATCTGGTAGAACAGCAAGAGGTGATAACGAAGGTGTTGCGGTTATGATATGTTCCCCACAGGAAGCCATGGGACCATTACGTAAACTAAGAAGATTGTTAGCTTCTAAAGAACAAATAAGCAAGAGTACTAAGAACAAAAAATGGCAGCAAACTGTCCCACTTCTTCCAATTGAAATAGATATTTTACAACAGTTGAGGGAGAGAAGTTCATTGGCTAATGACATTGCCGAGCATGAGCTGGCGTCTAGATCATTGAGGAAGGACAGTAATTGGCTGAAGCAGGCAGCTGACGAGCTAGGAATAGATATGGATTCGGATGAAGAAGACAAGGATATTATTTTAGCTAAAAACAAGAACAAGAAAATGAATAAGACTTTGGATAAGAACGAGCTGAAATCAATGAAAGCTGAATTGACACATCTATTGAAAATTCCTATCAGAAAAGATATGAGAAGAAGTTACTTAACAGGTGGTCTTGTAAACCTAGCAGACAGTCTAGTTAAGAAAAGAGGGCATCACAACATTATCGGTCATGAAAAGACTGATGCCTTGAATGTACTAAAGAAAGGTAAATCGAACAAGAAGCAGAAAACTAAGTAGTCCTGTCTAGCAATATATATATATAGCAAATGGTCTCCCCTCATTTTGTACCAGAGTATATGTTTCCAAGGACCTACTACAGGAAATTCCTCAGTGAAGCGAGAACTGAAGAGAAGTATACATTAGAGAGTACACTACTAGACGATTAACACTTTCTATTCCTTTGCCAATACCATATGATAAGCTGCAATACCAGTACTTATACTATATAGTCATGTGACATCATATCTCTTCTTCATTCGCCATTCGAACCCAGCTGGAGACCAAAAAACGCAACTATAATCTACTAGATCTTGAACTTAGGTTAAATACTACTTTGAAATATATTCTAAAGCCAATTGAGTTGCAGCTATCAGTAACCAGTCTGGCTATAGTTTGTTCGTTATACTCTATTTCTGTTTTTTGAAATTCTGCGTAAGTTTGTACTTTGCTGTTGGTCTCCAAGGAAGGCATTTGAAGCGCGTCAACTTTTGTGATTCAAATAATATATACTTAAAAAGGTTACAAATGATCAGGAGTGAGAGTGATCCTGAGGATTCTGTATCAAATGGTGACATGCATGAAGAAGTTGATATGAGTCCCGATGAAGAAGGTCAGTTTTATGAAAATATTGAAGGGCTGAGGAATATAATTGATTATGATCACGACCGGGACGGTGCTTATAGAATCAATGATGGCGAAGTGTATGATGGTAGCAAAGAAGGAGATGACTCTTTGTTGGCGATCTTTACCGATGTTGAGGACTTTGAAGAAGATGAGGAAGACGAGGAAGATAATTTTATGGATGCAATTAGAGAAGCAAATAATTTTAAAGTCAAGCGGAAGAAGAACAATAAAAGTAACAATAAGAAAAGTAGTAAGAAAAGGCCAATGGCTCGTGTCAAAGCCATTAATGATCCGGAAGTTGCTCAGCTTATTTCTCAAGCCAATGAAGCTTTTGTTAAACAGGATCTGCCTGAGGCAGAGCGCCTCTTCAATGAAGTGATCAAAAAAGACCCTAGAAATTTCGCAGCATACGAGACACTGGGTGATATTTACCAGCTACAAGGAAGAATGAATGATTGCTGTAATTCATGGTTTTTAGCAGCACACTTGAATGCTTCTGATTGGGAGTTTTGGAAAATTGTAGCTATCTTATCTTCAGATCTTGGACACATCAGACAGGCAATTTATTGTTTCTCAAGGGTAATCCACTTAAACAAAGAAGAATGGGAATGTATTTATAGGAGAGCTTTGCTTTACAAGCAAACTGGTCAAATTGCAAGAGCGTTGGATGGCTTCCAGAAGATGTACACTAAGAGTCCGTCAGATGCTAATATTTTGAGAGAACTTGCTATTTTATATGTAGACTATAACAAGGTTGAGAAAGCTATTGAGCTCTATCTTGAAAGTTTTGAAAAGAATATTAAAAGGCGACAGGCAATAATTAGAGCATCAGAAGCAGTGTTTGAGTCTTCAGATGACGATGACGATGATGATCCAAATTCTAAAAACTCGGATGAAGACCAAGGAGATGAGGACGATTATGATATACAAAATCCAGAGGAACTGAATATGTATCCAACTGTTGATTTTAAAAAAATTAACAAGAAATATAATTGCGTGTTCTTTGAGTGGTCGAGTTTGAATATTTTAGCAGAACTTTGTCTAAAAAGCAATCAGAAAAAGCTTGATAGTATATCATTGATTAAACGGTGTGCTAGGTGGATTCAGCATAGAGAGGGTCAGACTTTTTGGGATGATGTACACGATGACTCTGAATTTGATGATAGGAGAGCAAAGAATGGTAGATATGATGCATTACCAGAATCGGAGAAGACAAAGTCATACTCAATGCCAATTGATATTAGGATTCGTTTAGGTCTTTTGCACCTACGAAATGAGAATGTCATGGAAGCTCTTAATCACTTTCAATTTCTTTATGACGAGCCGTTTTCTGATGTATCAGATTTATACTTTGAAGTTGGGCTGGCACTGACGAAGTCAGAGAAGTATAAAGAGGCCATTGACTTTTTTACTCCATTACTGTCAATTCCTGAGTGGTGTACAATCGAGTTGTACGAGCCGCTCACTAAATGTTATAAAGAGATAGAAGACTACGAAAAAGCTAAAGAGTATGGTGATAAAGTTCTGGAAATGGATCCCAAGTCGATGGACGCAAAATTGAATGTTGCAGAAATCAATTACTATTTGGGTGACAAAACTACCTTTCGCCAGTTGCTAGTTGATGTTATTGAAGAAAGAAAACGTCAGGCAGAGTCTATATATGATCAAGGCCCAACTAAAAAGCCACGTATAGAAGAATTTGTCAGTGAGACGGAACCAGAACCAGAGCCAGAGCATGAATCAGAGCATGAACAGAGGGTAGATAAGGATACATCAGAAAAGCCACTTCTGGAAGACAGTAAATACAGAGTTTTTAATACAAAGAAAAAGAGAACACCTTTGGATGCAGAGCGTGAAAGGCTTGATCGTGAAAAGAAGATGAGATCAAAAGTTATAAAGAAATATGAAAAGGTACATGAGTATAAGGAAGGTATGTTAATGGGATCAGATCAAGACACTAAAAAATGGATTGATATTGTTTCGGAACTAATTGATATATTTTCTAGTGTCAAAAACTTTTTTGCTAAAAGTAGATCAAAGAAATTTGTTGGTATTATAAAAAGGACGAAAAAATTTACCACGCCTATTGATTATAAAGTAGAACAACTTTCTAAGTTAGTAGAGGGAGAATCATTTGTCAATGATTTACCAGTACTGGAAGAAAGAGTCATCTTATCTTCTACTACTGAGCTGAGAGGTTTAACATACGATCAGTGGTTTGAATTGTTTATGGAACTTTCTCTTGTAATAACAAAACATCAAAGCGTAGAAGATGGGCTCAGTGTTATCGATACTGCTCAGGAAGTTAACGTATTCTTTCAAGATCCTATTCGTGCCAAGATAATGAGATTTGTAAAACTGGGAATTCTTTTGGAGAATAAAGACGAATCGGAACTGACAGAGTCATTGCGTGGTTTATTAAATCAATTTCAATTTAATAGGAAAGTGTTACAAGTTTTCATGTATTCTTTGGCACATGGTCAGGATGCATTGAACATTTTAAGTTCAACAGTCCAGCAAAAGTTTTTTCTAAGACAATTGAAAGCCTTCGATAGCATAAGATATGACACTCATGTTACTGGACAGGCTTCATTAACCAACAAAGAAGTTGAAAATCCGGAGAGGAGGCCATCTCCTTATCTGTATTATATCTATGCTGTATTGCTGTATAGTAGCAGAGGTTTCTTATCTGCCTTACAGTATCTGTCATTCTTGGAGAAAGATATGCCTGATGATCCGATGGTTAATTTAATGATGGGGCTAGCACATATGCACAGGTCAATGCAGAGGTTGACTGCTAATAGACATTTCCAATTAATGCACGGGTTGCGCTACCTGAAGAAATACTATAGCATAAGGCAATCTATGTATACCAGAATTGAAAGACAGGAAGCGGACTATAACATGGGTCGCGCTTACCACATGATTGGTCTTGTTTCAAAAGCTATAGAATACTACAAGAAGGTGCTGGACAGTTACGAGGACGGTGCTTTGAAGAAGCATGCAGCTTATAATTCAATGTTAATATACCAGGAAAGTGGTAACTTGGAGCTAGCAAATAGTATAATGGAGAAGTACTTGTCCGTGTAAACTATTCGCACCCTATAAGCAATTTTGTAGATGAGGATTAACTTTTCAAAAATTCATTTCGTTACTTTTCTTGTGTTAGAGATAAGTATTTTTAGCATTTATCTTAGCTACTCTAGTTTTCTGTTTAGTTATTTACAGTTTCAAATAAAGATGTTTTATAGCCGATGTTCAAAGAAACGCTCTGCCTTTTTTTTAATAGGGTAAAGTCTTATCATAGACTGATTTCGCGTTGGTGTAAGTTACCTTTCATTTTCTGCGAAACCATGCGAAATGCATAAAATGGCATACAATTTAAAGGGGGCGCGCGCGACTCATCTAAATATAGATTCATTAGACAACTATTCGAGGAAACAACGTCATTCGCTGTCGGACTTTGGGAGAAATTGAGTCTCGAATTCGATATATTTGTTACTTCCATCCATGTCAAGTATATGAGAGGTAAATTCCAGTACCTGGGTGGCCGGGTCATTACGAGTGAATCCCTTGCATAACACCGTAAGCAAGCTCTTGACTGGTTATTACTAACAGGTTATATTTAGAAACAGCGATGCTTAGCCCACCGACGAGGATCGTTCAGGGCTGTAGATAAAAGTGAAGGACTACGTCATTGTTCAAATTAATGGTGGTGGGTAAAGGAACTGTAGATCCATAGAAACTAATGTACCAGACTATTGTTGCTACGGCATTCTTCTCTTTTACCACTTGCAATGGGAAGAGCATCGAACTCTCAGCAAAGATCTAAGCGAAGCGAAAAAAATAAAAGGAAAAAACAAAACGCTCAGTAACAAGCGCACAAATGGCAGTAAGGAAACTAAGTTCCATTTACTACAGCGCTTATACTGTATTACCTGAACAAGGTTTTGAACAGATCAATAGTGGTTCATCATTAATTAAAACGGGATTGGTATCAGCGATTCTTGGTTTTTCCGGAGTATATGTCCCCTAGGAGAGTAATGAATTGAAGGAAAACAACAACAACAAAAAGCAAAAAAAAGAAACGAACTAATATATCAAGCGTGTTACTTAGAAACATCTGCACAACTGAAACAATGAATGCAAAACAAATAAGAAAAAGAAAGAAACGTATGGCTGGTGAGATCTTCCGTGCGTTTTTAATCCCGATTTTTATATTGTTGTAACATATTCTGTGCGGCTCCTTCTTGGCGTAATTCTCCTTAGATATCGATCGAGAAGTAGCTTTTTCCATTTCAGATTGAGTTCATAACAAAGGCGAAGAGCCCGCGTACGGATGTTCCTGAGCTGCACTAGAAGTGGTAGTGGAGCTCCTCAGTACGACCCGGAAAAATGCGAAAATAAATCTTGTAAACAGATATACGGTTTTTTGTACTGCAGTTTATTAGCGGCATTGCACCTTAGATGAAATAAAATATCACTTCGTAGTGGAAAGAATATTGGCCAACTGGCAAAGACCAGCTCATCGCCTATAGGAGAATTGATGATGAGTTTGCTACAAGATACTAAATTTGTGTGGAGGCGATAGTGATGGTATCACCTGCGAGAGGGTCTCTAAACTCGAAAAGAGTAGTGGAAAAGTGTAGGTGCTCTACCATTTGAATATTTGGTCCGAGGGAGCACGAATGCTTTCCTAAGGGCTCAACGATTAGTACTCAGATGCCTCGGCATAGTTTACAAGAAATGTGTGAGAAGAGTTGTTATCAGTATGAGTCAAAGACATAATATAGTATCTAATTGCTGAGAAGACGTCATATGTGAAACTGATAGTACTGCTTTTATATCGGATCTCTGAATGTGTCGAGACCTTCTTATAGGACTCTGCTCCTATGTCTGTTGTTATTGTAGAACTGTTGTTACATACATAGAAGTTCATGAGAGTTATCTTTTTTCTTTTTCCCTTTCAGACTGTTGAAAGTGGAAAGTCAACTTCCACTTTTATAGCACAGAATTTTTCTTGAAAAAATTTTGGCGATGAGGAACAAATACTGATCCAGTGACTTCTGTTGCACATCATTGTAGGGTACTTTAGTATTCTTTCCCTTAGTGTTCCGGTGGGATCTTATGTTTTGAGTATGTCCTCGAATCAAACTTCAAAATCCTAATTGTTGGAGCTCTATCTTTGTGGTGCATGCAATGTAGTTTGCAAAAATTTATCTTCATAGTATGAAAACTATATTGTCTGGACTTCTCTATTTTTATATAGTTGTCTATCTTTTTTAGTTTTCTCCTGTCATTGTTGTATTATTGCGGCTGTTACAATTCCATCGGCAGATTTCAAAAAAATTTCCTATAAAAGCTTCTGATATTCAAGTTGGCTAGCATTGATTTTCCTGAATTCCTACTATCCACACACTTTCAACCATTTCCTGAAGTGTATTCAATATTAAAAGTTTACTCCCTCAAACTCTGTTTTTGATATCGGTCGCTCCGTATTGTTCAGAGGTGATCGTATTTCTTCAGTTAGTAGAGACAACCAAATACTAACATCTGATCATGTTTATTTGCATCTTTCAAATTCTACTTTTTATCACAGGAACTCTAGCAAGAAGTGGTAATGTACCATACCGTCCGAATAACGTAAACAATGGTTTGCTCGCCTTGAACAATAACAATAACAACAATGATGGTAGCGATGTGGCAACTGCCGGCTCCGCTGCTGTAAGCGGTAGTGTTCTGTTCTTACCTTCCTCCTTGATTTCAAGCTACACCGCAGACACGGAATCTCAATATAACACTGGAGATGAGTCCTCTGATCTATCGCAATTTTTGAATGGTGGGGGGTTGCAAACGGCACTACAGAAAACTACAACTGGAACTGATGACCTTTTTGGAAGTGCCGCCACCTCAGTTGTGCTAGAAGAAGCATACTCTTCTGATAGACAAAAAGAACTAGAAACTACTCTTTCTACAACCTCGGTGGTTCCTTCATCCTCTACAAGCATAACAACATCTCAGTCTAGTGTAACCTCGGCATCTTCTTCTTCTACCTCTAGCATGCCTAATGATCCGGAATACAGTAAGCAGATCAGCGCTGTCAGCAAGTCATTGGCTAGAGGAAGCACTTACAAGGGTGCTGGATCTGCACTAGCGCCAGGAATCTCTATTCTTCTATCGGCTCTTGTATCACTATTGACTTAATTCTGCATACAAAACTTTTACCAAACTTTCTGCATGCTTTGTCGATATTAAATCACAGGTGACTTTTGATGTATTCCTCTCACAGACAAATATCTATTAATGAATTCAATAATTATCAGCATGATCATATCTATCAAATGAGGCGCATCTTTTATCAACTCTGAATCTTATTATTACATGACAATTAGGGAAACTGTCAAGTATTATCGTTAATTAAGCTGCATAGACAAAAAAAGTATTAGATGAACTCCATCACACTCACTTCCAAGGTAATATTCCCCATAAATAACTGCATTGTAAACTAATATACTGTATAAATAAAAATACAGCTCATTGAAAAATAACTATTGAGGTTAGACCTCATTGTTGACCAAATTAGGCAAATACTATTAGGTGCTTTTAATGATGATTCAAGTTGCATCCATTTGAGGCTTGGCGTTACCAAGAAAGGTTTAAAATATATATAATGGGTAATCAGTAATGAAGTCTTACTCTTGTCTAATCCCAATTGGTTTCGCTTTAATTACTTGAATAGAGTTCCTTTTTAGAAGCATGATAATGATATAGCGAAAGCGATAAATCATCATACCAAAATGAGATATGCTTTATTCGCTAATGTAGTTACGTTAACAATAGGAGTTTTTGCTGTTGTTGAAGATGCAAAGTCCATGGCTGCTGATGCTGACATGAGTTTCTTCCTGGCGTTTTTAGATGATTTTAATGAACGATATACAGAATACACTTCTTATATGATAAGGGAACATCATACATTACCTCAGGAAGTTGCTAATTACTACTACCACTTAAACGGTGTAGATGAATATGACTTAAAATCAGACATCATTAACCAATTCCCGTTTACGATATTCAAATCCTTCATAACAGTCTTTCCCTGGTACTCATCTTTGTTGTCTGAGGGTGGTATTACTGATATGGTATTGCCTGGTGATTTCTTAAGTACTCCGACATTAGACCTCTACACATCTACCACAGACGCACCTACTGTATCGCTTCTAACCTCTGTAGTTTCAAGTGTTACGTTGTCCAATAAAGACATAACCAAGGCAGCAAAAGCGGCAGCCAGCACTTACCTGGTATCTAATTACATGTGGATACTATTATTATGTATGGTTTTTGATTTAATAGGCTTTTTAACTCTATAGTTACTGGACAATCTCACAACCACTTTCTTTTAGCTCACTAGAACAGCTCATCGCTCAGCTTTAAATTGTGTGAAAATTTAAGGGCTTCAATTAGGAAACAACAACTGATATATTCTTTTGTAACGTTAAAGGTAAGAAGGTTTTAAGTATTCTGGAGATCCTATTAGTAGCCTTTTGGTAGACCTTATTTGATTGGTATAAACTTATTGTATTGCACTAGTACCGTTAATTAGTGCGTGAAATTCCTGGTATCTTTTGGTGTTATATTCTAATTTTGAGCGTTGAAATTGTTCAAACTACATAACAGGTAGAAATGCAATTGTGGCCAGTATCCCCACCCAATCACTTCTGCATACCACCTAGGTGTTCTGAGAGAGATAAAATTGATGATGACTTGGATATTTTGGCAACAATACCACTTACTCACTCGAATGTTGTCATTATAATTACAAAAACCAGAGTATTGGTGTACAATTTTAAGCCTTTTGCGTTAGTAGCAGCTCATGAAAGAACTTCAGAGTCTCTAGCAGAATTTGGAGATAATAAGGGGCTTGTGCCATCCATTGCATTCAGAGATAAGGTATCTGGTGTAACTGATAGCAAACCACCAACTTATATGTCATGGTACCAAGGCAAATTAGTCTTTTATACAACAACTACTAAGAATTATGTTTTAGCTTACCAAGTTTTAAGAAATTCAACTAGTGAATCTATATTCAAAGATTATGGTTTGCCGATAATCGAGGTGTCACAAATTAACGAATTTGAATCTGCAGCATACGATGCAAACTTAGATGACGATGTTTTAACAGTGTTCGACAAAGTCAAATCATCAAAAGTGATACAAAACGGATATGTTTTAAATAAGGATAGAGGTATATTGCAATTTCTTTCGGCGAAATCAGAGGATCCAAACGAAATACCGATCAAGAAATTGGAGTTGAGGCTGAAAGTTGTCTTCAAATTTGAGTATGACATAATTGATTTTATTGGGTTCAAGAGATTCTCTGATGAAGATGATGGGAAGTTTGAAGAAAATCTTTTAGTGCTCTTTGCGGATAAAATTCAATTATTGAAGCTACAGGATTTTAAATTTAATAGTTCTCAAGTGGTAGAAATTGCAAATTCAAAGAAGATATGTATATGCGATAATAAACTCTACGTTATCTCTCAGGATAAAGAAACTAAAAAACTGATAATTCATCTAATCGATCTCAATGAACAAAAAGTGCTCGAGAAAACTGAGCATGATTGCAATTCTGAATTAGTTAATGCATTTTCAATAGGCTCTAGGATGCTTGTATCTACAAAAGATTCAGTTAATTTCTTTTGTACAGAAAAGAATCAATTTACATACCATCGCAAATTTGATTTCAGTATAAAGCTTGCAGAAAAATTGACAGATGAATGTTTTGTCATAATAACTGAAAATGATAGACTTGAAATTTGTAGTAAGTTTGGTAATAAGCTTTTTTCAACAATATCCGAGGATGATAGCTCCTCTAATAAGATTCATAACGACACATTAAATTACACGGCGTTAGTCTATATTGACAAAACATTGATCACAACCTGTGAATCAGGATATTATCAAATATGGAACTTTTGGCAAGAGTTTCCACAATCTACATTTGACTTCCGAGTCCCAAAGGTGTCAGCTATTGCTAATAACAACAATGATATCAAATTCTACTCTTCATCTGGAGATTCGCCACTAAATCGCATTCAATTACAATCATTAAAACTCCCAACTAAATCACTGAACAATAACATTTCACATATCAAATTAAACTCAAATCTTAAGTTGGTAGCAATTAACATATCTAATAAGAACTCGTTATTGATACAGAATTTAGAAACTAGTCTATGGTATCAATTTACAGATGTACACATTATTGATATGCACTGGATTGCCAACAACTATCTAGTATGCCACTTGAAAGAATATAACTCAGATACAGTTAGTGTCAAATGCTATAACTTACCTTTGAAGGGACTTGAAAATTATGAGTTAGAAGATCTAGAGATATGGGCTTATGAGATACCAGAAAATGTTGATATATTGAAATTCTGGGTAAATACCCATCACAAATATAAATATCTCAAGATGAAAAATCAAAAGCTGGATAGCTCAGAGCTATCCTCATCAGACAGGTTTTTCAAAACAGCGGAAATTATCCTTTCTACTTCATCATCTATTGTAGTTTTTGATGTAATTTCCAAGGTTCAATTAACAGGTTTAAATACTATTGTTAATATCCATCAATACTCATCACTTGAAATAGCGAACTCACTACCTACAAGAACTTTGGAATGGGTTAGTACTTGGAAGGATGGTTTCATAATATATGCATCTGACATGTTATTCAGATTAGAAAAATTATCAGATGGTACTATTCACACCACTCAATTACTTGATAATGTTGAAAAGATAGTCGATGTTGTGAAGCACCATATATATATGGTTCAAGAAGATAAATTTACAATTTATGATATCAATGGACTTTGGGAAGACCGAAAACCTATACTATCTATTAAATTAGATGAAGAGCATTACCCTATATGTATCTCGTCAGACGCAGCCATAGTACAGTCGCTATATTGTGTGTTTAATAAGAACCTCTCGAAACTCATTATGAAGAATTCTAGTTACCTAGATAAACTGATATCGGTGAAGATTGATAGAGGAGACGATCTTTACGATATTAGCAGGCAATTTTCAAACTTAAAGCATTATAAATTTGCCTTGGAGAAGAATCTTTCCATAAAACTGATGGAAGGAGAGTCTATCACAAAAACATTAGAACTGATTAAACTTCTTAATGATAAACCTACCGGTCATGGTAAAATATCAAGATACAGTGACATGCTAGAAATTATATCTAATTGTCTCAGAAAGAGTGAAATGAAGAACTGGAAAACTTTATTCGATGATTTAAGCATGTCTCCAAGAGAGCTGTTGGCATTATGTATTGATAACAGGGAGTCGAAAATGCTTGGGGTCTTATTATTAGTGTTCTTAAATTACGGTGAGACTGAAGTACTAGGTGACATACAAGAAGAGAAACCTGTTGAGCTACATAACCCGACAATGGATGATGTGTTAAAGGATGAAGAGCTGATGTTTAAAGTCCTAAAACACCTGGTAGAGTCTTCAGCAAGCTCAAGTAACGCTATTAAAGCATCAGAAGAGTGGGAATTATGTCTTCAGTTGGTAAGACTGTTAAAGGCTTTGGATAAAGAAAACAATACAAACCTAATGGAAAAGGCCACTCAGATCATTCTGAAGAGCTGATTATTAAAAACATTCAATACATAAAAAATAATTAATGCGTTTGTTAAAATATAAAGATCATGAAATTACAGTAATACATAGAAAAAAAAAGTAATCCTAAGTAAGTCTGTGACATAACATCTGTTTAATATGCCATTTAGTTTGATTAATATATGGTTAAGTAATATATGTATGGTATGGTAATTGGCAAGCTATTAGCAATCTATTAACAATTGGATAGGTGCAGCAGTGCAGCATACGACTGAAAGAACTAACAATGTTAATAGTTACACGTGACTTTCGGCCAATAGTGTTCGAGAAACCCTTTAAAAGATTGTGTTATGCAGAAACCATAGAAGGAAGACTTCATATACCGATATTCCCTTGCGATATGGAATGATAATCTACAGAATTTACTTGGTGCTTTCTGTAGACAAGAGATTGTTACTGATCCTGCGTTGGCTTCCCCCACCCCCTTCTTCACATTTCTCTTCGGTGATGAGAGGGAAGTTACTATTGTAGAGTGGGAATAATGGGCAAACAAAGCAAAAAAGTTGGAATACAATTGGCTCGAGGAAGGGGGATAGTGGTTTCGTAGTTCCGATGAGAGCCAATGACAGACAGAAGATTTTAGCTTCTTAGTAGGTCGAACACACTCTTCTTTGGACTTTGGGAAAAGCAGCAAAGATATTATATAGTGTTATTTTTATATAAAGAAAAAACATAAGTTGCAGTTTGCCATTCAGGCCTAATTTCTTCGGTGGCAGTTTATTACTTTTCGGAAACAAACCAAATAACAACTATAAAACATACTAAAGGAAAATGTCTGACTCACCATTGCACACTGTTGGTTTCGACCCAAGATTCCCAAACCAAAACCAAACTAGACACTGCTGGCAAGCATATGTGGATTACCACAAGTGTATCAACCTGAAGGGTGAAGATTTCGCACCATGCAAAGTGTTCTGGAAGACGTACTCTTCTCTATGTCCTGTCGAATGGGTTGAGAAATGGGATGACCAAAGAGAGAAAGGTATCTTTGCCGGTGACATTAGTCCAGAAGAGAGCAAATAGAAGATTGGTAATAGTTTGATTTTATACCACTTCTTTTTATTCTATTTATCAAAAGTTATGATTCGTCTAATGAACATAAAAAATGAATGTTGTTGGCTAAATATAACAAGCAAATCAAAAAGATTGATATTATTCATTTCATTTCACTACCAACTCTGTGTTTTTATTGAAATTCCCTTGACTAATAAGGGAAATGTTCCAATTATAGGGATGTAGTTGGTGCATATTACGGTCACATAAACAAAAACATACACTGACATACTTTTTTAACTTATTTTTTATTCTTATATTCATATTAATATAATATATATTATTCTCATTAAAGTAATGATGGCACATGGTTGGTCATCTTGAATTCGTTTCGATTATGCTTTCAAACAAAGAACAATACACACCAACTGGTACAATTTTAATAATAATAATAGTTGGTTGATTGCTAGGCAGTAACACCAGATGACTATTAGTTCCAATAAGTATAGCATTGTTATGGTGGCTGTTCACAAACGACCTGGGGAATACTACAATATGTACTGACTTTGCCGGTAAAAGATTTCACAGTTTATCTGGGCACATGGCGCAGTTGGTAGCGCGCTTCCCTTGCAAGGAAGAGGTCATCGGTTCGATTCCGGTTGCGTCCATTATTTTTTTTGCCAAAATTAAATTAAAACAATTAATAACATGATGAAACCATAGGTGTTATTCATTATTATAGTTGACTAATATCGTTGCTGAGAATTTATTACAATGCTATTATATTGTAGGTATGTCTATTTTTTTGTGTTACCTTTGAGGATTTTATATTTTGGTACTAGATATTTATTTTACGCAGCACGTCCGAAGGTTTCAGGTAGCGATGAGCTATTGAACAAGAAAAGGGCCTGTATATAAAATTGTAAATAAACAAAGTTTAAGTTAACTAAGCAGAAACATAAGAAACAGGCATAGTTTATATGATCTGATAGTGTTAGAGGAATTGATCCCACTATCTAACTGTTGCAATATTCTTGCAATATCCTCGAGCATTCTTCACATGTGATAGTTGTTATATAATTGGATCAAATCAGGAACGACTGGACAAGGTTCATTAAGGAAGTTGGAAGATGCCAATTAAGGGAATAATAGCCGATGAGAAATGGAAGATTTTTGCCAGTTCATTTATAGTCGAGCCCAAAGCCGCTGTACGAGAACTTATTGATAATAGTATAGATTCCGGGTGCCAGAATATTTATGTTTCAATTGATTCTAAGACAGGAGGATGTGAATACATTAGTGTTAGAGATGATGGTCCTGGGGTGCCACAGCCAGATAGAAAGCTGATGTGTCTCAACAATACAACGTCAAAGATAAACAGCCTTGACGATTTAGACAAGATAAGTACCTTGGGTTTCAGAGGAGAAGCATTATTTTTAATAGCCAATTTATGTTGTGAAGTGGGCACATTGGAGATAATTACGAAATGTAAGGATGAGAGTGTTGGTGAAAAATGGTATATCCAGAAAAATGGCTCTATAAAACCTAAGAGTGTCAGAAAAGCACCTGCCACAACGGGAACAGTTGTTACACTGCGTAAGCTGTTGGGAGGGTTCAAGTCAAGAGAAATTGATCAATCAAGTAAAGCCAGGAAAACGATAGAGGATTTGAAGACTATTTTATACCACTATGCGCTTAACTTCAGAAATATAAGGTTTAGTTTTGAATTGGTCTCATTAAATAAAAATGGCTCCATAGCTCAAAAACAATTACAATTATCAGTAGCACCTAATCTAACAAGACCGAGGCTTTTGTCTCTGATAGCAAATTTAAGAAAACCTACAAATATTAACTTTGTCGAGAACGCATCACTGGAAATTACAGACAAGATAGATATCCAACTCATTCTGCCAACTATGATCCCCCAATCAGATGCTGTCAACGTAAAGAAAAGCTATAAATTTCTATCTGTAAATAACAGGGCATTATCTAGAAAATTAGCTTTTGGTAAAGAGTTTGATAGAATGTTATCCTCAATATACAGGAGACTACAATTACTAGAACCCAATGTATGGTATGTGAACATTATCAGCGAACCACAATTGATTGATGTGAACATTGAGCCTGAAAAGGATGATATATTACTGAAAGACGAAACCAAAGTGATTCAGAAAATGGATAACATAATTGAACTATATTTACGAGAGAAACTCAACATTAATCCAACAGTATCCATTACAAACAGTCCATCATTCAAACAATTTGCAGCTAATACATCAGTTATGCTGGAGCATAACGAATCTTGTGATGAACCTGTAGATCAATCAACCATGCCGATTTTAACTCCAACTAGTAAGAACATAACTGAAGCCATTATTGAATCGGAGAACGGAAATAATTCTGAGCCCAGAATCACTTATGAAGCGGACTCTACTAATATGGGTTTCAAATCAATCTCAGAAGTAAACAGAACTGGAATTTCGAATAGTCAGATACATAATTTGCCCAATGATAGTTCAAACTCTCATTTTGATAATACGACAAAATTGTCTCATGGAATTAATCAAGATAATTTAAATTCATCCGATCAAGTCAACACTCAACAGAACACATTCAGAAACTCAATGACACATGTGGGGCATGAATACGATGCTAGGCGAGAAAATACGAAACCGAAACCATATAACTCAGAATTGGCGAGTAACGTAAAAGATACTGTAGTGCAAGTTAAAGAGGAACCGCATGAACCAATCAGCTCGAACTTAGCCACTATCGATAAAGACAAGGAGAATACTTTTGAATATCCTTATAATACACACAAGTCCGGATTGAGTGATTTAGGGGCATCAAATGTACACGACATCAGTAATCAAACCATAAGACCGCAAGACATGCATGTGAAGAGACCGCATACATCAATGAATATAGCACCTGTTCACAAGCGGGTTAAGACCAATGAAGCCAAGAGGAAACTAAGGATGTTTTCTGAGTACACCACACGATTAACAACAAATGCAATATATAAACCAAATCCACAACCAACTATGTCAGATTTTGATCAAGCACCATTCAAAGACAGAGTCTTACAGTATATAAAATCCAAACAGTTTGAAGAAGTCGATCTCGAAGAAACTTCGCAAGGCTGGCAAAAGCTTGTAAAAGGTAAATAAACCTGCTCTTTATTGACATAAACAAGAAAACATGTATATGGAATCCCATGTACTTTTCGATTCTCACAGAACCATACCTAAGGACAGGACACACCCGTTCCTGTATAAACCGGAATATAAACATAGAAAGCAGATAAGGGCAATGCGCAAGCTTAATGGGCCACCCGTAAATATTGGGTTCTGAAGTTCTTAGTTCATGCTTGGTGATCAGTGTGATCTTGCAGTTGCAATCACACTAAAATTTTTTTCCAAATTCATTTCTTTTTTTTCTCATCAATATCTTTTGATCTATTACATGACATTTTGTCAAAAGAACTTTGCTGGGAGAGATGAGCTCTTGAGTTCTTCTCATTTGCTTTTTGGATTGACGTATTTTTACTAAGTCCACACAGGTTAGAATTTTATATTTGCTCTTGTAGACGAGATGAGTCCAGACACCCCTCCAGGTGGGCTTTCTCAGACACCTTTTTCTTATTGTGCTAGTTTGGCATATATATATTAATACGCATTGGTTGTTGAGCTTAATATATTCTTAAACCCCGGATTTATAATATACATACTGGTGTTTTTAGCATATATTTCAATATATGGCCGAACTGCAACATGCTTCCAAGGACTATAGATATACTTAAGAAGTTCGCCACGTTCGTGGGTCCCGGCATCATGGTCAGTGTGGCCTACATGGATCCCGGTAATTACTCTACCAGTGTCTCTGGTGGTGCTCAGTACAAATATAAGCTACTGTTCTCCATATTTGTGTCTAATATCTTTGCAGTTCTTCTACAATGCCTTTGTGTTAAGTTAGGGACTGTGACAGGCTATGACTTAGCGGAGAATTGTCGCAGAAACCTTCCAAAGAAGGTGAACTATGTGCTATATTTCTTTGCTGAGATCGCTATCATTGCAACAGATCTGGCCGAAGTGGTGGGTACGGCTATTGCTCTACAGATATTGTTCAATATACCCCTAACATTAGGTGTGATCCTGACTGTGCTTGATGTGCTGCTAATATTGATGTTCTACAGACCAGATGGCCAGTCCATGAAGAAAGTAAGGATGTTTGAATTGTTTGTGGGTGTTCTGGTCATCTGCACAGTGTTATGCTTTGTACTTGAGTTGTTCAAAATCAATATCCCAAACAAGAGAGAATTATTCGAGGGCTTTATGCCAACATCAATAATTTTCAAAGAAAAGCAAGCTTTATACATATCTCTAGGTATATTAGGTGCTACCGTTATGCCACATTCTCTTTACTTGGGATCCTCCTTGGTTAAACCAAGACTTTACGACTACGACATCAAGAAATATGGTAAAGTCGGATCTTCACCAAGTCTAAGTGCTATCAAATACTCTTTGAACTACTCTTACGCTGAATTAATTATTTCCTTGTTCCTAATAGCCACATTTGTTAACTCAGCTATTCTAATTGTTGCTGGTGCAACACTAGCTGGTCAGCCTGAAGCTGAAGATGCTGATTTATTGTCTATTTATAACTTGCTAGTCCACTACATCTCACCAGCGGCGGGCCTCATCTTTGCTGCTGCAATGTTGTTCTCAGGGCAGTCTGCAGGTATTATCTGTACTTTAGCCGGTCAAATTGTTTCAGAAGGTTTCTTAGAATGGTCTCTACCCCCATGGGCTACAAGACTATGTACAAGATTGATCGCTATCATCCCTTGTTTGTTTGTTACACTAACACTTGGAGAGCGTGGCATATCAAATATCCTGAATTTCTCTCAAGTTGTTTTGTCCCTAATTCTACCAATTGTTTCAGCGCCACTTATCTATTTCACTGCTAATAGGTCAATTATGACAGTAGAGGATCATCACTTACATGTGGCTGATATAAATGATGTTGACGAGAGCACACCTTTAAATTCCAGTGCACAAAGAAAGAAAAAAGATTTTACCAATTCTAAATTATTAACTGGAGCAGCTGTCTTTGTTTGGGCTTTAATTGGTGGCTTGAACTGCTATTTGGTTGGCTCTTGGCTGAACGGTGCAGACGTACACTTCTAAACTACGTTATAGGTAGTTCAACGGTTAGATACATACCATGAACAAAGTATCTATCCGGGTTCTACAGTCAATACTACTGAGTTTAATAATATATAAATATTTGCATTTTTAACATTCGTATCATCAATTATGAAAGCATCATAGAAATATCATCAATCTACATAAAATGCTAACTTGAATATGTGATGTTTTATAATATTACAAATGCTTCCTCTATTAAGTTATATGAGTAACAAAGAAATAGCTACTCTAAACTAGTATAAGTTTTATTAATTTTATCTTCTATACTTTTTCTTTTTAACAGGTTGTGTCCTAACAACTGGTATAGTACCATTATAATTCACTTGAACTATTGGAAAAGAAGTGTGATTCGATAATTTGAGTGGCTGATCAGTTTTTGAGAGCATTATTTCTTTTAACAAAAGGCGAGCTTTGAAATATAGATTTCTCTCATCATCTGTAGGCTCTCTTAGCCTTTTCGCTATTCTTGACTTTCTCAACCTTGCTATTCTTGATAAAGTGTCATTAACAAGCTGTTCGCCCTTACCATCTTTGAGAAGGGCAATATCGCTATCGGTTAACTGATTAGAAGGTGTCCAAGCAAAAAGATTCTCAATTTTTATATTATTATTACTATCATTTCGAAGATTTTCTTCTTCAGTTTTCACTTCAGCTTCATTTGCAGTTTTTTCATTTTTTTTCGTTTGATCCAGGTCAGCATCATCAAGCATATCTGTCTTCTTCTCCTCATCCTTAGTGGTTTCCTGCTCTTTTGATAAATCTTCATGTAATTCCTTTTCCTTTTTGATAAGTTCTTGCATATATCCAACTCTATTCAACCATATCGTACCTTTTGTTGTTGAATCTATAACTGTTCCATTTTCATTAAAAGAAGGTGCCCATGAGCTAAATCCATTGTATTTTAGCCATACCGTAGTTGGTAGAGCATACCAATTTGGATGCAAAAATCTGGTCATCATTTCGGTAGGTGGCAGAGTTGGATCTGGGATACCGCTTGTGTTTGCTGCCAAAAAGCCCAATTTAGGTGCTTCATCTAAAAGGCTGGTTTGTGGAATAACTTTATTGATTTCAAAATTAGAGTTTGGTAATTCATGCGGTCTATAATCAATTTCAGATCTCTCGATAGTAGAAGAAAATAATTCCAGATCTTTAGTAGTAATGTGATAAGTCTCGGTAACAGGAACAGTATAATTAGTAGCAATTTTAATGAAGTCAGCACTTATGGCCTTTTCAAGTTCTGTTCTGCTGGAGTCCGTCTCTCTTTCATCATCATCCAAATTTGTCTCGTATACTAATTGAGCGCCGATCTTATAGGCTTCTCGTAGCATCAATTCAGTAGCAAATTTATAGAATTTATCCACCATTTGATATTTCTTGGAACCTTGGGGGAAATAATTGATAAGCATTATGCATACCAATTTAATATCATGATACAGCTTGTATAACCCACCATGACTAACATTATACTCTTTCTTATCGTTTCTTTCGGTTATTGTTGTCAATGGAAGCTTATCCTCATTTTTGATAGAGCCATCATGATCGGTTTTACTTTTCAAAAACCTGTTATAGGATTCATAAATTTTTAGTGGGTCTGATTCATGAAACTTTGAAGGAAATGGTTCATCTAACACCCTGCATTTGGCTCCAGCAACTCGAAATATCCGAAACAGATTATTTATCAAATCCGCAATACCCTTTTCAGCAGTTTGCGACATGCTTAGTATTTGTTACTCACCAGTGTAAACGTGTTATTATAGAGAGACAAATTAAAAGTGATTCAGAATTATTATCTCAATTTATCTATTCCGTTATGGGGATAACTTGCGATGTTTTAACAATGATTGTATTTATGTACCTAATTACCAACCAATTCAAGTACAGTTCACGTCCCAGGAAAAGTGATAATCAGAAATAAAGTGTCTAATATTTTGCGTTTAACGGAGGTGCTTTGTATATCCTCTGTAGTTAAAAGGCAACTCCAGTCGAATTTTGCATACTATAAGTTTGCATGTATTGGTATTATTGTGATACTTTTCAACTTTCTCATTCTGGTCGCGTCAATTTGAGTTTCTGCGAACTCTTCATCGAGGACAGTTTTTGACGTCTAAGATGATCACAATACTGGTGATGTATAACTATAAGAGATAAATCACCCAACAAATGAAAGAGATGTGTTCTATAATTATTTATTAAGATGCAGTACTTTAAATATATATATTACATTAGTCGAAAGTCATTCATGCAGTTTTTCTATATTCGTTAAGATTCAAATAGCATTTGAATTTCTTCTATGCGACGTTTACGTCTCTCATCCTCATCAGTATCCATGGCTTCACCTAGCGTTCTTTTACGGTCCTGGATCCTTAACATTTTTTCTTCAATAGAGCCATCTATTACAAATCTGATGACTTTCACACTGTTAGTCTGCCCTATCCTATGAATTCTATCGATTGCTTGATCCTCCATACTGGGCGACCACCACGGGTCCATCATAAATGCATAAGACGCACAGGTCAAGTTCAACCCAACACCACCAGCTTTTAATGATAGAAGCAAAACCTTCTGTACTGCATAATCTTTGACTTTGAAATCTTCTAGCACCGCAGTACGCTCTTTTAAGGACAGGCGACCATCAAATTTGTAAACTTTCAACTTATTTGATGAATAGACCTCGTTTAGTTGTGACTCCAATATATCTAAATATGAGGAGAATTGTGAAAATACTACTACTTGCTCACCGGCAGAACTATCTTGTAGCTGTTGTAAGTGCCTTATTAAGGCATTAAGCTTCGCAGGCCGTTCCTTACGGTCAAAATGGATCAGCTTTAGAATTCCATCAGAGCCTTTTTCAAAGGCTAGGCATCTATTTAAATTGATGTCCCTCCTACAGTTAGGACACTTTTGTTGCAAGCTTTTCTCTTTTTGGAAGTTACCATATTCCTCCAGACACTCCTTACAAAAAACATGCTCACATTCTGTAACAACCGCAGACGAGCTCTCAATAGGTTCCGCTGTACATATAGAACACTCAACAGGTATCAGTTGGTTTGAATCAATAAATTTTGCCTCTACAGATTCAATCAATTTGTCAAGTTCGTCATTTTCAAATGGAGGTACCTCATCTTCCTCCTCCTCTGTATCTGGTATTAGGGTTTTTACATCAACTGATTCAGTTATTAGCTTGTTATTACCTGAAGACAAATCTTCATCATTTTCATCTAAGGTTCCAATTAGATTTGAATCACAACAAACTTGGCGAAGTCTTAATATATGAACCAGGATAGTTGAATATTTTTTCAAGAGATCACCTGATTGTAGACCTGATCTGAATGTTTTCTCTGCCCTTTGCAAAAACTCTTCATATATTAATTTCTGTTTCTTAGATAATTGTAATTTCTCAATAACAATTTCCTTTGGAGGTAGCTGAACAAGAGGATTTCCATCAGTATCTTTCATCTGCTTTGTTCTTCTTAGTAATACGGGTTCCATAATAGCATTAACAACATCAAATGCTTGCTTAAAATTTCGTTCCTCGAAAGGATTTGTAATGAATTGTTTCCAATAACCGATCTGAGACCAAGGTTCTAACTTCAAAAATTTTACCAAAGAATATAAATCATCCAGTCTATTGATAATTGGGGTACCAGTCAGTATCCATCTATATTTTGAAGATAGTTCTAATACCGCTTTAGAAGTAATTGTAGATTTATTTCTTATAGTATGGCCCTCATCTAGAATTATCCTAAAAAACTCGATAGAAAAAATACCAGAAGTTCGTCCCAGAGACCTGATATTTGTTCCATCTTTACTTAACTTTGTCCATTCATTCTGAACAATACCATAAGTAGTTAGAACAACAGTTGGTGGGTTCTTTCTTTTGATCAGTAAGCTTTTGAGACTACTCACATTACCTCCATAATATAACTCACACGTTAATCCAGCATTATTATTGACTTTGTCAAACTCATCACGCCACTGGGTTAATAATGACATCGGCACAATGATTAGCGTTGTTTTGTAAGCATATGATCTTTCCGGTTCTTTGATTTCTATTACATCATCACTTGATAAATTAGAACTCTCTTGGTGAAACAGTGACTGACTGGTAGTATGTTCGTCCTTTGGTCTCATCAGTACTAATGATAGAGCTGAAATAGTTTTACCTAAACCCATCTCATCGGACAATATACCACCATTCTTGAAAGAATTCATCGTTGGCCTCTCAAGAGAAAATTCACCAGTATGAAGATTCCCATAAAAGAAAATCAGCTTAGGATTTGAATTGTCATTTTCACTCCCTGTAGATTGATTATGCCATGACATATTCCTGGGCCACTGAAATTGTCGCCACAAGGGGTTAAGAAGTGTAGTATCATCTTCGGATTTATCTTCATTATCATGGCCTATGGAAATACCCTCTCTTCTCAACATCCAAGTTAAACCTTGCTTTTGATACTTGCGAAGTTCCACTTTAACTAGCTCTGGTGGAGGCGTTGTCGGTATTAAGCTATTTAGTTGTTTAGAAGATTGCGTTGCTTTATAAAAGGAGGTCAATTGATTGATATTCATCGTATCTTCTTGATGCTGAGTTGGTAACTCATCGTTTAAAGGTTCTTGTGATAAGAAATTCCCAAAACTCTCATCGTCTTCCAGATCAACTATTTCGTTGTCATCGCCATCTTGTTTCAACTTTTCTAAAAATTTGGCCTCATCTTTAACTGGCCTTAATTTTATCTTATCGAATAACATGATTAAACCCATTCTTATATTTCTTTCTTCCAGTTCCTGTTCAGTTTCCACTATTGCTCCAAATCTTTCACGCCCATTTCCATTTTGAGTCGAAAACGTAGGATTTTCTTTGCGATTAAACAGTGTGGAGGTTAGAAATGAGTCCATTTGGATAATTATATTATCACCTATGCTTAGTCTCTTATCACCAGGATAGATCATTGTTAGTTTAAAATGGACTTCGTTTCGATGAAGAAGAGGAAAAACAATTCGAGCTATATCTTCGGGAACTCTACCAATTTCCCTTTCATCATTGGCACTATAAATCTTAACAAATGCAGCAAGACCTGTCTTTTTCTTGTTCAATTGTTCGTAAATTTTCTTTAAAGGCACATTATTATTGGATCTTTTAAAGATAAGTGGTGTCCCGTATGGGACAGGTCTCATTGTAGGTCTCGTAACCATCACTGTAACTTGTAGTGATCCAACAAACTTTTTCCAACTACTGTTTGCCCTTTGGGGCTTTTTTGATTGACTAGACTGCATGAAATCGTCCTCACGTTTCCTCTTCACACTTACTAGTTGAAGATCTGTATCCTTCTCTTCATTATCAGGCACCGTCAACACTTCTTGGGAATGTTGCAGTTCCAAAGACGATGGTGGTGCATCGTCATTTCCGGTTTGATATTGGTCAAAATACTCTGAGATAGCCAGATCCAACCCGTCGTCAATATCCCTATATTTTTCTTCAAGTGCTAAGGCCACTTCTAACCGGATAGTGGGCAACACTGCTCTTAGCTGCTCTATAAAGGGTGATTCCTGTGTACCTTGTGCAATTTGCTCTTCTGGATCATTTGCATTTTCTTCCTGAATCGCATCTACCTGCGGTTCAAATAGAAAAGATGATTTATCAGTCAAAGTGGTTTCGATAGACGACTCGAGTTCATCTTTAAAGAATCGTTTCTTCTGGTTTGCATTCTGATCCATTACTAAAGTACCATTGGCTCTTACTTTGTATTCAAGATATAGTATCTATCTAATAGGCCTCCCTTCTATGGATTGTAAAAAACTTCAGATGTCTTTAGTTTGAACAACTATTAACTTTTTTTATATAGTATTAGTCCTTTTGAAATGTCTGCTAAGTTGTATATGTTGGACAATAGTCTGTAATAATTATATTAACTCTTCTAATAATATTTACCAATTTTTTTTTTTTCTTCATTTATTATATTACATCACGTAGTGTTGTCATTTTTGTGGGGAGAAGAGCGAAACTCTAATTCATTAATTTCTAAAAAAGAAAACAAAATAGTAAATTTATTCACGCGATGATGCCATCGCGTTTGTATAATGCAATCCCTCTTTCAAAAAAATTGATGAAGATAAAGACAAAACTTGCTCAGTTTTTTGGCATGTCATTCAATATTTTGGCATTCTAAGATTTTGCGACTTTAGTAGCTCTATAGTTCTTTTTTTCGTTTCTACTTCAAAGTTCAGTCTTTGTAAATCATTCATCATAGATATAACTTTGTCCCTACTGGTCCTTTGACGGTAACAATGTTCGGGTGTCTTTCTTTGAAGTAAATTGGTTAGATCGGTTATTTTCTGTTCCACAAGTCTCTTCTTTATAGAGATCATGTTTTTGCGATGTTTCAATGATTCTATATCATCAATGTCATTATCCAGATAGAAATCAATTATTTGAGGAACATCGTTGGATAATGTGGTTATATCTGCTTCGCTGTATGTGATGCTTTCAATTGTAGGAAATTCAATTACCATATCCCTAACCATTATTGGTTCAATCTGTGGTAACCATTCTCTTTCATTAGTTGACATTGTTACTGGGATATCTGGCAAAATAAAATTTGTACTCAGCTTGGTATTATTAAGTCCCAAATATTTACCGTTCAAATTATGACAAAATTTCAACCTATTCCTTTTCCGTTGTTTGTAGTTTCTTATGCTTTTTCTTATCATTTGACTCCACTTTGAAAGGATAGACGCCAATATGCTTTGATCATCATCATTAGCTGTCCTTGGTGTTCTCAAGTAACTCTTCTGTTCTTCGACGATTGCTGTGTCTGGTTCCCATTGCAAGGGCTCTGGCAAACATATCTTCTTAACAGAGACTTTTTGAAACTTGAAACTTTCTGTAGTCATCCGTTCCAGTTTCTTCAATTCCCTTGGATGCAAGTAGTCTTTCTACCTGTGACTATGACAGAACAAAAATCCTCTGACGTAGAGCATTTAGGTAATAATAAAATCAAAAAGAATCAAAAAAAAATTAGCTGTAACTGTTTCAAATTTTCTAAGCTATCTTTATATGAAAAGGGTTGACATACTTTAATAACAGTGGAATTTTTTTTTTTAATGGGTATCAATTAGCATAAAAGGGTGTAAAAAGAGGTAGTGTTTGACACAAAGAAAAATTTTTTTATTAATTCGCAGGCGGCGCAAGAATCAGGAAATTTTGTTTTTGGAGAAACCCGGTGCCCTTTTATACTTTTTTTTTGGGGGGAGGGGAAGACAGGCGAGGATTGAATCCAAAGGTCCGCGGCAGTGAACCTGGGAAGGCAAAAAAAACTTAGTGGCGCCTCTGCGTAGTTTTGTGAGTAAAAACGTATCAAAGTAACAGAACTGCTAAAAATAAAAACTTGAAAAGCGGAGATCCCGCGGAGATAGTATCTGCCACTGCACTTCTGCACCAAGAAAAAAAAAGAGGAGAGAAATCGAGGGGAAATAGAGATCTGGGAATTAGCCGCCGAGAAATAAAAACACAAACCAATTTGGTACGTGCAATTCTAAGACAGATATGCTATTTTTGACATATCCCCAGGTAAGAAAAAAAACAACAACAGTTAGATTAGCCGCGGATACATAGATCTGGAAAACTGACGTCACCATTACGGCAGACAAAGTGTTCTTAAAATAGTGGTCGGGGAGAGGGGGGAGTGCAACCTTCCAAATATAGAACCATACCTTCGACACCCGCCGATGATGCAAGATTTTTGCTGCCAAAGGAAATATTAACGTTAGCCGCCGAGACAAAAGGGAAAAGAAAATATATGGCACCAATTACGAAGTTTAGGGCTTTTATTGAGTATGACACCTCACCTTGAACGAGAACCCAACCCTCAATCACAAGACGTATAAGATGATATAATCTGGAAAAAAAGCGTTTGATACGAGACAGGTTTACTTCTTAATTCCCAAAAAGAGACCTTTGGTTTTTTCTTGTTTTACGGGGGTTTCTGTGGATTTCAGAGTTTTTTTTTTGGTGCTTGTGAAAAAGTTTTTCACTTCCCGCAAGCAATTGGAATTTTGTCGATGGGGCCTGCAACTACGAAAAAAAATTTTTCAATTAGTATATATAGTGTGCACTAACAGGAAAAGAGAAACGTATATTTTTTTTCTTTGAATGTATATTTATTAGTTAATTCACTTAATTTTTTATTCTCTCTTTTGACATATCGGTACGACCAACTATTTTAACAACAACACTACAATGGGTGCCTACAAGTATTTGGAAGAGCTTCAAAGAAAGAAGCAATCTGATGTTCTAAGATTCTTGCAAAGAGTCAGAGTCTGGGAATACAGACAAAAGAACGTTATCCACAGAGCCTCCAGACCATCTAGACCAGACAAGGCTAGAAGAATGGGTTACAAGGCCAAGCAAGGTTTCGTCATCTACCGTGTCAGAGTTAGACGTGGTAACAGAAAGAGACCTGTTCCAAAGGGTGCTACTTACGGTAAGCCAACCAACCAAGGTGTCAACGAGTTGAAGTACCAAAGATCCTTGAGAGCTACTGCCGAAGAGAGAGTTGGTCGTCGTGCTTCCAACTTGAGAGTTCTAAACTCCTACTGGGTTAACCAAGACTCTACTTACAAGTACTTCGAAGTTATCCTTGTCGACCCATCCCACAAGGCTATCAGAAGAGATGCTCGTTACAACTGGATCTGTAACCCAGTCCACAAGCACCGTGAGGCTAGAGGTTTGACTGCCACTGGTAAGAAGTCCAGAGGTATCAACAAGGGTCACAGATACACCAACACCAAGGCCGGCAGAAGAAAGACCTGGAAGAGACACAACACCTTGTCCTTGTGGAGATACAGAAAGTAATCGTAAGCCTCGTCTCGCTTTTTCCGATTTTTCTTTCTATATGGGACTTTTTTTGTTTTTATAGTATAAGTATTCCTATACATAGGTATTTTGTAAAATAAAAACAAAACTTTCCACTTTTTTTTAAAAAAAGAGACAGAGTAATATTAGTATAAATTTATTAATGTTTACATAGTCAATTGGTTGATTTATTACGTTAAAAGGCTAAAAAATACATATACAAATTTATATAATATTAAAAAACAATGTGGTAATATCAAGTATATCAATTACTTTAGAAAAGTCCATATATACATACTTAACAGTAGGAGTCAAGCTTTTTACCCATAACTACTTGTAATTTAATAAAAAAGAGATATCTAATAATACCACTAATATAACTGTACTATTGGTATTATCATACCCATGTACGAATCATTTCCCACCATACTGAAAAGAGTCACCCGACCCCACATCCTCACAAACGTCGCAATTAACACAGCCCACAGGGACCACCACAGTGAGCCAAAAGGAAGTCACAGCAGGCCCGATTTCCCAGATGGTTATGGCAGTGTCTGGCTGCGGCAGTGTCTGTGCAGTTCCAAGTGAAATTATTGAAAATTAGCAGGAGTTAAAAATGGGTAAACCGAAAACTGGGAAGTAGTTTCTTGTGCGGGAGTTTCTGAGCTGGGATTCGAGCTGGTGGGGGAGGGGGGACAGAGTTAAAGCTGAGAAGGGTAATATAAAGGGAACGCATACGCAGATGACGAAGCTCTAGGGGAGTTTCTGTGTAGGGCGCAAAACCTTTTCAGAGTCCTCTCCCGGCCAAAGGGGTTCTTCTATGGTCTGAAGTTGGTGCGCAATTTGGGCAAAAAGTATAAATAGGGCCAATTAAAAATTTCTAATAGGATGGGCGTGTACTGGGGTGGCATACCTAGGAGAAGGGATAGACACAAATACTGTTGAGGGTGACTGATAACTGAAAAAAAACAACGATAGGAACATTAACATGTACAAGAAGACGGCTATTCTGTCTGTTTACGACAAGACTGGGCTGCTGGACTTGGCGAAGGGGTTGATTGAGAACGATGTGAGGATTCTGGCCTCAGGCGGTACTGCGAACATGGTGCGCGAGGCCGGGTTTCCTGTGGACGACGTGTCCTCGATCACACATGCGCCAGAGATGCTGGGTGGCAGAGTGAAGACGCTGCACCCTGCGGTGCACGGTGGTATTCTAGCCAGGAACTTGGAGAGCGATGAGAAGGACTTGAAGGACCAGCACATTGACAAAGTGGACTTTGTTGTGTGCAACTTGTACCCTTTCAAGGAGACCGTCGCAAAGGTCGGTGTCACAGTACCAGAAGCAGTCGAAGAGATCGATATCGGTGGTGTTACCTTGTTGAGAGCCGCCGCCAAGAACCACTCGAGAGTCACAATCCTGTCCGACCCTAACGACTACGCTATTTTCTTGCACGAACTGAAAGAGCACGGCGAAGTTTCTCAGGAGCTGAGAAACAGACTGGCACTAAAGGCTTTTGAACACACTGCTGACTACGATGCCGCCATCTCTGACTTCTTCAGAAAACAATACTCCGAAAACAGAGCCCAATTGCCTCTGCGTTACGGTGCTAACCCACACCAAAGACCTGCACAGGCTTTCGTCACACAATTGGAGGAGCTGCCATTCAAGGTCTTGAGTGGCTCCCCAGGTTACATTAACCTTTTGGATGCTCTAAATTCCTGGCCTTTGGTTAAGGAGCTATCAGCATCGCTAAACTTACCAGCAGCAGCATCCTTCAAACACGTTTCACCAGCTGGTGCCGCTGTTGGTATCCCACTTTCCGATGTTGAAAAACAAATATACTTTGTATCCGATATCGAGAACCTATCTCCATTAGCATGTGCCTACGCAAGGGCCCGTGGTGCCGACAGAATGTCCTCCTTCGGTGATTGGATTGCCCTATCGAATATCGTCGATGTCCCAACTGCAACCATTATCTCCAAGGAGGTGTCTGATGGTGTAATTGCTCCAGGCTTTGAACCCGAGGCATTGGAGATCCTAAAAAAGAAGAAGAATGGTAAGTACTGTATCTTGCAAATAGATCCAAACTACATCCCAGATGCCATGGAATCGAGAGATGTCTACGGTATCACTTTGCAACAAAAGAGAAATGACGCCATCATCAACCAATCTTCTTTCAAAGAAATTGTGTCTGCCAATAAGAACTTGACTGAACAGGCCGTGATTGATCTAACTGTTGCATCATTAGCTCTAAAATACACACAATCTAACTCCGTCTGTTATGCAAAGAACGGTATGGTAATCGGTCTTGGAGCTGGCCAGCAATCCAGAATCCACTGTACAAGACTAGCAGGTGATAAAGCTGACAATTGGTGGTTGAGACAACATCCAAAGGTTCTTGCCTTTAAGTGGGCCAAGGGTGTTAAGAGACCAGATAAGTCCAATGCAATCGACTTATATGTTACTGGTCAAATTCCTGAAGAGGATCCAGAAAAGTCCGAATATGAATCTAAGTTCGCTGAAATTCCAACTCCGCTAACACCGGAGGAAAGAAAGGAGTGGCTCTCTAAGTTGAATAATGTCTCCTTATCCTCAGATGCATTCTTCCCATTCCCAGACAATGTTTACAGAGCTGTCAAATCAGGTGTTAAGTACATTGCTGCTCCATCTGGATCTGTTCAAGACAAGGCTGTGTTTGCTGCTGCTGATTCTTTTGACTTAGTCTATGTTGAAAATCCAATTCGTCTGTTCCATCATTGAAACAAAAGTGCCTTATGTCAACTAAATAAATAAATTTCGATAAAAAAGTGCTTCAGGATAACAAAGACAGTCATATATCTTTATTTCTCCACATAATCAGTTTGCGGTATTCAAAATAACCATCCGCCTCATATAAACATTTTCAACATGGATCTGTAATAATAATTGTGAATTAAATCACAATCTGTAATAATTCACAATCTTTGATGTCAGATGAAAGAGGACATTCCACTCCTTTATTAATATAATAACTATAGATGTGTTTGAAAAGCAATTTCGATGTTTAAGGATAAGCTGTCATGAATACAATCCAAGCTACTATGTACTTTCATGCCTGTATTTTTTAATTCCCCTTATGGTTTTTTATATGTTCAAACTCTTTTATAAATAAATATATGTTCGCCAAGATACACTTGAACTCCTACCAAAACTTGAAATAAATGCAAGAGATTTCCACTTGAATATTTGCACTTACAATAACTAGTATTTTAGTAAGCTACAATAACGATGTCTTAATAACAATAACAAGAAAGCTCTACAAAAAATAAAAATCTATAAATGAAATTGAATGTATGCAGTATGGTTTTACCCAAATGATCATCGACCAGCAAGGGTCTACATAGTGTTCAGGAATATACCGCTGTAGAACGACAACAAAGACGATCGAACTCAATCCTAAAGATTCCAAAAGAGTGAAAACAAAAAATGGGATAAATCCTAGATTTTGAAACCTCTCAATTTTCCACAAAAGGAGAATTCAAGATCATGCGTCCTACTTGATCTAACAATTGGTGACCCGTCAGCGGGGCTACTTCTGTCTCATCCATATACGTAATGGCAACAACCTCGAAAACAATAATCAATTCAAATCCGATGGCCAAAAACGACTCAAAACCCCACGAGCACGAAGCCCGTAGAGGAGAAGTAAATAACCAAAGGACCTCCCACCTAAATAAATAGACAGGAAACTAAATCAATTACGTCTTGGGTTCCTTGAGACTCTGCCTCTCGAGCGCTGAAAGTGTTGGGAAATTGGTAGATAAGTTAAGCAGCAATAGCAAGGACATCATATGGGATCTCAAAAGAGATAGCCATACTATTCCTCTTACCTATTAGATTTTTCCCAACGCGGGACTATGGTTATTTTTTAAAACTTCAAAATAAGAATAGATTTAACTAGTATTAAAAACTGAAACAGTAGAATATTCAGGATGTTAGCTCTTTATATACTTTTTTTCCAGACATTCTGATACATTAAAATTTTTTTGCATAGTGAAATGCGATGAGGTACCGCAGCACGACAAATCAATAGCAGTTATAGGGTTTCAATAATGCAAATGGTTATAAGTTTTAACTAGCCAGAATAGTAACTATCTATCAAAAAATTTTATTTAAAAGTTTGCAAAACTTAGCCATGATGAACAACAACATAGCATAATTCTTCGAGACTGAAAGTAAAGCATTGTTATAAAAAATGTAAGTTCTGCTATCTGAATGCAACGAGATCCTCCAGTAATGTGAAATGACACATCATTTGATTCTTATAAATTGCAAATAAAAAAATGTGAGAGAATAATTGGGCTAAAATACGATGTAGAAGTTTATAAGTCACACAATATTAAGTTTACTGTAAGCCTCAATATTCGTGTTACAACATGCACATTTCTTGAAGCCCCGCGTTCCCAAAGAGACTCTACATTCATCACAAATTGCTAGACATCTACATGGCCACAGCACAATCTTTCTGGTGTTCACCTTACATATCACACAAGATAAATCTAATTCGCCTTCAAGATCCTCGTGTGTATGTATCTTATTTGCATTATGGCTGACCCTCTCAATAAATGCCTCTGTCAACACACCATCGGGATTAAGTTCACTATACTTGTTTCTTGTTAGACATTGATTTAACGAGTCTCTATATTTATATCTTGTCCATACCGAGGTATTCCATGTCATGCCATCCAATGTTTCGACTTCCTCCGGAAGTGGTGTTATCAAACTAACAAGTTCCTTCTGTAAGTCATTATTCGAGATTCTGGAGCTGTTACTCTTTTCTTTGTCTTCGTTACTGTCATCATGTTCATTATCATCTGTAATATTTTCATCATAATCATCATCATCTAATTCGTCATTATCTGGGACGTAATCCTCTGAGTTATCCTCTTCAGGTAACAACAAAGGCAGAATATTTTCCACATTCTTGTTCGGTTGTGGGATAGCGTTTGTAATGGGTTTAGTAAGGAACTTATAGTAGTTTTTCTCAGTGATGTAAGAGTTAAAATCTACTTTATTGAGGTCATTCTTCCTTTTCTCTTCTGTACTTTCGATATCTTCGGTAGTTTTATAGAAAGATCTAACTTTCATAAATATCCATGATATGACCGATTTGATTGTTTTCACGTTTGCAAAGAGTAATGGGCTGTAAAAGGGCAAGATAGAAAATGCTTTCTCGACACCAGATACTGGTGCCTTACCATCATTGTCTGTGACATCTCCTTTTATAACATCTTCTGGTGCCCCCTTGATTGGATTCAAGTAGCCACTAATAACATAGCTATGACTGATCTTATTTGGTAATTGTAATTCCTCCATTTCATTTTGAACAGATTGCTTGTCAAAGAAAAAAATGTTACAAAGCCTGTTCAGGTAAGTTACAAGCAACTCTTCCACTGATTCTGAACCGGTAAAATTTAAGGTCGATTTTAGACCTTCGAAAAACATATAATATTGAAGTTTACTGGCATTTCTTTGTGTTTTAATCTTACTGTTATTTTCAAACGGGTCCCACCTGACTAACTTAGCCACTTGATATGGAATGTATGTTAATATAAACAGTGTAGCTGGCCAGAAGAAGTTTAAAAACTGGCCATATGCAAAAGTAGAACCAAACTCATACCCATTTTCTTCTCTAATCATGATCTTCAAAATTGTAAACGTCCTAAAGAATTCCACTAGTAAAGAACTTAAAAAACGTAAGTTTCTCTTGTCTATCAACTCTATAAGTTGTACTAAAAGATTTTCGACAACACAATAACGGAGTGTTACTCTTAGTAAATCCAATTTCAAACTTGTTGTACCGTTAATAGCCTGGACCATATCTGCCGCCAACAAGATTGGACTAGAAAAAGTGGCTTTGATAACTTTCCTGTTGGTGGTGGTTGCTGTGAATTCCTCAACACAGCCAAACATCAAAACACACAAATACACTTGAACACATAGATCCTCTAACGTAACATTCATCCCTATATCTATGTTTCCTAGCAGATGCTCAATTCGTACCAGAAGCATGACTGCATAAACTGCACTTATACCATGAAACATTATCCTTGACCAAACAGGAAGCTTGATAGGGGTCATACGTGTCCGCATAGAACATATTCTTATCAGAATATTGGATATTATCCGCGAAACCAGGTATGCCATGATGTAGACATTGGTGAATATCACCGACAGGTCTACCGTAACACCTGAGAATATGGCCATTGTATTCACGTCTAGTCAAAATGCAAAGTTCCCCAAAGTATTCCTTTTGTTCTCCAATAGAAACAGCGGATAGAGCTCAAGTTAACAATATTGAAACCGCAATCACTTGTTGAAATCAACTTTGAAATAAAATAACCAAATAGGAGTGAATCAGATGTCTTTCCTTTGGCAGGACAAAAGTACATACACCAATTCCACAGCCAGTTGCTATCACAAATACTTGAAACTAGCTATAAGGACCTTTAAAATCAAGCAAATACAGAAGCGATGAGCTCATTAGTTAATATATGAACCTTGTCAAAAATCAGTTGTGGCAGGCCTTCACAAGATGCCCCACAGACTAAGCGAAGAGAAGTCGTTGGAACCAGTTTCAGGGGAGCCAACTCACAAAAATCGTTGAATTCTAGTGCGGACTCATATATTCCCAGATCGTCTCATATGACACCATTAAAAGGCTCACATACCAAATGCCGGTGTGCCTGAACAGTTGCTATCTATATCTATAATTATGGTAATAGTGATACAATTTTCATGTTTTTGAGATGTGTTCTCATCTATTTAAATACTCAATTTGGTTATCCAGCAGCCAAATTGCTTAGTTGCTTCTCATTATCGTAAATAGTATGTAGCTGCTAATATATGAGTTCCATCATCTTTGCGTTCTCTTTCTCAATCTCTTGGAGTCTCCAGTCCTCATCCTCCTCGTTCATCTCTTTTATCAGCTCTTCTTCTTCTTCTGTAAGACCCGAGATATCCTGTGTAGGTATATTCTCTGCATCCATACGTACACTCGGTGCACCTTGCAAAAACCTGATGTTCTCCAAGCATCTAATCCTTATGTCTTCCAGGAACTTTTTGCTGTTTCTATTCTCGTATAAGTTATCTAGAACTGGATATAACGAGTAGTCTGGCCCAAAACTTTCCTTAAATGGTAAATTATCTGGTAGTTCTTCCGGTAAGAGAACATTATTCAGAATACCTGTTTCGTAAGTCCACAATCTGGAGACGTTTCTCGGTGTGTAACCACCACCACCAACTACTAACATGGGAATACCAAAACTTCTTACAAATTTAACACATTCACCGTGAGCTTTAATATTAAGATTGAAACATCCCAGCCTATCGTGTCCCAAAGAGTCGGCACCACATTGTTGCAAGATAACAGTTGGCTTAAATGTAGTGATTAGTGGATCTATTATGGATTTGAAAAGATTGATATACGAGTCGTCATCGATACCATCTTCTAAAGGCACATTCATAGCAAAATGCTTACCATCTGCACAACCTGTTTCATCGTTTTTACCCGTTCCTGGAAAAAACTCTCCATTATATTTGTGAAATGAAATAGTATATACACGATCAGTGGTGTAAAAGGCTTCCTGGACACCGTCACCATGATGCAAATCGATGTCAATGTACAAGACTCTAGGATGATACCGCAGCAGGTTTAATATTGCCAGGACAATATCATTAATATAACAGAAACCAGAAGGGCTATTCTTTTTGGCGTGATGTAACCCACCTGACCAATTGATTGCAATATCTGATTGGTTATTTATCAACTTTCTAGAAGCATCAAGAGATGCCCCTGTGTACAATGAACTGTACTGGAATATATTTGGGAAAATCGGACAATCATCACCAATGTTAAATTTCTCTAAGGTACCTCTCGGAAGTTTACTCAAATTCTCTGGTGTTACTTTTGAAAGGAAATTAACGTAGTCTTCCGAATGAAATTCTTCCATTTCTTCTGCAGTGGCTTTTCTAGTCTTGTATAGATCCATGATTTTGTGTAGTCCATACCCCGAGACTAAATGATCCGTCAGCATCAAGCGAAAGGGTTTCATAGGATGTCGTACTCCATAGTGGTAATGTGATACTTCAGGATTTATGTGATAAGATACTCGAGGGGCATAGTTAGAGCCGAATTCATACAAAGGCTGAAACTCTTTAGTTTTGCTATCCACACTAAAAGTCCCTGACATAGTATAACCAGAAAATGATAAATTCAACTGGATGCAAAACGGCTTATAATCACTAGATGAACACTTCTTGATTGCTTAATTAATCTTGATACCCAACTCCTTAACTTAGTCGCTATAATATTAGATAATCTACCTTTAAATCCACTCTCTATTCCAATGCAAAGGAAGTTAACTGATATCAGTTCAAGTTCTGTGACGCTTGCTAAACAAATACACCAGTACCAATGAAGAACGGTTAATGGATCCTTTTAACACCTTATCAACAATAGTGTTTTGAAACTGCGATGATGTAAACCAGTAAATGTCAAATGTCTCTTGTATGTTTTAGAATATTCTCGCAGTGTGTGCCCACTCTATGAGCATGTCGTGTCAGTGCACAAAGCACGTGATGAGAGATGTGTCCTATCGAATGCGAGGCAATCCTGACAGCATTTAAACTGAAGAAAGCATACAATCAAAAATAATAATCTGTTCAACAGCTTAAAACCTATCCGGAATTAAACTATTCAAGCAACCTTTCAGTCTTAAAATCTTTTTCCCTCCGTTTTGTCGATGTCACATATTCCATAAATGACAATTAATCTGATGAGTCTCCTTCCAATACTAAATTACTAACTGTAGATACTAGGACCATGTCCGTTTCATAATTTCTAAAGAAGATCAGAGTAGCTCTTTGCCCGTATGAACTTGCCCTTTTGTTTGTATTCCAATAATGCTGCCTAACTGTAAGCGCCAGTCCGCCTTTAAAAAATGTAAAAAATTAAATCGCGTTAACAGCACGCGCCAGATCTGAACATGAAACATAAGACAAACTGGTGCAACCTGTCCAGGATATATAAATGGAGGCCCATGTCCAAGAAATTTCTGGGAGATATTTTCTATTGTATGTGATTCCTAGATGGGTAGCCCAACAAACTGAGATCAAAAGAAAAATGCACTGCGACACAGTGGAAGTGGTGAAATTCCTTATGGACAATCACATTGAGATCATGAGTCCACCAATTTCTGGTGAGCTTTCCCAAGTGTTTGTGATCTATAAGGCTACTAATGTCAAAATAGAAGCATTCAAGAGAATCATAAATGCCATTCATGAGATCTCACATGGGATTGAGTTGAAAATCGGCGATCTGAATGAAGAGCCCATTATAACTTACATTGATTGTGCTATATTACACGAGTTCCATTGTATATTGAAAAACAGAAAGAGACAACACCCCAAGGGAGATGAGCTCAAGTTGAATGGCTTAAAACAGGAGGAAAAATTTAGGCGCCTAATTGAGGACAAGAGTTCCGATTTTCAGAAAAGAATTGAAGCCATTTTGACTACACGTACTCAGGCTACACAATTAGGTATAGAAAGGGCAAAACAACTAGAACCTGTCGAGCCAGTAATTCCACGTTGTAATAGCTTAGAGCACAGAGAGTTGCTTTCCAAATGCACAATGATCTCAAATAACAAAATAATCTCCTTAAAATGGCCAATCTTCATAAATCAAAAACAAGAGTTCATACAATGTGTTCAGAACAAGATACACTTTGTACCAAATATGAAACCTAAGACTGACCCCAACTTAGGAGATTGTTCATATTTGGACACATGCCATAAAATGCACTGTTGCCGGTATGTACACTATTTACAATTTACCCCTCAAATCTTGGAAACAAAGTATAATTCATGGTTGGCAGATGAGAATATAGCAAGATCTAAGAACTCATGGATATCTTTGTATACAAGGGGAGAATGCTGTTCCAATTTATCACGTAATGTAGCGCCCCCGCAATGGATACAATGCGATGTCAGGAAATTCGATTTATCACTATTAGGAAAGTTCTCTGCAGTTATTGCTGACCCAGCATGGAACATCCATATGCATTTACCATACGGTACATGTAACGACACTGAATTGCTCAATTTGCCGTTGAATATCTTACAAGATGAAGGTATACTATTACTTTGGGTCACCGGCCGTGCCATTGAGCTCGGTAAGGAATCGCTGAAGAAATGGGGTTACAAAGTCATAAACGAAATTTCATGGGTTAAGACAAACCAGCTGGGCAGAACTATTGTCACAGGTAGAACTGGTCACTGGCTGAATCACTCAAAGGAGCATCTCCTTCTTGGTTTAAAGGGCGATCCTGAGTGGCTAAATCGCAACATTGACCTTGACATCATTGTATCACCCACACGCGAGACATCGAGGAAACCAGATGAAGTTTATGGAATTGTGGAGAGATTGGTGGGCTCTAAATCACGTAAATTAGAGATATTTGGAAGAGTCCATAATTTACGTCCAGGGTGGATAACGATAGGGAATCAATTGGAAGGTACACATGTCATCGATCCCGAAATTAAGAACCGTCTACTCATTCAAGAATTGGCTAACAAAAAATCAACGTAGTGCACAAAATTAAACTTAATTATTCCAAATGGGTACACAAAACACGCACAAAAGTAATCACGTCAAACAATTAAACGATCCATGTAAGAAATAGAATAGTTATTTAAGATTCATCTGTAACGTTGAGAAGCAAGCTGTACATACTCTTTACACTGAATACAGCTCTCAATTATGCATTTGTATACATTTGTACGGAGAACAGAAGACCAGATAAATAAAGAAGAAAGAAAATTGTGACGACAAACACCCACACACTTTACATAACACCCATACATAATTAGATATATTTTAAAAAAAAACGATGTAGTATAGTTGCACAGTGATGGGAGGGGGGAGCGTTTCTTCTTAGTAGGCAGAACCGTAGGCAGGCCCGGCCAACGTCCTTCTGCCTAGCTTTCCCTTGTGAGAGCATGTAGTGCCGTTGTTGTGGGATCGTCACTTTGGTGGGGGACTGGACAATACCTCCCCCTCTTCCTATTCCTGCTGAGCCCATTCTTGCTGAACAACCCAGAGCCTAAGCCGAGATGCTGGGCCAGGGGGGTAAGAGACCAAATCTCCCCTGTTGGAGTGTCAGACAGCCCTACCTCGCCCTGCTTATGCTGGAATGCCATGCTAGATTACACTTACTGGGGGATTCTGGCTTGAGACAGTTGGGAGGCACTAACGGTAGGGGAACGATAGTCTGAGCCTAGCCTAGCGAGACTCCACGCTGCCAGAAGGAGGATACTTGCCTGGAGCCACACGTCTAGGCTGGGAATGGTGGGAAGACAGGGACTGCATAGTGAGAGAGAGTGTCTGTGCACTGATAGTAGTGACAGTAGAGTTCGCTGACTCCCAGCAGCTAGCGGAGCAACAGTGGAAATTTTGATTCCGGGCAATTTCTTTCACTTTCTCCACTGTGCAAAGAAACTGGATGGGATGCTCAATATGTGAAAAGATAGTCAATTTGATATATAAGAAACTTGGGTAGATTTGTGTATTTTACGTAGTGAAATTTACCGTACTTTTAGAACATAGAAGGAAACGAACTAAAACCCTAGAGCGAAAATGTATGTTACCAAGAGATATGAAGATATAAGCTAGGAATCCCGCCAGCGAACATATGCCAAATTGTTGCTTTGATGAAAAAAATGGTTAAGACAGTGAAAGTCACCTATAAATTAATAATATGCCTGATAATGAGACAGTAGCGCTTTTGCGTATGGTACAATGATAGTAGAGGAATATATCAAATGCTTTTATTGGACTCGCCACAACTGTAATTACGAAAATAAGCGTACTGAATTTAAGTTAGGATATCGATCAATAGGTCAAGCATCTATTTGCAAGCTGGGAACGCTTTGATTATTATAAGTTCTAATATACTAACATTCATTATTGTTTTTTCAAACTTTTGAAAATAATTACTATCTCCAATTATATTCCTATATTGATATCTCCTTACAATATGACTATGGTTTATTCAAATATTATGATGACATGTACAAACTATTATGGGATAGGAGAACCATTTCTCTGACAATCTTTCCAATGGTTTTGTGTGCTATTTATGTGCTAAACTCAGAATTAAAAATATGATGATATCACATTATGAATGTTAGAGTTTGTTTATGCAGTGTGCATTAAATAACTTGGAAAGAGAAATCATATATTGGGATAAGTAATTGGGATAGTATTGTTTTATTCCAACTTTGTGAGAGTGACGAAAAACATGCAAATTTTTACAGGGCTAACTTACGTACTCAAAAGAGACTTGCCGCTTCTGTCATTGGTGCTGGTAAGAGAAAGGTTTGGTTGGACCCAAACGAAACCTCTGAGATTGCTCAAGCCAACTCCAGAAACGCCATCAGAAAGTTGGTCAAGAACGGTACCATTGTCAAGAAGGCTGTTACCGTTCACTCTAGATCCAGAACTAGAGAACATGCTCTATCTAAGAGAAACGGTCGTCACACTGGTTACGGTAAGAGAAAGGGTACTAAGGAAGCTCGTCTTCCATCCCAAGTCGTCTGGATCAGAAGACTACGTGTCTTGAGAAGATTGCTTGCTAAGTACCGTGACGCTGGTAAGATCGACAAGCACTTGTACCACGTTTTGTACAAGGAAGCTAAGGGTAACGCCTTCAAGCACAAGAGAGCTTTGGTTGAACACATTATCCAAGCTAAGGCTGATGCTCAACGTGAAAAGGCTTTGAGCGAACAAGCTGAAGCTAGAAGAATGAAGAACAGAGCTGCTCGTGAGAGAAGAGCCCAAAGAGTCGCTGAAAAGAGAGAAGCTTTGTTGAAGGAATCTGCTTAAATCAATTAGTTTTGGCATATTTTTTACATAAATCCTAATACACACTCAAAAAAGAAAATACTTCATCATTTAAAAATGAACCCATTATTTTTCAATAATTTTTTATGTACTAAAAAATTATATATATAAACTATAATTTTATATTATTGCGTTTTCCAAAAGACTGCTCTGCATTTTCGAGAAAGTGAATAGGTCACTTCAGTAATTGTGAGAAGCTCCATGGGGTAGCACTTATGTTCAATGAATATGTGAATCAATGCACCATATAATTGTAAAAATATAGAAATAAATGACTTATGCAGTAGTGTATCAAATTGCGCAACCGGAGCAGCAAAGGGAAAATGAAACGTATTAAATCAAAAAGCAAATGTTTCAGCTAGCTTTTCAGATAGTTGCTTCGTTATTTTTTTGGCACCTGGCGCATTTCCAAACTTTTGAAACATCATTAATTTAGCCTCCATTTGGCTATTACATTTTCTGTAGGCATTAAGAAGATGATTCAGGGTTGGGAAATGCCTTTGTATAAACACAGCTTTCTCAAGCGACACTCCTCTGACTAACATTAGAATATGAATAGTTATCTCCTTGATTGTCTTCAACTCTCGTTTTCCCATAATATCTTGAAATGTGTCAAAAGTATGACAACATTCTAGGTTACCTGATCTTTCAAATTCATTTTGGAATATGCTTAGTATGCCTCTGTAATGATCTTGACTTTTCAAATCGGTCGGATATAGTACAACAAGAGCTTTGTGTTTATAGCTCTCACAAATAACTGTATGAAGAGCATGCAATTTATCCACACTGTCCTCAGCATTAACTGTGCGAATCATTGAAAATCTGTAGTAAACTAATATGATCCATAAAGTAGTTTTCAATGCATCTGCCATATTACCAATTGATGAACCAATAGTTTCCTCAATTAGATAGTATTTGTGCTTACAACCTGACTTTTCAAGTCTGTTTTTTTGTTCCATGAATCTATTATCTCTTATACTCATAGCTAAATCATCTAGTCGCTTCCGCTCAATAATTGTGTTTAGAATGCATTGCTGACCCGTAGTTTTATTTTTTGCTACCCAAATAATATCACCCAAAGACAACTGCCTTATCTCTGATTTCATGTCTCTAGCTTTGAATGCATTAAAGAAGAACTCTCTATCAGAATGTGAACGTACTTCTCTGTGATCTATTACAGGATATATTTCATACGTTCCTGGTTGCCACAGCTCATAACTTACACTCTCGAATCTTCTTCTTTGTATTAATGAAGGCTGTGTTGTGAATTCAGAAGTATCTCTAGGGAGTGGTTCAATAGAGTTATTAGAGTCACCATTACCAAAAGTATGCGATCGCTGAACCATGCCAATTTCATGATGTCTTACATTAAAATCTTGACTTCCAAATGTTTTCTCAAGAATAGAATAGTTCCCTGATGAATTGGTACCATCTTTAATTGGAGCGCATGTCAAACCTGACAGATCATGTTTTAATGCAGAAAAATCTGCTGTATGCTCATCACTATAATAAGCATTATTTGTATCCATACTACTTGCTATTGATTTTCCATCAATATCAATACCATCGGCCAGCCGTAAAGTATCTGCTAACTGTAACCCCTCCTCGGTTAAAGTATATTGTTGCGGTCGACCCTCAATTAGGACAAGCTCATGCTTTTTTAGTTGGGCAATTGACGACCATGCACTGTAAAATTCCTTTGTAGTATAATTTGGTGTCATACTATGATCAGTATACTTTTGAGCTGCTTCTATGATGTCCGGCTTTATCACACCTTTGTTCTGAGCTCCAAGTTCAAGCAATGCTAACAATATTGCATATGCACCAGACCTTTTCTTTGGAATATATTTCCGCTTTTTCCTTACAGGTTTATTAATATCAGTATCATTAGTATTTATACCATCAATACGCAGTTGTGTTCGTACTCTTTTGAGTGACTTGCTTCCTTGTGTTCCATTATCAATTGGCAGTTGTTTTCTGGGAACATCAACTCCAATTTCCTCACAATGCTTAACAAGACGAGCCTCTAGTCTTTTCGCAATGGTAGCACCAATTCCTTTAACTTTCAGCAAATCTTTTGGATAATAAAAAACACCGTCATGATCGATTAGATTCTTCTTTGCCTTTGAGTAAGTGTTTATCAGTTGTTCTTGCTTCTCGGATAAACTATCTATCAGTTCTTGCAGCCATTGTACATAGAGGTCCTTTAAATTATCTGGTAGCATTTGCTGACAATGTCCTTGAACTGTAATGATGATCAGTCAAGTTCCTGTCTTTAACTTCCAGCAAAGTTATAATAGCTCACTTCACAAGTGTTTCTCTTCTATCAAGAGTGAAAAAATCAATGATCCACAGAAAGCATCGCATCACTTGAAAAAGTCGCGATGCCCAAAGTCACCCAAAGTTCAATAAGTCCTGACTAGGACTACAAAAGAACAAGCATAGTGTATAATAAATTCAATTTCCTGCAATACTCTATCAAGTATTCTAAACAGACAAATATTAAAGATGACACTTATTTTTTAAAATATATTTTTAAATAATATGAATTATATAAACTACAAACAAAAAGTCGAAAAGAAAAATCCAAGTATGGAGATATACTAAGTATGTGTATTAATAAAAGAGAAAACAAATTTCATTAAATTGGAGCACACCGAGAGCAACTCCACATATTTCTACTCTTTTTTTATCCTTCTTACAATTTGTCGTAGTATTCTTGCCAGCCTGGAACTTCTTCCTTCATACCGTGTCTCTTACGGGCAGCAGTGACAATTTCACCAGCCTTGGAAGTTGGGTCCAATGGGTCGGAGTTTAGAGTAGCCCAGTGGTCGAAGACCATTTGTGGGAAAGCTTGACCACCAGTAGCTTGTCTTAGTTCACCAGTGAAACCGAAAGATTCGTTAACTGGCAAGTAAGCCTTGACGGTGAACAATGGAGTACCTGGTCTTTGTTCTTCAGAGACAACTTGACCTCTCTTCTTGTTCAAGACGGAGTAGATACCACCGACAGCTTGTTCTGGACATTGAATTTCGACCAAGAAAACAGGTTCTTGAATCTTTGGTTCAGCCAACAAGAAACCAGCGTAAGTAGCTCTTCTCATGGTTGGCATGATTTGACCAGCACCTCTGTGGATAGCATCAGCGTGCAAGGTAACATCCAAGATGTTAACTCTGACGGATCTCATGGTTTCACCCAAGATTGGACCTTCCTTGGTAGCCCATTGGAAGGCAGAGACGACGGAGTCCTTGATTTCGTTCAAGTATTGGACAGCCTTAGTTTGGTCAACAACCAAGTTTGGACCGTTACCGTCTGGACCGAAACACCAGATCTTTCTGGCGTCAGTGACATCCCAGCCGTATTCGTCAGCCATAACTCTAGCTCTGGCCTTGAAATCGTCTCTTGGGTTGATCTTACCTTGTTCGATAGCCAAGGAGACTTCTTCGTCCATTGGTTCAGCCTTCAAGTAGATTCTGTTATGCTTGTTTGGAGACTTGGACAAAGCAACTTGAGAAGATTCAGCTTCGACAGTTTCTCTGTAGGCGACAACTGGTGGGGAGATCTTCAATGGAATACCAGCGTGTTCGTTTTCCAAATCTTGCAAACAAATTTCCAAATGCAATTCACCGGTACCAGCGACAATGTGTTCACCGGATTCGGACATTTGAGTCAAGACACATGGGTCAGACTTGGACAATCTCTTCAAACCTTCGACCAACTTTGGCAAATCGTTAGCGTTCTTGACGTCGACGGCAACTTGGACAACTGGAGAGACAGAGAACTTCATGACCTTCATGTTGTAAGCGGTTTCGGAAGTGGTCAAAGTACCAGTCTTCAACAAGAATTGATCGATACCGACCAAACCGACAATGTTACCGGCTGGACAGTCATCGATTGGTTCAACTCTGGAACCCATCATTAGGACGACTCTTTGGACGGCCTTTAGGAACAAATCGTCCTTCTTACCTGGGACGTAGTTTGGACCTTGGATTCTGATCTTTTGACCGGACTTGACGGTACCGGCGAAGACTCTACCGAAGGCGTAGAATCTACCCTTATCGGAGGTTGGAACCATCTTGGAGACGTACAACATCAAATCAGCGGTTGGGTCACACTTCTTGATGGCGATACAGTTAGCATCGTCAGCTGGACCTTCGTACAATTGTTCAGCTCTGTAGTTTTGAGCGGTGACTGGAGATGGCAAGTGCATGACGATCATTTCTAGCAAAGCGTCAGCAGCTGGCAAGAACTTTCTCATGACAACCTTTAGCAAAGCCTTACCTTCCAAGTCCTTTTCATCGGACTTCAAGTTGATTTCCAACTTTTCCAACAAGGTTGGGATTTCGTCCTTCTTGAAGTTCATGATAGCAGCAAACAATCTGAAGATTGGGTCCAAGACGAACATGTTGAAAGCTCTTTCCAATGGCTTACCGTCAGTGTCGGTTTCCTTGTTAGTCCACTTCTTGGTCTTTGGGTTGAAGAAAGAGTCACCCCACAATCTTTCCATCATCTTTTGCTTGTCGACACCGAACTTCTTAGCGTATCTGGTGGCGAATTGACGGATGGTGAAAGCCCAACCGTGCAAACCGGAACCGAAAGCCACGGTACCCTTGGATGGGTAGACTTGAACGTCACCCAAGACTTCGTCAGAGTAAGTGGAGATGATAACGTTGACGGATTCAACGGTTCTGGAGAAAGATTGGTACAAATCTTCCTTGGAGACTTGCAATTCTAGCAAAGCTCTGTCGACCTTGTTGATACAGACAACAGGCTTGATTCTTTCACCCAAAGCTTGTCTCAAGACGGTTTCGGTTTGGACACAGACACCTTCAACAGTGTCGACGACGACCAAAGCACCATCAGTAACACGCAAGGCAGCGGTAACTTCAGAGGAGAAGTCAACGTGACCTGGGGAGTCGATCAAGTTAATCAAGAAAGAGTTACCGTCAGACTTTTGTGGGATTTCCTTGACATCTTCTTCTGGCAAGTCAGAGTACAAAGAAATAGCGGTAGACTTGATGGTGATACCTCTTTCTTGTTCATCCTTTCTGGTATCCATGAAACGGGCTTCACCAGCCTTGGCAGCTGAGATAATACCAGCCTTTTGCACCAAAGAATCGGTCAAAGTAGACTTACCGTGATCGACATGGGCAATGACGGACATGTTACGCACATTGGTAACCTTGTCCATCAGGGAACGCATTTGGTCAACAGTGAAAGCAACCATCTTGTGTTATAGTAGTTGTTGTTGGTGTTGGTTAGTTTCAATTGTGAACAAAAGAAAAACCTGAAATTAATAAAAAAAAGCCTTTCTTATATAAAGAACTAAAGAAGTAACTCTTAAGTAGAAAGTTTTTATAAGAAAAATTTTTAGAGGACAAAAAATTTTAACGTTAGAATATCATTAACATTACACAACACGAATACAAGAGTCTCAAAGGAGGTACCCATTCACTTATTGAACAACTTTCTACAACTTTTTTGAACATTCAATTTGCAAACTGCTCTTTACTTTTTACTTCATCACTTTCACCTTTGCTTTCAGCTTTCAGCTTTCAGCTTTGTGCTTTGTGCTTTGTGCTTTGTGCTTTGTGCTTTTACTCTTACTAGTTTTTTTGACTTTAATCTTACAGTCTTGCAAGTACTACACTGGTCTTTGTCCTGAACTCCCTAGGGTACAATTGTCCTTAGTGTCTATTCCTATCTGTATAGTTGTCAGTTTTGATTGTTCTATGAATAATTTTTTTGCAAATTTCAAGTGAAAAAAGTCTCTGTGAAGCGGAAGGAGAGAAAGGCTGCATTTGCAACTTGGAACAGTTGTGCGGGTGTCTCTGAGAGATTCCTGTTTTTCCATCCCTTCTCCCACTCTTTTTCTTCAACAGATGCTGATGTTCTACATGTTCTACGGGCGTGTCTTAGCCTTCTCGTGTCTTGGGTTGCCATCGTAGAGCGTGGGGGAGGGGGGGGGAACCCGGACGGTAGAATCGTGATGCTGCCCTGCTGGCAATTACACCTGTCCTAGCTCTAGACGGAGCTCGGGGGGAGAGAGAGAAAGCTTCTGCCTGGGGGGGGGATGTGCAAAGGGAGAAGAGTGGCGTAGGTACCAGAACAGCACCCATTCTGGTACCTACGCTGGAATTGCTTTTTGGCTATTGGAGGGGGATGATAACTACCCTAACACATGACACATTCCCACATATAAGATTTGTATGCGCAAGAGAGTTGATATGAGATGATATACTTATATATAAGAACTGGATTGATCCAAATTGGGTGTATGTGTATGTGTTGTGGATTTGCAGTAGAGGTATATGGGCGCATTGCGCCCATATACCTACCTATGTAATAATCCGTGCAGGCCAAGGGCATGCGGAGACCTCTTTGCTTCTTCTCTCTCCCCCCCTCCCTCGACCTTCTCTAGCAACGGAGATACAAGACGGAGGGGGGATGCCTCTACAGCAGTGACCCTCTTTTGTAAGTTGCTAAACATCCAAATGTAGAAGACGAAAAGAAGACCTGGAGCTTACTGACTTGACGGCTCCCCACTTTCAATTCCGTCGCACCGCCACGCGCAATATTCGAGCTTTGGATTCCCAGCAAGGGCCCTACGCTTGTCTCTCTGCCCCTCACTTTGCTCTTTCCCATATCCCGCATTGTTCCATGTTTTCTCAGCGATGCACAGAACGGATAAATTAAGCTGTAAATTACTTCTTTTGGACCCTATTTGTGCGGCGTTATCTAAGGTACACACAAAAAAAAGCAATTCTCTGCCATCGAGTTCTTCGAGTTTTTCCGGTTTTCGACTTCCTTGTGAAAAAGCTATTTCTTTCTTTTTTTCCCGTTGTATGGCGCACTTTGCCTTCCCACCATTGAGAGTTTGAACAATGGTCATTTGGGATGTTGGACCCTTGCAGCGTTGGATGACCTTTCAATGGAGGATTTGCTTTTCCATCCCAGAAAATGGCTTCAACTGGTATAAACCGGAATTGTCTTAATTAGAGTCTATGATTAATTTCTTTCGCCAGGAACCACCAGAGACAAAAAAAAATTTTTCCATTCATATTTATACCGATGATCTTTTGATCTAGATCAGATGGCTGTTCCTTATTAATTCCCTTGTGCACTCGTAAATTCAGTGTAGAACTCGTAAAAAATTGTGTACAATATTACCGATAAGCCACAAACACAATAACTAATCATATAAGTCACATGAGCTCATCATCCTCACAGATAGATATTGAAAAGGCGCCTGTCACCATGGAGAAGGCTGTCTCCTTGCCTGGTGTCACTGTCTCCGAGAGCAGATCACAACCTATTCAAGAAATTTACGCTGACTCTGAATTCGTCACCCTCGGTGGTTACACTTACAGAAGAACCCAACTGCTGACTGCGCTGGGTATCGACGAGCACCGTGAGCAACATACCCCAGTGGTGAAGAAGCTTGCCAACCCTGTGCCATTGGGTCTAGCGTCCTTCTCCATCTGTTGCCTTGTGCTGTCCTTGATCAACGCCAACGTCCGCGGTGTCACCAGTAACCAGTTCGTTATTTCCATGTACATGCTGTTCGGTGGTGCTATTGAGTTGTTCGCAGGTCTGCTATGTTTTGTCATCGGTGACACTTTCTCCATGACCGTCTTCTCTTCCTTCGGTGGTTTCTGGCTGAGTTACGGTTTAGACTTCGTGCCTTCCATGGCCGCCATTTCGGAGTACGACAAGGACCCTAACATGCTGAACAACGTCATCGGTTTCTACTTGGCCGCGTGGTGTGTGTTCACGTTCCTGATGTTGATGTGCTGCCTAAAGAGCGCTTGGGGTCTGTTCCTGCTGCTGTTCTTCCTAGACTTCACCTTTTTGATGCTTTGTATTGGTAACTTCATCAACGACAACAACTGTAAGATGGCAGGTGGTTATTTCGGTATTCTGGCAAGTGTATGTGGTTTCTACATGCTGTACTGCTGTGTCTCCTCAAAGGAGAACTCTTACGTCCCATTGAGAGCCATCATGATGCCAAACTAAATCCAAAACTAACTTCATCTCGTCCCTTTTAATTATATTCCGAAAATCTACACATCTCCAGACTCTGCGCTCATCAAGATAGCATAATTTTTACTTCACGCATTGGTAAAAAGGTTCCACTTTCCATGACCTGCAGACTCCAAGATAATAATATGCATTTCCCCACACACACACACTAGTGATTTGATTTTTATTTATCAGCCCTATAACTCTAATTCATACAAAGAGCATCTGCTCTTTTCAAATAATAATACTTTAACGACTTAACTTATTTTTACATATGTACTATACAGTTTCTAATAATGTAATGCCTATGTTCCTTTTGTTTCACAACTGAAGCTCATCGCGATCGCGGATGAAATTTCAAGCTCTGTCACAAGAAATGACCCAAAACATTAAAAACAAAGGCAAATTAAGAGAGGTAACATCGAATAGTTACCAACCACGCCACAAGAAGCGCTAAGACCAGTTTACAGTAGCAATGGATATAAGTGTCCCAGAATCACAGGTGTATGCGGACATCACTGGGTTCATCGAGCAACAGCAGCGCGAGCTGACTAACATCAATGAGTACCTAGATGACTCCGATGCCGTGCCCGTTGAAGTTCAGGAACTGGTGGAGTTAGGGTACAGGAACAAGCTGAGAAGCAAGACGCGGACCACTTCCACTGATCTACTGGTGAAGAATGTCTACGAGTTGGAGAACGAGTGGAAGTTACGCACGATGACTGAGATGATGGACATAATCGGTGACATACCGAAACATTCCATAGGCAGTGAATTGAGAGAGAGCATTGAGGATCCAGCGGGACACTCACACAACGCAGCCATTGACGACTTAATCGAGGATATACTGAAGTTGCCACAGCTGCAACTGGCCGATACCGCACATGAGGATGATGATAACGCGCAGTTACTCCGAGAGTACCGCAACCTCAAGAACGATGTCATCGATAAGTGCAATGAGATTGTAGCGAGCAGACAAGAGCTGAGAGATATGGATATAAACTTGGAGCCAGTGCGGAGCTTGCTCAAAGCGATCCCGCATAGCTCGGAGGGGGACATACGACAGTATTTTATAGACTACCAAGGGCAGCTGGAGAGCGTAGTCAAGGAACTTTCCTTGGTGGTTGAAGAGGCTTACAAGCAATCGGAGAATGATCCGATAATGCGAGGTAAACTAGCAGATATAATAAATAATATGTAGTATTATAATAGAGAATAAGTCTTCTTTAAAGATTAAGTATCTTTTTTTTTAGCTGTTTAAATTAAAAAATGCAAAATATTGATTAGTTTTCTGTTTTTAGTTAAAAAAATATACAACTATATCATATATTGTTCCTTTTTAGAGCCAAACTCCTGGGAGAGTGAAGCAAAGAGAAGAGTTTATTAGATATAAAAAGTTTAGAGAAAGATAAGGTTAAATTATTCTTGCAAAAAACTTCTTAGTCGAACAAACCGAAACCCATGTCGTCATCGGATTCTTCAGCAGCTTCTTCTTCCTTTTCTTCAGCAGCTTCACCGGCAGCGGCACCACCAGCAGCAGCGGAAGCACCACCAGCAGCAGCACCACCAACTGGAACAGAGGCGAACTTTTGTTGACCTTCAGCGATCAATTCGTCCAAGGACTTACCTTCCAAAGCAGACAACAATTCGTTGATTCTAGCTTCGTCAGCTTCAATACCAACAGATTCGATAACCTTCTTGATGTCAGCAGCAGCTGGAGATTCGTTACCACCTTGGGTCAACAATAGGTAAGCGGCCAAGTACTTCATTTTTTATATCTGTTTGTTTGAGTTGGTTCTGAATGAAATAATCGATTTAAGCGGTATTTAAATACTAAAACGCAGACTATTCCTTGGTGTTTTCAAGTGAAAGAAATATATTATAAACTACAAAACGGAAGAGAGAGAGAGAGAGAAGGTTTAAAGACTAGCTGGTATTTAAACTAACTGGGACAAGTGAAAAAAATTTTTGAAATTTTTTTTTTTTCACTTTTTTTTTTCAACGTCAATTCGTCGCTGGCGATTTGAGTCTGTGCGGGTGGAGCTGCCGTTCGAAATGTACAATTTTTGTTGTGATCGTGTAGTACGTATGTGTGCATATGCTGTGTAATATACTACGTTTAGTACCAGTATATACGCTTAGTGTCAGCGTATATACTGGAATGGACGTGTAAGGGGATGGATAGAACGTGACTGGTACGTACAAATGTATCGCACTTCCTGGCTTTCGTTATTGAGTACTGAGACACAGAGAGGTTATACGGGGGGTTCAAGAGCTGTGTGCTTGGATGCCACATAGTTGAATGGAATGCCCTTTATATATGTCTTCTGTAGTGGCTGGCTGCCAGAAGTTAATAGTAATTGGGGCGGGATAGTGGATGAGCATACGATAAAGACGTTACAAAATGTCTAATCCTTTCAAGAACATCGGTAAGAACTTGCTGTATATCAGTGGTGTAGGTGTGCTCTCGCTTGTGATCGTCAAGAGTATAGTGAGGGCGCGCAGGGATGCCAAGTTTAAGCCGCACGCGTTGGTTGGCGATGAGGCCAGCAGTGCACAGGACTACTATGATAACTTGGCGCAGGTGAAGCCCGGGTTCCCGCTGCCGAAGAAGCTCGACAAAGACGAGGAGTTCAGTATAGTGGATGCCGCGACAACGAGGAAGAGCAAGTACGAAGCCGGGGGTGTTAGTGCTGTGACGAGGAAAAGAGGTGATAGACTCGGGTTCCTGGACCGTCGGAACAATGACTGAGTCTGCACAGAGGCGTTTTATACTCACGAAATCTTATCAAATTAGCGACATGTAAATAAATCAAATGATCTACTTGACTACTCATGACTAACAGTTGTTCCCTTTTTCTTTGAAATAATTTATTAATTTCATATATATCATTAATCTAAGAACTGTGTATATACTTTTATTTTTTTTGATAAATATTGGTACTATTATGAGATTACAACAATATGGCATTTGTATATTTATGCCATATAAAACATGAAAACGAACATATGGATGGGAATAAGAAGTTAGGATTTAACATAAACAACGAGTAATGAAAAAAAAATAAATGGTTGACATGTTGGTAAAAAAAATTTAAAAATGTATCAAACACTCTTAGTTCTTACCTTCACCAAAGTAGTCAGCCATTTCCTTGTCTAGGTCTTCCAAGTTCTTCTTTGGTTGCTTCTCCTTCTTGGCCTTTGGCTTTTGCTTACGGGCCTTGACAGCAGCTGCCTTCTTGGATGGGCCCTTGACAGGCTTAGCCTTTTGGGCAACAACTCTCTCACGGGAAATAGCTCTAATTCTTTCGGTCAAAGGTCTAGCTGGTTGAACGGTTGGGTCAACAACGATGTTCAATCTTAGTCTAGACTTACCACCATCAATTGGTGCACCACTGAACTGAGCAACAGCCTTCTTAGCAAGTTCACCATTTCTGAAGGTAACGTTGGCCATACCAGTGGATTGACCTCTCTCGTTGTAACTCAACAAAACTCTTTGAACACCACCTACTTGGGATTGGAAGAATTCCTATAAAAAAAAAAAAATTACAAACCGATCAGGAAATTAATTAAGTACATTCACATAGCTTCCAGAGCCAATAAGCTCAAGAAAACTAAATTTGTTCATGTAGCTCAATCCAATTGATAATCGTTTTGAAAAATAAAATTTGTTAGTCATAATCATTCTCTTGTGTTTAAATTTGCATCGGAAAGGATATATTTGAAAAAGCTGAGAAACAGGGAATCAGCATACAAGTAACACACACACCCCCATTGGTCCTTTGGTTTCCACTAAATGACAAAGTAAGTCGACAATTGTAAAAGTAATAAGGGTTTCATTAGGTTCATTTGACTAATAGAACAGCAAAAGAATATCAAATATCAGTCATAAAAGTAAAGAAAATTAGTATTGGTGGTATTTTCTGGTTGAAGAACTATTGCGGAGAATCTCGGGTTTATCCATGGCACCACTTTTAGAAAAGTGAAAAATGAAAGTTCACAAAATCAATTGCTCTTCCAAAACCTTGGTCCCTAGATGTAAGAGTATTGCTCCCGGATGAGCAACTCCACAAAAGTCATTCACACTAACACTGATATATGAGATATTGTTTTTTATCAAGAAAAGCGACTTAATGCCATCTGATAAAAACTGCTGTTGATGCAAATGAGATCCCAGTCCTATCAACTTTTTAACTTACAGTTAGAAAAGGTAAAACTCAATTGAGGGGATATATGGGTCCCGGTAAAACATATGTGCATAAAAAATGCAAGTCATATTGTCGTACTACCAATTTTTTTCATTTTAATAAAATGGAAATTAAACCAATAAGAGACTTCAAAACTATTTTCTATGTCTACCATGTTAACCTGTATTTGAAGAGATCAGATATCATGGGACTTACTTTCGTAGTTATTTGAGATCGATATCGTATCGAATAGTAGCAAAAAACTGCTAATTCATATGTTTAGCGTCTAGTTTTCCGTCAAACTTGGTTTAATCTCGTTAAAAAAATAATTTAGGAACAAACCCAGCTTTGTCACTTTTATTTCAGTAGTTTTGGTCGCAATCCTTTGACTTCAATCAAAAAATGATAAGAAGTAAAGGAAAAGTTGAAAATCCAAAGTGACAATGTTAAGTAAGTCTTTTTGCATTTTTCAATTTATTTTTAAAAAAAAATTGATAAGATCGTGTTCATTATTCTCCGCATCATGTGCTGACGTCACAGAAATAACACTTTCTCTAAGCTCTTCGACACCCTTTCCTAAGAAAACAAATTCTGCAAATTTTTTAACAGTCATTATTTTTGCTTCTAATTCGAACATACTCTAACTGCATCTTGCTTGATGTCTCTTGGCAAACCTTCAACAGTTACTCTAGCTTCTCTAGTACCGTGAAGCAAACTAGCAGCTCTGGCAACAGCAGCGGAAGCTGGTGCGGCAACAGGCTTGGAAACAGCACGTCTACCTGGAACGACACGACGACGTGGGTTAATTTGCTTGGCAGCTCTCTTAGGGCGAGCAGCGTGTCCAGCACGAGTTCTGTTAGAAGGTCTGGCAGTCTTCTTGGAGCCAATAATTTCGTCAAGGGACTTATCTAAGTTAGCAGACATCTTTGAAAATATTTTTTTTTTTATGAATGTATTTGTTAACAGAATTTTATTCCGATACTATTTTTATAGCTGAAAAAAATTGCGTTAATTAGTAAATTCCTTTATTTTGTTACAGTTACCACCAATACCTGTATACAAAGTTAACACTGATTTGTTTACCACGCTTTCCTTCGTTGCAGAAGTATGAACACGAAAGGAAAAGATTTTCCAGATTGCAGCCTATTTATACTTTTTTCTCCTGGCTGGTTTCTCTCCTTCCCCCCCACCAAGAATCCCGTCCGCCACGTCAATCCCGATGAAAAAGACAACCCAGCATTTACCCTTAGAAACCACCGCACAGAAGGGTCGTTCTTTCACTTGTGTCCCTAGAAATCCATGTAGCTTCATGTAATGTTATCTCAGGCTACGAGCCCAGCAAATCGTCTCTGCTGCTTCCTTGTTTAGTACGTACTATGTGATATGATGTTGCCTAGATGATAGAGCTGCCTTTGAGTTTGAAGAGACGCACTAAGATTAGCCTGGTTTCTTTCAATAAGCAATTGACAATATGTTATCTTTTATATATCGATATTCTATATAATATAAACATTGTGTGCATTCTATATGTGGGAAAATGAAGAGAAAAAAAACAGTAACCTGGGATAGAAATGAAGGTGAAATGAACAAAACGGTAAATTCCAATTAAAACAATAAATCATGATAATGCAAGCTAGAAGGGGAACTCTATCCCCTTATGAAAGGAAGTGTGATGGAAAAGGAACTAATTGCTCATGCTTTGTTCCTTCTTCTTGTTGTACATGGCAGCGCTGACCATGCATTTCAGTTGTTCTGGGAAGTCCAGCACGCCCATCTTGACTTCCAACAGCTCGATTTGGCATGCTGGGTCATTGTGTTTGGTGTCTTTCTTTTCCCTCAATCTAGTCAAGAACTCTTCTCTGGTCGAGTATACCTGGTTTCTGGTCTTGTGCTTAGAGCCCAGTCCGTCTCCGAATGCTTCGAACATCTTGGTCCAGTTCCATGGGGCGATGTCATTGTATGATCTGGTTGGACCCTTGATGGCTCTCTCGATGGTGTAACCGTCGTTGTTCCACAGGAAGATCTCCATCTTGACGTTGTTGTGCAACATTGTGCTCAATTCCTGGATGGTCATTTGTGCAGAGCCGTCACCTTCGAACAGGATCAACTTTGGTTCATATTCGATCTCCTCAGGGTTAGGGATGTGGGACATAGGGTAGTCTTGCATACCGATACCGACACCGAGGGAGGCCGGCAAAGCCATACCGATGGACAGGTAGAATCCCTGGGAGACGTACTTGACGTTGGATGGGAACCTGTAATCACGGACACCGAATTGAACGGAGCCGGTCTCACAGACAAGGACGTCACCGGGGTTCAAGTACTGTGGCATGATGTCTTGCAAGAACTCCTGGGTGATCTCATTGGAAGACTGGGAGTCAATTTTAGAGTCCGCGTTGCTGGTTGTGGAGCACTCTTGGTAGTTGAAGGACAACTTGTCGGCCTGGATGGCTGGTTGCAGCCTGTTCAAGACGTGGACGAAGTTGACACCGCGGATCATGTCTTCTTCTTTGGTCTTTGAGTTGAAGAATCTGATGTAGTCGCTGTGGAACTCTACGACGTTGGCACCGATGTGCTCGTTGTAGTCAATTGTGTAATGGCCGTTGTTGATCTCGTTACGCTCGATACCGAAGTGCAGGATCAAGTCGCACTTGCTGAAGTCCTCGATGACCGAGGAAGAGCACTCCCTACCGTTGTACAGGCCTTTGTAGTAAGGGTTGCTCTCGTCTATCACAGACTTGCCCATCACGGTGGAGAAGTTCCACATCTGACAGTGGCTGATCAGGCTGTTCAGCTGCTGGGAGACCCCGTACCTGTCGGTCAACACGTCACCCAGGATACAAGGGTTGGAGCTGTTGTAGATGAGCTGTGCTACTTTGGCGACGATGGCCTCCAGCTGGGACTCGCCGCAGCCGACCAATGGCGCGATGGCTTGCTCCAGCGTGATGGTGGGCCTAGCGACCAAGTTACGAGTGGACACCATCATGTCCGCGAAGTCCGCTGGGATGAACAGGTAGCCCGGCTTGGAGTACCTGTACATGTCCTCTATGACCTTGTCGAGCATATCGCATGCCACGTCGATGTCCTCCAGGTACTCGGCGGCGCAGCACACGCGGTCTTTGACCATCTCATAGTAAGTCTTGTGGTTTGGGGACACGAAGTTCGAGTCGTTCAATGCTGGGATCAAGTGGTGGACGTTCTTGTTGTCGGTGTTCTTGCATGAGGTCTGCGAGCTGGCGACACCGACGATGTGCAGCACTTTGACGTCCTCGGCGAAACTGCCGGCGACACCGTTCAAGGCGCTGAGCTCTCCGACACCGTAAGTGGTAATCAAGCAGCCTATCTTGTTGGTGTAGCGGGAGTAACCGTCAGCGGCGTAGGCGGCGTTCAGCTCGTTACAGTTGCCCACCCACCTGAGGGCATCGGCGACAGAGTCGTCGTACAAGTGCTCCAGCAAGGCCAAGTTGAAGTCACCTGGCACACCGAACACGGACTTTGTACCACACGAGAGCAATCTGCGGAACACGTACTCACCGAAGGTGATCTCGCCATAGGCGAATCCGGAATTGCTTTGGACACCACTATAACGTGATGTGTCAGCGGTAACCTTAGGGTCTAAAGTTACTGGTGCCATTTCTTTTTACTTTATTTTTATGCTATGTTAAATTTTCCAAGGGGGGGAACTACTATGTTGTTTCAAGTCTGAACACTTGCAATGTACAGATAACATGCTCCTTATATATGTTTTTAACATGCCAAGAACGGAACCTCCGATTTCTACTAGTGTCAACAAATCTTGGCTTTTGCGGTATATAATCATAACCTCTTTTTTTTGGGGTCTTTTAGCTTCTTCAATTGTATTATCCCAGGCACACATAGGGTATCCAAGGAACTAGACAACGTTTATACACTTTCCCGTGAAGTCTGGTTTGCTTATACCTTTGTGAAGCTTATCAGTGGTATTGTAAAGAAACTGGGTATTACGTATTGCATTACAGTTGTTGGGTGTTTGTTCTTGCTGTAGTTGGTGCGTAGTTGATGTAATTCGCATCGATGGCTAGCTTATTTGTAGCTTGTAAGAGTGGTTTATCCTCTTTGCTGTAAGTTTGTTTCTTAGACGAGGCCGTTCGGGGACAGTTGGGACTGAATGTTGCTGATTGTTTTGTAGCCTTTTCAGTTGCCAAATCTACCTCTCTAGTACCCACACCAATACGTAAATACCATTCTCTTACGCTAGAGGAAAGGATAACCGGAAATTCACGGAAATTCGCGGACATTCACGGAAATTCACGGGACATCCTTCTCTTTGACCAACTGTTCCTCGGAAATTCACGGAACGGGTGTATACATTTTCACGAAACGGTTTAATCCAAGATATCGCCTGGCATCGAATCAGCATAGCATCGCATCAACATATACGACAGGATATTGATATCAGATATTTAACGAAGAACAGTCACATTCCATATATTATGTACGATAACTCTCCAGATCACTTTTCACAAATTTGACAAAAAATGAAAATTCCGGTCAGCTGATGATATCACTTCACCACATCAGCTATTTCTCCAACCATTTCCCCCAAACCACGGTGATCCCCGTCTCCCTTAAAAAGACTCTAGCAAGGACATCGCGATGCACTTCAATCCCATTAGTGATTTGTAATACTTATAAATATTGTAACATGTTGTAAAATATTACATGTGTTACAAGTGTTACATGTGTTTCAACTATTACCAGTTGTAAATATTGCTACTCTTTCACAACCTCACTGATCTGAGAAACACTATGGCTAGGAAGTTGAGTGGGTTGCAAAGGGAAGTTATACATCTGTACAGAAGTGCGGTTAGAGTAGCTCATACCAAACCGGTGGAGAACCAACCACACTTCCTGCAGTTTATACACGCGGAGTTCAGCAAGTACCGGGACTTGCCTCGTAAGGATTTCACCACGATAGAGCATCTGCTGCGCGTTGGCAACAGAAGGCTGAAGATGTACTCTCAGCCCGAACTGAAAGATATACACTAAAAGTGTTACTATTCCTAATGTAAATAGTTTTCCTACATTCCTACATATTAATTTACTTATAAACGATACCAAAACTGAATATTTTCTTTCTTAGAACTGTATAGACCAAAAAAAAACAACAACCATAAATGTGAATAGTTCAATAAAAAAAAAATTAGTAGAATTGTGGGTATTGAATGCGTTCTGTATATAAACTTAGCGAGTGAGGGTTCTTTTACAACAACCATTAAATGTTTTTAGAACCAAAAATAAAATAAAATAAAAAACTCAGTAAAAACAACGTCAGGGTTACTGCCACAAACGTAATATTAGTATTAACAATAAGAGAATAGGCATATTATATTATAACCAACATCAAATAGAAAAACAACATTCTCTGCGATCCATGGTGAAAGTCCAAACTATCGACATGGTAATCGAGGAAACATTTATCTGATTTTCGTAACAAAATGAGAAAAAGACATTTACAATAAATTTTAGGACCAATGTTTTAAAAATAGATTCAGAATTTTTTTTTTTCCTTGAACTAGTCGAATATTTCCTTGCGATGTCCAAGTATAAACTCCACAATGTAGTAACGTTCCCTCATGTCTGACAAATCTTTGTCCCCATGTTGATCATGTAACAAACCGGGACTGAACACGATCGCTAGGTTATGTAAGTTCATCAAGTTTGTATCACTGTAGTGGCTCACCAGACAGATATGCCCACACAGTACTTTCAATGTCTCATAATGTGCCTCCGGTAGTAGTTGCAAAATCCGGATAACACTACCCAGGGTGGTTCTAAACAATTTACCCATGTTCTCTTCCTCTTCTTCATTTTCAAACTTGTCCTTTGGTTTGCCGTTTAGCAAGGGTAAAGTGTTGATCAGATCATCTTTCTTAACCAAATTGATCAGCGGATCGTACACTTCATATGTAAATACAGGCTCAGAAAAGCTCCGTAGATACCTTTTCAGCACACTGGCCACTGCATTTTCGTCTCTTTGCATTAAAGACAGAAGCTCTGTATCTCGCAGACACTCAATGATACCATCTGTGTCTGTCACCTCGAGAGAGTCACATAGCTTCACAATCTCTCTTTCAATAGATTCTACTAGTCCATTAGAAGCCGATTTTCTGTATAGACCTTCCGCTTTTAACAGATCCTCATCGACCTCTAGATATGTGATACAGACTTTAATCACCAATGGGATCTCAGTGCCATCTCTTTCACAGACACTAGTCAAGCTGACGTTTGGCGCTGGTGTTGATTCACATGGAATCACATAAGAGTCTTCACTTGACCCACCGCTCCGGTTACTTCCAAATATCCTCCAGAATTTCGGTTTCGGTTCGGTTCGAACTTCTGCCAAGAGCTTGTTAGCACTGTTACTGCTTTTTCGGCTGGTTTGAGAGTTGGTCTCACCTTGATGTGAATCGAATATCTCGAAGGATGACAACGAGGACTTCTCTTTATCGTGCTTTAGACTTTCCACTTCTTGCAACAAGTTTTCCCTGGTAACGGTCAAATGCTCGATTTCATCAACCAGATGTTTCTTGGACAAGGTCAGTTCTCTGATCTCAAGCCGCAGTTTTCTAAGTTTTAATTCACTATCAAACAGCTCATCGTTTACCCCATTGCTGTCAACCATCAGCGCAGCGTCGCCGGAACCCATCCTTTTCCTGCCCTCTAGGTTGGTGTAGCTGTTGGTTCTCTTGGATAAAACACTTGCAGAGTTCCCTAGTGTTGTAGAAGGACTTGTAACTTTATCGAAGGTATCGTGATGTGTCAAAGGCGGTGTTCTATACATCGATGCCGCAATTGTGCTGCTATTATGGGTTCCCAGATTGGCACTTCCGAGACTGTTGGATGATCTGTGTCCCAACACGTCTACATGCGGTCTTGGCTCCTCCAGTGTCAGCGGCTGAGTGACATTAAAGGCCATACCGATGGAAGGCGTTGTGTTCGCACTAAAACCAATGCTGTCTTTCCTGGAACCAACTGTAGGCGTATTTGTGACGCTTCCGTTGCGTCGGCCCACAGGGGAAGAACCAACTCTAGGAGACGCTTGCTGCGCAAAGATCAAGCTGTCACTCTTGCCTCTCCTATCGGATGCCTTCGGTGTCAGATTCGGGGTGGCGCCTCCCAGTCGAGGACTCTCCAACCGAGGTTCGGTAGTCTGTGCAGAGGCCACACCCCAGCCAGAGTGCGTATCGGACTCGGTAGTCTTGGAGGGCTTCTTGAATGACAAGTTGCCGAGGAACACTTTGGACTTCCTCGAGAGCGACCTAGCAATCCGCTTATCCTTGTCGTCCAGGGAAGTCTTGCGAGCCATTGGTGTCTGTGGATTGGGGTTAGAGGACTTCCTAGAGTGCGAATTTGAGCTTGATGAAGGCGTCTGGACCAGGGTTTGCGTCTGATTCGTATGTGTCTGACTTGTATGACTCTGAGACGCACTAGGCGTTCTAGAGTGGGAGATACCAAGCCCCGGCGTGTCGAAGTCCATGTCGTTAGCGTTCTTGCGGATCAATCCTGGTTGGAACATTCTTGGTGACCACAGATTCTTATAAGAATCTTCTTCATTCTTGTCACTTTGGGATCTACCAGAAGTACTCCCCGAGGAACTGCCAGACCCTGAACCAGACCCTGTAGCACTGTCAGAAGCACTGCCAGAGGCACTAGCCCCACTGGGCATATCCCATTGCTCGAGGCTGTCGAGCTCATCTACAGTCAGAGTGGCATCGAGAACGTCGTCCACTGTCTTCCCGTACAGGCTAAGGATCAGCAGATGATCCGGCAGCACTGGCATAGGGGGATCATGTGACTGCGAGATGTACGGAGTGTGTGCGGAGTATTCTCTGCCTCTTCCGCGTAAATCATTGTCGTGCAACGGAACATGTATATCTGGTGGTTTAGCCATCGTAATACCGGGTAGTTCTGGTGGTGGGTTCTCAGCCGGATTGGTGTCTAATGAGAGGTAGGTCTGGTTGCCTGGTATTTATAGTCTAACCAGAGGGCATGTAGTGTGCGAAGCGGGATCAGTAAGTATAGCATTTCTTTGACCACACCAGACCAGCAGATGAGCCGTGCGCCGCAACAACTAACTGACCAGCCTGGACACATCTTGCGTTGGGATGAGCTGGAGCGCACTGCGTCTCGGAGTGTGATGTGTTATCTTGTGGGGACATGTGTCAACATTTTATTTTTAGCCTAGCGTTTCGTTGCGCTTGTATAGTGGTACAGTACAATGTTCACTAGTATCAGTAGCTTGTATTCGACTTGGAGCAAAGTGCCTAGAGGTGAAGCAAATAAGATGTGCCGTGTATGTAGCAATTGGTATCTACACTTTTTGTGTAATCCACACCGCATATGTATCTGCGTGCTTCCAGACAAGCTATATGTACATTTGTAACATGCGGCGTAGATATAAATAGACTGTGCGCAACCGCAGATCCCGCTGAATGCCTTTTATACTCCTCACATGCCACGAATTTACTTTGGCATTCCCGCACCGCTGAAATATTTCAAGAGAAGCCAGTATATAGCACAACTATAGTCTTTGAATGTTGCAGAATTGAGAGGGTAAGCAAAGCAGAGAATATATTTATCGAGCCATGGCTGAAGAGAGTGTGTCGACGCAGTTTCTGTCCAACATTATCGGCAAGCCCGTGCATGTGAAGCTGTACAGTGGTATGCTGTACAGCGGAGTGCTGGAGAGCATCGACGGGTTCATGAACGTCGCATTGAGCGAGACCCGTGAGCACTACGAGCATCCAAACAACAACCTATTGAAGAAGTACGCCAGCGATGTGTTTCTGAGAGGTACCCAGGTGATGTACATCAGCGAAGCCTAGAGGAAAAGAGTGTGATTAGCCAATGTAACATTTACGAAACGAATATAACACAAAAAAAAACTTGTATAATACATAGAATTCAATATATTTCATATTACTTCTTTTTGGAAACGAATTTGTTGTTTATTATTACCTAGAATATATACAAAATATGTACTCTTTTATATTTTTTTTTATTGTGTAGGAATGTATTTGTTAATTTGTGCAGTTTGATTTATGGTGTGACCTTTTGGTATCAACAGGCTTCACTAATGGTCCTTGTGGTGTCTCAAGTGGAAAAAGTACTCTAGGGAGTATCCAAAAGTGATAACCGCTAGGGACAAGTGCCAGATTGGCTTACCGCTGGCATTCTCGCCATCATAGTACTTGCTCTTGTACTTGCCCAAAAACCTGCCGTAGCCAGCATTGTTGGCTGCAGTAGCTGGTCCCTGTGGTAGACTCTTGTAGAAACTCACAACATTGGCAATACGCTTAGCATTTGGAGCGGCCCCCAGTTGCTGTGCAGAAACAACCTTTGGTGGAATCAATGTAGACACAGCACGCTTGAATATCATCGCTATCGTGTGTATATGTGTATTTGCTTGTAGTTTGATAATTATCTTGTACCTACCCTAATGGCGCACCTCTAGGATTTCCTTTAAATACACTTCGAATAAACTATATGGAATACGCTACTACTCTCACTACTATTCTCCCTTCACAGTAATCAAACAGAAACTTTCGAAGTTGAAACCTCAATGTATATAGTGTTATACGTTTGAATACATGTGACCTTCCCTTTGATCTCATTGGTTCGTAGCTTGATATTTGTCACATGTATGCTTATATATGAGCATCTGCACATTCTAATATATTAATAGATATACATACAGGACAGAATAAATACTTCCTTTTGGTTTCTATTGAGCATACTCTAACATCTCCTCTTTGTCCTCTATCTTGGCTCTAGGTCTCCCTTCTGCGGACCCTGCGTCGCGTTCGTGCTTGTCGATCCGTTGCCAGTCGAACCATGTTGTGTGTCTGTGCGTTCTGAGCAGCTGCGCTAAGTCTGTATGTTTATATGTATCACGGGTAGCGTATAGATCAGCCAGTACGTTGTCGCCCACTTCGAAGGCATCCATCATTGTACTGGCTATCACACCTTGACTGCCCTTCCGTATCCATCCAGATGTGTATAGATGTGGCACGACTTGTCCTTTGTTATCCAGAACTTTGCCGTTGTTGTTTATTATGTGGCCTCTAGAATCATGGAACCCAATGTCCAATGTTTTGAAATCCTGTAAAGGTATTCCACCGTAACCCAAGGAAGTAATCAATAAATCAACTTCGTACTGCAATGTCTTCCCAGTCGAGATGACCTTGTTATCCTGTGTGACTTCATTTTCTGTTAGCTTTAAACCCTTAATCTTCCCACTGGAATCATCCTTAATGATCTCGACGGGACTCTTTAAATAATCCAACTCCCATTCTTTACCAATGGGATTCACAGGTGGAAATTTCTTATAGTTTTTCTTCAACCTTTGATCAAACGGCTTCAAATATTCAGAGCACATCTCCACTCTTCTCTTAAACGCCCGATCATATAGAGGTGAACCCTGATGCTTCTCGAAATCAAACATGTCCTCACTGAAGTATTTAGATGATATGTGTCCCTTGATACCATACTTCTCTAGTTCCCAGAGCTCTCTGAACTCCTTGTTGGTAAATTTTGAGTGGATAAAATCTCTTCTGGCAATCATCTTTACAGTCTCTATCGGAGCATGTTTCAAAATGTTTAGTGCATGCTTAGAGATATCCGTCTTGTCCCATATCTCTGGGATTCCGTTGCTCAAGAGCACTCTTGATATATCAAGTGCCACATTACCATTACCAATGATAGCGACATTCTTAACTCGAGACCAATCAAATGAATTTAGTTTCTCTTTACTGGCAAAATCTGGGTGTCCGTTATACCAACTGACAAATTCTCTGCTTGATAGAACTCCTGCAGTATCTGTCTCCCCCGGTATACCTAACCGTTTATCTCCACCACACCCATAGCTCAGTATGACTGCGTCCTGATTATCTATCAATGTCTTCAAAGGGACATCCTCACCTATTTTCACACCACCGATAAAATCAAACTTATGACCCAGGGGATTCTTGTCATTGATCTCGCCGCTGATATATTGCTCTGCACAGTTAGTGAACGTATCCTCACAATTCTTCACCTCAGGATGGTCTGGCGCCACACCATATCTGCTAAGCCCAAACGGCACCGGCAACTTCTCCCATATGGTAACATGCAAGGGGATTGGGGACTTCGATAATAGATGGTAAGCCGTGTAGAACCCAGACGGACCGGATCCTACCACTGAGACAGATTTCCTTTCAACCTGGCTACTGAGCTGCCTTATAAATATCATCTTATATTGCTTACACTGATGATCTACAAACCATATGGACTGCAATCATGGCTAAACTATATGATTATTAATGATTCAAGATGACTTCAAATTTCTAGGAAGCTCATCGCTGCGGATTTTTTTCAGGTAAGACTGCGATGAGTCCCTTTGACAGAAATCGAAAAGCTGTTACAGTTATGGTATATAGTAAATACTGGTATACCAACATATCTACAATTTCTTTTCATCTCACCGAGCATAATTGAGAAGCGCTATAACCGATGAACAGTGGCAACGGGCAGAGCACACTGCCACCGGATGCCCCCACAACGGGCGCTGACACGATAGGCAATGAATTGACAAGCACCCTGGCAAGTGGTGAGAAAGGAACCATCAGGTCTTTAATAGACTCGGCTATGCAGAACAATCCATATTTTGCTGCTGGTGGTGGGCTAATGCTTCTTGGTACCGGGCTGGCATTAGCGAAATCCGGGATGGTGAAGGCCAGTAGACTAGCATATAAGCAAATGATCGTCGACCTCGAGATCCAGTCTAGGGACAAGTCATACTCATGGTTCTTATCGTGGATGTCCAAGCACCCACAGCGAATTTCTAAGCATCTATCCGTAAGAACAAGTTACATACAACACGACAATGGTTCTGTGAGTACCAAATTCAGTCTAGTCCCAGGACCCGGTAACCACTGGATTAGATATAAAGGTGCATTTATTCGCATCAAGAGAGAAAGATCGGCGAAAATGGTGGATATCTCCAATGGTACACCTTTTGAAACAGTGACGTTGACCACCTTGTACCGTGACCGACACTTATTTCAAGACATATTGAATGAAGCCAAAGATATAGCTCTGAAAACAACTGCAGGTAAGACAGTAATATACACTTCTTTTGGACCTGAGTGGAGGAAGTTCGGTCAACCAAAGGCGAAACGTCTGCTGCCATCAGTAGTTCTCGATAAGGGTATCAAGGAGGATATCATAGAGGATGTTCATGACTTTATGAAGAACGGTAAATGGTACTCAGATAGAGGTATTCCATATCGTAGGGGTTACTTATTATACGGTCCACCTGGCTCTGGTAAAACTAGCTTTATTCAAGCCTTAGCCGGTGAACTCGACTACAATATCTGCATACTGAACTTATCAGAAAATAATTTAACTGATGATAGATTGAATCACTTGATGAACAATATGCCCGAGAGAAGTATCTTACTATTAGAAGACATTGATGCCGCTTTTAATAAAAGAGAACAAACAGGTGAACAAGGATTCCATTCTGCTGTAACTTTCAGTGGTCTTTTGAACGCGCTTGATGGTGTCACCTCCAGTGAGGAGACCATTACTTTCATGACTACCAACCACCCTGAAAAATTGGATAAAGCCATAATGAGACCTGGCCGTATAGACTATAAGGTTTTTATTGGCAATGCAACTTCATACCAAATTGAGAAGATGTTCTTGAAGTTCTACCCCGGAGAAGTCAATAACTGCAAGAAATTTGTCGAAGCTGTTGAGTCTTTGGGGTCATCAGTTAGTACAGCACAACTCCAAGGTCTGTTTGTAATGAATAAGGATGACCCAGAATCAGCTATCAAGATGGTGCACACAATGAAGACTAACGAAGAATTTGTAGTATGACCACATAAAACTGCACTAAAGTTCAATCTATTAATAATCAGGTTTAAAAATATATGTATATATATATTATACTTGTAAATAAATACAAAAGGTTAGCATGTGACTTCGCATGCTATAGCATTATCCAACAGATTACTGCCATCATTTTAGCATTTCATCTAGTGCTGATTCAAGATGATGCGGTAAAATCTCAGAGTTATCGACTGAAGCAAGTTCTTTTGCCCGCAAAAGAAGATCTCGAATCAGTTCACTAGTTGCGCTAGCAAGCAAAAGCTTAGAGCCCTCAGAAGGTATCGCTAAACGCCCTGCCTCTGAGCTCTGCTCAAGAGTCCTGAGAACATACTTAGCCAATTGCTCGGTATCCATTTACCCAGCTACACACAGATAATCTGTATTAGTGTGGATTGATATAACTAACATATATGCATTACAGTACCCATGGATATTGATAAGTCTGTAGTCATTAGTTGTTGTCAACTGCTATCTGGGCCTCATCACGCGCTGCTAGAAGCGATGAGCTTCAGCGGAGGCACATTGTAGAGAAGAAGTGATATATCATATGCACATTACGTATAGTGGTATATATTCTTACTATAAAAGGGCGGGACTGGCGGCTATTTTCAATTTCCTGTTTCTTATATTATTGTTACGGCCACATGAAGCTAATTGCTGCAGAGACTCCACAAAAAAAATTTGCCATGAGAACAATTGAGGACTCTCTTAAGGAGCTAGAAGGGCTGCTGCACGGTGGTCGGGTGCTTAGACTGCCAGATCTGGATCACAGGTATACAATTATGTCATATGAAAACTATGAACAGAGAAGCGCAGACGTTCCCAGGCAACAGATCTGCGATACAAGTCGCCAGCGTGATAATGCCTATAAAGTTGTTCCAGTCACACATACAACACATTCGGCTGATATCAACAGTGATTTTATAACAAATTACAAATTGTCTACACCAACACAAGGTTTGACTACCAATGTTAGAACAAATCCCACAGTTGATGTTTTAACTGAATCTAAACCCAACTATCAGTACTATAACAAGCCGACAAAGCTTAAAGCTTCTGTTAAAAGGAAAAAGTCATTAGCTATTGTCCCTGCTTGGGTGAATGTACCTGAATTCAGTAGATTTTTCGTTATAAAATCAATCAGCTTAGATCATATCAAGAAATCTTTTTATAACAGTATTTGGTCATCCACACATTTCGGTAATCGAAAGCTGTCACAGGCATACAAAGAACTAAAGGCAGGCGCAAAGATTTTCCTCTTCTTCTCAGTCAATGCATCCGGCAGATTTTGTGGTGTAGCAGAGATGTCATCTGATCTTCAGGATTGTCTAGATACGTCCTTATGGGACGACAGCAGCAAATATGGGGCGGCATTCAGAGTACGATGGGTCCTCGTAAAAGATCTTAAGAATGCTCATCTGAAGAGATTTCTAATACCAGAAAATGAAATGAAACCAATTACAAAATCTAGAGATACGCAGGAGATTCCCTTCTATATTGGTCAAGCAGTGCTTCAGCTTTTCAAGTCTGACAACACAAATATCAAATGTTTCCTAGATCAAGACTATAATTGAAATTAACTGAGTTTCTTCTCCGCCTACGACTACATGCTCTAATCAATACTAGTACAGTGTGTGATAGAAAAATCAATAACTAGTTATTGAAAATAAACCACTTCTTAATGACTCAGTCTTGAAACATGCATTTTATTATTAATTGTTTTATTTCATATATTTCTTAATCTATAACTGTTACACGAGACCGTCGTAAATATTTAATGCACTAATGATCGATGGATCCACTTTAGAACCCTCTCTGAACTCTTCCAGTGTAATATATCCGTCTTCATCTTTGTCCATGATTTTGAACACTTTTCGTACTCGCAACTCAGGTGTCGCTTCATCCTCATCAAGCTTGACCATTGACCCCATCATCTTATATACACTAGCCACAATGGTTAGCATCTCATCAAATGTTATGAACCCGTCATGATTCAAATCGTAAAGTTGGAACGCCCAAACTAGCTTCTCCTCCAAGGTTCCACGGGAGGTGGTACTTAAAACCGTTATAAACTCCTTGAAGTCGATATAACCATTGTTGTCTTTATCAAACACAGAAAACAAATGACCAGCAAACTCCTCTGGTGATCCAAATGGGAAAAATTGCTTGTATATTCTGATGAAGTCATCACGGGTCAAGTACCCATTGGGGCAGTCTCGCAGAAATCCCTTGTGCCACTGCTGTATCTCCCTGCGGTCAAAATATGTCGACTGCTTCAAACTCGTTAGATCCTCCTTCGATAACTTGGATGCTTTAGCTCCCATTATGAATATCTTATACCTTCACTTCACAAACTTCTTCTGATATCAATCCTGTCTCAAAACAACAAAGAACTCCCTCAATGTCCAGCTCACCACGCCAGTTCTGACTTGAGTACTTATCCTAGACAGGTAAACAGTTTACTAATCCCCTTTCTAAAACTGCTCCATGTAAACATCAAGTACAAACAGGACCGTTAGCTAACAGTCTTAACGAAGAAACTTCAGTCCTTTTTGGATGGGTTATATTCCAGGGAAATCAGTTGTCACTACATACGCCATAATTAACTCAGAACGGGCTTGGAAAGTCGTTGCGAAGTCAAGTCGATCCATGTTTCCTTGAAACTTTTAAGAAGTACAAACTCACTGACTTCTTGGCAATAAAATCAGCGGTACTCTTGTTGTGACTTTGATACGTTTGGTTGTGTATTGTCTTTGCTAAGATTACGAAGTATCCATTGAGGTAACAGAAGAATTGTGCTTTTTTTTTGTTTTCTTTTGCGACCTGTAACGCCCTATCTTTCTCAAGTAAAGGTCCGAAATAATTTACTTATAAAACAACAACGACAACGACATATAAACCATGTCCACTTTACAGCGTCGTAGGGTGAATAAGAGTGAAAATGCTAGCAATGGCATTGAGGACAGAGAGGATGATGGTACTAGCAGTGGTAAGATTGCTTATGACCCGGAGGAGTCTAAGCTACAGAACGATTCCAAGCAGCCTACGTTGACATTGATGGAGGAAGTTTTACTGATGGGTCTCAGAGATCGTGAGGGTTACTTGTCCTTTTGGAACGACAGTATATCTTATGCGCTTCGTGGCTGTATCCTGATCGAATTGGCCTTGAGAAATAAGATTCGGATTTTGGATGCTCCGGCCAGAATGAGATTTGATATATCTGAAAGACTTATCGAGGTGATAGACAGCAGTAAGACAGGTGAAGTTTTGCTGGATGAGACTTTACAATTGATGGTGAACGACGAACCTTTGTCTATTGCAAACTGGATTGACTTGCTAAGTGGTGAGACTTGGAACCTGTTGAAGATAAACTATCAATTGAAACAAGTTAGAGAGAGATTGGCCAAGGGACTGGTAGATAAAGGTGTATTAAGGACGGAAATGAAGAATTTCTTTTTGTTTGATATGGCTACACACCCAGTTTCAGATTCGAGTTGTAAAGAAGCCATTAAGCGCAGAATACTATCCGTCTTAGTCTCCAGAAATATGGAAATTTCATACAACAGCTATTTTCCGGAATCTACCAATTTTAAATTGATCAGAACAGTATCCTTGATAGCGGGTGCATATGGGGCTAACGTATTGGAAAATGTCATAAGTTCACTAGAATACGACAAGAGAGATAAAGCCATCACACGAGCAGAAGAAATTCTGGCACAATTTTCACAATATCCATTTGACTTGCAGAAAGAATCCAAAGATGGGATCTCCGTTAACTTGAACAAGGAATTACAAGAAGAATTAGAGTCGAATCCAGGAAGTGATTTAAAACTTGAAGTTATTGCTGGTGTATTTGAAGTTTTCTCTAGAATGGACATGCTATTATAGATTATTTTCTTGTCATTGAATTAGCTGATATGAAGACAATATTTTATAAATAAATCAAAAGTTTAGCATAATGTTTGAAAGAATAACATATAACACACCAGAGTCCTAATTTACTTAGATAGTAATTGTTCTACATGCTAAAAGGAATAATTGACCAGATCATTTTTAATTTTTTTCGGCTATGGTTATTATAGAAGCATTTAAATACTTTTATTCTTTAGCAATTGCGATCTAGTTATTCATCATGAAACAAACAGGCCATCATTAATGTCTAATAATATAATGTTGTCAACATATGAATCGTAGAAATGAAAATTTAGGACTGCTATGAATATATAATTAGTTTCAACTTTCTTGTATAATATCTTTAATAAAACCAGTGAGAAATCCATTAGTATCATAATTTTCCAAATAATAGTCATGCAACTTAGTGGTTGAGTAAATAGTCTCTTTGTTATTTTTGACATTTCGTATAACTCTAATGTATGTATTTAACAGTGATCTTTTTGGATTTTTATGTGTATCTCCGCAAGATTCCCACCAAAAGGCTCCACCTAATGAGTTACTCATGATATAGTTTGCCTTCTCGATTACTGAGGTTGGATTATCGTATCCTACTAAAGTATGTGTCCTATCATCATAGCAATAGGCGCCAACATGTCTGTAATCATACTTCTCATTTGAGCCTGGAATTGGTAATTGATTATATAGCCACATACCCGGCTCTCCTTCAGATGCACCACCAACGCCACTAAACTTCAATCCATATGGATTATGAGGGTTGGTTGACTTCATATCTACATTAGTGAAGCCCCTACCATACGCAGCCATACCTAATATAACTTTTCTAGGGTCAATTTTGCACCGATTGACCATATAATTAATGGCAGCATCTCCACTCAATCCAGCATCCTCGTCATGACGATGTAAATGTAAAAGCTTGCCTTTTTCGTTATATAAATTGGCATGTAATCCAGTTCTTTCGGACCATTCACCATAATAGTCATAAGTCATCAAATTCCAAAGATCAATATATTTGTCAAGCTTGTGTATTGGAAGAATCGAGAGTTTGTCTTTAAACGCTGGTGTAGCCATTGAAAGCTGAAACGTTTTATTGCTGTGATCACCTAATATATTTGCTTCTAGTTTTTGTAGCTGTAATTTTAACTCTCTAGCCATTCTCAAGTATGCGTCTGGTTCATAGCTATCATCTTCTGGGAATTCCCAATCCAGGTCAATTCCATCAAATCCATAGTACACCATTGTCTCGATACATGAGTTAATAAAGTTCTTAAACTTCAGTTCATCTCGAACCATTATAGGAAAGGATTCTCTATTAGACCATCCTCCAACTGACATGATGAGTTTTACATTCCGTTTCTTGATTTTACTGTAGATATATCTTAAATAGTTTAGTTCACCGATACAGCCAGGTGGTGCTCGTATATTTGTTACAGCTTTCAGCTCATCTCCGGTGAACCTCTTGAACATGTACTCTCGACATTGCTTTGCAAGGTTCAACTGTGTATCCGACCATTCATCACTGCTAGTTAAATTACCTGTCTCAGGATCTATCAACAGAAATGCATAATATATATGTGACACTTTCTCGAAGTCTATATCATGTGGGAAATGTAATCTCGGCTCGTAGGGTGACCAATTTGAGTAATATAGGCCAGCTATATAACTCGTATTGCTCAAAACATCTGACTCAGGCATCCTGTAGTCATCAGATTGACTTCTCCTTTTTAATTTCTGAAATATCTTGTAATGTAGACTCATTTGTAAAATTAGACTCGTAATCAAAATAACTATAAAGGTGCCCAATCTTTTGCGATGACCGATGTGCATCACCTGAGGAATAATAAATGGGTTTTACGGAAGACACAGATAAAATGAATATATCTTTTTTGTTTGTAGTATTTACATCTGGTATATACTAGATTTTAGGTACTGCTCAGTCGGTTAGCCAGCACAAAGTATTCCAAAATTGATATGCAGTCAACATCAATGAACGGTCATTGAATTTGACACAAAAATATGGATAATCTCTGTTTTAATTTCAAAATATCATTCAACTGCCTCATCAGATCCTATTTGATCTCTGAGTGGAGTATATAACATTCTCTGAAATAACGCCAGCACTAATTCAGCTCTTACCTCTTCACTAAACCTTCCCTAGCAATCTCAGATCAGGTAAAGGAAACTAAATTTAGGCCTTTGGTTGACGAACAGCACATCCAAATTGATAGATGATAATGTTTTCCAAGTCCCAAATACCGTTCTTGGCAAATACATCGTTATGAACCAATTCAAGGGCTTCCTCCTTGGTATCGGCAACAATTTGCAAATGAGACCCTGCAAAAGTGCGTTCTCCACCTGCTTGTGCAGGTTCGTTGTAGATAGCGCCCGCACAAACCAATTTGCCAGCTTCCACTAACGGTGGAATACCTGCAAGATGTTGTGGCCTGCAAGTGCTTCTGTCAGAGCCTGGCTTATCATAAACAATAACACACCACTCAACCATTTCTTTCTCCAGTTATTTTTTGTTATAAGTTAAATATGCTACTCTCTGGGCTATAACTAAAGATCCTAAGACACAATTTGAAAAGCAACCAAGCAAACTTAATGATTCAAATGGCCTATTACACTCAATTCCCCTTATATTGTTTGTTTCACAGTTTGTCAGTTATTCAAGGTTTTTCGGAAAATTCGATTGCGGTTCTTCCGATGCGAGATCTGCTTATATTAGCAAATCATAGTTAATGCTTCAATTTATAGCAACATGTAAATATAATTAGTAACAGGGTCTAGAAGCCCCATGTTGTTATACTATTTTGATGGATGGAGGAAGTCGTGAATCAATTGGAAGCTTTAAGTCTCTCAAATGACAAGAGGAGGGTTAAAGGGCAACGGAAAGGGAAGAAGAAGAAGCATGGAAACTCTAGAGCGAGAGATGACCATACTGTAGTCATAAGAGGTAATAAACAGCGTTTGAAGACGTCGCATCATAAGAATATGCCTCAATTTTATGATTCTGCTAAAACTTTAGGAATATTCCATGATCACAAACTTTACGAAATGAATAGAATGGATTTGTTTCCACAATTAAAAGATCCCATAGCTCATATAGCAAAGTCAACACCTGCAGAGAAAACTCAGTTAGTTAGGCCATTTCTGGGTATATCACTGTATGAAAATCATGATAAATACTCTCCAATGACAGCTAAGGAGCTGGATACTACTGAGGCATGTTCCACATATTTAGATCAATATGAAAATAGTCACGGCCAAAAATATGGAGAAGACCGAGATTTTGTTATAGTTACAGCAAGACATCATATGATTGATTTGGCAATTCTCCCTTTTTCAAGGCAGTTTACAAATGTAAATTTGCTGTGTGCATACACACCTGGTAATTTGCTGGAAATATCTCAGGATCCTGCTGATAACACAAATGATAAAGTGGGCGTTAACACAGATAACCCAATCCTGAAGAAGATCTGCTTTTCTGGCTTTGCACTAGAAGATATATTAACTGAATCTGCTAACGATGAGGAAAGGAATCCTACGTTTCTGATAGTCGAAAATGAAATAGCAAATACTAGGTTGTTAATGAGGTGTGAAATTGATGCGTACAACCCAATTACTTCACACTATACCGAACTTAAGTGCTACGCCAAATACAACTTTGGGAACCCAAATCATAGGAGGAAATTGTTAAAATCATGGATTCAAACTGGAGTAATACCTACAACTGACATAGTAATTGGTGTTAGAGATACCGAAAGTGGGTGTTTGCAGGATGTTCGATGCTACAATAGAAATCTGTTATACAACAAATTAATCAGTAAAAGTCTACCCAGGTGTGACAGCGAACTGAATTACGATCCTGCCATTTCTGTGGTATGGTATAGAAGTTTAATTAATACATTAACAACAACTATAGCATCCTTGCTAGATAAATTTGGTAGAGATGAGCCTCAATTATTCAGTATCAAAGTAGACAATAACTGTAATATTAGGATAGAACATAGACAAAACCCAAATTAGTTTGAGTTGATTCATATTGCATAGGTTTGTAAATATTCTTTAATAGTAGCATAATTACATTCATTACAACTTGCTGTTGTTGTTAATACATGGTGATTTTAACTGTTGTAGAGCATAACTGACTTCTAATAATATCTCGTAATAGAAGTATAACTTATCTTTATAACATGTCTTTCGACAAAACAATCCCCGGACCTCATCGCACTATTCATCTCATCGGCTTTATAAGCTCATCGAGAAAAAGTCATGTAGAAAGAGCAAATTCAAGGGAAAGTATTAATTATTGATTTAAAGACGCAGAGGCAGTTATCCTCTGATACCAAAATACTTGGAAGCAGCACTTGGAAGCAACACTTGAGTGGAGCATTAAGGTCAGGATGTGGGTGCTTCGGTACTCTTATGTTGAAGAAACCGGGGAAGTTAAGAAAGTTTCATGTTGTATCCGTCAAAATGTTCAATACACTATCGGGAGATCGAGCAAGAATAATCTAGTGATCAAGAATGACAAGAGTATATCGCGACAGCATGTTTCATTGAAGTGGTCCAGTTCTAAAAATTGTATAGAGCTGACGAATACTGGTAAGCTTACAAAGAGCTCGGAAAAGTACCTAGGATCTAATGAATTAATAACATACTCGGCAGATGAAACCCAAATAGAAATGCTTTTGGGTGTAGCACCTGTGAAAATTATATTATCCAGAATAGATGAATTATTTGACATACCGAATTCACTCAGCCAGTTTAGAGAGACTTTAGAAACATTGGGCATTCAAATAAGTGTAGATAATGCTAATGTCAATTCTACGAGCCTGATTACAGTGGGTGATTTTGGTTATAGAGAACTATTTGCTGCCTGTAATGATATTAACATATATTCTAGCGGTCTATTAACTGAGATCTGTAACAAATTAGTAAATGACCATGATAACTTTGACGCTGAATGGCGATCAATGCAATCATCATACCATAGGAACTTGGACTTGGAGGGTTTGCTATCACAATTTGGTGGGATTAGAGGAAAGTTTTTTTTTCTGTTGTACAAAATCGATTGGTTTATTATAAGTTATTTGAAGCCTTTTCTGCTGAAACTGTCAGTTGAAATTCATGATTCGATACATAAGAATGATGATTTATTAAGATTGATAAGTTCAAAACAAGCTGATGAAATACCCATTGTGATATCGAATGAGAAAATAAAATACTTGCCTGAAGACACTTTACAGATTCATTCTGATGATATATATAAGTTTATCGAGTCTGGTGACCTCTACCGAAATGCAATAAGATATCAGTCTATGGAACGTAAGCCAATTTATGATTTAGAGGATGAAACAACAAATGCGATTATTCCTCAAAAAAGAAGTCTAGCAAATACATCACAGCCAACAGATACTAGTCTTGAGTCGACTAAAAAAAAGAGGGTTCGTCGGCATAAAGTTGAACCCTTAAATAGCTTGAGCTTTTTTGCTGGCGGAATATCTCCAGTGCCTGGTACTAACAACGAATATAACCAATCTAAGGTTAATGGACATCTCGATTCCGAAATTTCTCCGGATTCAGCGTCGACAACCAGAGAACAGAAAATACCTGGACAATCACATACCATATCCACAACTCGAATGGAACATGCTTTAACTGATGATAATTCAGAGCCAACGATCGTTCAACGCTCAATAGCAGAAGGTATTAGTCATAGAGATCAATTAATTGGCAATGATGAGGTTGTTGAGGATCAGCATCATTTACCGGATAGGAAGAAGAGGGACATTCATGAAAATACAATGTACAATAATAGTTACAACGGTAATAAATCTTTATACGGTGTAGAGAATTCTCTTACTCAAAGCAATTTACTTCAAAGTATGGGATATGAAAAGAGTAATAATAAGACGGAATTATCCAAAAAAAATGCGGGAGGTATAATGTCAACGGAGAAGAATTTAGATGCCCAACGTCCAAACTTGAAATCTCAAACATTAAACTCATTGGAAGATAATGACCCTAAGCGAACCCTACAAAAAAGAGACATTGATATAGTTAAATTAGTTCAAACTACGAAAGAATCGGAAGTAAAGCGTTTGAGTTCTACTATTGTAAAAATTGAGGATTCTGAATTAACGGAAGAAGCTATCAATAAACTTAATGACTTAGTACTCGTCGAGCCAGTAGCAGATTTGATAAGGACTAAATCGGATATCTCTGCAAACAATACTACACAACAGCAATGGAAAAATAGAAAAAACTTCAAAAAATTTGTGAAAATTTGTCCTAAATATAAGAGCGAGCAAAGCAGTATTGAGTCAATGTCAAGGCATATACGCGGCAGTGGTGAGATTCTTACGAGGGAATTCTTGCAAACTAAGAATGTACCTGTGGATTATTACAACTCACATCACGATCAAAATGATTTTGTTGATGAGATTAATACTGCACCTCAGGCTAATAAATCCAATTCGTTTGTGCATCAAATTTTACCTGAAATAGGAGATGAAAATGAGAACTCGTTTTCCTTTACTCGTACAGCTATTGGTAATGGCAATAATAATTCTGCAAATGAGATTAATAACAGTAACCAACAACTGTTTGTAGTTGATGATGATTTTGAGGACTCTCAAGACGTTGGACATCTTCTAAATAAAGCTGATACCACTGAACCGCCACAACAGCTTCAAGATCATGAGGACACAATGAACGATGGCCCTGGTAGTACCACTCCAGTACGTAATAAAAGAAATAGAGGGAAAGTTTCTGTTACCAATGGAGGTAACAGAGTCAGGTCGGTTGTAAAGGGCTTCACAAATGAAGATGATGATGATGATGATGATGATGACGAACCTACTTTCAAGTTTTCCAGGCATCGTTAAATACAGCATGATAGCATTTTTTAAATCTACTAATAGTATGTATAGCCGGTATATATATTGAACAAATTATGTTGTCAGGATAGAGTTTCTATTCAAATGTAGGGAAAGGTGACCAGTCCAGTTGTACCAATCTCTTTTCACCTTTGACTTTGGACAAGTTGGTAATGGTTTCCATGTCTTCATCCTTCAGGGTTAATACCTTCAAGTTGGCTTCAATTCTCTCTGCATGCACAGATTTTGGAAGAACAACGTAACCCCTTTGTACACTCCAGCTGATGATTAGTTGGGCAGTGCTAATATTGTATTTCTCAGCAAGTTTGTGTAATTCTGGTTCCTTTAAAACTGGGGCATCTGCACTACCAAATGGAGAGTAGGCTTCAATCAGGATATTTTCACTCTTACAGTATTCGATCAATTCGGTTTGTGGAAATAATGGATGAATTTCAACCTGGTTAGCGGCTGGAACAGTGTTGAACTTTGGAGAGTTTTTCAACGCCTTCAGATTATTTATAGAAAAGTTGGAGACACCAATTGCCTTGGTTTTACCAGTTTTTGGTAGCTCCTGCATTAATTCCCAAGTCTTGATGAAATCCCAATCCTCGATGTCAATATCAGTCTTGCCATCTGGTTTTTTTGGAATGTTGAGCAAGTCCTTCTCCTCAGAGCCATGGGCCTTAAGAGCAACCGGCCAATGCATCAAATACAAATCAACATAGTCCAACCCCAGCCTTTTCAAAGAGGAGTCCAGAGCTTTGGCTGGGTTTCTATGTTCGGTACCCCATAGTTTCGTTGTGATAAATATTTCTTGTCTTGGCACACCAGAGTCCTTAATGGCTCTCCCAACTTGGTCCTCGTTACCATAGATGGCAGCAGCATCGATATGTCTGTAACCCAGCTTCAAGGCAGCTAGAACAGAATCGTAACCATCGTTGGCAGCAGACCTCCAGGTACCCAGTCCGACAACTGGGATTTCAGCACCGGTGTTTAGCTTCAAAGTGGCAGTAGAGTTCTTCAGAGACATGTTGTGATACTAGTAATATGTCAGCGTTGGGATTTTATTCTAAAAGTAATTGGAAGTGCAATTGAGCATTTCTTGGGTGCATCCTCTCCTTATATATGGTTTGCCCCAGCTGTCAGCAGACTAGCTCGCTGCATTATGCAACTCTATTTGCGTAATTTTAATTATGACGTCATTTTCATTTTCAAATGCTGAAGCTTTCCATTGTTCTCTAATTAGCCATTGGAACAGCATTGATTGATATTGTACAGTTCCTCTCATTGTGTATATGTTGTTGCAATGTCTATGAGTAATGTAGTTGAGAGCCTTGGCTATCGTACCAGGGCCAATGGGTTTCAAATATATATATATAATATGACTTTTTACTATACTACAATAAAAAAAATTTATAAGGTCATTAATGTGGTATATTGCTTTCATGAGTGCCAATGGGATTTCTTGAAGGCCTAATGAATCTTGTACTGATTTCCTGGTTGATTAATTTACTGGAGAGTATGTCTGCACAGTTTGTAGCAAAATTTCTGGGATTTTATCCACCATCTCTTAATTGCAGACTTGTTCTTGAGGTCCTGTTCGACATCGTCCTGGTCAACCATGTATTTTGGATGGCGCAGTAGTTCCTGGACAAAGGATGCCAGGATGAAGTTGAAGTACATACGGAACATCAACGTCACCAGTGTGAACAGCATTGTGACAGTGTACTCATACCTTTCCGAGGCACCTTGGCTCGCAAGGTCGGTGCTTCTCCTGTAATTCTGGCTGACACCAACAGGAGCAGACGTTTCGTGTTTCTCCTCGTTAGCGCTTTGGAACCACTGGGCAGAGAACCATAGTGTAAAGAAACAGGTCAGCACAGTGTCTGCGGTGAAGTAAACCAAAATCTGGGAAAATACTATAAGTTTTGGCTTGTGGATCATGAACAAGCCCTGCGAAAACACTATTAAGGTAAACACCGACCACAGGTACGAGATCCACTGCATGTAATCCAGCGGATGCCCCGTAAATAGAGCAAGAATACCATACGCACCACTGCATTTATTCAATATTGTGATACCAAGCACAATCTCAACACCAAGGTAAAGTGGTAGAAATCCAAAGAACGACTATTACCAATGTACATACATTAATAGAGTATCCCAACAAAGGGAATCTGTCTTGCACATAATTATGTTAGTATTTTTTTGAAAGCTTTAAAAATTCAGGCCTTTATTGTATATTGGCAATATGTAGTTTACCAATCAATACGTTTAGACCACCACTAGCACCTAAAAAAAATAATGTGATTCATACCTTTGGAAAAGAGATTTTATTCAGTCTCATCGCAAGTTTCGACTAGTCGTACAGTTCACAAGTCAGTTATGCTATAATCAACGTAGTTCTCACCAATGTCTAAACTATATGAGGGTCAATATCAGCAATCCATGCTGACTACTATTATGTTTACTTAAAGGAACTTTTTTCACAAAACTGAAAAATTTGGCAAAATAAAAATGCGATGAGCATTAATAACAGTGAGCTCAACAATATTGCATTTGAGCAGTATACATGACTATGGCAAAGGAATGGATTTATTAGCGCATTATAGTGATAGTTCTGATGAGTTGTCGGATCAAGAAGTAGTGGCTAAGCCGGTAGCTGAGGAAAGTTTCGACAAAAATGGAAAGAGAAAGTTCAAGTTCTCAAAAGCTGAGTTGAAACGCAGACGTAAGCAGAGGAAAGGTGATGGACCGTGGGGTTCATGGGATGTTGAAGTGGACCAGAAGACGGTACAGGATATAGATGATGGTGGGGCGCACGACCTTTTTGATAGCGACCACGACCAAGAAACTGCTAACGGCCCTACAAAATTGCTGAATGAAAAGTCTACTTTCTATGGTAGGAAGGAGCGTGACTATCAAGGTAGGTCTTACCTTCACCCACCTGCGGATGTAGATGTGGATTTCAAACGCACACAATTTAAATGCTATTTGCCAAAGAAGGTGATTTATCGTTACAAAGGGCATCATAATGGTACTACATCGTTAAGGCTACTACCTGGTACTGGACATCTCATTTTATCGGGAGGAAACGATAATACTGTTAAGTTGTGGGATTTTTACCATGATCGGAAATGTCTTCGGGATTTTGTAGGCCATTCCAAGCCTATCAAGACTTTGGACTTCACTAGCGACTCCTCACAATTCTTGAGTGGTTCATATGACCAACAGGTCAAAATCTGGGATACTGAGACTGGTAAAGTGACCAAACGATTGAATACATACTCTACACCGAATAGTGCCGAATTCAGACCGACGAGTGGAAATGAGTTTGTTGTCGGCTTATCTAGCAGTAAGATTAAGCATTACGATACCAGGGTATCAGAAAAGGACGGATTGGTGCAGGTTTATGACCACCACTTAAGCAGCATATTGGCAATAAAGTATTTTCCTGATGGTTCTAAGTTTATTTCTTCCTCCGAAGATAAGACGTTGCGTATATGGAACAACCAAGTTAATATTCCGATTAAACAGATCAGTGATACCACCCAGCATTCTATGCCATATATTGGCATTCATCCAGAACACAATTACTTCTCAACGCAAAGTATGGATAGCGTAATTTACTCTTATAGCATGAAGCCAAAGTATAAAATGCACCCAAATAAGAAGTTCAAAGGTCACAATTCCGCTGGATACGGTATTGGACTGACATTCTCACCGGATGGAAGATTTTTGTGCTCAGGTGATGCCAGAGGTCAATTGTTTCTCTGGGATTGGAATACAAATAGGAAACTTTGTGACCTAAAACTGCCTACTAAGTCACCTATCACTCAGGTTAGTTGGCATCCCAAGGAAACAAGTAAAGTAATATGCTCTGGGCCTGATGGTCGTATATTTGTTCTTGATTGAAAGCATTCTATTTAAGCAGTTATTGATAAGCTAGATCCATATCTGTGTGAGTTTACTATCATTATTATAGATACAGAGGTGTATATTTATTTAATTTTGAAATATAACTATTACTAATTATATCACATGCAATGAAGAAAGTTGTCATTTTATCGACCTTATTTTAAGCTTCTGATTACTTCCTATAGACAAATATTTTTGATGCACTAGGCATAGAAGGAAACAGACTTTGATTTTCTAGCTTGAACTTCACCAATTGCCTCTACAAAGTCTTCATGTTTCACCGATGATTGACCATTTCTTAATGCTAGCATACCGGCTTCGACGGTGACAGCTTTCAGTTGAGCACCGTTGAATTCGTCTGTAGATCTTGCTAGTTCTTGCCAGTTGATGTCATCATCTGTAGTCATTTTTCTGGAATGGATCTGTAGAATTTGGGCTCTTGAGTCCTCTGTTGGTAATGGGAATTCGATCTTTCTATCCAGTCTTCCGGATCTCAGCAGCGCTGGATCCAACACGTCTACTCTGTTTGTGGCTGCTAGCACTTTGACACGGTCATCCGAACTGAAACCATCCAGCTGGTTCAAAAGCTCCAACATAGTTCTTTGCACTTCTCTATCACCCGACTTTTCAGAATCGAAACGTTTTGTACCGATGGCGTCCAGTTCATCGATAAAGATGATAGCTGGCGCCTTCTCCTTTGCCAGGGCGAACGCGTCACGGACTAATTTTGCACCTTCACCGATGAACATCTGCACCAGCTGTGGGGCGGCCAGTTTCAAGAAAGTGGCATTTGTCTGAGCCGCACAGGCACGGGCTAACAAGGTCTTACCGGTACCTGGTGGACCGTACATCAGCGCACCCTTTGGTGCCCTTATACCCAGTTCTTTGAATTTGTCGGCACGCTTCATTGGCAGCACGATGGCCTCTACCAGCTCCTCGATCTGCTTGTCCAGACCACCGACGTCAGAGTAAGTCTCCGTGGGCTTCTCGTCGACCTCCATGGCCTTCACACGCGAGTCGAACTCCGAAGGCAGCGTGTCCAGGATCAAGTACGAGTCCTTGTTCACACCCACAAGATCGTTCGGTTTCAGCTTGTCGGGGTCTACCAGGCCAACCATGGGCAGGAACACCGTCTGCCTCGAGGAGGTCTTTATCACAGCGGCCTTCCCGTTGGCCGTGTTGTCCAGGTTAACATTGCCACCTTGCGTCGCAGACTCGCTGTTCTCCTTGTCCTCAATCTCATCCATGTCCATGACCTCAACGATATTCGCCACCAGGTATGGCAGCTTCCGGTTGTTCTTGATCTTCTCCTTGTTGTCCTTGATCTTCTCCAGCATCACATTGTTCTCGTGCGACAACCGCTGCAACTCAGACCGGAAGATACGGATCTCGTTGTCCAGCAGCTTGCTCCTCGTCTGCAGCTCCTGCGCCGAAAGCCCCAGAATCTCCTGGTCCAGCCCGTCTTCAACATCCAATTCCTCTAAAGTACTCATCTCAGCGTGTCCAATTCCCCGTCCTGTTACTTACCGTCTGCTACTTCTCCTTCCAAGGACCTTCCAAGGGAATGGGCTATCCACTCGCCCAAAACTCCCGCCTTTTTATACTTTTTCCAGCTTGAAGGGGTTGTGGCAAACCGGGTAAACTCCATTTCTTAAAGAGCAATACTCATATTATTCGATACATACAGCTATATTGCGTGGCTATTGGTGTATTATATATCCTAGTGGCTGTCTCATAGGCGTAGTGCTACCGTAGCACCGACTCTCTTTTCGCTCCGCAGTTGCAGCATTTTTTGGGGCCTATTACTTCTGCAGCTCTGCCCGCAGCTCCTGTGTGAAGTCGTCGTCTGCCTCCACGTCGTCCCAGTTCTCCTCCCATATGATGTTGCGCTTGCCATTGGTGCCACTGGTGCCACCAATGCCGTTGGTGGCACTAGTGCCATTGGTGGCACTAGTGCCATTGGTGGCGCTGGTGCTGGCCACTGTGTCCTTGTCCCCCCACGTATCCACAGGGAAGTCCTCAAACTCGTCGTCCTCCTCTAGCGTCCTCCGCTCTTCAACGTTCTTCTCGTCCATTGTCGCTGTATATGTAGATGGCACTCGTGGCAAAGCTAAAGTGTCTCTGCTCTCTCTCCCAGCTCTCCCAGCTCTCCCAGCTCTCTTTATATTCTTCGCTTCCTGAAATTTGCTTAAGAGGGACGTCGGTAGTGATGGTAATAAGGTTGCCCCCAGTCTTTGGAGTGTTTTTGCGGCTGGGACTTACGATAATCTTACCTCCAGCATGTCCTCGTCCTCTATATCCTGGGACTTGACCGTGGCGTGTGGGTCTAGTGGCTCGTCGTCGAGTGCCAGTGTTATCTGTGTGCTTCGCGGCAGCTGTTTCTGCGTGCGGTAGTACTCGATCATGCGGGCGAACGTGGTCGTGGGCTTCACGTTCACGTACACTTTCTTGTTGTCTTGGCCTTGCAGTGCCACCCGGAGCACTTCCTCGGACTCGAGGTCCACCACGGGTGCCCTGACCTCCTTGGCGTCGCGCAGCTCCCGTTCAAACTCCTCTTCGGCGTCCTCTTCCGGCGTGGGCGCACGCTCTGGCTCCTCGAATACTTCTTGCTCCAGGTACTGCGCTTCCTCCTTCACGGGCACCAGCTGGATCTCCAGGTAGTCGCTGCCGTACCGCTGCGGCACCCGCAGCGTATCGCAGGTCATGAACCCCAGCACTTTCGCCCGGTTCCAGTAGCTCACGACGCTCTCCGGCTGGTACAGCGGCCTCATCACCGAGGGCAGCCTGTGCGCCCGCATGAGTCCGCTCAGCGCCGCAGCTACAAGCTTCGAGAACGGGTGGCTCCCCAGCGCCTTCACCTGCACTGACTTCCCCTTCGTGCCGTCCACATGCGATATAAACTGCACATAGTACACCTTGTCCTGCCGCACTGCACCAGAACCGTCCTGCACCGGCAGACTCTGGCTCCGCTTCGCAATGCTCTGGAAGAACAGGTCGTTCTCGTCCTCCACCGTGCGTGCACGCTTCATCCCAGACCGCGTACGCACCTCGTACTCTTTATCTCCGCGGTATGTGTCCTGTGCACCGCTGTCGCTCGAGCCTTCGCTGTCGCTCGAGCCCTCCGATCCACTCCCCTCTGTGTCCCCTTCTATAACCACCACATCCTGCCCTCGCACTTGCTCCTGTGACGGTCCTTCTGCTTCTGGCTCTAGTTCTGCTTCTGCTTCTGCATGTGGCTCTTGTACTGGTGCTGGTTCTGCATTCGGTGCTTGCGGCGCCCGCGAGGCCATCGCCTGCTGCAACCGCTCCTCCACGTCCTCGGAAGTCCCCATGAAGAACTCGTCAGAGTCCTCGTCGCTGAAATCCATCGTATTCACCCTCAGCGAGCTCTCACCTCCCAGCTCTCAGCGAGCTCCCATTACCATCTGCCATTCACCACCAGCTTTTGCTTTTAAAAACAAAAAAGCTGGCAAAACAGCCATCGACCACTACAGCCCAGACAGGACAAGGGACCATGGACAAGAAGAGGGGCAGAGGCAGGCCTCGCAAACATGCCATTGATGAGACGGCCAGCGAGAGTATAGCTGTGGCGGCGCTGAAGAGCATGGAAGGTGCGGTCGCCAACGCCAGCACTGCCAAGGGTAAGGGCACTGCCAAGGATGAAGGTGCCGGGCGTAAGTTGAGGAGGCGTGGGAGGCCACGGAAGGTTGTGGAAGCGGCTGCAGTGACGCCAATTGACGATGCTGCTGCTGCTGGCGCCGCTGGCGCTGCTGCGGTTGACGACGCTGTGATAGACGCCAAGCTTAAAGACGATGACGGCGACGAGGAGTACGTGCACCAGGAAGACGACGGTGACGACGGCGACGATGGCGATGATGGCGACGACTATGTAGATGGAGACGATGCAATTGACGTTGAGTTTCAGCCCAGGGCCAAGAAACAGAAGAAAGTGAGGATTTTATCGAAAAAGAGAGGCATCGCGTCTACGCTGCTGCAGAAAGGCAGGATCATCAGGACTTTGAAGGACCTGTCCTCCGCCAGGGACAAGATCGAGAGGATCTACGGCCTGGATCGGGCCAAGCTGTTGAAGCTGGCCATTGTCAAGGAATGCTTCGAGAACGATTTGTTCAACGTAAGACAGGAAACCATTGAGCCCACATCGCCTTTCTGGTTTGAATCAAAGCACAGCAGCGAGTTGCCAAACGCTGGTAGAGATTTACAGGACGATATTGCACATATTTGGGCATCCATGGATGCACACCCAGCACAGTTTGGTGCTGTTTCAGAGAAAGAGTACAATGCCCTCTTTAAAGTGAGAGCAGAGCCCATTGATTGTCAAATTGGAGAAACTGGTATCTCTCTATCTGCAGGTCAGAAAGCAGAACTCCCTGTGCTCCCTACTTATCAACGCTACGGGCTAGTATACAACGCTGGGGCTTTTGTCACCGACATGGCCTGGCACACCACCAAGAGAGGCGACGAGCAGGTTCAGTACCTAGTGTTGGCACTTTCTCAGTACGGCCAGGAGCCAGATGATAAGCATTTGCGGATGTTTGGTAAAGAAGAGCATATTGCGTGCTTGCAGGTGTTTAGATTTGATCCGCACACTCTCTCGCTTGAGAAAATACATGATATCTTACATCCGTATGGAGAAGTATGGGATTTGAAGTGGCACGAGGCTCTTGATCAGACTGAAGACACGATTGGCGCCTTATTCTTTGCTTGTCAAGAGGGTACAGTGAGGTCCTTGAATATCCCTACAACAGCTAGTGAGGAGCCTGTTCTTTGCCAAGCCACAAATATTGCACTGGGGGTTAAGGGCAACTGTGTGACGACGTTTGATTTTGTTAGCGTGAGCCGAGTTATATGTGGGTTCCAAAACGGTTACGTTGCGGAGTTTGACCTTTGCGATACACAGGCGTTGCAAAGGCCCTCGTATTATTTGCAAGTATGCTCCACCTACATATCGACCATAGTCACAGCGCACTCGGAGTTTGAAGCTAGCACCATCGGTGCGGTTTCGCTAGACGGGTATTTCTACATATTTGACCCTGCCAGCATACACACCTCTAAAGTGAAGACGAGTAGGTATCGTGGTGGTAACCAGTTCCCGATAGTATACATGCCGAAGCTGTATAGTTTCTTCTGCACAGACGGTGCCAACATCGTTCGTGCGGTCCCACCGCGTGCCTCGTTCGCACAGCACTCAATGGGGTCCATGCCCACCACAGTGACAGCACTGTCGGCGTCGACACTACACCCCATGTTGCTCAGTGGGCTCAGCTCCGGCGGACTGTACATCACAAACGCCGTGAGGCGGTTGCTGACGGGTGTTAAGAACGTCGCCAGCGTCGGGCGGACTCTACGGTTGTGGAAGTGGGACTACAACCCTTCTGCGGACCAGTACCGCCTGGATCCTAACTACGAGGTGGAGAAAGCCGGCGGCGGGGAGATTAGCACCATCGAGCTGGACGCCCCACAGGTGGCCATCACCGCTACCAAGTGGAACGAGTCCACGGAGTGCGGCAGGTTCTACAGCTTCTCCATCAGCGCTGGTATTGTAACAATAGAGAGAATCGGTGAGAAGTAGAGTGTGTCGTAAATAGCAAGTACGTAATATATAAGAGTCAAATTGTAACTCGCCTGTTTTGCAGCTCCAGCACCGTTTCAGCAACTTCACTTCGAATTGCGAATTGAAAAATTTTGGCGATGAGCATCGAGAAGATGGAAGTACAAGTTTGTGGATGGCTGATGGTGTGGGGGGAGCAAGGGAGAAGGTATGAGTTTAGTTCAGTAGTGGCAAGGTATTGAGAGATGGTGCAGGCTATTAAACTGAGTGAACTGGGCAACAGGAAGCGTAGGAACGATCCTGTTAACGAGGACGAGGAGTCTGAGATTGATATCAGCAGCACGGACTCTGAGGAGGAGAATGCTGGGGATGAGGAGCAAGAGATAGTGAACATAGACTTTGATTTCTTTGATGGGAACCCCGATGTAGACTTTCATGCGGTGAAGCACTTGATCCGCCAGTTGTTGGGTCCGCAGGAGAGCAACCGTGTTCAGCTGAGTGCGCTGTCTGATCTGATACTTTCCTCGCCAACCACTACCATCAAGACGGACGGTAAGGAGTCTGACCCGTACTGTTTCCTGTCCTTCATCAACTACAAGGAGAACAAGGACAGCGACTATGCGAAGTACTTGCGGAAGCTGGACACTAGGATTGAGACTTTCCTGCAGACGCTGGACAACACGGGCAACAAGAGCTGTGCGCTGGTGATGAGCGAGAGGCTGATCAACATGCCACCAGAGGTAGTCACGCCGCTGTACCGCATCACCATGGAGGACGCGGCAGCAGCAAACGAGGGCAAACCGTTCGACTTCTACGTGATAGTGAGCAGGAAGTACGAGGTCAACTTCGATATGGACGAGGCAGAAGGAGACGCCAGCGCCAGGTCGAAGAAGAGAGTCAGGGGCAAGAGCGAGGTAGACTACTTCCACGAGGAGGACAGGTTCTTCGAGAAGCACGCCAAAGTGCACTTCGATGGCGAGTCCAAGAAGGGCCTCATCGCATCATACATCATTATAGACCACGACAGCCTGGTGAAGAGCATCAACGAATTCGAACAGGAAGTATCCACCTGGTAGGAATTATCACAGGCAGATTTTCGACCCTATACATAAGCGTATATTAACTATATATGAGCATATAGAAGCCAAAGAGACGACATGCCCAAGCCGGTATTATCGTAGCTCTGTACGTAACCATCACATGCTTTGTTGATGTTTTCGCGGAAAGAAAAAATTGATGAAAATTGGCGAACTTTTGACCTTTTCCGGGTCAATAAAAACTGCCAAAATACGCACAAAACGGTGCGAATCGGCAGGTATTGGACGTTCCTGGAGGGTTCTGGTATTGGATATTGGCTGCAGATAAGGTTTTACTGTTGATCCCCCCGTGTCTGCTCTTTGTCTTCTTCTTGGCTGGCGTTTGTGTCGTTTTTTTTGCGTGAAATTTGGATAACAGTTTGGTTTATTTGCATCTCTGGATCATCAGTTGAGCTGTGCCCTGTGGAATAATTGAGAGACACGCGTCAATGTTCAGATTGGATTGATATAGAAGTAACGTGCACAGGAAAGGAAAAAGTTTAGTAGGAACAGACAGATCAAATTATAGAGACTATGTCGGTATCGTCGTCGCGATCTGTGACTCCCACGACTGCTGGAGAGGGCAAGAAGGAGATCCTGAGCCAGCGAAGCAGCAAGCTTAGCCAGCTGTACTGCCTTTCGCGGCTCGATGACGTTATGCTGGTGAAGGGTAAGCGCGAAGAGTTCGTGCGTGACCTGCATAGGTTTCTGGAGGAGAACGACGTGGATAAGAGCATAGCGAAGCTGAACCAGAAAACTGAAGAGCGGTATGTGTTGAAGCCATTGAAGATACAACGGTTTAGGAAATCGCTTGGCATGGGTTCTAAGGTGTTTAGGGGTATTAAGAGGAGCGAACACGATATCATAAGGACGAAGGACAACGCTATTGTGTATGTCAGAGAGGAGAACCCATACTCACCTTCTATTGAATGGGTGACTCGGAAGAGGAAACTCGCCGAAGACCAAACCCAAGATGTTAGTTACAAGCGACAAAAGAGAAGTTATGAGCCCATTCATCAGTATCAGATAAGCAAATTACCACCTAAACCTACTCCTATAGAAAAACCTTCAGCTGTTAGCAAAACACTGAATGAAAAGCTGAATGAAGTCTATGACACTGAAGAACGGTTAGACTCCAGGTATAATGAAGGCAGTATAGATTCTTTAGAATCGGTATATTTGATGATGAAAGAAATAGCACCATCAATGATTCCAGGTGGTATTCCATTGGCAGAACTTAGATATATGGCACAAACTTTGCCACTTATAAGTTTAATACCAAGGGCTCATAAGGTTTTGACTTCCGATATGATTAATCAAGCATTGCATGAGTCCAGGATAACCGTCGTAAGCTCGAGAATTGAAGAACTGCGAAGATCGGGGTTGTGGTCATTAAGGCAACCAAAACGATTTGTCGATGGTTGGAACCGTGAGAATACTCATCGTGGTACTCTATTAAAAGAAGCGAAGTGGATGAGAGAAGATTTTGTGGAAGGGAAGAAGTATAAGATTGCTGTGTGTACAACTCTGGCACAAGCTGTACAAGATTATTGGACGTACGGAAAGGTTTGTTGCGTTAGGTGTAAGCCAATTCATGTCCCAGGAGAAGACACTCCTAATTCAAATGATAGGAGTGATAAAAGTGTGGATGAAACTTTAGCAAAAACTGTATTAGTAGAGCCTTTGGTTGAACCAGTTGATGTTGATATTGTGCAAGACTCTGTTATAGAGAACGATGAAAAAGGTGATGATACTAAAAATGTGCAAGCAAATAAAGAGACAGAAAAGGAGAGCCAGGTGGCTAACGAAGATGTTGATGATGTTATGAAAGATGTGACGGAACAGGATGTTGATAATGACATTGCAATCGATAGGAATGATGGTTCTGATGATAATGATAATGGTAATGGTAATGATAATGATAATGGTAATGGTAATGATAATGATAATGGTAATGACAGTGATAATGCTATTGATACGTGGTTATTGCAGAGGAGAGCTAATCCAAAGGACGAAATAGTACCTAAGAAGCTACCTGAGATTTCTGATGAAGAGTATCAGAGAATGAAGCAATCGGATAAAAAATCGAAAATATTTAAATTGACAATTACCGAAAACGATCTTAGTGGGTTTCAAAGCACATTACTCTCAGAGTTTCCAGTATACAAAGGTATAGACGATGAAGATTCGCATATTAATTTAGATACACTTGAAATGATACCTGTTTCTAAGTCATTAGTACTTCCTGACTTTGATCATTACTACAAGATAGTTGAAAAGCAGCTCATAGATGAAGAGCAAACTCTACTGCAATTGAGCAAACGTAGAGGGTTATTTTATGGTAACAGGAGAAATCACTATCTAAGACCACCATCAGTGCCATCTTTGAAATATTTGCAAAATAGAACGCCTACAATTTGGTTACCAGAGGATGATCAAGAGTTGGTGAAAAATATTAGTACTTATGCCTACAATTGGGATTTAATTAGTGCACAAATGACTCGGATGCCAAGTAACAGTTACTTGTCAAACATTGAAAGGAGAACTCCTTGGCAATGTTTTGAGAGATTTGTTCAGCTCAATGAGAAATTTAGCTTTTCGGATTTGAAAGGTCCACGGGCACACGCAGCGCAACAATGGTTGATTGAAGCTCACAAGTTCCAACAAAGACAAAATAGAAGAATTTCACCATTGGGTGTTGGTCCAGAGTCGATTCAAAGAGGTCATAGAAGATTGAGATGGGCAAGCATTTTCGAGGCGATGCGTAAGACAATAAAAAAGCGGGAAAATGCACCACGTCCTAATCCGACTCAACCACGAAAGATGTTAGATAGTAAGAATATGAAGGTCCCTACACCTGCAGAAATGTCCGCTTTGAAAGCTCAACGAGATGAGGCTATAAGAAGAGACATTCAATTGAGGAGAACAGCCAAAAATAGATTACAAGTTAAGCAAAATCCGCAGGTTTCAAAATCTAAACAGTCACAAAAACAAGGCTCTCCTTCGTTGTCGCGTCAACAGCATCCGGTTCCTCCTAATGGACAGCGTCCTGTTAATTTGCCTGTTGGATCTCAGTTTAGGGTTGATAACATGCAGCAACAGCAGCAACAGCAAAAACAGTATGATGCCAGGTTTGTTCAAAAACAGGCAATGCAAGGTAATGCAGGTAAGATCGTTTCTTCAGCTGCTGCTCCAGAAAAGGTCCCTAATACCTCATACACTAATGTAGTGAATAAACAAATTACCCCGGCAATGCAAGCCCAGAATGAACAGCGCATTGCAGCGGAGAATAAATTAATCAATAGTTATGTGAAAAAAATTATCAAGCAAAATCCTGGTGTTTCCCCTGAAATTGCACTAAAAGCGGCTCAGAGCTATTTGACAACTATGAAGAATCAACAGGCACAAAAAAGATTCAAGGACAGCAAGCTAAATTCAGCTTCTGGTGCTCAAGTTAAGAACATTCCCCAGCCTGGGGAATCAGTTAACCTGTCACAGCAGGGCATGTCTGTCATGAACAGAGGTGTACCATCGCCGGTGCAGACGGATCCGCGGCAGATATATGCCGGTAGGGCCTCGAATGCACCGGGCAAGCCAGTAACGACTGTGGATACGATACCTGAAACTGTACAGACAATGAAGTCACCAACTCCTCAGGAGATATTAAAGAAATTCCAAAAATAATGAATAAATAACATAAAATTCTCACTCATTAAATCTAACATACATAGCATATAACTAATTTATAATATCCGAACTTGAAACACAGCTGTACTTACAATCGATGAATCACCTGGAGATTGGGTAAGATTGGTTTGAATAAAAGTTAATTCTCTAATAGAATGTCATTTTATTAAGAAATAAACTATATCATACAGATTATATTCAATTTTTTAAGCGTAGGTTACAACACTTCAAATTTTTGGTAAGGTATAAACAGCAGTTTCCTCTTTATTGCTTGAGTTGTAAGTATAGGAGACCTTCCATTTCAATTTCAAAGGTTTGGTCAATGTTGTTGGTGCATTGTCGATCCATGCATTTTGAGTAATGCCGCCCTTAGAGTTTGCTAATAACAGGTTCCCAGACTGAGGTTCTAATCTCAGCTGAACTGATTTTGGTGTGGCAATAGAAAAGACCAAATTATTTATGGTTTGGAAGGTAAGGTTATTGAAAAACACCTTCAATTTCAATGTAGAATCAGACTCTCTAGCTAGGTCAAGCTCAATCTCTATATCACCTGATTTAAACAGCGAAAGCTTTTGTGAAGCAGATGCGTTAGCAACTGGAGATGGGCTTGACACGAAGTCACCTAGCAAGTCATCTGCGGCACTAATATTAGTAGAAGCTGGGGTGTTGCTAGCTTGAACCAATGAAGGAGGTGGAGACGCTAAAACTGAATCCAAAAGATCAGAGCTGTCATTACTCAAACCAGCACTGGCACCAGTTGTAGCAACGGATGGTTTACCAGCACCTAGAGAAATACCACCTCCGACTAGGGATTGGTTGTTGTTATTGTTTGTATCAGCTTGGCCCAAAGTGAGATCACCAAATAAGTCATCAAGTGATGTGTTGTTACCATTAGAAGCACCTTGTTGATCGTTGCTACTATCTCTTGCAGGCTCATCATCAAAGTCGATCAAGTTAATTTCATTAGCCAAAGCACCTGCATTGCTACCTGCAGGCACTTCACTGATATTCTCTGGGTTAATGGCTGCTGCAGCTTGCTTGTTACCAATCTTTAACAAGTTGTATTTCTCTAGTAACTGGTTAACAGTGTCGTTGAATTTAAGAAGACTCTGCACTAGCGTGTCATCCTCGTGCTCTTCTTCGATGATCTTCTGGAATTTTGGCTGGGCCACTTTTAGTGCACTGTATAGCTCTTCCATAGTTTCACTTGACAAGTCAGGTTGTTCTTGACTCAACATCTCATTCAACAGGTCCGCTTTACGTCTCAATTTGTTCAGCTCATGGTTAATGGTCTGTTTGGCCTGGATAATGTTGTCCTCCTTGAAACCAGCCATGACTTTCATCAGCTTGTTGGCCTCTCTCAAGTCTTCTGGTCTCCCGCGTCTGATTAGCTCCTCCAATTTGGCTGCCTGGGCGATCTCTTGTTCCTTTTGAATCTCACTGGCGGTCTTCAACTGGTCGTTAGGGCGCATCACCGCTAAGTGCTCGTCCTGTATCTTAGGGAACGCATAGCCCTTGTACTTCAACAACCTGTGCATGTCTCTGATGTAGCCCAGGTCGTCCTTGTAGCTCGCAGTCTTGCATATGGTCTGGTACCACTCCTCGATCGCAGTCAGAATCAGCCTCTGCACCTTGGAGTAGCGCATGGGAGGCCTTTCCGGGAACCGCTTGACCAGCTCATTCAGAAACTCCTTCCGGGAGATTTGCAAGTGCACCGGATACCCACAGTTCTTCACCAAAACGTCCAGCAACGCCAGCGCAAACACCGCGGTGTGCGTATCATGGCAATTGATCAGCTTCACAATGGCAAACACAGCATCCCGGGGAGCAGCACCCTGCTTCTCGTTGATATAATCAGCAACATCCAGGTTCAACGCCAGGTCGGGCTCCGGAAGAGACATCCGGCACGCACGCTGGATCTTCCGCAGCAGCGGGTTCCCACTCACCTGCGACCTCCGAACAGGCCCCTCAGTCAAATATATTCCAGTAGGCATTACTTCCTTGTTACTGGTCTCCTACTTACAGCCCAATTCCGGAGAGCAATCGTCAGTCCGACCCTTTTATAATCCCAAAGTTGCAAGAATTTTTGTCACTGGGCCGTTTGGGAGATAAAGAGGGCCTTGGTGGGCACACAACACAGATAACTTGGGATATAAAGAGAGGGTCGATGGCTCTTCAGGACGAGTCTCTGGGGATTGACCAGCTGAGTGTTGACTATGACTACCTTGTGTACCGGATCAGCGACCGCGTGAAGTCGTTGGAGCTGGAGGCCACCCGGTTGGTGCAACGGCAGAACGAGCTGGTGGGCCAAGTGTCTGAGCGTGTGATTGATGAGAACATCGAGCGGTTTCGTGGAGTTCTGCGTGGTCTGGATGAGCTTGAGGAGTACTTTGCTATGATGGAGCAGATTGGGATGATTACCGACAGCTTCAAGGAGAGGCTTGACAGTGCGATGGCTGCTTTGAAATGAATATACCGGATTAGAAAATGACTATTTATGATATACCTATGTAATAATGTAATATGAATATTGAGAGAAACGATCTCACCATGTGATGCGGTCCTCCTTTGCTATTATCTTGCGTTGTAAGTAGCGGATCCGTTGTTCGTTCCAGTTGTGCTTCTTTGCGGCCCTGTACATGCGTATCACTGCCAATACCGCGAGCGCGACGGTCTTGAAACGCTTGCCCTTCTGGCGGTATCTGTAATCGTACTTGTCAAACTCTCTGGTGTATGAACTTGAGTATGGCCTGCCGCCACTTGAGGACAATGGCGCCGAGAGTGGCACATTCTCTTTATGGATGTCAATGTTTAGATCATTTTCTACTTTCAGCAGATTTAATCGGATATCCTGTGCACTGGCCCGTAGAACCCTGTTCAAGTACTCGTTGATTACACGCAGATCGTTATTGTGTCTGACTTCGTCGTTGTACTTGAGCTTATAGTAATCCAGTTTATCTGCCAGTGTAGTGTTCGCAGATGTCGATATACTGGGATCCATGCGCTTCTGTAGGTCACTGTTCAATTCTCTGTTTCTACTTTGCAATTTTATCATTTCATCTAAGTAACCTTTCTTCATTAGTTTAAATTCATCCTTTAACTTTTCGTATTTCCTTTCAATTAAGGAATCCTTAGAGTCTTTCAAGGACTTGTTGTTCTCCAGATCAACTCTTAACCTCGATATCGTCTCCAAGGCATCCTTCATCTCGGATTTGTATCGATCCTTGGCTTGCTCCAATGATCTTAACTTATTCAATATATCATTTCTTTCTTCATTGAGCTGTACAATGTCCGCCTCGAGTCTTCTAATTTGGATATTCTTATCCTGTAATGTTATCTCTATATTGTTAGACTCTTTGTGTTCTCTGCTGATGAGGTTTTCGTTTTCTTTCCTTAATGCTTCAATTTGGCGCTCCCAGGTTTCTATATCAAGTCTATGGAGGTCGACTAGTCTCTCTTTCTCGTCAGTCATATGTGCCAGTTCTCGTTTGAGGCTTTCTTGTTCGATCTCATGTTTGTTTTGTAATCTCCTAATCTCAAGTTCATGATCAACTTCTCTGTTTTTGGTTGCCTTGTCAAGCTCAGCTTGAGAAGTTCGAAGCTCTTCATCTAATCTTTGTACTCTATGTTTCAATTGATCAATTTCTTTGTCCTTTTCAACTACTTCTTCAGATAATTGGTCTTTTGATTTGGTTGCATTTTTTATTATTTCATGATGGAGTTCCTTGATTGTATTATTAGCCTCACCTAGATTTTTTCTAGCATCTTCAAGATCTGATGTCAGATCTTTGATCTTCACTTCAGTTCTCGATTTCTCGTTCTTTAGATCAGATTCGATATGTTTTAACTTGGTTCTTAAACCGTCGTTTTCACTCTGGGTCAACCTATGTTGTTGCTCTAATTTCTCGATCTGACCTCTCAAATTACAAACTTGCTTTTCCAATTGAATTTTCTCTACAGAAAGTTCTTGAAGTTGTCTAGAAGTAGACTTTTTACCATCTTCAAATTCAAATGTTTGTTTTTTCAATTCCCTCTTGAAATCTTCAAACTCTTTTTGCACTTCTGCATATTTAGACTCTGATTCTTTTAATTGATTCTGTTTATCTTGAATTTCTTCCTTATAGTGCACTATGGCATTCTCCTTTTCAATGATATCCTCTTTAAGACCGTCAATAGCATCTTCTCTTTCCTTCAGATCATGCAACAGTTTCTGATTCTGGTTTCCATTTTGGTCATCTATTGAGGCCAATTGATCCTCTGCATTTCCTAGTTTTCTCTTGAATTCGCTTATTGTTGCATCCTTGTCATCGATAGTTGATTTTAGAGTGTGAATCTCTTCATTAAGTCTTGCGGTGGAGCTTTCGAATTCCTGTTTCTTTTCATCGAGTTCGTTTTGGATTGATAGAAATTTTATCTCTAGATCATTATATCTATCTCTTAAATTCTTGAAATCTTCAGTGACCCTTTCCAACTCTTCTAGAATATGTTCACGTTCTTTAATATACTCTGGGTTATCAATTGGGATGACTTCTGGTTCTTTAGTCTTTTCCTGGTCAGTATTAACTTCCTTTTCTTGTTCCATCTTTTGCACATAGCTCTCGAAATCTTGCTTCACTTTTAACAATTTCTCATTAGTTTCCAGATATTTTGTCTTCCATATACTGACTTCTTCCACAAGGTTGATATTATTCTGAGAGGACCCGCCGCTGTAGTTGGCAAGTAGCGACCTGTACGAAACGTTTTTGACCTTCAGCACTGTATTCTCATGTTCCAAGTCCTTTATCTTTTGCTCCTGATCCTTGATTGGGTTAGATGTCTTAGACAATATGTCTGAGTAGTCATTCCTATTTTGTTCCTCTTGTGGTGCCGCCCCAGAATTTCGAGCTGAAGTCCGCGACTCTGGTACTCTCCTATACTGCGGCAACTTCCGCATCTCCAATTCTGGCAGCGTTTCATCGAAAGTATCATTATCGTTCTCCACTCGAGAAGAGTTCACGGTATCGTTGATACTCCTTCTGCGGGCCTTCCGTACATGCCCAACACTCCCGGGAGATCGTACACTGGCTCCAGTCGGTGACATCAGCGTCTCCTTGGCATCGTTCTCACCGCTCTTGGACTTGATATACCCAATGGGCGTGAATTCGAAGTTCTTGATATCAGACATCCGGGACCCGAATTCTCCAGCAGTTCAGTCTCTTTCTTTCCCCGCGCAAAAACTATCTCTATAATACAAACGCCGTCAAACAGCCTATAACAGTCCTAGATTCCGCTATTGTAAGCAAAGACCACAAACAGCCAAGTCTCTTTATAAGTGGTCTGTAAACACAAAACTGGCGCTCAGTGTGACGCTTTGACGTTTTGACGCTTTGATGCTTTGACGCGTAAAGGCTGTTCAGGAAGAGCGGATTTCGCGTACCGTTTCATGTGACAAGTATGAGTAGATAGTAGTATGAGATGCCTATTTGTATAGAAGTGGTTTAAATAAATGCTATATTTTCATGGCTGTTGTTGCATTTGAGTATATGCATGAGTTTGTGGTGATGAGTGCGAGAGAGAGTGGGTTTTCTTAGTGGGTTTTATAGATCCTGGACGTCCTTGATGAAGTGTTCCAGGGCTTTCACAGCGTTGCCCGATTGGATGGACTCGTTAGCTACCTCTACACCTTGTTTCCAGTTTCTGTGGCCTTGGCTCAGGCAGTATAGCACTGCGGTGTTCAGAAGGATGTAGTCGTAGACCGGGTGGTTGTCGCCGAGCTTGTACTTGCCGGAGAGGATATCATCTCTGAGTATCTCTGCGTTTCTCTCGGGCCCGTAGGACTTGCAGACGTCCAATGGGTGCTCCTGCAGTCCGAACATTGCTGGTTCGAGCTCGAATATATCTACTTGTCCCGTTGTAGTGACGTGCCAGACCGTCGTCTTGCCGATGGGGGACACTTCGTCGAGGCCCACATGGCCCCAAACCACGAAAGTCTCGCTGTTTGGGTACACTATCGATGCTGCCTTGGCGTACTCTGGTGCGAGGTCCTTGGAGTACACGCCGAGGACGCGCTTGTCGACGTGTGCCACCGGGTGCAGCAAGGGGCCCAGGATGTTGAAGATCGTGGGGATGTGCATCAGTTTCCGCAGGTTGGAGGTCTTACCGAACCCGTAGTGGAAGTAAGGCGCCAGCAGGAACATGAACTTGTTTTCCCACAGCGCGGGCACGGTCTCCGCGGTGACCTTGCTGGACTGCACACCCAGCGTGTTGATCAGGTCCCCGGACCCGCTGTTGGACGTCGAGGCCTTCCCACCGTGCTTGCACACTTTCAACCCGGGGATACCAGCAGCCACGATCGCGGCAGAAGTAGACACATTGAACGTGTTCTGCCCGTCGCCACCGGTGCCCACAATATCCAGCACCACTTCCTCCCGGTGCTCCCGGTGCGTCTTCTCCACAAGGTCCAGTTCCACCACATGCGAGAACCCGAGCACCGCCTTCGCTGCCTCGGCAATGTACTCAGCTCTGTGGTCCAGCCGCGAGGCCTTCAAGCACGACAGGAAACTGGCAATCTTGACGTGCGTCGACAGCGTCAGCGTGTCGATCAGCGAGTCGATGTCCTGCGACGCAGTCAACTCCAGAATGATCACCATCGCCCTGTACAACTGCTTCGGAGTCAGCGTGGGCACGGGCTCCAGCAGCGTCTTGGTCAATTGCACCAGCTCATCCTCGCTAGACATATCGGTATTATGATTTATGGCCAGCTCTCTCCAGCTTATTCCCCCCATCCTAAAAGACTAATACCATCCAGTTGGTGGCAGCCAGTTATATAGTTGCGAGTGTGGAAGCAGTCTGTGACTGAGAGACATGCATCACATGACTTGTGAATAGTGATAATTTAAATGAGTCATCTTGTTATATTGTACGTGTTCACGTGTACAAGCCAATACATCGTATTGCATTACTATATTGCTATATTGATATATTGCTATACCTGCCTTGTATCTTGTATGGCATTGCTATATTGATATATTGCTATACCTTTCTTGTATCTACATGGTATATTATACCTCTCTTGTTCTTTTAGTAGAAGGTCACAACCAAACAAAAACTTTAGGATACTCTTCCTAGACTTGTTAACAGTTGATTGTAGTGTTGATACTTGCTTGTATCTAGTCACGCAATACTAAGTACCAGGAGTTATAAGTCTGATAAACCAGAATCTGTTCGAAGGAGTCATATGTCACATAGCATTAGGTTCCTCTTCTGTGAACTTAAAGTCCTACCTATATTACTGACTTGTATCCGAACTTTATCACGTAATACATACCGATCTATAACACGCTGAATACCTGTGACAAACTCGTACCTTGTATCTTGCGAAAGCTGTATTTATGCAAGCTGTTTTTATACAAGCTGTTTTTATACAAGCTGTTGATATACACGCTCTTTATATACACGCTGTTTGTAGCTCTGTTTGACAGTGATAGGCTTATTGATGTAGTGTCTATAAATTAATAATACCTTCATTATTAACACTTGGCACTTCCCTCTTTATTTCAAGGCGATATGCCGGTTTGTTCTTTCTGGCATATACTCGATTATAGTATTCACCACAGTAATGTTTCTTTAACGATATAATTTTTATTGTTCCATTTATAGTTATCTTCCTTAATTTTGGTCCGCCTAGCAGCATTTTATGTATCATTCCATTTATATCTATTGCATGTTGCAGCCCAGTTTTTCACCACATATAACTTAATCCATACTTCCATTAATATAAATATCACTATCACTGTTAATTATATATATTTTCAATTTTTACTAAGCCAGTACAAATATATTATTTATGGTTGAAATCTAATTTAATAATAAAAATCTTTATAGTTATTATACATAAATTAATAAATAATACCGTCTATTAATAAATACCTACAATGCTATATAAAATATTATTAGGAATATTAATTATATTAATTATACTATTAATATCTTTAAGAAAATTCAACTAACCCACATTAGATTCTAAATTGAGACCGTAAATTACTAAATCTTTAATATTATTACTAATATATTATTTATTTTATTAATATTATTACTAATATAATATTTATTTTTATTAATATCATTATAATAATTATAATGATAATAAAGAATATTAATGATTAAATTAAAATAATTATTTATGGTCAACACATTATCCTTGCTAATGGGATAAATTAATTATGCGAATTTTTTAATTCCTGTAGGAATAGCAATAATCATAATGACTGATGTCAAAAAAGCTCTAGTATCAGCATCTAATCCTGGAGTATACATATGATGTAGTCATGCCAAGACTCCTAATAAGCCACTAGATGCCATAGCATACATCATATAGATTTCACCAAGTACTAGGTTTTTAGAATAAGGAGATACAATATGTGAAATAATACCAATCCAGTAATAATTATAATATTTACTTTTGGATTACCAAAAAAACTAATATCTAAATATGTACTATATCCTTTATATTATTAATATTATTATTAATACATAAAGATTTTATACCTTAATATAATATATATTTCATATAAATTATAAATATATAATGATATTCAACAATTTATTATTCATTTATTATTAATTTATAATTGTTATCTATCGATGAGGCAGTCTGTAGCAATTAAATATTACACATTATAGTATATATTTTAAATAATATTATTGGACGGTCTTTATTATCTATAACCATTTTGATACGCCACTTTGTTGAATTTATAGGTTCTATGTAGCTTTTTAAAATTCTGTTACCTATAAACATATATCTACTTTTCATACTTCTCCTGCTACAACATCTCTTTACTACATAAGCTTATAGGTTTCTGAACCAATTTTCCATATCCACGACCATAGAAAGCTATTTCTGCTACCATTCTTGATGGCTATGGTTTACAACAATTGCTATGTTCATTTTTATAGCATACATTTTATGGATAATATCATTAGAAATATAGTATTAAAAAGGATATTGTATATTTTATTTGCAGTATGGTATGTTCCTTCGTGTAGCAAAAACTGATTCCATACTAATTTATCTTTGTCTAATGAAACAAATTCTAAAACCTTTTCGGTGTAGAATCATCTTTATGTATTGATGTTGCCTCAGATATTCCATGTTTATTCAAATCGGTTTTATTTACTTTATTGTTTTCCACAAGTGTGTGTTGATAGCATAGAGCATATTGGTTATACTATATTTTTGTACTGCTCCTCCACAGTTTATTCTTCTTATAAATTCATATTTCGCTTTATACCATCCAATTTTAAATTATTTTTAAACAGGAGTCTATTATCTTACATTCTTAATTATGGTAAAATATATGTTTTGTAATGGTTTTCCATATTTATATTTTTGCATTTTTCTTTCAATGCTATTATATCAGTATTACAATATTTATAGCTTTTTCAATGGCTGGTGCATTATTATCTTCTATTCTTTTGTTATATTTCTTCTATTTTTACATGCATTTTATTATTTTCTTTATATTCTATTGTTTGATATCCCTTTTTTAGCCATTTATTTGAACTATCATATAAATCTTTATCAATTTTATATTATTTTATGTGGAAGCCCTCCTTTATTCGTTACACTGAATGCTTTATCTAAACTTGTTGGTATGAATAAGAATGGGTGATTTAATACCATCATTTTTTTTATTAAATTTTCTTTCTCTTACACATTGGTTTGGATTATGCAATACATGTCTATTATCATACCTTGATCTATTCCACATACATAATATTATATCTTCTTAGTTTTATAGTCTTCCACAAAATCTTCTACTAAAATAATTGTTAATTAAATTAATAAAAATATATAAATCTTCAATTTTAAGTAGTTGTCAAATATTTCTCCTATGCCAATATTTTGTCTATATTGTCGACTTATATGCACAAAAGGGAATAGACTACGTATCTATACTAAATGATATTCAATACTTACATGTCATGTAGATCTATTATGTGATGATAACGACCATAAAACAAGCTAAAACTAAAGTATATTGCAAGACCATTGATAACAAATGCATTCAACAAGAAAAAGATTAAAGGTGGAACAACTCAAAATAACATGCAAACGTTCAAATTCGAAATAATGCGGAGGAATATTTTTATAATATTGTTTCAGATATTAACAATACTACCATCTCTTCCAGTTGTATATGTGGCTATTTGCCTCCTGGTACTACAACACATTGTCTTAAAACAATTGTAAAGCAGTAAACAACTTTAAATTTTTTGTAGTATTTGGACACCATTTCTCTATATCCCAGCTCCTGTTATCAGTTTCTGTTAACACTTACTGAGCATCGTCTCCTTCCTTCATACTTCAAATTTAAATGAACTTCATCTGTTACATAATTATTGATGTGGAGGGATTATTGTTTGTAAGTACTACTCTATAGGACAGTAGCCAACGTTATCTACACATCGCCATACCCAAATCTCCAACATATGCCAACCAGATGGATGAAAATCCTTGCTGGGAGTTCATATAGAAAGACCTCTGTTCAACGTTTCTGTTTAATATTGATTAATCCAGCCTTTATATGCTTATGCGCTATATGGAGTGAGTCCCTGCTATTCGGCGTTCGGAGTTCGATTCTCTGGTGGAGCGGAAAGTTCTCTTCTGGGTCCCATTTTTTTTTTTTCAAAATTCGATGAAGTGAAGCTATATTTTGGCACAAATATTTATTCACTTCATCGAATTGTAGAGAGTTTACCAGACTGCATTGCGATGACGATGACGACTATGACGACGATGGTAGGTGTAGCTGCGCTTCCGAACCAGGTGTTCAAGAAAGTGCACGACGCGGGTTCTGTGTTCAATATGCTGGTGTGTGGTGAAAGTGGTCTTGGGAAGACCACTTTCATCAACACTTTGTTCCCTGGGTTGAAGCAGCGCAAGGGTAAGAAGGTGTCCACTGAGGCAGTGGACATTGTGAGGGCGCAATTGACGGAGAAAGGCTTTACTATGCGGTTTAATGTCGTCGATACGCCTGCGTTTGGGGACAAAGTCGACAACAACAGGGCGTGGCAGCCCGTTGTGGACTTCATAGACGACCAGTACGACTCGTACCTGAGACAGGAGCAGCAGCCCTTCCGCGACGTGCGGTTCGACTTCCGTGTGCACGCGGTGTTGTACTTCATCAGGCCCACGGCGCACGGGCTCAAGCCGCTGGATATATGGACCATGAAGCACTTGTCGCAGAGGTGCAACTTGATCCCTGTGATCTCCAAGGCAGACACGCTGACCGCACAGGAGCTGCAGCTGTTCAAGTCGAGGATAAGGCAGGTGATTGAAGCGCAGGAGATTGCGATCTTCACGCCGCCTCTAGACTACACCGACGGTGCCGAAGGCGCCGCCGGTAGCTTGGACGAGGCCAATGCCCCTGCGTTGGAACACGCAAGACAGCTGATCGAGTCGATGCCCTTCGCCATAGTGGGCTCTGAAGATAGGTACGACAACGGCTCGGGCACTATGGTGCTGGCCCGTAAATACCCATGGGGCCTGGTCGAAGTGGAGAACGATGAGCACTGTGACTTCAGGAAATTGAGAGCACTGCTATTGGGCACTTACATGCTGGACCTGATCACTTCCACAGAACAAACACATTACGAAAATTACAGAAGGACACGCTTAGAAGGTATAAATAGAGACGAACCCAACGACAGCGAGAAACTTGCCTCGCTCACGTACAAGACTCCAGCTAGAAAGCTTTCGAATAATCCAAAATATAAAGAAGAAGAGAATGCTTTGAAGAGTTACTTCACTGAGCAAGTTAAAGCTGAAGAACATAGATTCAGGCAATGGGAGCAAAATATCATAAACGAAAGAACAAAGCTAAATGGTGACCTGGAAGAGATTCAGGCCAAGGTGAAAAGAATGGAAGAGGAAGTTAGAAGACTACAAGCCAGAAAGCATTGAAGTCATTGTGCTATACAAGATTATGTAACTTTATTTTAAAGGCTTTGTTATTGTTTCTAATTGATTGTGTTATTGATGTTTACTATCTATTTTTGATATAAGATTATAGAAGAGATCTGCCTCTTAAAATGAGGCATATCGTAAAGTATTTGTTTTGCGGTAAACTAAAGCATTGATAATAATATTAAGATCAGTTACATATCAGTTAGAAGATAAACTGCAACATTATATACTGAAATATGTTTATTCCAATTCAGTCAAGTATCTCTCAGCATCTAGTGCAGCCATACAACCGGAACCAGCGGAGGTGATAGCTTGTCTGTATCTAGAGTCTTGGACATCACCTGCGGCAAAGAAACCTGGGATAGAAGTTAGAGAGCTACCTGGGACAGTCTTGATGTAACCACTCTCGTCAGTCTCAACTTGACCCTTGACAATATCAGTGGCTGGGTTGTGACCAATGGCGTAAAATAGACCATTAACTGGCAAATCGGATTCTTCGTTGGTCTTAACGTTCTTGATTCTCAATGCGTTTAAGAACTTACCATCACCTTTAGCCTCAAGGGATACGGAGTTGAATAAGACCTCGATCTTCTCGTTCTTCTCGACACGTCTTTGCATGATGGTCGAGGCACGTAAGTGATCCTTTCTGACTATCATGAACACCTTGGAACCGTATTTAGTCAAGAACTCAGCTTCCTCACAAGCAGAGTCACCACCACCAACAACGGCCAATGGCTTGTTTCTGAAGATTGGAACAGCACCGTCACAGACAGCACATGCGGAAATACCTTGTTGCCAGTACTTGTCTTCACCTGGCAAGTCTAATCTCTTGGCAGATGCACCAGTGGCCATCACAATGGCATCAGTGGTAATTGGTTCGCCATCTTCGTTGAACTCAGTCCATAGCTTAAATGGCTTAGCAGATAGGTCCACTTTGGAGATGGTCTCAGTGATGATGTTGGTACCAAACTTAGTAGATTGAGCTCTCATTCTGTCCATCAACTCAGTACCTGTTAGACCTTCTGGGAAACCTGGGAAGTTCTCGATTTCAGTAGTGGTGGTCAATTGGCCACCGGCAGCGATACCATTGGCAAGCATACCTTCATACAAAGTAGGTTTCATCTCAGCTCTGGCCAAGTAGATGGCAGCTGTGTGGGCAGCTGGACCAGAACCAATAATAGTAACTCTGTTGTGAGGCATCTTGCTAGCAAACCTTTTAAATATTGTGGACGACACGGTGGATATGTGTTGATAGGCTTCTTTCCAGTACGAAACTTTAATAAATTGCAAAAGCAAGAGTCATCACGAAACCATTGGGGTGCTATACTCTTATAGCTTTCTCAATGCTCATTGCGTATCAGATGGATTCTTCGAGGCATCCGAATCAGTCGGAATTACTGTGGGTGTGGATCAGATGACTTACGAGTGATAATATCGCAGTCAGAGCAATAAGTACATATTAAATAGTCTGTATTGGCTTCATTAGAGTTGTACTTCTGTTGTCAATACATTTGCGGTCTGCAATAATAATAAAATACCTTTTTATTTTATTAGTTGTGCATTTAAAGAAAGGATATATAAAAAATAAAAGAGTTATGGGGCTTCAAGTAATGCAGAAAACCGGTTGTGGAAGTGTAATGCTAATCTATCAATGGTGTGGTTTCGTCTTCGTTATTGTCGTATATCTCCCTTTCCAGTTCTCTCAGCTTGTTGTCCCTAGAGTAGAGTACATAGTACTGGTAGAAATATATCAGGTCGAATGCAACTGTGCCTGCGCTGCCAAAAATAAACGGCAGCTCGTTGAATATGAATGCCATCTTGTCCTCGGTGTCCAGGAAATTGCAACTTGTAAAAATGCTTATGTTGTAAGTAATGTTCCCCAGTAGAGTGGTAGCGAACAGGAAAGGTGACAACCCATCTGTGGACTTTCTCTGATAGTTCTTGATCAACTGTGGGATTCTGGCACCAACATAGAAAGAGGCACCCAGCCATGACAATGTAACCCCCATCTGGCCACGACCTGTATGGCCTGGGTATGGTGCATTTGGTGGCACTTGCAGGCTGGATAGTATTTGTTGTGCATTGCTGCTCTTAACAGAGACTAGGGCGTTAGCCAGAAGAGATCTAGTGGCCCTACTACCACTGTATATGCTAGAGTTGCTGAGCCTACTACCTTCCATGTTGGTCTCGGGCCTTGAGTCTGTGTTCTGCAGGCCGTTTTCATCAACAGTAATTATGCCATCATCGATCAAGGACGATATGACAGGGACAGTTTCATGTCCAACAGTGGCCAACTTGTTCTCATGTAAGACACCGTAGTAATAGTACTGGCAACACACAAACAGATCGTTAAAGAGGAAATATATAGCCAGCGCTATTTGAAACTTCAGTTGTCCCGTCATTAGAGCACCGATAAGAGATGTGATATCTCCACTAAGCCAGCACATAAGAAACAACGGGGATAAACCTTCTACTGTCTTATCCTTATAGGTCTCTATAATCTGAGGAAACAGAGAAACAAATGAACTCAGAAACGACACTGAGCCGTTGATATTAGAAATGAAAGGCCAAAGGGACCTTGCGCATGACATCGGCAAAACAGTTCTTTAGTTCAAAATATAAACGCAGTTGTATTCTTTCACAGGACAAACTCACTCACTAATTCTATTCTTATGTTAACTATGAGCATAAGCAATGAACAGTTACTGGGGTTCGTAATGAAATGTACTACCATTAATAACTATGTTAATTGATGAGTTTGCTGCTTCTTTTTGCAGTGCGATTTTGCAAAATTTGTATGAGGTGACTCAAGGAATGAAGTCTTAGCTGGATAGTAGAATGGACGTTATATTTCTATATCTGATAAAAGAGCAATTGTATTTACTTGTTATATATCGTCAATAGGTTTGCTTGCTTGCAAGTTGGGGTCGTGAATGTATAATTTGGGTGGGTGTAATATGCAATTATAATGAATAGGTAAGAAAGATTGAATAAAGTTTCATGAATTCAGTAGAGGTTCATTATGCTAGTATTTTTTGTACTGGTGGTGCCATTTCTTGATGAATGAGCTATTGATGATGTTGCATTCGGTGTCCTCAGAGTAGAGTGGTATACAGAATTTTTTGTCAATGCGTTCCAGATGTTTTAGGTCGTTGAACCCAAAATGGTAGTCCAGTAGAACAGAAGCTGCTAGCGAGGCCAGGATCTTGTAGTTAACAACAACGTATTTGTTTACATAGTAATCCCAATTCTTATCTCTCAGCTGGTCTTTGTTAATCTGCTTGTTGGTGAAGCATTGGCAATTTTCAATTACAATAATATCCATGATCCACATAAATAGGTTGTTGTCAATGCGGGACATAATGTTCCACCAGGTGTTGAAATTCATAATTGAGCTAGTCATCTCTGCTTTGAAACTTGGACTATGCAGAATTCTAGCTGTGATACCACGAGGGTCAATAATACGGCTGTCAAACTTGTCTTTGCATGTGTCGTTGAAACAAGTCAGTTGAATCAGATTGGCTATCTCCCAAATGTCCTTCAAAGTTTTAAAAGATTTGCAATTCAAGAAGTTATGGAAAAGTTGAGCATCACCAACCATAAGCCCCTGCTTGGAGATCGACTTCAATTTCAGTAACAATGTCAATTCTTTGTCTTTAACTGAAGAGTATCCGATTTTGGTCGTAATATTCTTCTCGATTATCTGCTTAATTTCACTTTCTTTATCAGTTGGGAAATCCATCTGATCCAGAATGCTGTTCAAATAATCAAAATTCTCCAAGTACTTTGATGATACTAATTGGGCATCACTTTCCAAAATAGTATGATAAATAGAGCATCTGAGTTCATCACTTATGGCTGTCTTCCATGAAATTTTTCTTAAGTCAAACAAAGAAGATTTTCTTGTGATACCTCTTTGCAATAAATGAGCATATCTTTCGTGGTTTGCTTTGTCCTCTTCCATGTGTTTAGTCTGTGATATTTTCCTCTGAATTTGTTCATCTGATGCCATCTTCATGTACTTCGATATTTCATGTTCGTGCATTTGCTTCTCCTTAGTTGATTTTGGTGGCAGATAAGTTGGTCTGGATGAGCTCACAGCTTCCAGTTTTTTGTCAGACACTAGCACAAGGTCTTCCATCCCCAAATCACTCATTTCTTTGACGTTCAAAGGTAAGTATTGGGTTGAAGATTGTCTTTTCTCCAATTGGCCACGAGACTTCATTTCCTGGGAGTGTAAGTACACTGAAGATAAGTTTTGTATGGTATCCTGGATGAATTCTGTATCTGTGACATTTGAGACACCTGGAATTGGAGTAGCTGGAATGTCCTCGAAACAAGTGATAGGTTGTTGTTGTTGATGAACAGGTCGCTTCATGGGCCTCTGTTGTAATCTGGGTAGGTTGGGCTGGCTTCTCGAATGCACTTGGTTTTTCTGAGGGAAGCGGCGATCCTGGCGCTCAATTTTGTTATTAATTACTCTATTATTCTCCGGTGAAGTGACTTTTATGTTCGTATCCTTATGTTTAGAATCGGTGGTGTTAAGGAAAGAGCTGGTTGAGTATGAAGCCATCGGAATGTTCCATATCAAAGAAGCATCGACATTATCGTCTTTCAAGTCTAGATTAGAATCCTGTTCTTCGTAAAATTTCTCTTTCTGTTTTATGGATTTCTTTAGAGCGACATCTCTCATCTCCTTGCGAAGTCTATATCTGTGTGAGGGTGTCATGGCTCTACTAGTTGGTAGGATAGCCGAGGTACTGTTGGAGTGCAAGTACGTGTTTGAGGCACCTGGGAGAGTACGTCTCTGGTTCGGTCCATCGACGAACCTCAATGGGGAAGAGTTCTCTGAGCTCTTGATCGAGGACTGCGATCTGTTCCTGTTGACGTTGGAGAAAATGTACCTAGCCTTCGGTGTTTCCGCAATCCCAAGGGACCCCGAGTCCAGGTTGCTGTACTTGTTCGGCGTGATCACATCTGACCTGGTCATACCGCTGCCAATTGACAGCGCGAGGCTCGGGCTCATCATCGTAGTGGCGCTCTTGCCGGAAACCATCGAGGTGTCGTGCTGCTCGTCGTAATCGCTATCAGAGGCAGATCCGTTAGAGGAGTCTGTGGGGTTCGCTGAGAACAGCGCGGTGTCGTTCGATCTAATGGAATTGTCTGAGGTGGGCCTAACGGGCTTCGGTACCGCATTCGCATGTGTCTCAGCCGCCTTCGACGGCGTGTCTCCGCCGGCTTCATCGTCTGAGTCCCCGTCTGAGTGCGCACTGATCTGCAGCATCAGGTTATCGCTCGGCCTCCTCGCCGAGTTCACACCGATTATCCGCCCAGCACTAGAGTAGCTGCTGCCAGAGATCACACTGTTGCTCTTGGATATCGACTGCGAGTGCGACCGCGACCGAGGCACATGCAGCTGCAGCACCTCACTGGACGCGCCAGCGTCCAGTGTCTCCCCAGCTGCCGTATCAGCTTCCAGTCCTGATTTAGCTCCCGTTTTAGCTCCCATTTTAGCTCCCGTTTTAGCTCCCACTTTGGCTTTTGCTTCAGCTCCCGCTACCGCTTCCTCCCGCACTGTGTGCAGCCGCACAGGTTTCAGCATAGACGCAACACTGATCTTCTGCATTGGGTCCCTGGTCCAGAGCTCACAGCTAATTATATAGTCCCTCATTCGAATCCACTTTTTAAAATTGGCCTTGTTTATTTTTTCACCTGTGACGTGCAGCGGCACATCCCTCATCGAAGTATATCAAGCGACTTCGCAAATATTGGCCATCAAGAGTGCTGGGGAGGCTAGACGGGCAGCGATGATGGGACGTGTGAACAGCCAGCTGCTGCGGGTGGTGCAGGACAGGTCTGTGGCCAACGGCGAGAAGTTGCAGCGGCTGTACAAGTTGATCAGTGCTACGGGGTCTAAGACTGCTACAGCTACAACTACTGCTACAACTACAACTACTGCTACTGCTACTGGTGGAGGCCGGGTGTTGGCGCTGGATAGCCACGTACACCGGTGGTTTAACACGCATGTGCGTGGGAGCAAGTTCTACTCGCACTACCACTTTCTGATCAAGCACGGTGTGCACCTGGCGCATGCCACGCGGTTCTTCAACAAGCTGCTGACGGGCTCCGAGGTGGAGTTCCAACTGGCGACGTTCCAGATATTCCTGATCAACGAGGAGAACCAGCAGGTGTTTTTCGAGAAGTTCCACAGGCTCTACACCTTCGACATGATGCTGCAGATATTCGACAGGCTCATCGCGCGCCGGGACTTCCGGTACGTCAAGTTCTACCTGGCTGCGCTGACGAGGAAGATGTCGGAGCTGGCCACGGACAGGACGCGCACGGTGCAGGACGCTGAGCTCATGTACATAAAGTTCAACAACTCGCTGCTCTACTACCTGCTGATGGAAGGCAACGTACCGATGTTCCTGCGCACGTTCAAGAACGAGGTCGAGTACATCAAGAGCAGCACGCTGCAGAACTCGGACAGCGCGGAGGTCCAGCAGGCGCTGCTGAAGCCCGTGCACTTGTTCGTGCAGATGCTCCGCAAGAACAACTCCCCGGACCTCATATTCGAGCTGCTGCCCGCGCTGCAGACCAAGTCCCGGAGCAAAGTGTTCAATGCTTACTTGACCAGCACAGTTGCGTCGACGATACGGACTTTCAACGACCCTACGCTGATGCTCAAGTTCCTGCTGACCACGGCGAAGGGCACGAAGTTCCCGGAGTTGCTCAACGAGCTGGGGCTGTGGCGGTACATAGTGCACGGCGAGCCCGGCAAGATCGATCCCAAGTCGCTGCAAGAGGACAGAGACAAGTTTGAGAAAGCGAACAGCGTCTCTGCGTTGAAGGCCATGAAGCGCGTTGACGTTGTGCTGCTGACGGAGCTGTACCGCGTGTTTCTGTCATATAGCTCGAGTGTGATGAGTCCCGATAAGTTCAGGCACTGCTGCATCGACCTGTACTCCCACTACGTGCAGTTCTGCGAGCAGAACAAGCACAAGCTGCGAGGATGGAAGTTCGACACGGGTGTCCTGAACGTTATCCTGTACCACATCCGGTACCGGCTGAGGGACGACAAGCTCGCGTATGAGGTGCTGGTGGACTTCTATGGGCGGGAAAGCATGGTGCAGAGCGTCAAGAATACCGCGAAGAAGTGTCCCTTCTCCATGGTGATCTACGACAACGGCACTGTCACCACGCAGCAGTTGCACGCGTTGCTGCAGTTGATGCAGCGGTACAACGTGCCGTTGAGTTTCCAGATATGCTACACGATGGTCAAGCGACTGCTGCAGATGAACGAGCCAGAGCAAGCGTTTGAGTGGTACACCCGGATACTAGAGAGCGGGTTTGATGTCAGACACCACGGGCTCGTGGAGCTCGTTTTGCAACAAGGCTGGTCCCTGCCACACCATTTCAACCACGATCTGCTGGAGGACGACAAGCTCGATAGCATCATCGAGGAAGAGCCGACGGAGGAGTGTGCGGAGCTCGTGGAGGACGTGAAGGAACTGATGCAGAGTGTATAGCACCGGGCCGCTTCAGGCAGGAAACAGAGTAAATAATCATTTGCGTAACGCAGGTATACATATTCTTATAATACAAGTAACAGAAAAGATAGAGCAGTGCATGTTGAGAGCACACTGTAGAGGGCAGTTTGGAGGGCAGTGTAGTGCATACGTGCATACAGATGGCAAAAAAGAAAATGCTCCTGGGGAGGTTCGAACTCTCGACCTTCAGATTATGAGACTGACGCTCTTCCGACTGAGCTACAGAAGCATATTATTTGTTGGTGTACGGGGATAAAACAGGGAATCACTAGCGGTAACTCCAAAATCAGGTATGTGTGTATTGAAAGTGTATTGTTCACTCCCTCCACACCCCATATACATGAACGCTACAGCAAGCCATCTGGTATACGCGCTGAAGTGTGGTACTAGATGGCTTGGCTGCCCCCCCCCCGGGGTTGCGATCAGCAGAATGACGTATTTTTGCTTGCAGGTCATCAGTGACAAACTTTTGCAGATAAGAGAATATATAAGAGCAAGTGGATATTCTTGGCCACAGGTACAACAGGTACAACAGGTTAACAGGTACAACAGGTAATGGCTACGCGTACGATGCTGTTTCTTTTGCTGTTAGTGCAGTATGTGTTTGCTAGCAACTCCAGCGAGGTTCCGCTGGAGCAATATTTCAAGTCGGACTTGCGGTTTCCTAACATACCGGTGGGGCTCACACGCGATGGTATGTACTATGTGAATGCGACGCTGGGTACTCCCGGCCAGTGGCAGCAGCTTGGGCTGGGGCTGGCGCAGCCCTATGTGTGGGTTGTTTCTGGGGATGCGGACTCGCAGTGCAACAGGCTGGACAGCGGGTGCCTGTCGGGTCCGCTGTACTACCCGCAGGAGTCGCGGACGTCGAGCACTGGTGGCGACAAGTATAGCATCAACTTCATAGACGGTATTTCGCTGAACGGTACGCGGTACATGGATGTGATGCGGCTGATGAACGTGAGCTCGTCGCTGAACGTGTCGGGCGTGGACAGCGGTGTGAGTTTCAGGAACCACACTCTGACGGTGCAGAACCTGTCGTTCTTCAACGCTGACTACTCGTCTGGTTACCTGTACGGGTCTCTAGGTCTGGGTGGGACTCTGAACTCGGACACCGAGCTGGAAGGCGACTTCATCAACCACTCGTTCTTCTTCCTGGATGCGTTGAAAGAGGCACGCCTGATAAACAGTAGTTCCTATTCGTTGTGGCTGGGGAGCCAGAAGAGGAACGGATTCGCAGACACCAGTGACGCCAACGAGGCCGGGTATCTGATATTCGGTGCGGTGGACCCCAACTTGGTGGAGGGCGAGTTCAGGAAATTCGACATGATCCCATACATACACCCGCAGACGGGCAAAGTCGCATACGGCTACCCTGTGGTGCCTATGGGACCAATCTATATAACGTCCAGCTCGGGCAGGAGCCTCAATGTCACTACGGATGGCTTCAGTGCGCCGGTGCTGCTGGACCCCAGTTTCGCGCTGAGCTACCTACCTACTAAGGCGATTATACAGATAGCTATACAGATAGCGGCGGTGTATGTGGAGTCGCTCGACCTGTGGCTGGTGTCGTGCGATGTAGCGTCGAGTGGTGCCACGGTGGACTTCTCGTTCGGAGACCTGACCATCAAGGTGCCGCTCAGCGACCTGCTCGCGTCGACGCACGACCAGAGCACAAACACCACACTGCATTTCAACACAGGCCAGGAGGCCTGTGTGCTGCAACTGTACCCTAACACATTCACCGGGTACAACGTGCTGGGCCAGGCGTTCATGAAGAACGCATACTTGGCCGTTGACCTGGAGGGCAAGGGAGTAGCGATGGGCCAAGCGGCCAACTTCAAGTCTGGGGAGCGCAAGGAGATAATTACCAGGCAGGCGAGTATCGTCACGTTCACTGATTCCTTGAACAAGACTTCAGTGGCTACATTCAGCACAGTCCCTTCGTCGATGACCTCGGGCTACATACCGTATGCTACTTACGAGAGCGACTCCGCGTACGACTCGATGCAGCTGTACCCGTCGAAGGTCGGCAGCCGCATCACCAGCATACCGGGCCAGATAGCCGGCACGGTGTACCCTGGCGGCGTGATAGCGGGCGATGGGAGGTCATTCTACGACACATCGCGCACCACTACGAAGCTGCAGACCTCTACACAGTTCGACAGCTTCTCGCTCTCGGGCACCCTGGGTTGGAACGACTCGCTGGCGTCCACCAGCTCGACGTCGCGCAGGAACACAGCGCAGCACACATCTCCAGCCTGGCTGGTATCCCTCCTGGGTACCGCATGCGTGCTCCTGGGCTCCATGGTGATATAATCTACATTGCATTCGGCAACCACACCCGGGTACCCACAACCCAGGGTACCCGCATTCGAGTAGCGTCGCAATGACTCCATAAGCGAGCATTGCACCGAATCTAATATGTTATGATACGTTATGATATAGTTTGCAGAAATAGAATAGAGAACATAAGAATATAGAACAGAGAACAGAGAATATAAGAATATAGAATAGACAATATGAGAATATGAGAATATAGAAGGCTATGCTGTATAAAAGTCCGGGTAATTGTGACACGAAAAATTTCGGCGAAAAATATTTTCAGTTTGGGCTCCTGAGGCTGGGGATCAACTTTTGTATATAAAGGCCAGGGTGTTGGATCGGAGCTGTTGTTTGGCATATGGAGGGTCCCCAGGAACACATACGATGACAGGCAGACCGTTCAGTGTGAACAATCCGTTCAGGAGTGCGGGGATGGAGACGAGGTACCAGCACGACCAGCAGTACCAGGAGTGGGTGCGCGGGAACACGTCGCCATCCCGCGGCGGCAGCGTGTCGCCGCCGCTGGGCATGGCGGAGAAGCCAGTGCCCGTTAGGCAGAATACTAACCCGTTTCTGGATGACGGGGATATGCACGACTCGGGTCATATGGGTGCGCCGGTGCAGCCAGTGCAGCCAGTGCACTCCCCACCACAGGGGTATGGCAAGGCCTTGAGTGCAGAGGAGGAGAAGGAGCAGTTGAGGCAGAAGTACCAGCGGGATCGCGAGCGTGAGGAGCGTCCTTCGCACAGGAGGGACCTGCCTCCCTCGTACGAGGAGGTTGCTGGCGGCAGAGGCAAGGGATACCCTCGCGAGAAGGAGTCTTACAGCGGTAATGTGCACCGGGAGCACTCTCGGAGCAGCGGGCACCGCGAGGAGTACAGCAGAAGTGCAGAGAGGGCTCCGCATCGCCACCACAGCCACCGCCGTCACCAAGACAACAGCTCGCCGGCGAAGAAAGAGAAGAGGAAGAACAAAGTTGCCACGCCCAAGAACGTGGATACCATCGACAAGCTAGACGTCACGGGTCTCTTCGGTGGGTCCTTCCACCATGACGGACCCTTTGATGCAGTCACACCACACAGAAACAAGAACACGAAAGCTGCGCCAGTGCTGGCGTTCCCAGCGGACGGGCCAAACAGCACTATTGGTGGTGTCACATCTAAGAAGTCAGCAATGAACGAGGTGTTTGGTGTCGAGGAGGATGACGACGATAACGATTTATATAGAATTAGCGGCCAGGTAGCAGGCAGCACCACATCGGTTAACACCAAGGACGCAATCAAACCTAACGTCGGTGATATCAAGCAGATGGATATCAAGAGTAAAACGGAGAAGATACACGGCCCAACCACTGTAGGTCTGGGATCTACTACTTTCCTAGATGGTGCTCCAGCTTCTGCAGCTGCTATAAGACAGGACATAAAGCAGCACTCACACACAAACCGTTCTGGTGTTCAGAGGCATAAATCGCTGTCACAGAGACTGGGGATAGGCTCAGATAGTAGTCGCCCATCGAGATCAGATAGTTACAAAGGCGCAGGCTTGTCCAGAACACGGAGTGGACCTACAGAAGAGAGACCTCACCAGGCCAGACATAACTCCTCCCATGCTGACGACGATGAAGAAGATGTATACCTGGGACTTCCAACATCATCACTAAAGAAATCTTCAGGCAGTAAGTTTATGAAAAGAGTACGTAGTTTGAAAGTTGGCAGAAAATAAACTGGAAACCGAACATCTCATGGGTGTTTTACTTTTACTTCGTCATTTCAAATTCCGTTATTATGTTTATTTTTAATATTTTTCTTCCTAATACCCAGGGCAAAAGTGCTGTTGCATTAACTTTTGATTATTCATTGTATTCTATTTTTCATAGGGACTCTATCTGTTTTTTTCTTTCTGAACTATAAATTATTATCTTTTAATTACCATTTTTTTACTGTACTTTTGATTAAATAGTTTTGATAATATTTCTTTTTCTCGTAATCATGGCATTTAATGCTGTAGGCGGGTACTATAATAAATTTATGTGATACATTTATATACAGGTAGAATACATTTTGCCTAAAGTTCAAATATATATTTACTTAACGGGAAATGAAATGGCATGGTTAATTGGAACCGCGAATATTTTCATAGTTTGGAATTAGAAAAGAGAAAACGAAGGGAGATAACAAGCTTAAATACTAGAGTCCAAGGATCTAGTCAAACCAGCAAGTCTACTTTCAACTACTTTCCATTCTGTGGCCTCCCACACATTTTCTAAGTACTGTCTCTTACCAAATGCACCGTAGTTATGCAGCCAAGCCTTTGGTGAAGAATCTATAGCCAATAATGGGATGTATGCCAACTCTGGGTCCACAGCTTCTTCTTTAGCCCTTCTAATATCTTTCAAAGTCTTAGAAAACTCATCCACTTCAGTTGTAGAATTCTGTTCTGATTTGGCCTCTTTAGCCTTCTCTGTCTTGTTCAATGTAGTGATGGATCCAGCCCTGTTAAAATTGAAAGGGGATCCTGCGTTGTAAGTGTTTAGCACAAACAATTTATCGAACAGTATCTTGTCTCCGGTAGAGTTTGAAACTCTGTCCATTTCTGATTGTGTTACTTTTCTTGCTACAAGCCAGGTAAAACCTTCTCCTGAGATGGCCAACGCCGAGTTGAGTAGCAAAGTCTTGAATTCTGCAATTGACCCAAATGAATTCTCCAGCAGCTGGTGTAAATCTGTGTTACCAGAGCTCCTAGGCTCATTCTTGATCAGTTGCTCCGTAGCGGGTGTCTCCAACAGTGACTCTCTACCGATTGGTCCCTGTGGTATCTTGTTTTGTGGGTTCCCTTGCAACGACTGCATAGCGAATTCCAAGTTGTAGAGCAAGCTCGCGTAGTTGGTAATGTGACGCTTGATGTAAGAGCGGGACTCCTCATAGATGATATTCTCCAGAGCGGTCTCCTGGGTGCCCTGGGTGTACTTGTTCAACTGCGCAGCGTAGTGGTCAGCTCTCTCAAACCATGCATTTTGTAATCCTCGGGCAGTGAACACACCGGGAAGCTCCTTGTCGGGCGATACATGTTGTAAGCTGGGCCTCTGGTACCATCTCCTGGCACACGCCCTCAACCTAGGAACCGATCTTGAGCAGAACATCTTAGCAGGTCTTTGGTATTGTTGAATCTAGTGTGCGTATAGTGTGTATGCATAGTAAGCTTCTTCAAATATCAGCTTTGAAGTTGGCCCAGGTCAGGCAAAAGTGATATCACTTCCCAAGATAATAGCAGTAGCAATATTCACAGGTATATGGCATTGTAGGATGAAGTGCTATGCTATGTTTTGTTGATTGAAATGGCAATTCGGTTACAAGGCAGAATTGATTGAGTATGATATTTATAGTGGAGCAAAATCAATCCACAAGTATTATAATCCTTATGCAAGAAATTGTAATTAGAATTATGGATGACAATGCACTGAATTAATCTTACAATAGTGTGTTTTCATGCGGTGTTCAGAGTGGTACTAGCTTGGCAAGACCATGTCCAGCTCTACAAATTGTCTTGTTCTTGTATGTGATTGAAGTTGATAAATTACAACTCACACCAATGTAGTATTTATTGCAATCATATGAAATAGGGAAACACACAACAGAATTCCAATGCAGAGCTTGTAGTGTAGTGCCATATTTAATGCTGTACCATATTGAACCCAAGGGACGATAGTATTACAAATAGCATTTAAAATTATTACAGGGAAATTAAAATACAGTCTAAACAATACAATTTGTAGAGCAAGGATTGCATAGTAATTAGCATGATGTTGGTACCAGCTACTACACGTTGCAATGGTTTGCAATAAAATTCAACAGATCAATTAATCAACCAAATATCATCGGATAAATTGTTTTAAGCACCAGACAAACTACATTTCAATGCGCAACATACAATAGAAGATGCAAAAAGCATGGTAGTATAATATACAAGTACAAGTACAAGTACAAGTGCAAGTGCAAATACAAATACAAATACAAATATAATATACTATAATATAATATAATATAATATAATAATTTGGCTTTCCCTTAGATATCGCCGTAGAGAGTAAAATTTTTTTCTAATAACATCAGTTTCTCCGTACCCTTTCGAGAATTGAAGGGTCCTAGCATAAGTTGAAACTTATTTAACAGATGAGCTAGTTGGTGTGATTGGGGACTATGAGCAGAGCAGAGTAGAGTATACGCAATGCTAAAGTGGATTCAAGGAGGTTTGTCTGCTGTGACAGGTATCGCTGAGCCTGAGTACGGTAAGGAGTATATACACACGGTCACGGAGCGTGTGGAAGGTAAGCAGCCTTACAGGGAGACCACCCGTGAGGATTTCTTCTGGAAGAGTCCCGACCATACCAATGTCGAGACTGTGACTTTCTATTTCAGCAACTTGGCCACTGGTGTTGTCGGTTTCGCGCAGATTATCCACTCAAACATCATCGGTTTGCACACCGCTGCGCAGTTCACCTTCAGAATCTTCGACTCCAAGAACCCTGAGAAGTTGAATTTGTGGACTTCCACCAAGCTGGAGAACTTCCGCATCGAGGATGCCAACTTCTACGCTGACGACTTGTCCGTTGAGTTGAATGCGGATAACACACAGTACCGCTTGATCTCCAAGGTAAACGAGCAATCTATCGTGGACTTGACGGTAACCAGGCTAACTCCCGGTGCCAAGCTCGGTGACGATCCTTCTACCTACTACGGTGACAACGTCGAACAGCCTTGGGGGTCCATGAGACACGTTTTCTGGCCAAGAAACACATGTGTTGGTGAGATCAAAGTCAAGATACCAAAGGAGACCGCCGAAAAGACTGCCGAGGAGCAAGCACAGGAAAAAGAACAACAAGAGGAGCAAGAACAAGAGGGTGAGGACGAAGCTGTCGAAGAGACTATCGAATACGAAGAGAGAACACTGAAGTTCGGTGAGGACGACCCATCGTACTGTATGTTCGTCATGGCTTTCCAAGGTATGAAGCCACATCACGCCGCTAAGGCATGGAACTTCATGTTCTTTCATTCCAAGGAAAATACAATGGTGCTGATGGAATTTACGACGCCGAAGTCGTACTCTAACACTAAGGTCTCTATCGGTATCATAACGAATGACAAGGAGATTCTGGCAGTGACACACGACAACAGCGCTCTGCACCTGAACCAGGAAATTGACTCAGTCGGTTGGAACGTTCCAAAGCAGATCAGAGTCGAATTGAAAGGTCACAAGTCTAGCGCCAAGGATGAAGACGTTGAAGCTGACAACGATGAGCACAAGATCAAAGCTGTTGTTGAAGGTCCTTTGGAAAACATGGTTGAGAGAATCGATGTCATGGGCGAAGTTCCAAACTTTGTTAAGAACATCGTTTCCGGTGTTGCTGGTACAAAGCCTTACATCTATCAATTCGGCGATGCCGAGAATTTCCATTTCCAATTAGACGACGGTGAAAAGAAGAATGGTTTAGCTTGGGTTGAAGTTACTTTCATCTCCGAGTCTGAGGTTGTTACTGAAGAATCCTACAATGAGGAATAGTTCAAATCTGTCAAAAGTTACTTTTTTTTTTCTGATTCAAGAAATTTATTGATATTTGAAGGTATCTCAGTTTTGATAATTGTATTTCATAACTACAATTGCATCCTTTGATCTTCATTTTCATAACAGCATTATCCAGTCTAAAATCCTATCGTCATTTAATACCCAAATCTGCACGAACAAAGGTGTTTTACTTATGAAAGGCCCTTTTTACCCGCAGGAGAGAAATAGCGAGTTACATCTTTTGCATGCACATAGAGTGCCTATCTGTCATTATTCTCTGATCTTTCTTCTTCCTCCACCCAAAAATTGTGCGTTGTGCTTTCTATACTTTTTACGTAGCCATATTTTCTATTTATGTTTATTAGTTAATCCAAGGGAACCTCTCTTATTTAGTGCAAAAGAGACAGTAAAATATGTTTATAATGGCCACCATTGATATATCACTTTATACTAATGAGCATTTTTTAGCGTTTCTGCGATGAGAGAGGGGCAGAGGAGTAATCCAAGACAGAAGCGTTTTTGTTAACGCAAAGTGTATCTTGTCATAAGATCTATCGAGAGACACTTGTTTGTTTACGTATGCGCTATTATTTATCATAGAAAAACCGGATAAACATCAAGTTTGTTCCACAATTGCATTTATATTTTGACCCCATCACTTGGCCCTCCCCCCCCATTCCTTCTCCTATTTGGCATCGAAGAGCCCAGCCGAAACTGATAAGCCATTGACCACAATTATAGTTTAGTAATATCGACTCCAAATAGTGGTCCTTTTGACTAATATGTACCAGCAAGTGTATCTCTTCTCATCATTGTCAATCAGAGCCTTGTGAGAACCACTAGTATTATCATCACGTCAGACGTATAAAGTAAATGACGTAATGAAATTGCTGCTCACTGGCATGCTCAACTGGTATGCTCTGTTTCTCTGGCATGCTCTGTTTCTCTGGCATGCTCTGTTTCTCTGGTATCAGGATCTCTCGCCAACACATCTTTGGCTTCGAGATCAGTTTGGGGGGGATGTGCTATGACACAGAAACACTCGCACACATTGGTACTATTTAGGGTTGCTCGGCATTGTGCTCCCCGCCCAGAAAATCTAGCACCGATCTCTTATCTTTATTTCTTTTTTTTCTGTTTTCTGCTACAATTACTTTTATAATGGTAATTGATGGAAATCCCTGCACTGTTCTCTCCGTAAATTCCGTTTTTCGGCACGCTGCTAAATAAGGACTCGCACAGACAGAGGTGCACGGAGGACGCATCCGTCTTTCTAATTTGCAAATGCTGGTTTGCTTGATCATCTCGCACAAGCGCTTTCTCTATTGGGCTTGGGAGGGTTGGTGCTGGGTTTGTCTCCAGAGTAGAACACCCGTACAACTCCATCCCTATCTTCCTGTTATGCAGCCCAAGTAACTCCTGTACAGCCGTGTTTTAGCACCGTGGCATCAGGAAAAGAAATGTACGGACTTTATTCTATCTGCCGAGTAAACAGCCGTACATCCCCCCTCCCTTCTTCTTTCTTTTTTTTTGCTACCTGCCTTTATTGAGTCCTCCACCTGTCTCTCTGAGTCTTCCCACTCCGACTCCGGGCAGTACATCCCTCTCGATGCCCACACCCGTGGATCCGTCGGAAGCACAGAGCACAGAGCACAGAGCACAGAGCACAGAAACACAGAGCACAGAAACACAGAAACACCCCGAGACAAAAGACCGATCACCCCCCACTGAATATCCCGTACCACAAAATGGATCGAAGAGGTGCTTCGTAATGGTTCTCTGCTGCTTCTCATATTCTATGCTTACATTTTCTTTCTTTTTTTATTCGGTGAGATACGGCGACGCAGACGGAAACGCAGGAATGTTCTTCCTCGACTGTGATTTGGGTACTACGCAGGTCTCTGAGAGAATCAGTAGTGCCCAATATAAGCCCAATGGAAGGACTTTTAACAATAATACCGATGAGCTGCCCAACCCATTCTAATATTTCAACCTAACATTACACACTGAGTTGGGATTGTACTGGACCCTTTAACAAATGATGAATACAACACAAGAGTTTAAGAAAAAAAAGAAAGTAATTTTGACCCTTTGTCCTATTATTGGGTCAAAATTATTAATAAAGCACTACTCCGCGTATATTTTTTGCTTCCAATCCCTCCCTCCCCATAACCTCCCCCATAATTTTATGGGAAATCAATTCCAATCCCATGGAAGTTCTCTCCATTAACCAAAAAAAAAATTTTCTTTTTAGCTTGTTTCTTTTTGCTTCGAAATTGCTATATAAGTTGGACATCCAGCTCTCTAAGTTGGTATATTCTCTTTGAAGTTATGAATACCAATAAGTACTACAATACACAAACAAATACAAGTTCGAAAAAAAAATGAGTAGTTCTAATAAAGATTCCGAGTCTTTTGAGAATTATCCTTCGCAAAATTCTGACAACAGCTACAAGAGGGATGATCTGGATCCAGATACCCTCGAGAAGGAGGCCAAGATCGAAAACCCTAACGGTAAGAGCGCCTACATCGCAGTGAGTATCTCCTGTGCTTTGGTCGCTTTCGGTGGTTTCATCTTCGGCTGGGATACCGGTACCATTTCCGGTTTCGTCAACCAAACTGACTTCATCAGAAGAATCGGTTCCAAGCACGCTGATGGTACCTCATACTTGTCCAAGGTTAGAACCGGTCTAGTTGTCGGTATCTTCAACATCGGTTGTGCCATCGGTGGTGTTGTTTTGTCTAAAATCGGTGATACTAAAGGTCGTAAGGCCGGTCTGGTGACTGTCGTGCTAATTTACATTGTCGGTATCGTGATTCAAATCGCTACCATTGACAAGTGGTACCAATACTTCATCGGTAGAATCATCTCCGGTTTGGGTGTTGGTGGTATCTCTGTGCTTTCCCCAACTCTAATTTCTGAAGTCGCTCCTAAGGAATTGAGAGGTTCTTTGGTCTCTCTATACCAAATCATGATCACTTTGGGTATCTTCTTGGGTTACTGTACTAACTACGGTACCAAGAACTACTCCAACTCTGTCCAATGGAGAGTTCCTTTGGGTCTATGTTTCGCTTGGGCTTTGCTTATGATCGGTGGTATGACCTTCGTTCCAGAATCCCCACGTTACTTGATCGAAGCCGGAGATGACGATGCTGCTCGTAAGTCTCTATGTGCTGCCAACAAGTTGCCAGCTGAACACCCATTCATCGAACAAGAATTCACCATCTTGAAAGCCAAGGTCGAAGAAGCTAATGCCGCTGGTACTGCTTCTTGGTCCGAATTGATCACTGGTAAGCCTGCTATGTTGAGACGTACCATTATGGGTATCATGATTCAATCTTTGCAACAATTGACTGGTGACAACTACTTCTTCTACTACGGTACTACTGTTTTCAAGGCTGTTGGTTTGGAAGATTCTTTCCAAACCTCTATCGTTTTCGGTGTCGTTAACTTCTTCTCTACCTTCTTATCTTTGTTCACCGTCGACCGTTTCGGTCGTCGTAACTGTTTGCTGTACGGTGCCGCCGGTATGGTCTGCTGTTACGTTGTCTACGCTTCCGTTGGTGTTACCAGATTATGGCCAAATGGTCAAGGTAATGGCTCTTCCAAGGGTGCCGGTAACTGTATGATCGTCTTCTCCTGTTTCTACATCTTCTGTTTCGCTACCACCTGGGCTCCAATTGCTTACGTTATTATCTCCGAATCCTTCCCATTGAGAATCAAGACCAAGGCCATGTCCATTGCCTCTGCTTCCAACTGGATCTGGGGTTTCTTGATTGCCTTCTTCACACCATTTATTACCAATGCCATTAACTTCTACTACGGTTACGTCTTTATGGGCTGTATGGTCTTTGCTTACTTCTACGTTTTCTTTTTCGTCAACGAAACTAGAGGTTTGACTTTGGAAGAAGTCGATGAGATGTACGCCGAAGGTGTTCTACCATGGAAGTCCTCCAAGTGGGTCCCAGAATCCGAAAGAGATGACAGCTATGACGCCGATGCTTTACTTCATGATGACACACCATGGTACAAGAGAGTCATTGGTAGAAATTAATGCCGTCATTTGGGCACTACCAACTGATCACTATATAAATCAATTCTCAGATATGAAGAAGAATCCCAGGTGGATGAATAAAGTTCATTTGATATGAAACTCTGATTATTGCGGTAATATATAAGATTACCCCATTTTCAAACTAAATTTTTGTCATTGTATATTAGCATATTTTTTTTAAAATATTTCATGCATATAAAATTAAATTTCTTACGTTAATTTAAAAGGATATTATCATCAAATTCAACCCATTGTACTTAGTTATTGATTTCGCGAAATCGAACAGCAATTCCTAGTGATTACTACACATTATGATGTCCACATATCTTTGTAGTAAATGATGGACTAAAATGGACTCTGAGAAGTACTTTTGTAATATTGCATATAGAATATATGTATTTTACGTATATATTGTTTGCGAGAGATGTCAAGAAATTCTTGGAACACTAATCGAGAAAATATGCAAAATTAAATGTATGAGCTTTAGTATCATAAATAAAGCTATGACTTCTTAAATTTCTTTCCTAATTTAGGGTCCATCTTGGCATCACATTCAGTATGATTGTCAGTTCCACTGCAGCCAAATTGAACATTGCCTATACCTTTCAAAGGTGCCATAATATACGTTCCATTATCCCAGTCATTACACTTTATGACTCTTGAAGATTCCTTTGTGCATTCCTGTGTCTGAATTAATGCTTTTATACATCTTTGTTGTAACCACACTTGGACAGTTTGCCCAGCTTCCGCACCGCATTTAAAGGTATTCCCGATTCCAACTTCTTTGGAAATGGGCAATTTTAACAGAGATTTTATATGCTTAAAATCAGCATCTAATGTATCTTCTTTAGTCCAATTGTAATGGTACGCATACTTAAGTTTTATCTGATTATCGTTATCACCTAAACCTATATCGCATTTAGAGACTGGGAACCAGTCAGACCAAACTTCTTCAGTAGAGTTTAGACTCATAACTTTAAATGTATGAGTTTTTTTGTTCTTAGAGTAGACTTTTGTAGTATGTGGTTGAATACTGCTAGAGTCGGAAGCATCTTTGACCTTCTTGATATCAACGATTAAATTACCTGATCTCTTGTCCAATAATGGTGTATTCTTTCCAGCATACTTCTCAATGTAGTCGTGGAAGTTTCCCTCATCCGGGATCGTAACAAGATTGTCACTGTCATCGACGTCTAAATTGTTTTGTAATTGTGGTTCTGGAAGACCTGTAGGGATACCTCCCATGGCAGAAACAATAGAGACAAGTTCAAAGCATAGCAGCAGACATACCAATTTCAAAGCAAATTTTGGGACGTATGCTCTCCCATTCAAAGCGGACATATTTTCAGGAACTACTATGAGTGAGATATATATACAATTAGAGTATATATGAAGTGATGTGGAATGTTCGAGATACAACAAATAAAATAAAGCATAGAAAATGCCAAGAAAACGACCTCATAATACATGAACTTCCTTCGATTTAAAAGTTCCTATCTTATATATGAAACAAATATGTACAACTACATAATATGGTTGCATCGAAGGCTGAGGTTTTAAAAGACTTGTTGAAATAAAAGCCCTTAGTTGTAACACACAATGGTAGTAGTAAAAGAATTTAGGTATTACGTATTGTTTAGTTTTTCCCAACTTGTATTATAATTAATCAACAGGAACATTTGCTCAGAATAACTCTGTGCCCAAATATCAATATATTATTTATCGACACAAGTACTTCTGCCGAGAGGAACTTTACGTGCGATGAACTACTAAACTTGATATGTTAAGGTGCCGTTCGCCCAGAGCCTTCATCTTGCAGATGAGCCCAACGGTACTATTAGCTACTGCAATATCTAACAACGTTGCAAGGGTCAACGGGTATTATCAGTCTACATCCCACTTTCAATTTGACCATTTGCTTATATCAGTCGTTTTCTAGGAATTTTTCCGAATGGCTGCCAATGGTACTTCGAGAAAGATTTCTGGTGCAGTAAAGGTTCTCAATTAGGTAACCAGTAAAGAAGGCTCTAGCACTGACAAATTGTTGTTAGTGAAACGAATGAGGTGGATTAAAAAATCTGATATGGTTCTAAATGACTCTCCAACTTGAATTTCATAGTTTTACTCCCAAAAATTGGGGCATATGTATGAAACAAATTGATGAGCAGCGGGGAAAAGGAATCATATGGTGGAAGCAGGGCCAATATGATTCTCAGCTATCCAGGTAATTTTATGTATAATAGATTAAATATGAGTCATTTATAAATATATAGTCCTGGCTTTCTGTTTCTGGTTAGACCAAAACCAATTCACTCTGGTACAGTTTTGAAATCGACAGGTAGTTGAACCTGGAAAAAAGGAAGGGATTGATGAAATTAGTAGTTATCTAGTTGTTAAGAAAGCCCATTAAGTTAACAAGGCGAGGCACTCTTTTTTTCACTTGTCGGAATCGAATAGAATACGAAGGAAACGTCGATTTGAAAGTCAGTTTCTAAATTAATCAATATAAGAAATATACAAAGTAGATAAAGCTAATTAGTGATTTTGAAGGACGTGCGTTTACAGTAATTGATAGTTGGGAAACAGGATACCGTCCCATTAACATACAAGTATTATTTTTTTATTTTTTTAAGTGCTTTTTCATTTTTTTTTTTAACAGTTTAAGTCAGAGTCTGCTCTTTTTTAAGAATATATTATAATTATGGCGATAATTAACTTTACGACACGTCTTGTATATGAATGGCAATTTCATAGATCATTATTGATTAATCGGGACTTTCAAATAATAAAAAAAAAAGGGTAAATGAAAAAGATCGACAGCTACCCAGGTCGAAATAACAGAAAAAATCATTCAAATGTTTCTGAAGATTTGACCCAAACGAGAATCAAAGTGAGCATCACATTGGATGTTATCCTCTCCAGAACTACATCCCAAATGAACATTGTCGGCACCCTTCAATGGTGCATTAACACGGTTGAAGGCTGACCATGGACTACAGGTGACCTTACCATTGTTTTCCCTGCGACAGTCTTGCTTCTGAATATCTGCCCAGGCAACTCTTTGTTGGTACCAAATTTGACCTCTAGTGTGTGGTGCAATGTTACATTGGAATTGGCCACCCCATCCAACAGAATCACTAATTGAGTAACCGATCGATGCACCGACAACATCTGGTCCAGCATTCAAGCCCCATTCCAAAGACCAGGTGTAGGTATAGGCAAAGTTAACACTAATGGAAGCCTCAGCATCGTTCAGACCATTGGAAACACACTGGGAGATTGGGTACCATGGAGACCACCATTCACCTTTGTTAACGGTCTGCATTTGGTGCCAGGTTTGGTACCAACCATCATAGCCGTAAACCTTAACATCACGCTTGGCCATGGTGTCATTGCCAGCGTAGTTCTGGGTGATGTTCAACAAGACATAACCAGTCTTTTCGTCAAGCAATGCTTTGTCGGAACCTGCGTAAGTCAAGATGTACTCACTCAAATTTGCACTTTCTGGAACTTTGACGACATCCAAGTCACCCAAGAAAGCCCCAGTGTCAATTTCAGTAGTATTCAAATCAGTACGTCCTGGAGAGGAAGCGTCGAACGCATCGACAGCATTGAACAAAGCCAACGCAGCAGCAGCTTGAGTAAGAGTAGAAAATCCACCAAATTTCATGATATAAAAAAGTATCTGTAATATTAAGTTTCTGTTGATAATACTTGTTATCTTCTGTTTTCAACAAAAGTAACAAAGAGAAAGGCATATAATATCCTTCAAGAGAAATTAGTGTCACCTTTTATACCTTTTAAAAATAATCAAGACACAAAAGTTACAACTGTGGAGAGCATCACAATATCATTATTTGTAACCGCTCTCCATGACTTTCTGTGAGTTGTTCATCTAATTATTCAGATATTGGATGCTCGACCAATTGAGTGGCGAGAATTGTATTGAAGATTAGTTCTTTGCCGACTGCTGCTTAGAAAGTTTCCATTCTACCTCCAGGGCAATTTGGATTGAAGGTCATCCTGCAGTGAGTCACAAGCTTAAATTTTATTCAGCTTGTTATTCTCAAATTAATAGTATTAATGAACTTCTCCAAGTGACTAATAAATTAAGTTACTCTCAAACATTAAGTAGATATTTCTACCATACAAATTGAACCGTTTGATAAATACAAGAAACAGAGTGCTACTGGATTGACTAATAAACTTAACCCAATTCACCTAAAAAGAAGATATTTCACTATGCCACGAGCCAATCTAGTCAAAATTATTATTCAGTTATCATTTCTTGAATCATATTAGTTATGCTTACCACTTAATTTCGACGTACCGTTTTCAACCTTTATGATAGTTCAATACTTTTATTTTCATTTCAGCTGGTGAATGTATGCAATTGTACAACCTCTACCGTGACGCTCACAAAGATGAAAATGCTTATCAGTACTTTACAAACTACACCTATAACACTCTGTGAGTTAAGTCCAAAGAAGTCAGAATAACGGGACTAATTATTGATGTTTCTCCAAAGGTGCGCATAATTTCCCCCCTTATCAGGAATCCAGTCTTATGGGGATAACTCTTCCTTGATTACCACTATAATTTTATTGACCAATCAATAGTTCTATGTCTTGTTTCGCAAATACATCTTGACCCACACGTTTCATACACTCAATTGTTTTCTTACAGTTCTGTAAACCTTGATTTTGTAACAATTGTTTTTGCAACCATTATTTCCTTAAGCAACCGTTATTTGTAGGTACCACAATAACTTATGAAGCTTTCCAGCTCTTTTCATATTTTTAGAACCCGACTCTTGGCATGAACTAAAATTCGGGATGACTCTTGATTATTGGTAACTTTCATAACTCGTAAATCATTTCTAATTGGATCTCTTAGTTGTGAACTTGTTGCTTACCCATTTCGCTGAGACCTTAGTTTGTTACAGATGATCTTGAAGACAACTTCAAAAAAGTAGATCACTTCAATGTAGCTAGTTAAGCATATTGTTGAGGTTTTTGAACAGCCAATTTGAGAAGCAACCAAATTCATTCCTACAGCAATTTCTTTCTACAGTCACTTGTTGAGAAAGTTTAACATGCATTGTTGGACAACAAGACATGCGGAAAATGAGGGGTTAGTCATCTTTCCCTATCGCCATTGTGGTAATTCTATGAGCGATGGAATTTTTTTATTAACTATGCGAAATTTCAGTAAGTCACTTGTGTGATTGGACTGAGACATGTTGTATGGGGCTGTAGCAACTGAAAAGAAATATCTTGAGTATTCAAGAACCAAGTGATATACATTTACTAGATTAAGCACCATATAGAATCTTTTATTTTGAATGCAACAGTGACGATTATTTAGAATGCATGAATTTCAAGTAGTAAGATTTTTGATATTGAAAGCAATCTACTAGCTATTTGCATTTCCGTAGTAATTCTGCTTTGTAGTCAAGATAGATTTGAAATTTCAATAAAGTCACTCAAAATTAGTAAATTATGCCCCTATCTTTGAATTAATGGAAAATGAATTATGACAGTCGAGGTCTTTACATCCTGTCTTATCTTTCGGATGATTAACTAAATCAGTCTCATAATATGTGAAGTCGAAGATTTCCCTAAAGAGTATCATGTCATTAATGTGGTTGGGCCAAGAGAAATATCAACGTATTAAATTGCAGACAAGTTCAACTCGTTAGTAGGTTAATTGCCAGATATCAGGCCAGAACATTGAATGTTTCAACTACTAAGTTCTTCCACATGGAACATTAAGCATATATGGCGCATTGATCTTTGTTAAGTCTTAATATTGGTAATTATATCAATGGTCCAGATTTTGCTTTGGTGAGTATCAACTAGAAAGGAATGTTTGGTTTCAAATCCTACCCTTTTAAGAAAGTATTGCTAGTAGTACAAACCACAAACTCAGGCGTGATTTAATGTTTCCTTAGTTAGTATCTTGTATGTATCGTTAACCACCGTAGTCTTAACGCTATACATAGGAGCAAGAAATACTCCCAATATGATATCTTAAGATAATGACGCACAATATAATAGTAAAGAATAGAAGTGTTATCTGCGTATTGTTTAAGGTCGACATTTACTTAGAATAAGTGCTCACACCGTGTGAACAAATTCGCTGTAATTAACGAAACGTGGTATATTGTTACCAAAACATAAATAGAACGTAGATTATGAGATAAGGATAGTAAATTTGTTAACTCTCATAGATCATTATAATCGAAAGAAAGCAACCAATTTTATTAAATAGAGTTTTGATTGGTTAACCACGCTCTCCATGTAATTGTCGTTTATTGTTTATTTAGACTAAAGATGATAAAGGCCAATAAAGAGCTCCATAGTACAGAACTAGCCGACTGAAGAGTTCCATTACCGGATGAATCATGGAAATTTTATTAAAAACCACGTATTTGAAAAAAATTAATGTTTTATTGACTAAATAACACCTATGTGAATACAATACAGATCATACAATATATAGGTTTTTTAAAAGCACTTCAATAATCTGGACATTTATCTCCAGTGCTTTGATCTAGACCTTATAATATGCTATGCTCATCTAATATTCAATGCAAAGTAACATAAAATAAAAACAAAAAGCTTTCCAATTTGAAAATTATGATAGGATATACAAATAAAAAGTGGACTTTTTATCATTTTATGTCCTTCAAATGTTTCTGAAGATTTGACCCAAACGAGAATCAAAGTGAGCATCACATTGGATGTTATCCTCTCCAGAACTACATCCCAAATGAACATTGTCGGCACCCTTCAATGGTGCATTAACACGGTTGAAGGCTGACCATGGACTACAGGTGACCTTACCATTGTTTTCCCTGCGACAGTCTTGCTTCTGAATATCTGCCCAGGCAACTCTTTGTTGGTACCAAATTTGACCTCTAGTGTGTGGTGCAATGTTACATTGGAATTGGCCACCCCATCCAACAGAATCACTAATTGAGTAACCGATCGATGCACCGACAACATCTGGTCCAGCATTCAAGCCCCATTCCAAAGACCAGGTGTAGGTATAGGCAAAGTTAACACTAATGGAAGCCTCAGCATCGTTCAGACCATTGGAAACACACTGGGAGATTGGGTACCATGGAGACCACCATTCACCTTTGTTAACGGTCTGCATTTGGTGCCAGGTTTGGTACCAACCATCATAGCCGTAAACCTTAACATCACGCTTGGCCATGGTGTCATTGCCAGCGTAGTTCTGGGTGATGTTCAACAAGACATAACCAGTCTTTTCGTCAAGCAATGCTTTGTCGGAACCTGCGTAAGTCAAGATGTACTCACTCAAATTTGCACTTTCTGGAACTTTGACGACATCCAAGTCACCCAAGAAAGCCCCAGTGTCAATTTCAGTAGTATTCAAATCAGTACGTCCTGGAGAGGAAGCGTCGAACGCATCGACAGCATTGAACAAAGCCAACGCAGCAGCAGCTTGAGTAAGAGTAGAAAATCCACCAAATTTCATGATTTCAAAGCGAATGTAGTGAATGGTTTATTTGCTTGGTTATTTCCGAATTTATCATATAAGCACTACTAAAAGAAGACATTTATGTTTGTTACTTTTGGGTTCAAAGAGCTCTTTTTATATAAAAAATTTTCATGGTGGGTGCCATTAAACTGTTTACTTGGTTGCATCGAAAAATTCATATTTTTATCATTTTAAGTTGAACTAATAGAGCAGAGTATGCTACTTCTTAGTCACAGAAAGGTTCTAAGAAAAACATTACGACTTCATACAAATTATGAGGCACTTTCTTTTGTTACAAATATGGCGTCTTCATCTTATTTGCCAGGAAAGGAGAAGTCTAAACAATCAGGTTATCAAAATTACCCTCTATGTCTATTGTTACTAATAATATCATTTCTATTGTGCACTGTAATAAATAGAAGAAAACTAGATTCTATCAACTCAACGTAACTATTCTGAGAAATAATACTTGTGCTCTTATTCCTCCATTACCATAATTTTATGAACACCTTTTGTTGAGTTTTGCATCCATTTGCTTCAGTTTACGCCAAATAAAGAAATAAATTGTTATTAACAGCATTAGAAGTCCTCTGGTATAATTTAATTACTTTCTCTGACGATATTTACGAGCGCTACCTATATTGTATTCCGAAATTAACGAAGAGAAAGTGAGAGAACTAGCAGTAAATGGTCGCAAAACTGTAACAGGTCATCAATATAGGAGGGTATTGCTCACAGCTAATTTTCAGAATGTTATTTGTTGAATTACGTTTGCACTATGTCTTGCAACAAAAATTATAATTGCAACTTTCAAAAATACGAAAAAAAATAATATTGAAACGAGGTGCCCAACGCTAAATAGTACACTGAGCAAGAGACGAGTTTTATCAGTCAAATTAAAAAATAAAATCAAACTGTTACATAGATTTTGTCTTATTTTGCTTTTCTCTGGTTCGTCACCTTTACTAACATCCAGAAGGTAACTATTTAGAAATCAAAAACACAAGTATTCTCCTACACAATGTACCCAGAAAGTGTTTCACATTCTACTTGTACAAACAGCAGTTAAGCTTATTACTTTTTCAACTACAATAATTATTCTCATCAATACTATTATCAATAACAATATTCTTTCCCTGTTTTGACCATATCTATATCTATTATGAACTAGCCAAAACAGCTAAATTTGCGCTGTTTTAATAGGGACAGTCTAAGTAATTTAAATTATATACACTTAGCTATTTAGCACCTAATAAGTAGTAGCATAATATTTTTTTGGTTTTTTTAACGAGTTAAATGCGCGCCGTAGCTTTGGATTTTAAAGAGCTCTCGATACATAGACCGCCAAGTACAGTTGGTACAACATTTCTAACTGGAATGATTGTGAGGAAACTTTATGTAGTGAAGAATTCCCAGAAATCCTCGTGAAATACTAAGAGCCGTGAAGAATAGCGTGAAAACCTCCCGCATAATTTGACTTTGAAGTGAGAGATTAAGTTTTCGTTTTTCGCACCGTAACCCACTAACTCCGAGGACCATCAATTGTATATTTAGATGACGTCATATTACTTATAACTTAAACTTTGTACGTAATTTTACTGCTGTCAAAGCAACAGCAAGAAAACAAACACATCTGTCTTGGCAATTGCAAATTATGAAAAAAAGAAAAAAGTGTTAACGAACCATACGCACCTCTAACCGTCAAAGTAGTTTTTCGTATAATCAGAAATAAAATCTTGACATGTTTACACCTGTGCTGGCATAAAACATAAATTTCTCTGCTGTTAAATGGGTTAATTGAGTACAAACAAATCGTAGGAGCTAGAAAAAAAAAACCATAGTCCTAGTCGTGTCTTACTAGTGGTATCATTTTATGAGACATAGGCAATACAAACACTATTGAGAACATTTACAGAAACATGCGATCAAGAAAAGAAACTGTGCTACGGATCATAATATCGATAATATTTTATTTACGTCTTTTTCTTTTTCTTTCTTTTTTCTTCTTAGCTGATATAAGCAACTTGTCATTTACAGCCGTATTGTCAAATATCCTGCCACTTTCTGTGTTTACATAATGCCCCTATCTTGCAAGATAACTAGACATTCATATTTAGCCATCCAGATCATTTACGTAGGCATTTTTTTTTGCGGCTATGTTAACAATTTTTTCTTATAGCAGTAAGAGTTGAATATTGACTGCCGTTTATTCCTGCAAGTTAGTATTTTGCAACAACATCAAAACCGACAATTGTTCAATTTGCAACCATCGATAATAAAGAAAAAAGGTTTTCAACGAAATCTTCTTGCAGAAATTCTAGGTTCTAACGATACACTATACTAGATAAACAGAGATCTGACGTTCTACTGCATCCTTTATAGTCTAGCACACTTTATAATATTTTAGTTCACACAATTACTGAATCTAAATAAAAGAAAAGAAGTCAGAAATTAAAGACCTAAGTTTGTTGACACAATTAAACCGATCAGGATAATTTTAACACATTTATTATAATAGTTAGCGGTGGTAATGTGTTGTACGTAATATTCTGAGACCAGCATCAATGCTCTTCCCTCATCTGGATAATCATCTTTCACGTAACCTCCATTTTGTAAGAAACCCATATACTACCATTCTATGTACTGTTGGCTGCCTATACCAAAATAATCATTTTTAAGATTAATTGTGTTACTCGATCCCACAAGATGATAATAAGGAAAATAAAATTGTTATTCTTAGTAATTTTTGATATCAGTATGGAGATTAAACAAGAAAGCTACACGAGAGATCACCTATTGAGCATCGGTGAGTTTTTCGAAAGACGTATTAGAAGGTAAAATATTTCATGATATTCAAAGATATCCCAACTTGTATTTTACTTAGTGCCAAGAAAGTAGTAAAAAACGCTGGAAAGTTACGTATACGTGCTAACAGCGGCAAAAAGTTTTAATTGATTTGGTGACCTTGGAAAAAGCTCAACGAATAAAAACATGTAACACATTAAAGAAACAAAAAGAGATTTCGACCTGCTTCCCAGCTTATATGCCTGTATAATAATTTATCTAATTGTAATCCTACAATCTGGAGATATTGGCATCTGAAGTGTGAAATATCTGTTATCATCTTCTTTTATATAAAAGGGTGCTTATTAGATTCTCTATCAAAATGGCTCAGACTAACAAGATGAGATCAATAACAAATAGGAACCTTTATAGTAATATTTCTACATAAAATCAATAGTATTTCACAAATTCTGCATTATAATATATCTTGAAAATGATTTAGGCCAACATTAAAGAAAGTATTTTATCACTACGTAGAACAAACAACTTCTAATCTTGTAGAGAAAACATTAAGATAGAAGACTGCTGTTGTTATGTAACAGGAACGAATTTTCTCTGCAATATTTTTAATTGTAATTGAGGAAAGGTGGCAATACCACTCCAAATTAGGATCAGAGAATATTAGAACTTGAGAATAGCTTACTATAACCAAGTTCGATACCTTGCATTTTCCATCCTCAATGTCATATTTGAGGAATCATATGCAAGACGAAATTATTTATTTGTCAGAATAATATCTAACAAATATCATGACTACAATTCCTATCTGACAGGAACTATATTCCTGAAATTCACAGTAAGATAATAGTTCCAATAAAAAGTTTCTCACTTTTATAAAAATTTCAGCAACAATCGTGACGAAACTAATATCCTAGCCAGTCACTCATAAATGCCAGATGCACTTGTTATTTTTGTGTTCGTCAAAGACTAGCCTTCACGTACAATGTGTGGTGAAGGACATTGTTGCGATATTGTAAGATGATCTTGTGGAGTAGTTAGTTCATGTGTCCAGTTATACTTAGAAGACATGATGATAAGATAGTAATTCAAAACTCTAATGGAATATTATACAAAATATACTGCTAATCCTTCTTCATTATACAGAATAAGATACTAGAACTTAGGTTTAACTTCATAGACTAATAGAGATGAGGGCTCCTTTTATACCTTTCATCTTTGGCAGATAAACTGGTTCTAAGAAGCCCTAACTCGGTTTCTTTCCTGATTAGGAATCTTATCTTATCTTATCTTTCATAGACTAACTTCTGTACCGGTATGAGTAGTCTGCTATAGCCTTACGCCATGGTCGTTGAACGCTCATATTCTTGGACAGTATGATCATATAATCACTTTTGTTTAGAATAATAAGTAGGTTCGAGTTTATCTTAAATTTATGAGCTTATCTATATACTCAAAAACTTAATACTTTACACGGCTCTGATACAGGATGTGGATATTACATGTGGGGCATGTGTTGTCTTTAAGAGCCGCAGTATAACTTGAAATAGCCAATAATATCAAATTGATACCCCTGCACTCAAATAATGCAGAATATTTTATGGATAGAAAATAAGCAGCTTAACACGTTAAAGATATCTCATTAAAATCAATGCAGATTAGTACTCTTAATGCTAAGATCACAAAGAGAATTAAACCTAGAAAGAGCGATCAAATTCCAAATTATAGGAATTCTACAAAATGATTGTTATAACATATCCTCGGCATTTATATTATAAATAAAAAAACTAAAGCAAACATAACGTATATTATGAAACTATAAAATACCTCATCTAACTATTATTGCTTGAGCTCTTATTGCTTTAAGATGCCTTGCTCCGAATTGACCGAGACACTGATAAAAGAAAAAAGGGAAGATGCTTCACAATATAATAAAAACTTGTATCTACTGGTACATAGCCATTCTGATATGATACATAGTATTTTTTTTAGCACATACGATACTAATCACAATATTTATACGAGATTAAATACCTCAAGTAGAGTAATACCACTCTTATGCATTAGTCAAAGCTACAAAAGTAAACGATTACAGTCGTCAAATGCAAAACTAGCACATAATGCCATTAAATAGTATTGTATGATTAAAAAACAATGGAATTCAATAATAGATTACAATCACTACAATGAGAACG